GTATGTTCAATGCATCGAGCTTCTGTCGTCCTTCTCATTGTCTACTGTGTGTTTACTATCTAGCAACTTCAACCGACGTTGAACGTCTATTCAGCCGTGGCCGCTTAATACTCTCCCACACCCGAAGTCGTCTTTCAATGGAATCCACTTGTGCCCTTCTGTGCTTGGGCTCATGGAGCCTTGCTGGGCTGGTCAAAGACTCAGATGTGGAGGCTGTTGCAGTTCTGGATGATGTGACGGCTAAAATCGAGCTTGAAAAACTTGGTGATATTCTTAGTAGGACACGTCGAGGCAAGCTTTGAATTATGTAGTATGCTATTCATCATATATGTAAGGTCAGTTAATATAGCATGCATTACGCTATGAACCCGTGGGGTAACCTGTACCCGTGTATAACCCGAAATACCCTGTGTTAACTGACCCGCGGCTTATAGGGTACATACCCTGCGGGGTTAGGGTACGGGTTGGTGGCTGGGTACCCACGGGTTTACCCGTGCTATTGCCTAGTTAGGGTCGACTTCTATTCCAATGATGGTGAGTGGGGAGCCAAACGTTTGCTTACTCTCCTTGTGGGGTAGGTTGATTTCATCCCATAATTGGAGCAGCTTGACTTGGCTGGTTGGCATGAGTTTACAATAGGGAGGGTAGTATGCAACGTTTTTGGAGAGTTCAGGGCCAAATGAATCGTCTGAGTAAGTACCCAAGAGTTCAATGCCCCTTTTCTTCTTCGCTATCCATGACACAAGTGACATGAATGCGATCCAGTTGCATCCAGAGCCTCGTCCGCCAAAGGCGGTGTTTCTGTCGACATGCAGTGATCCGGCGATGCGGTTGACTTGTTTGATCTGCCAGTAAGGATGAACCGGGAGGAGTCTGTAGGCCTCTGTGACGTCTGATTTGAAAAGTATGCAGGGTGACTGAGGGAAACGGTCATGCATGGAAATGAGGAATTGACCTAGATGCTGTAAGTTGTCGAGAGGATATCCCATGATCTGCTCACGAGGAATCATGCTGTTGAGTGAGAACTTCCCAGCACTCTGATCAGTCACCATTCTCAAGTCTGTTGAATGTGGTTTGGGAACGGCAAAAATTGGCATACAGTACATGCCCGGCAAGATTTTGTCTCCAAAAGATTCAGAGAAACGGCCTTTGAAAATTTCATGGTCTCGTTGATTTCTAAGGAATTGCGCCTCTTCCTGGTTTTCTGGTTCTGGGAGCGAGAGGTCAAGTGTGTCGGGGTAGTCACCATGGCGAGTATCGGCCCAAGGCCAGAAACCCTCCCAGAGCCCCCTGCATACGGATTTAATGAAAGGTTTGTTAGGGTGAGTTTCAAGTAGTTCCTCGAATCAATCCACAAATATGGGCGTGATGATGTCGAAAAGGTGGGGGTTTTCCTGGATCGTTTTGGTGGCAATGGGATTGTTGAGTTCAGAAGAAGGGATCTGAGGTAATGGTGAGGCCGTCTCTGTCCAGTCAGCGGATGAACGAGAAAAAATATTGCTGCCCTCCCAAATGTTATACCTTAGATACTTGGGGCGCAAATCACGCGCTAGATCCTTCTTTGATATTGCAATCCCTTTCCCCGTGGCCCATGTGCTTGCATTTTTTGCAGGCGTGACAGAATCTGCAGTCATCTGTGGAATTCCTGCAGCCGTTGATTGAGTTGAAGCAGTGGCAAATCTCGGATTTTGTGTTCTTCCCTGTTGAACGCTTGATTCCGAGTCCCAACCTGACGTGATCGGATTCGACTCCATCTGGCATGACAATGGCAGAGTAAAACCTGGTAAAGCGGTGGGTGTCAGTGAGGAGTGCATTCTGACCACCCCCAACTTCATTTCGGATGGCGACATCGTATAGGATAATTTTTCGGTGGGCTGAAGTAACCCTTGCAGAGAAATGGCCTTCGATGTATTCGCCGTAGTCTCGAAGTTCTTGTTCCCTGTGAGGGAAAGCGAATTTAATCGCTTTGACGGTGGCATTCCAGGCGCTGGTCCACTCGCCACTCATTTGGACTTTCTTGGCTGGATCTGATCGACCAAGGGATATTTCAGTTGATCCCACGCGTCCAATGTTCTCCTTAGGAGCGGAAATATGGTGCAGTGAGGAGAACACTGCGTCAAGGTTGACGGCTTGTCCCTTGATAATGTTGTCCCACTCTGAAGTGGGGAAACCGAGCGGCGCAGTCCTGGAATTTTGGATCCATTGCCTGACGACTTTGTAATCACGGGCGAAGAGTTGGAGAGTTCGTCGAGACTCTTCGCAATCTCTGTTTCCGCTTCGCCTGGCTTCTTCCTCTCGATTGTGCCAGGGCATCTCGGATTCGAAAATTCTTCGTTTCTTATTTGAGGGTTCATCTCCATCGTCGTCGTCGTCTGATCCTGATGGGGAGTTCCCCCTTTTCGACCTGTTGCTGTCTCTGCTGATTTGAGAGATGAGTTCGTCAATCGCTCGGTTAGCGTCAATGGTCTCAGGTTTGTGTTGCTCGGGTTGAACAGATTTGGGGTTGAGTCCAATCGTGGCATGCTTCCCTCGCTTAATCACTGAAGAAGCGAGGGCTTCGTATTCATCGAGGGTTTTAGCGTAGAATTCGATGGCAGTGTCTTTTGCTCTGTTAGTTTTGGATGGGTCAAAATTGAGTGCCCCAATGACGTTCGATAAGGCTTTGAGTTTCGTGATTTCTCCTCGCCTGAATTTATCGACCGTGTCGTCCATATATTTGATTGACTCTTCCTCGAGTTGAGGCTTCTCTCCTCAAGTGAATTCATCGAGGTCGTCATTGCTCTCGTTATTGCGAAGTGGGATTTGGATTTCTCCTGTGTCATCGTTGAGATTCTCATCCTGCGCAACAGAGTTGGCTCGGTCTCTAGTTCCAGGTCCATCCTGTCCAGTAGGGTTGGCTTGATCTTCGTCATTTGTTCCAATTGGATTTGATCCCATGGTGCTGGATGATCCATTTTCTGGGATTGCACTCGCAAAGAGGTTTGCATGTCCTTCACTCATGAGATAGATTGAGGGACGATGAATACATAGTATTATTGGTGACGAAAAATGTGTATGCTAAACTGGACAATGAAGTAAGATATCAAGACGATAGCCTAGATAGAAAGATGAAGATCTTACCTGGTTGAGGAGTGAGATGTCAAGACGAGAGCCTAGCGGAAAGGGGCGTCTCAATCTCACTCCTCAACCATGAGGGGTAGATCTAAAAATATGTTAGAGTCTCCTAACACTCATCCAGGCGTGGACCATGTGAGTTGGAGAAAATATGAGCAGCGGCTCGGAGTTGTGTGTCAGCGGACACACAACTGTTTTGTGCGCGTGCAACTAGCCTTGGTCGGCTCTCATTGGTCTTGAGTAAACACTCTGTTTAAACTCGATTAATCCCCGCACGCAACTTTCCGAGTGCACACGCAACTTTCTTCGAGCGCGCAACTTTTGGATGCTAAATTCGGTTGTTTGGTCTTGTTAGATAGGAACTCAACTAGCTCTCATGCAACGTCACCCAAGCAATCCTCAACATCGTCCCGAAGTCTCTCATCGTCGTTGAACACGGCGAGCTCACATATAGTGTACATCTATTTATTGCCTAAATCTTCTTTTCTCTGTTTCAACTTCAAAATAGTATGTAGAGTATCATTGCAGAATTCATTGTATCATTGAAACTAAAGTACGAGCTCATTGTGCTTGACAGCGAGCGGCATATGTCCGTCAATGTGTGACAGCGTAGAAGGTTTGACGTTGCAACATGAGAAGCGATCAGGCGGAGTCTCAATATCTTCTTACATCATCAGGATCGGAATAATCGGCTTGATCATTGCCAACTACCAAATCCGGTACTGTATGCATATGCCTCCGTCCGCCCCCGAGCCACTGTTACTGGGCTTTTTTCCCTCAAGTATTTTGTTATTTATACTATAATTTAGTGTGTCATGTATGTTATTTGATAGAAAGGTAGTATAATAGTATAGCAATGAGAATATAAGGTTGTATTTGGAGCACTTTACATGGGGGATGGTGCATGGAGAGGGGTGGAGGAGACATACTTATACTACTCATCAGTTACATCACCAGTCTCACCAATAACCTTCATTACTACATATAACAACTGATTCACGTGCTACAGAATACCCTTTGGTCGATTTGAAGCAAGCAGATGGCCTGGGGATGGCTATAAGAAATAATATGAAGGAGATGAATAGAAATCAGTGAAAAGTGCGAAATTGGCATACTGTGACCTGGTCATTTTAGATAAGAATTATATGAAGTGGTAGAAGGTAGGGCTGGGGTAGCTAGAGGGTGGTTCAAAAGGAATTACATGGAAGAGTTGATGCCTTTTACATAGTCGGAAGTTGCGTCGTGCGGTCAAATTTAGCATCCAAAAGTTGCGCGCTCGAAGAAAGTTGCGTGCGCGCTCGGAAAGTAGCGTGCGGGGATTAAATGTGCAGAACAACCGCCATATTATGTAATGATAAAAGTAGCTACTTACATATGATGTTGGTGAACCAAGGGTCTCAAGCCAAGTGTTGTGATTTCGGAGTTCGAATCACACCCAAATCACAGCCTTCCGCGCCAACACTTGTCCTGCAAATCACACCAAATCACACTTTTTGCAGTCCCTCCCACGCCAAATCACAGTTTTTTCCAGGACAAGTCACAAAACGGACCCGCCAAATCACAGTTTGGATCACACTTTTTGGCGGATGGGAGACCTGACTTGTCCTGAAATCACACCTCCCACCCAACACTTGTCCTGGACCCTGACTGTTTTCTCGTGCGCTAATTCCCTTTCCGTTCAAGCCGACGCTCGTACTTACATAGCTGTCCTCTCCCTTTACCTTGTAAAATAGACTACCAGGTAGAAGCCTCGTAAATCAAATACATGAACTGCACCTCCATTCAGCTCCATGTGCACAAGCTATTTTCGGCATCAAGGTTTGGCAAGTCCACCCACAAGAAATGGATTTACTCTGTGAGTTCTGGCCCGAATTTGATGATCTTGGGCTTTACTTGACGGTGACTACTACAGGAAGTGCCTCCCGAGCTTACGAAATGGAACGCCGATCCGTTCAATTTTGGCATTTGGTTTTGTGGTGAAAGGATGCCCACAAACAGAAATTGAGCTAGAAAAGTAAGTTCTTGCTCGTATTCTGCGCCCCCGGGCTCTATTTGACCGAAATCGCTTCAGGAACCACCTCCCAAGTTTTGGGAATATGGCACCCAGCCGTTCGAAGTCGGCGTGCGGTTTTGTGGCAAATAAGGTCCATTGCCAGAAATTGAGGCTTACAGGTAGGTTCTTACTCGATTTTTACGTTCTTGGGTTCTACTGAACCGAAATTGCTCTAGGAACAACCCCCCGAGTTTTCGAAACGTAATGCGTAACCGTTCAAAGTCGGCGCTCGGTTTTGCGGAGAAATGAGGTCTATTACTAGAAATTGGGGCTTGCAGGTAAGTTCTTATTCAAATTTCACGTTCTTGGGCTCTACTTGACGGGAATTGCTTCAAGAACAACCTCCCGAGTCTGCAAAACATAGCACCTAACCGTTCAAAGTCGGTGCTTGGTTCTGCGGAGGATTAAGGTCTCTTACTCCAGAAATTGAGGTCACAGGTAAGTTCTTGGTCAATTTTTACGTTCTTGGGTTTCATTTGACCGAAATTGCTTTAGGAACAACCTCCCAAGTTTTCAAAACATGCAACCCAACCGTTCAAAGTCGGTGTTCGGTTTTGTGGGGAAATGAGGTCCATTACTAGAAATTGAGGCTTGCAGGTAATTTCTTACTCAAATTTTACGTTCTTGGGCTTTAATTGACCGAAATTGCTCCAGGAACAACCTCCCAAGTTTGCGAAACATGGCGCCCAACCGTTCAAATTCGGTGTTTGGTTCTGCAGGGCAATAAAGTCTCTTACCCTAGAAATTGAGGCTCACAGGTAAGTTCTTGCTCAATTTTTACGTTCTTGGATTTCACTTGACCGAAATTGCTTTAGGAACAACTTCCCGAGTTTTCAAAACATAGCGCCCAACCGTTCAAAGTTGGTGTTTGGTTTTGCGGAGAAATGAGGGCTATCACCAGAAATTAAGGCTTGCAGGTAAGTTCTTACTCAAATTTTGCATTCTTGGGCTCTACTTAACCAAATTTGCTTCAGGAACAACCTCCCAAGTTTTAAAAACAATAGTGCCTGACTGTTTAAAGTCGGTGTTTGGTTCTGCAGGGCAGTAAGGTCTCTTACCCTAGAAATTGAAGCTCACAGGTAAGTTCTTGCTCAATTTTTACGTTCTTGGGTTTCACTTGACCGAAATTGCTTTAGGAACAACCTCCCGAGTTTTCGAAACATAGCGTCTAACCGTTCAAAGTCGGCGCTCAGTTCTGCGGAGAAATGAGATCTATTACGAGAATTGAGCTAACAAAGTAAGTTTTTACCTGTATTTTATGTTCTTGAAATCTGCTTAACCGGAATTTCTTCAGGAACAACGGCCCGAGTTTGCAAAACATAGCGTCTAACCGTTCAAACTCGGCGTTTAATTCTGCGAAGGAATAAGGTCTCTTAGCAGAAATTGAGGCTAACAAGTATGTTCTTCCTCAATTTCTACGTTCTAAGGGTCTACTTGACGGAAATCGCTTTAGGAACGACCTCCCAAATTCGCAAAACATAGCGGCCAACCGTTCAATCTCAGCGTTCGATTCTGTGGATGAATGAGGGCTCTTACCCCAGAAATTGAGGCTAACGGGTAAGTTCTTGTTCGATTTTTACGTTCTTGGGCTCTACTTGATGGAAATTGCATCAGAAACAACCTCCTGATTTTACAGAACATGGCACCCAGCCATTCAAACCAGGTGTTTGTTTCTGTGGTGAAGTAAGGTATTTTGTCCATTTTTCGTGGTACTGAGCAATGAGAATTGTTACACCAGTCATGTATGCCTATAAAGGCCCAACAATAAGATTGATTTTAGAGTACCATACACATCTACATGATGGGGATTATTTTAGGAAAGTAGCATATATACTTGTATGAATGTCAACCCCATCGCTAGGCCAATATGAACAAGAGAGGCAAGGCCGACTAGTACCCACTGAGGTCGATGGCATTCGTTGTCATTGTTGGAAGACATTTACGGTCGCTTTGTGATGTGAGGGTGTGATTGAGTGGGTTAGGATGCTAAGCGTTCACGGCTGTAGAGACATTGGGCACTCACCACAGGTGGTCTTCTGTTGTTCGTTAGTTGTTCGTTGTCGTCGTCCCTCATTTGTCTTCATGGGTTCGTTGTCCGTCAGAGTTGTCTTCGCGTTGTGGTGGTGGTGGTCCATCGTGGTCGTCTTCGCGTCACCGTTGTCCGTCGTGGTCGCATCGTGGTGGTCCGACGTTGTGGTCATCGTGTGGTCTTGGTCACGTCATGGTTGTTGTAGTCATGTCGTGGTTGCCCTGTTCGTGTCATGGTGGTCCGTCCCCTTGCTGAGTATGGCAGGCAAGCTTCTTGCTGAGTATGGGAGGCAAACTGCCATGACTTGGGGCCTCGGCTGCTATTGTCAGTCTTGATGTCGTGAGGCAGGAGAGATACAATACAGGAGGGGACTTACCAATGGGACGATGTGGCGGGAAGGAAGAAGTCCAAAGAACCAGGTGGTGACCCTTTGGGAAGGTACAGCTACGCCACCGATTTTTGACGTACGGACTCCTGGAAAAGTGCTGGATCAATGCTAAAGTCATCCACCTGCCGAGGGGTGTCATTGTCTGGAATGCAGAACGAGGCACGCTCATAAGCGTGTATGATACGACGAGGAGGAGCGAATACTAACAATTATTGAATTATTTGATACTATTTACCATGTATGTACAATGCTAAGTCAGCACGAAGACTTGGCCTGGTGTTTTCCAGACCCTAATCCAAGTCACAATTTGATTGTGATCTGCCAGCGAGATCACACACCCGAATTGTGATTTAGGGCCAAGTACTTCGCTTAGGGTTCTTTGGTCTCAACACTGCTTTCAAGGTATACCCTATAGAGCATATTCTTGTTGAGAATGCTCTCCATTGACGGGTCTCTAATGAACATCCTTGTAGCCATTTAGGACTTCATTGCCAAAGTAACAAGTATTAGTTGAATGCCGCGCATCTCACCATGTTCCAATTGCATACAAACATCCAATGGAGGTTTCGACGAGAAATTCAAGATTGAGTCTGCTGAGATTTTTGCGACCCATCATCCGTATCACCAAGGATGCCGACTTTTCCACTGATTGCCAGCTTCAGTGATCGAGTCTTGAAGAGGATGTTTGAATTTTACGAGTGCGAGTGGCGGAGTCAACGCAATTAGATCCGTCTAGGAGGAACCCCCCGCCCAATGGTAGGTGGGGTACCCCTCCGGGAAGAATTGGCGCTCGCGGGATTAACGCCATACTGTAGCGTTCGAACTGAAGTTGGTTCCGCTGATTGAATGATGTCTTAGCTAACCCCCTGCAGTGAGAGTCCGAGAAGGCGAACCTTGGCGCATGCCCGTTCCTCTTGTACCACGCATAGATGCCCGTGTTCCGCGCACGCCCCTCACTACGCCGCGTCTTATTGTTGCCTGTTCTTTCCTTTCCCGTTCTGCCAGCTCTTTTTCTCGTTCCAACCGTTCTCGCTCCTCCGTTTTTCGACGCTCTGCCTCTCGTTGGGCAGCAAGGGAACGCTCTTCGGCTTCCCGACGCTTTGCCTCAACCATCTCTCTTTCTAATATTTCTTCGTCCTGTTAAAGGTATCAGCGTGTTGCTCGCTCGGTGACGAGTGCTTACAGCTTGAGCGCCCTCCCACTCTTCGTCGAAAATCAATCGCGAAAATTCTTCCGACTTCGACAGCATCGAAAGATATCTGTTCAGCAATGCGTCAGTCTGCTCTAATTGAATTGCTACTAGCTGGATATGCTTTGTCAAGGTTTTACTTCAAAACGCCAGCTAAGCGCACCTGATTAGCGGAGCCTGCTGCGTCAAGGGCTTCGTGAAACATTGCAAACGAGGCGTTGAGCTTCTTCAGGATGAAGAGATCGCTTTGCAATTTTTCCTCGCGTAGTTTCGTTTCATTCCGTTTCGTCTTCTCGGCGTCGTCAGCATCGCAATCGTCATCGTGCTCTGACGTCGAAGAATCAAAGTCGTCTTGTGCTGGCAGACTCGATGGACCAGCGTAATGATTCAGCGATAACTCTGAGAGAGAGAGATCATTTATCTCTGGCAAAGAAGAATCCGAAGCCAACACTGGCGAAAGAGATAACAATCGCGAATCGCTGGCTGAGAGTGGAATATCCAAGAATTCAGAAGAGTTCATCTAACAATATCGTCGTACAGTCTGGGACAACGGATCATCGATCAAAAGTCAAGAACATCAACAATATTTCAACGTTCAAGCGCTGGTTCAAGCAACGTGTCACGCGCACGTTACGCGTTATATAGGATTGATACGGGAGCATAAAGCAGTCACATAAAAGTATAGGGTTGGTACGATTGCGCTTCAACAACATATAGTCGTTCCCATTATTGTTGGGCGACCATTGAGCTACTAAGAGCCATAACCTCTGGACTCGAGGGTCTTTTAAATGATAAAGAACTAAGTATATCCGACGTCAGATGAGCTCTCAAAAAGGCGGGTAGGCTTACTTCACGGTCGCGGGGACCCTAGGCTTCCAAGTGGTCCCTACCACGGGAGATCGAGGGTCCAGCTCAAGCTTGAACCCGTGGGCGTAGACCTCATGATTAGGGTGAACACGACTTCGACTCTGAGGTGTACTCGTTTGCGACGCATGCCGATCGCTGCTTGGAGGCACCTGCCCCTGTGTATCGCTTCCAAGACTCGGACTTGTGTAAGACCTTTGTGGGGTTGAAGGAGCTACAACTTGTCGAGGAGAGGTTGTTGAAGATTTTTGTTGTGGTTTACGTGAAGCGTCCGAAAAAATGTGAGGAGTCTGCCCACCAACGGACGGAGAGCGGTGAGGGGGCGTCTTCGGAGTCCCTAAGGGTAGAGGGCTCAGTGGTATGTCAGCTCTGTTGAGCGGCGAGAGCACCAAATTTTCCACAGAAGGGAAATCATGAGCAGTAGGATAAGTCAACAGCCAAGGAGGGGCTTTGACGCTGACGCGAGGTTGACGATCGTACGCAGAAGAAGATGTGCTATTACTGACGGGTTGCGGCACCGTCGCAGAGGTTCTATTACTGGCGGGTTGCACCGTCGCAGAGGCTTGTCGAACATGATGGGTCGCCACAAATGGCCAGTCGGATGTTACCTCGAACGGCGCGTGGCTCAGGCTTGAAGCCAGCGAAGTGGTTGGCGTACTTGATTTGCTCGCCGAAGAAGATGGTTCTGTGTTAGCACGAAAGAGAGGGGAAGCGGTGGGATGTACTGCAGAGTCCCTGAGGGGGTGGGGCTCAACTTGAACCCGAGAGAACTGTGGGAGTCCTTCGCCAACTATCTTGGTGTTCCCTTTTGCCCTCGCCTGTTCAAACACACGTCTGGCTTCTTCCTCTGTCTCAAAACTTTGATGCAAGGCCCCGGGAACTCCTTTTACAAGGGGTCCAACCTCGAGCCTATATAAATGGATGGAGATGAGCGACGAACGGACGAGACGAAAGCCAAAGCGTCCCCCACCAACTCGTGAAGACTCCAATCTCCTTTCCAACGATAACTACGTACCATTTTCTCCTCGCCATTTCTCCAGAAGGTGATAGTGGAATTTCTGCGGTTCTCTTTCTGCCAGGGCTAAACGCGGTTGATTCTGCTCTTGAAGGTCTTTATACATACTACCCTGGCGGCACCGAGGAACAACTTGGAACGTGCGAACAGAAACACCTAATAATGTCCGATCATATCACATACTTACATTGATACAACTTTCAACAGCATTCGCTCACTAGCGCTCACTTGTGAAGAGCATGATATTGCTTTTATAATGCAATAGGCAGAGTTGCCGCTTTTCGACCGCTATGCCTGACGAAGTGGCTGATGCTGCGCAATCATTGACAACAGTGCTAATTAAAGGACTTCGAGCAATACAATAAATGAGTCCAGGGTGGCAAAACATGGTGGAGGGACAAGATTGCTGGGTGTGAGGACAAGCATATGTACGTACATATCAGAACTTAATCACCGAGTTGGGTCCCCAGGGTATATTACTCTCGGACACGAGCGAGGCTCGAGGCTCTTAATGATATTCGCCCTTGTGTCCAAGTATTATAGTTTCTTGCGACCAAGTACAGGCGGGTTCACAGTTACACAGATATGTAACCACCGCGACTAGCCGTTCTCCGAGGCCGAACCGATGAGCACAAGTGAGATACCACATCAGCAAGCATGTAGGGAACCTCCTTCCAGAAATCGCGGTGTCTGTCACTAACATCAGTTTCACGGCAACGTGAAAGTGTAGGAGCATACGGTATTAGGTCTGCACCTCTCGCGCCATAGGTTGAATAATTATAGTATGCCCCAAGTCCAAAGTACGCCATGAAAGCTAGAATCAATCTGGAGCACGAAAGTCTCGTTTTAGCTCGTACGACGTCTAAATATAATCACTCACGCGAGGAAAAACCACCCAACGCCGCTGCCGACATCCTTCTCTTCCCCATCCTTAGAACCATCTTCGCCATTGTTGCCACCACCGCTGGGTGGTGACTTGTCACCCTCGACCACAGCGCATCCAGCCGGAGCGCTCCATTCCAAGTCAAGCTGTGAACCATCGTAGCCGACAAACTTTGGTTCTGAAATGCCCTCCGAATCGCAAAACAGCGTCAGATTCAATGACTGCGGCAGAAGCGAATATGTAGGGCCTTTGAGCAATATTGAAAGGTATTTCGTGGCTGCGAGAGAATTCATTCAGTAAGTTGTTGAGAACGCCTCCGTGATGGCTAATATTTACGAGATGCACTGGCTGAATATTTTGGATCAAGGATTTTTGTTTGAGCCAATGGAATCACAGCGACGATCCGATCTGTTTCGCTATCTTTCTTGTTCGTTTTGGTAAGACATGCTCTTGTCCCAGTTGGACACTGACGACTATCATATTCAGTTCAGTAATTGGTGTTCAATTAAAAGGCACACCTGGTCCTGTTCCGCAACGCCAGATTGGGGTTTCAAGTCATTGCAAATGTTAAAGGATAAACTGTCGACCATTGTGGTTGGTGGAGTAGTGCGTGTCCGGCTTGCAGAGTATTCTCTATCCAAACTTGTCAAGTCAAAGGTGAGGCCGCCGACGGTGACATGGCAGTCAAAGGGGGTTGTGTCGTCCGCATTTGTGAGTATAGAAGCAAGGGTAAGAATGAAAAAAGGGAAAGCCCTTGGACGAATAATCATGGGAGTCTGTAGATGGAGTGTGTAGGGAGTTAACTACCGAGTACTTGGCTTACGTCACCACAATCCTTGTCCCTTGCAGCCATGGAAGGCCTTACTTCAATGATATATCACGAAAAACAGCAGCAAGGTTCAATGCTTTGCGCGCAGCATGCGCTGAACTCTCTTCTACGTTTGTTTTTCATCGTTTTTTTCCGTCTTTGCTTTAGCTGACTTTGCAGCAGAGGGAAATTATGTGCGATCGCTTATCCTTTGCTGCTTCCCCTCACCGAGCAGCACTATCCCCAGTTCACCGCACCAGATCTTTCTTCCATCGCACTGCATCTTGATGCCCTGGAAGAGACCTACGATGATGACAACATTGGTACCACAAGCACCAACATGGACGACACTGGTACTTACTTAACCTTCCATCCTTTACTCACATTCATGTTCTCGTCCTTTTATCAGGGTTCTTCTCCGTTCAAGTATTAGAAAATGCCCTCAAAGTGTGGGGTTTGAAGTAAGCCTCTAAAAGCAACATAGCATCGTTACCCACAGCGCTTTCAGCCTAGTGAGATGGCGTAGTGAGGAAATGCGGCCCTATCACGATCATCCACAGTTTGTCGCCCACTTTTCAATCTTATCAATGTCACTAATATGGCCTAGCACACAACTCGCATTTATCCTCAATTTCGAACAGCATTGGTTCACCCTGCGTCGATTCGGCCCTGCTCTCCCAAACATAGACCACGATCCGGGCGTTGGTCACTGGTTCAACCTCAATTCTTTTTTACTATCTCCAGAATGGGTTGGAAGGCTTTACCTCGGTATGGTCTTGCAACAAGCAGAGGCTGAAGGTCTGTCTTTTCGAAAGTGACCTTTACTCAACCGCCAGACTGTGCTTCTGTTGGCAGGATACTCCGTATTCGCTGTGGTTCAAGCTGATCCCACTGCACAACTAGCCCTTCCTCGCACAGACGCGGACGAGATCGCGCCCACCCTCCCCGAACCGACGTCTGCCCCCCGTGCAAATTCAAATTCACAAATGTTTGCTCGCACTGTAGACCGAGGCTCCTCAACACATCACCCAACTGATCTCGGAGATATCGAAGACGACGATTACGAGTTGCAGGCTGCCCTTCAGGCGTCCCTCATGACTAACAGTACCGATCACGCATCATTCGACCCTCCTCCCCTGGCAAGAGCCCCCATCCCATTACCTGAATCCAGATCACCCTCCCATTCCGGTTCTTCTCCCGATTCAGGTTTCCATACTCCTCAAGTAGCTGCTCCTGTGTATGAAGAAGATGTTGACCCCGTAGCTGCTAGCATGGAACGAAATCGGATATTACTGCAACGCATGAAGGAAGAGCAAGAGTATGCGCAGAGAGAGCTGTGGGCTGACACGGCTCTCAGCTCAGGGGAAACGGCTGGTAGTGAAGAAAGACGTCAAAGACGGCTCAGACAGGAGGAAGAGGAACAAACTGAGTTAAGGAGAGCTATTGAGGAAAGCGAGGAATTGACCAAAAGAAACCAACTAAGTCGAGACGGCGACAATAGTGAAGACCATGTCATGGGCGACGGGGAGTTGCACGCACCTGGCCCAAGTTCACACATTTTTGGTGGAAACAGAGTTTATGACGACGACGACGCAGAGCTGCAAGCTGCTTTGAGGGCTTCTCTTGAGAGTGTCCCACCAGGGTGGCAACATCTCGAACCCAATCTATCACCCAGCCGCCCAGCGTCTTTACCTTCTGCGGATCAGGCTCCCGCGGCAAGCAAAGATGTGGAAGATGTCCAGTCGATTTCATCGGATAGTACGGCCGACCAACATCCATCCGTTCCTGAAACCGCTGAGCCTCTCAGTGTAGACGAGATACGCAGGAAGAGGCTTGCCAAGTTTGGAGTTTAGTACAGATTTTTGCAATGACTATGGCCTTGACGCAAATAGACAGCAAGTTGATATGACATTACGCAGAACTAGTGTGGTACATAAACTATCCGTGCTCCAAAGATATATAAAGTACAATGCAAGAGAAGTCGAGGGACGATATACTGGCAAAAAATAATCAATACATAGAACTTTCTGGGGCGGTGGGCATGTAAGGGTCGGTGGGATCAGGTTCGTCTCCACGATTTCTTCGCCCCCTCGCAAACCGGAGGTACCTAGAGAACCTGTTTCCAGGCGCCGATTGAACTCCCCCTCGTGGGACTTCCATGGTATTATGGGCATCCTCTGAACGCCCTGAAATCATATTTTCTAAGGCTAGAAAGTCTGAGGGAAGACATGAGACGAGACAGACGGAAAAAGGAACTATTCTCGCACCTTGCCGACAGATGGGACATGAACTGGACAGTTCCAGCAGCCACGGGTCTACACATTGCTGATGAAAACAATGTTTCCCTTCGCAAGGAAGCAAACGGATGTCATCCCCTTCTTCAAAGTCCACAATACAGATTGGGCAAGTCTCTCGACCGATTGAATCCGGAACGACGTCATCTCGGACAACGGGCTTTGAGGAACCCTCGGAATTGTGCTGTCCTGTCGACGTTGACCCTGTAGGCGCTGATGGAATCGTGGAGGGTCCCCCCGCTTTGCTCCCGGAGGGTTCCGTCACTAAGCCGGCTTGCAAGCTTTCAGAACTCGCTGCAGGTCCAGATAATTGACGTGTCGACATTGTAGAGTGGCTTGCAGCATCCCTTTCACCTTCCCATCCGTTCATCTCGATCCCTTGCCCTTGGTCATCAGTTGGGTACTGAGCTTCTGCGTCTTTGTTGTAGTGGGTGGTTGGGATATCGTTCGAGGTATTGCCACCAGGGTTGCTTCCGAACTTGACGATCGGAAAAGTATCAAGAATAGCTCGCGTCAAACCCCTGGCGCGACTTTGCCCTCCTTCTCCTGCAATACGCGCTCGGGGTCCATATCGCTCAGGATGACGAATCGCTCTTATTGCCTGATTTCTATTTTGTCATAGATATAGAGAATAAGAATAACGTGGCACTTACGCCAGAAATTATGACGAGGCAAAAAAGTGCGGAAACACACCCCGTGATAGCATATAGAATAATCCTGACAGTGAATTGTTGGCAAGGCATCTGTTGAAGCTAAGAAAAGAGGACATACATTGCCAGAGCAGTATTTGGAGAGCTCGAATTTGAATTGTTAGATGCACCAACATTGCCTCCATTATTTCCCGGGCTGGTGACACTGCCAGTAGCATTGTATGCCTGAAGAACGGCGTACAAGAACCCAGCTGAGACAGGGTAACCCACAGCAACTGATTTCTGGATAACAGTGGCAGAACTGTTTAACTGTTGTGAATTATACTCGTAAAGGCTTGTGTTTTGAGGCGCCAGCTGACCGAATTGGTACTCGATTAGGTGTGCACTCGTCAAGCTTTGAGTAGAAAATATGTCGAAAACCTGATCAAAAGTCGCTGGATCCGCGTATTCTGGATTGATGACACAGGCCAAAGAATATAAGGAATATAAAAGCTTAAAAATGTAAGTGGATCGTTGAGCGTGCAAACACTTCAGAGGACGTAGAACTTGCAGCGGCAACTGCGCCTTTGTCACGCGCGAGGGTAAAGACATCCTCCTCCATCGACGCGGTCGTAGCATTGTGATCACAGGACACCATCGCAATCCAGGGAGTCAAACCTGTCCATTAAAAATGTTGTAAAAATGAGTGAAAATTAGGGGATTGGTCAGCAATTTCAGCTGCTCACTGGGAGGGGTGCTAGCATTCACATTGTCTTCAGAAAAATGAACCAAGGCGCCCTGGGCAGAGGTGAGGAGATTAGGACTAGATAAGTGGGGACCTACTTTGCTTATTCCCTGGCTTCCGTTTCCTACCAGTTGGTATGAGACATGCTCTGCATAAGAGCTGCGACGCCTGTCAGTGGAGGCCCGAGAATAAGCGTCGACAGAAAGCTGACCCATTAGAGTACCACTGCATAAACAGATTAGAGATATCAGTAACATTAAGACCTCCCGCAATTGCGTCTTGACTGGAGTTGGTGGGAGAGGCGGGAATATACGCATAGACAGCGGCCAGAACTGAGCAGCGCAGAAGGAACTGCACCAAGAACATTGGAGACAACGATGGGAAAGGCATGGGTGGCTCGCGTATAGTTAAGAGCCAGACTTCATGTATGGGTTCTCACGAGCGTTGTCATTATGGCGACCAGACATAATGATAACATGAGGATCAGCGTCTCAATTCACTCACGTGACTACAACACATGTCCTTGAGGACTTTCAACTATAAATCCCCCATCACACACTAGAGTGCCCCGAAGATAGGTTTTATGAACCCGCCCCTTCAACACAAGCCCCTCGTATGGCGAGATCTTATTCTTGAACCTGAGATTTTCTTTGGTAACCTAAATCACGTTTAGGTACTGTTCACGTATACCGCATAAGACCTACCTGCAAGTCTGCTTCGGGATCCCAGAGGACAAAATCCCCGTCGTAACCCACAGCTAGCTTTCCTTTTGTATCACCCAGTCCTCCGTGTTCTGCAGTTCTGGTGCTGATCCATTCGACCAACTGGCCCAGCGAAACCCCCCGTTTCCTGCCTTCAGTCCACAGCAAACTTAGGCCCAGCCCAAGAGTGCTGATACCTCCCCAAGCGCTCATGAAATCACCCGTCTCCATATTCTTTAGCTCGACCACACAAGGGCTGTGGTCGGATACAACACAATCGATCAGCCCTTCCTTCAAGGCATCCCAGAGCTGATCTCTGTTGGATGACTCACGGACAGGTGGGCAACACTTGAATTCGGTATGGCCACGAGGAATGTCCTCAGCGGAAAGACAAAGGTAATGAAAGCAAGTTTCTGCCGTCAGGGGAAGCCCGGCCCTTTTCGCTTCCCTAATGATGGGCAGCGCTGAAGCTGCTGACAAGTGAACAATGTGGCACCGCAGCGAGGGATATAGTTTGAGTAATTTTACGATGAGTGAGATAGCATCGGATTCGAATGTCTGTGGCCGCGATCGTAGAAAGGTTTCGTATTCGGTCGGACTGGCCTCGCTATTGAGAGAGATCGTGTTGTCAAGTTCTGCATGGAAGAGCAAGACTGAGGACGAATTCTGACACAAACACAAGTGGAGGTTACAAAAGCCATTAAGTAACGGAAAAGGGAGCTTACTTCCAATTCTCTCATCGATAGCATGAGATCCTCCTCTTTCACGCAAGGGAATTCCTAGCAGAAGATGTGGGATTGAGCCAAAAGCTGCCGCGTGTCCACGCACATCCACACCACTCTCTATCAGAAAGCACTTAAACCCTTTGACACCAGATCGGACAAGGGGGACAAGATGCTCCTGTAGAATGCGCAAGAGGATTTATTGCCTTCCTTGAAATAGAGGGGGCGAGTACGAACCTGATTTCCAGGTATAACGCCTCCCCAGAAAGCGACATCGACGTAGCATTGACCCCGCGCAGCATTTCTTTTGGCATCGAGGTTGGAAACCGTCGTTGTTGGAGGGATAGAGTTCAGCGGCATGTCGATGAGAGCGGTTATACCTCCAGATGCAGCTGCTCTGGTTCCAGTTGCAAAACCTTCCCATTCAGTTCTCCCGGGTTCATTGAGGTGGACATGAGCACTACGGAGTTACCAACCGGCTTGGGCAGATCTAGGTAGCGAACGGTACACACTCGACTAGCCCCGGCAGGACAACAAGATTACCAGCATCTACCCAGGTCGTGACGTTGAGATTGGCAGGTAAATCACTTCGTGTGCATTGGCGTGCTTGAACTTCTGTGATCTTTCCTGTTATTTTGTCGACGATGATTGTAGCAGGTACTGGGGAATGGTGTCCAGGAAGAATACTTTGGCCCGTGCAGACTAGTAATTGTTCCATGGATGTGTTTGATAAAGAGCTATGTCCATAATAAGCACATGAGTGGAGTGCAGGTACACAGCCCTGCAATTGTCAATAAATATGTAAGGTGCTCGGCACCGTCCTCCTCAACAATCTCACCTTCCTCAACGATTTCAAGATCCTCAAAGCCAGCAACTGCACAACGAGCGCTCTAATGAGCTATCACTCTCAATCCCACTTTGATCCTAGCCCTCGCCGCCTTCCATCTGTACCACATGAATCCAGACGTGCCTCTCGCCCGCTACCAAAAATTCCGCGGGCACTAATGTGCAAGCAATGCCTGACATGCATCACGTCCAACAATGTTCTCCTTCCTCTATCAGCTGTGAGTGGATGTTCCCCTTGACTCTAATAATCTGACTTCCTCTTAGATTCCCCCGGATTCTCGTTCTTTCAAGGGGTTTTCAGGCAAAGCATCGCTATTCACAGAGACGTGCGCCTCTCTACCAAGCCTCCCCGTTGTTGCTGCTAACCTTTTGAGCAGATATAATGTAAAATTGTCGAAACCGGGAGTGCAGCTCATGGCTACGGGCGCGCACACCATGCAAGAAATTACCTGCTTGACATGCTCTTCTTATCTGGGATGGAAAATTGTGCGCGCCCATGAAGAGTCGGAGCGGTGGAAAGAGGGAAATTGTCTGCTAGAGCTTGAAAATCTTCATGTCCAAATCGACACCATTGCGCCTTTGAATCTCCCGTCCAATCCAAGCCGGCCAGACTCTGACTCCGGTTCGGATTCTGGCTTCTAAACGTACTTTATTTTCGGTTTTACCACGCATGGCCCATGGGCACGATACCCTCATCCTGTAATTCTACCACTCATGAATAATTTATTTCAATACTACGTAAAAGGATAACGTGACGGCTAACAAGGAGAAATTTGGCAGAAATGAATGCTTGAAGCAGGTTCTTCTCAGCAACAATTCCCCGTTTTTCTGCCATCTCGATTGCCCTACCTCGGGTTTCTCGTACAAGTTCATGATATCTTGTTAAATACCCCGTCTTTGACGAACAAACTCTACTATGGACCTCACACATGAGTCACCCGTGAATCCACTGGATGCTTTGCGCTCACCAGAGTCCAGCCACTTCGACCAAAGACTTTTGGAACGTGATTCAGTTGTTGGATCTGATTTCAACGAGATTGCTCTGGATGACGACGGCTCCTTTTCTCCAGTCGCCCTCACTGCTCGACCTTTTGACCTCTCGACGGAACCTCCAGCCCTCTCGATTCGCGAAGACGCAGATGGGAGGCCCAGGAGTTCTTCTTTTTCCCTACCAGCTAACTCTTTGATGAGCCGATCTCACAAGAAATCCGCCTCCACCACTACCATTCGCTCGTCTAAAGATCTACCGTTCCTTTTCTCAAGTCCCGAAATGCAGGAACAAGAGGAGACAAGGAAAGCTGCTCGGGGAAGTATAGATGGACAGCAAAAAATTCAAGAGGAGTTCGCACGGTTACAAAAAGAAAAAGCGGATAAAAGCCACAAGTCGGAGGAGGGTACAATCGACTGGGGTGAGTAACGTACCGCTCAAGAACGGTCACAGATTCAGATGGTTTTCAGACTTCTGGGGGGCAGTCATTTCCGGTATGGCGACGCTAGTCAACCATGTGTACTGTATTATCATCAACTCAATACAACCAAGATTACCAGGGTTTTGCTTCTCAAAGACCTAAAGAATTGGCACAAGCTATCGCTCGAGGAATACCAGGGACTCTTCGTGGGATGATGTGGCAACATATGTGCTTTCTTTTTGTTTTTTTGTTACTTTTGCGGCGTCGTTTGGTGAACGTCGTGATTCTAGGGCGGCCTCAAAAGACCCCGAATTGGAAAGTGCATACCTTAAGCTTCTCAAAGACAGAAGTACACATGAAAAGGCCATAACTCGCGATCTAGGAAGGTCAGAACCCTGAATGTGTCGCATTCCTATGAATTGACTACTTAACCCCTGCAGAACCTTTCCACACCACGACTTCTTTACCGATGGTCAGGGTATTGGACAAGAGAACCTCTTCAACGTCTTGAAAGCATATTCATTGTACGGTACAATAGTTCTACGATTACCTGTTTCGTCGCTCACCCCCTTGCAACAGATATGATCCTCAAGTTGGCTACTGTCAAGGTCTTCCTTTTATTGTTGCAATCCTCTTACTCAATGTAAGTTTTGTGAAAATCACAAAATTTTGTGCATCTTACACACGCTGTAGATGCCGGACGAAGAAGCTTTCTCGCTGCTTGTTCGATTGATGCACGTGTATGACTTGCGTGGTCATTTCCTTCCTGAAATGCCAAAGCTGCAGATGCGCCTCGTAAGTTCGTTTGAGTAGTCTCAAGTACGGACTTACACTTTTTGATCAGTTCCAGGTTCGTGTAATCGATGTGAAATCGTGGCAAATTTTCATTTTTATCAGTTTGACCGATTGATTGAAGAGCTATTGCCAGTTCTTCACATTCATTTTCTTCGTCAAGGAATCAAGTCGAGTATGTTCTGCTCACAGTGGTTCCTGACAATGTTCAGTTATCGGTAATTCCCCTCTCCTCGCTTTTGTGTGGCCTGCTCAGATTACCAAAGATTCCCATTGGAGATCGTCTTCCGCATCTATGACAACTGTCTTGCCAATGGAATTGAAGCTATCTTTGGTTTCAGCATTACGTTGCTCAAGAAGAACGAGGAAATCCTTCTCTCTCTCAAGTTTGACGAAATATTGAACTTTCTAAATACGCGGCTGCTTGATAGATACAAGGGAATTATCTCCGTATCCTCCCAAATTCTAAATCTTATCCTCCTCCAGGTGGAACATTTAGACTCAGCCAACCCAGAAGACGGTGGAGGAAGACATAATGTGGACGAATTCGTCAATGACGCTGTGTCATTGCGCATTACGCCCTTCATGCTCGACTGCTATCGACACGAGTATGAAGACCTTGTCGTGCGTTCCTTGCATCTTGCTTACCATTTTTACTAAGAATCTTCTATAGCGGGAGACAAATAAGCATGCCTTGGAGATCGACGAACTTCGAAGGAGCAATCGCTCGCTATCGACCCAAGTGTTAGCCTCATCCCGTTCTTGGGTTCACAGAAACTTATTTTGCGAACACAGAAAAAATCTGGAAGCCAGCCTAGCTCAACTGAACATTGAACATGTAGATCTTTTAGTGCGTAATCTATATTTTGATGACGAGAACGACTGATAACATGAGTAAAAGAACGATCTTGTCAAGCAACGCTTGCACAACGAAGAAATGGAGGAGGAGCTCGTTCGCTACAAACTATTGTAGGTTGTGTTTCTCTGCGTTTGATGATTATTTGACCTGTACTTGAAGGTATGCCGAAGCTATGCACGAGAACCAAGATGCACAATCATCACATCGTATCTCCCTTGCTCAGATGTTTAACCTGAAGAAGGGGAGTTCGTAGATTGTGGAGACCTATTTACACCATTCGAGGTGAGTGTAAAAATTATAACATCAAACCGACATTACCAACATACCCATCAGAAACCGCAAAGCATATCTAGACACTTGTGCATAGCTGGCGATGAGGACCAAGGTAACTACCACCGCCGCCCACCAGCCCCATCTATTGAAGAAAGAGTTGAGAGAGTCGAGAATGCGTACCAACAAATATTATGACCAGACGTTTACACAATCGTTCCCCAGCCCAACACGGAGTCGTGGGGTAGAGGTAAGTAAATCCCCGAGCAGTCCCAATGGGGAACTGCTTTATCTCAATTACTTGGATTACCTTCTGGAAATCGGTCATAGGCATATTTGAACAGCCTCTCTGAGTAAGAATATGTTTTTTGTTTGGATCAAATTCACAGGAGTAGGTAGCAATCAAAGAAACTTGCAAGAGTACAAATCATTCGGGCCGCGACTTGGCCGCAACCATGAATATTACATGTAACAGAACTCAACAAGGCTTTTCCAGGAATGTACTTTCTAACAACGTCAGCGGAGTTGTTCAGTCTCAGAATTTGGCCTGGTAACATATGAGAACGCCGGTACTAAAAACTTCAGTCCGGAGGGGGGGAAACTCAACACCTCCTTTCTGTAAGAGGTGAGCTTCCGGAATAATATGACGCTCATCCTCTGTCTCAGCATCCGAACATGAATTGACAACGACAACCAGAAGGTGGTAGGCAAGTGGTAGGAAACTGATCGCGGAAACTGAAGGCCTGACAGCTTCAATGAAGCCAGCACCCAGCGCTTGCCAAAACTGTGCACAACTCCAACAGGGTTGGGCTCACGTCAACGGCTCAAAGTACATAGGACAATTGCAAAGTAAGAAATTCTTTCGTTTATACGAGAGGAAGTTTCTGATAGTAGGGTTTGATCTGGATAGACACCAAGTGTGGTTCGATACTACCCTCTGCAAAACTCTCGAGAGGACAGCTATTCTCAAGTCTTGCACCAACTAGATCTCATGACTCTCCCTCACAACTCAATTCCCGACCCTTTTTTGAACGTTCCTGAAGAACTATGGTTGGAGATCTTCTACGCGACAGTCGGTATATGCATCGGTGATGGCGTAGATTATGTGCCATTCGCTGCCATCCCTCTCCAAGAACGCGACAGTCCGCACGTTGAACGGAGGTGCTTCGCGACCAGACGCACCTTGCTTCTAGTTTGCAAGGCATGGAATGCTCTTTCCATCGAGACTGTGTATCGGATGATACGAATCTGTCGCGGAACCAACACATTATTGGATTCTCTTTACATGGATACTTCCAGTGAGAAAGCCGGAGGTGGAAATGGTTGTTTTGTTCGAAACGTCGAGATCAACTGAAGAGTCCAGGACTTTGATCCGTTCAATCCAACCATTGTTGCTCAAATTTTAGCTCAGTGCCCCGGCATGGTCTCGCTCGCCCGGCCATTTGCCTTTCGTGGCGTGAACTTAGCCATCTGCAAGGTTCGGGTGAGCGATAGTTCCCTACAAAGTCCCCATACGCAGGTCACCCCTCATTTCCCAACTCTATCCGCTTTACGAAGGGTGGACTGGTGGCTTCCATTGACCATGCCTTCCCGGCGGCCTGATCTCTCGTCAACCCAGGTTTTTCACGACCTTCTGGGAGACATAATCAAACATGCCCCCAATCTGCGATACCTTACAATCGGGGGGCCACCCAACTCATACATATCTTCACAACACTACCCCTCTACACCCATTCTTTCTCTTCGCAATCTGACTACATTGAGACTTGAATGTGATGTACGGTTCGACAACGGCAACCTCACAGCCACGACTTGGCAGCTCCCAAATCTCACACATTTGCTAGTTGGGGGTTCGTATTCTGTTGCGATTCCCGTCATAGAGGCATGTGGCTCTCATCTCAAGGTTCTCGAAATCATTCGAAAGTCATCGTGGATAACAGATGAATTTGTCCCTGCCATTTTTTACGACTTCCTCTCCAGAGTTCCCAATCTAGAGGAGTTCAACGTCCCACTCGATGCCTTCATCGCGGGATATCGACCAGAACCACCCGCCTACCCTCCCACGCTACGAACTATCAGACTTTACCTTGGTGGTCAGTCACCCACGTGGCTTTCTGAACAAGTGTTTGACTTTTCAAAGGTCCCACATCGTCTTCCCAAGTTGGCGCAGTTGGTCTTCTATAATCACGGTCAATGGCAAGAGGTCTTCCAGCAACCAACCTTCTTGCTTGCCAAGCAAACTTTAGAAGAGCGATTCTGCAGCATTGAATTTGCTTAGGGTTGTTGAATAGAGAAGGGATTTTGTGCTTTCTCCTTGAGTCGAAACGGTCTGTTTCAAATAGAGGCAGCTCGGTTGAAGCACTCTGGAAGCACTCACCTTGAAAGTGCCACTGGTTGCGACTCGCGAGATATTAGAAGAAAGTCTGAGGATTCTTCACATGGCCTTGAAAGTCCAAAACATTTTGCCCAAATTTTGCCTTCTCGAGTCCTCGTAACCGCGGACTCGGAACAGTATACGTAGATTTTGTTTTCTTCGCTGAGGTACAATGGAGGTTACAGTGAATTTGAAGGTGGTATATTGGTGGTATATATACAGGAAGAGTTCTCGTGACACCCTGTGAACATCTGGTTGCGCACAGTAATGCATGTCTCTCTCATGGACCCAGCGCAAAACACGACTGGCGTCTCTGCTCAAAAGTCGCGGGGACGAAGATGCGGACGGAATTGCCATCGATCGACTGATGCACGGTCAAAGGGTGATCGGGAAGACTTGTGAGCATTGTTTAGAACTCTACTAGGGAACAACCTGTCTTACGCAGAGCAGCAAAGACCACCGACGTAGACGCCCTGCGATTCCAGGACCAAGATTTGGACACTGTAGGGACCTTGGATTATGGCCAGTTTGGCGTGGTGCGCGCTTTCACCCGACACCTATTGCTCATCTCACTTTCTCAGATCGATGTTGTCGTCTGCCGCCTTGATAGTAAGGTCTACGTTCGCAAGTCTGTCGACAAGCGATTCGCACTAAGGTCACGCGATGTGTGTCCGCCCCTCTTTGGTCCCTATCTTCCACCTCACTCGCTCTTTTAGCAATGCTCACCTCAATTTGAGCGGGATATTCTCTTACGAGCTGCGAAAACGGACTCCCCATGGGCGCCCCACCTTCTCTGCGCCTTTCAAACTCCAACCCATCTCAATCTCGTGATGAACTACGCGGAAGGTGGCAACCTCTGGGACGTTCTCGAGTCCAACCCCGACGGCACCGTCCCGGAATCGGATCTGCGCTGGTGGGTTCCCCAAGTCGTCAGCGCCATTCATTGGTGTCACACCCAAGGTTTTGCACACCGCGACGTCAAACCCCACAACTTTGTTCTCACACCCACCGCGCATGTCCTACTGATTGATTTTGGCTCGGCCGCACCGCTTCTTCCCCCACGCGTTGACGGGTCGCAGCTCATCCCCCAACGATATTGTCTTGTGCCCTGTGGGACGTGTGACTACATATCTCCTGAGATATTGAAGGCACATGAGGAAGCCTTGGTGGCTCTTGAGATGGAGGATGATGACAACAGTTTTCCTATTGAAAGGAAGGAAGCGGACGGGTATGGGGCGGAAACAGACTGGTGGAGTCTTGGTGCAATGCTCTATGAGATGGTCTACGGTGTCGCACCGTTCTTTGCGCCTGATATTAAACAGACATACACGAATATTATGAATTACGAGGTCATTTTCTTGTCTTATGCGCCTCTTGCCTCCCTGACCTTATTTTTTTTGTTCTTTAGAGGAGCCTCAAATTCGATCGACGAATTGGGGTTTCCAATGACTACAGAAATTTTCTTACCAGGCAGGACATCTTTTTCTAAATTTTTGGTACTTCAGCCCATCTATTGGCAGATTACTCACCACTGCTGAGCGCCGTCTTGGACGCCGAAACATAATGGAAATCACAGATCATCCATTGTTCGATGGCGTTGATTGGACCACGCTTCCTATCCGTAATTGCTGCATCCTATGGCCAGATTGCCGGCTGATTGTAATTCAGAATCTCCCCCACCTGGCCTCCACCTCCCTCAATTCAGCTATATTGAAACTCGAGCTGCTGCTGTCGGATCTGAGGCAGTTCCCGGATGCGAAGAATCTCTATCACAAGGTTTTGCTTTCTCAGCCTTATTCCAGTCCTCTGCAGCCTCGTCTTCTCGGAGTTTCTCTGTTCTGCGATCTACTCCTGCCCCTTTGGCGTCTTCGGATGACGAACGTACCTCATCATCCTTCATTGGTTTTTCATGGGGCCCAACGCTTGACGCATTCCCAAGCCAAGAGCCATCTACTCCCCATAGCCTTGAGAAGGCTGCTATGTCACTCCGTCCCACCTCCATTCACCGCACCCCTCTTGCATCTACCAGCTCTCCACTGACTCCTTCCAGCGAACCAAAGTTCTTCACTCCCACCCCCTTCCGACATCCCTTTCACACACCCAACCGACCTTATGCATCTACTCCACATGGCGTTCTACCGCGCACCAGCACACTGCGACGCACAGTACCGCGCCGCAACGTATCAGACCGCGAAGCGATGAAGCAGCTTGTTGACTGCGTTAGCATGAGCGCAAGAAAAAAGGTGCTGGAAAGTGGTCGGAAACCACGGATACTCGGCATTATTCGACCCCGATCAGCGTCTGTTGGCGGTACTGGGACGCTGAGGAAGGAACTTAGATTTTTTCCGACAGCCACGCCGATCCCCGCACCAGACTATCACTCGCTCACAGCATACAGTGAAAACGAGGAGTCTTTGCCTCAACCCCTCAAACCCAGTGTGCCCAAACCCAAGTTATCTCGCATTATTGTGGAGCCTGAAGAGCGGGCGACGTCTGCTTCTGAAGGAACGGATTCTGAGGGACCCCCAAGCCCCAGCCCACGTCCAGGGTCTGCGATGTCCATTATCTCAAGGAGAAGCGGTACCCCAACATGGACGGGACGTATGAATGGTTTGTGCTCGAACAGTAGTGGTACTGGGTTTATAAGCAACCCCTCAAGCGCTGGTTTAAGCGCAACTTCGTATTCATCTTTGGGTATCACTCGCTTCAGGTCCGGCAGCTTAGGAAGCCGATTAAGCTGCAACAATACGGAACTCTCACACTCCAGGGACGCTTCCACTGTTACCCATCTGTCCGCAGCATGGAAGATGTTAGAAGACAGCTTGCAGGAGAGATATGCCGCTTTATTAATGGATATTGAAGGTTTGGAAAAAAGATTGGAGAAAGTTGTGCTAGTCTTGGAGAAATAACACACCGTGTTTCCGGCAACCTAAACTTGAAGTGTTTGTAGATAGACGTAGATGTATGGATACCTTGATGGGAATAAACGTCTGTCTTGCGCATTCTGTCAAATGGTGATCATATGCGAATGGTCTTCCTGACAGATAATAAGCAGCAGTGCAGTGAGGAGGCAAGTTAGGTCTGGTGTCTTAAATTATTCCTCCGCCTATCCGCCCACCCGTAACTTTTGGTTCATTTTATCCAAGCTCTTCTCGACGCGCTCAATCGACCTCGGACCAGCTTCTCCATTCTAGTCTATCATCTCCAAATTCATCTCCAAAAATCAGAGGACATCTCGGTTTTTTTTTTGCCGCACTTTCGAATTCATTGGTTTTCTGAAAGATCGTATAGTCGTTTGATGGCTTTAACGAAACCGCTTAAATTCACAGATTAAAAGCGACTTTTACATTCGAGGGTTTGTGTGGGTCGACCTGAGTGGTGAACATGACCTAATTTGTCTCGGGATCCTCGATTGATTCTAACCACTTCTTAACACCTTCGTTACGAGAAAGACTTGATGCATGAACATCTTTTGTCTCCTTCTCGCCCATCCTCGAAGACTGCATCCATAGCGCGCACACTCCATCCATCAAATCAGCGAAGCGATTCTCTTCTGGTGGAACATTTGATGTTCCGTCCCTGCTATGTAGAGTGTAAGATGTGGATCCAGATTCTTCATCTTCTACTCTGGGATAATAAGCATCCCTCGACTGTTCCCGGACATATTCAATAAAGGATTTTGAACTCCAGACTTTCATAGCGGCCGTGGCATAGAAGAGATCAACAATGGCAGCAGGTGGCCATTCACTGGTGTCTTGTGGCTGCCGGGCATCAGAGTTGTGGGGAGCATGCTTAGGTATAATGTAGCCAAGCTGAGGTGTATTGAAATGGTGCAGTGTAAGGCGACTGGACGGGCCCTCTTCGTCTGCTGTATCTGGTGGATTGTAAGGAATATCATCAACAGTCAAACCAAAGTTGGGTGTCTTGGATACTTAAGTTTCAGAATAGTCCTGGATGGAAGTAACAGCAAACCTTCAGGAATGCTATGTCACCAGCTCCAAATGGGATATGGAGCAAGTCGGCTAACAGAAGTCCGTTCCGAGTGTCATTGATGTTATTAATGTCATCATCTGGTCCACCACGGTGATGGATGAGGTTTGAGATGTACTTGATTGAGTCAGAAAGTTGTCATAGAAGATTGGAAGGCCACACATTGCTTCCCTTCGCATGGGGGATAATATGGCACGCAGTGCAAAGTCCCCTATCTCATTTGTTATCACACAGGTCCCATCTCGCCCAACCACATTGATCTTAAAATCTTTGGGGCATATAAAACTTGAAGTAATTGACGTTCTGTCGTCCGCTGCATCAACATCGACAAGGCGGGGTCCACCTTGAAAGGCAAATAGCATTAGCAAGGTATTAAGTATCGTATGCTGGTCACTCCACCTTACCCTCCGAGACAAAAAAGTATGAACAGGCCTCTATAGGTGCTGCATAATCACCGAGATCTGGACCATCTTTCGATAGGGAGAGGTGGCCTTCTCGGCCGTAGATGGCAAACCCCAAAAATCGAAGCCATTTTAGAGGGTTAACAGCAAAGGTGTTGCATGTATGAAGTGGGATCGACAGTGCAAGCTTGGTTTGGGTCACATCGGGGAAAGACAGCCATAACCTAACTTTGAGTGTGGTTGCAAACATGATCTACAGCCCTTGGTCATTTCTGGTCGGCGAAACGGTACTGAAATCTACAAGAAATCTATGACGCGCGCGGAGTCCATCCCGTATTACATCAGCATTTGAGGCGTATGATTTACGGTCTTGAAGCCGGGCCGCCGTGCTTTTCACTGTGGCATCGCTGGTCTCTCTCAGTCGCCATGCTAGGTTGCAGAACGGCAACAAGACCACTTACCATCGCAACCCGTCTCCTTCATTCTTCCTCGCGTCGTTTTAGCGAACCCTTTAATCCCGCTGCCATCGAGCGAGCTGAAGATGAGGTCGACGTTTGTATTGTCGGTGGTGGACCCGCAGGGATCAGTGCCGCCATACGTCTGAAACAACTAGAACGGGAAAAAGGCAACGAAATTCGCGTCGTTGTGTTGGAAAAGGGGTCTGAAGTCGGTTAGTTGCTCTCCAGATCTTCAGAACGCCTATTAACATTCTCGTCCAGGCTCGCACATTGTCTCTGGTGCTGTAATTGAGCCTCGTGCCCTCAACGAGCTTCTCCCCGACTGGGCCTCCACCAAAACACACCCGCTAACTCAGCCAGCTGTATCCTCCAGTATGCTATTCCTCACCAAAACTCTAGCCGTTCCCATCCCCCATCCCCCACAAATGAATAATAAAGGTAATTATGTTGTTTCTCTCTCGCAGTTCACCCGATGGCTTGCTGGGATTGCGGAGAATGAATATGGCGTCGAAATCTACCCCGGCTTTGCAGGAGCTCAGCTTCTCCTCAGTGACTCCCCAGACTCTACGGACCCATGGGGAAACTTTGCTCACAGCGTTCGCGGCGTCGTCACCAACGAGGTCGGCCTCACCAAAGACTTCCGCATGAAACCTTCCTTTGAACCTGGCATGGCGTTCAGGGCCAAGGTCACTCTCCTTGCCGAAGGTGCTCACGGCTCCTTGTCGAAACAAGCAATCAGCATGTACAATCTGCGCAAGGAATCTCAGCCACAAACGTACGGTATCGGGCTCAAGGAGGTTTGGCGCGTCGATCCAGAAAAGCACGATCCGGGCAAGGTCATACATACCATGGGCTGGCCGCTCACAAACAGCACGTACGGCGGAGGCTTTGTCTATCACATGGACGGGGGTCTCGTTAGCCTGGGTATAGTCATCGGTCTGGACTACAAGAATCCCTATCTAAGCCCATACCGCGAACTACAACGCATGAAACACCACCCCTACTTCCGCAAACTGCTCTCTACAACTGGTACCACACCCGTGGAACGTCTCTCGTACGCTGGAAGGGTATTGACTGAGGGCGGGCTCCAATCCATACCAAAACTCAATTTCCCAGGAGGTGCACTGATTGGATGCTCGGCGGGCTTTGTGAACGTTGCCAAGATCAAAGGGACGCACAATGCCATGAAGAGCGGGATGTTAGCAGCTGAAACTGCTTGGGAAGCTATTCAAGCAGACCACCAAGGGAAGGTGGCAGATATGTCAAGCTACGACACCGCTTTGCATAACTCTTGGGTGCAAAAGGACTTGCACGAAGTGCGCAACCTTCGTCCATCTTTTAACACTGTGTTAGGAATGTGGGGTGGTATCGCGTACTCGGGGGTTGATTCCCTTTTTTTGAAGGGACGCGTACCTTGGACATTCAAGCACACATCAAAACAATCAGAGAAGGTTTGACCCCTAAAACACCTTTACATTACCAATTTGACGTCCATCGTAACAGTCTTTGAATGCCTCTCTGGACGCTTCTCACACTGAATCAGCCCAGCAACATCAACCTATTGAATATCCACCTTTTGAAGAACCGCTATCCTTTGACCTAATGACGAGCGTTTCGCTCACAGGCACAAATCACACCGAGGACCAACCCGTCCATCTGCGCGTCATCAAGACCCGCGAATATATGCGCCAACTCAATGGAGCCTCCGATGGGAAAGGCAACGCTGCTGCAGGTGCTGGCGTGGCTGCTGTGGGCACTGAAACTGAGCTTGAAGATGATAAAGCCGACAAGACACGAGAAGTGACGAAGGAGGAAGAAAGGCGAAGACGGCATGTCTCGGCAAACGTAGCAAACTTCGCAGGACTTCTTGGACGGGCCTGCCCCGCTGGAGTTTATGAGTATGTGGACGTCGAGGATGGAGCAGAATCTGCTGCTCAAAAAGCGGGTAAAGGTGAAGGGTGGGGAGGGAAGAAGTTGGTCATCAATTCCCAGGTAGTTGGTTTCTCATTTTTTTCTTCAACAACTGATTTTTTTCTTGAGAATTGTATTCACTGTAAATTATGCGACGTGAAGGTGCCCACACAGGATATTACATGGACTGTACCTGAGGGAGGAGGAGGACCAAAGTATAGTGAGTAACGTCCGCCGGAATGGCATCTCTAATCATCTACCGACACTGCTAATCTTGCTTGCCTACAGCTATTACTTGATGTTTTCGAAGTATCAATATAAACATTGTCCGCCCCTTTCCCTGTAGTTAACCACTGACGAGGAGCAACGTCGTCAGATCCTGATCAACAACGTCGGAAAGCATAGTTCCCAGTTTTTCAAACAGATCTCCACTAAGCTTTTCCTTCATTGTCCCTACACCTCCTGCGCTACTACTAAATCGATCCCTTGACACTAATAGATGCTGACGCGGCGGCCCTCTCATGGTCCCAGTGCTTGAAATCACGACGTGAACCTCCTCTGTCGCGGCCTTCTAATGAGTCAGGCATCAAATCACAAGCTTGCGAAAGTACTGAAACACTATCCACGACACGGCCTCTATCGGTGAGAAATATCGTTACAGCTCTGCCAGCGAATGACAGATGGGCTACAAAAACTTTGTGGATTGCTGCTATGGTGCAGGTCTGGCTCGCACAGGTTGTTAAGCCTGGTAGCCAAATCCCGAGGGCCGGCGCGATACCTTGACACGACACGATACCATGATGCTCACTCAAATGCGGAGAGAAACAGGATGTGCCAAGCTTCGCAATAAGTACTCATTTCGAGAAGCCAGTGTGCTCTGATCACTTTTCTGTGATCACGACATCTCAAAGAAACCTGTGTGTCCCTTCCTACCTTGGGGTGACATTTATCAAGCAAACGGTTCTACTATATATTTTATATCCTTGCTTGAACCCCACTGAGACATCGTGTATTCAACGCATCATATTTGTTTTGAGTCAGTTTCCATTATCATTGACCTGTAAGTCTCTGAGTTCGATAGAGTTAGCTGCCACCAACGGCCTGCGCTTTCTGCTTTCTACCTTCAAAAACGATGCGAGGTGCTAAAGAGCTTGCCACTATTTCTTATAGGTACCCTGGACTACATTGTCCGTGTGGATCGCGGCAAGGCTGTCATTGTCAGCGTCACGGTAAATCCAGTGCGTTGGCGGCACAATGAGTTCCTCCCCAGCAACCAACATACCCACATCTGGATGACGTTTGGATGACGTGCCTGTTATATTTTCTTTGGGTTATGTGCTTGTAATTATGTGCTAAAGTTGGCCCGCATCCTGCAGACTAGGCATCTTCAAATTCGAAAAGAATTGAATATCCGCGGCTCTTCATGATCATGTACGCCTCTTCCTGAGTCGACGGCCAGTTATCGTGTCGATTCCAACTGGGCTGAGTTATTACCGAGCATACATACACAGACATGTACATGAGTTCATACTTAGAAGATGACGGAATAAAAAACTTGATTTGCGGTAACTTCGCCATGAGCTTCTATATATAGTACATGTGCGGTTACTAACAAAGAGACCGGCTCCGTTGTCTGGCAATACTTCACTATCTTTTTACCACTACATTGATGTTTCGACCAGCGTCGACCTCCCTCCGTTTTTGTCGTCTTCCCCACATCCGTTTTAGAACTTGGCAACACACCGGATTCTATCGGTCTCCGCATCAATTCATCACAACTACCCGCTCCCAGTCACGTACGCATTCGTCCTCCAAGTCATGGCGTCGACCGTGGATCTTCTACCCAGCGTGTGCGGCATTCATCGGCGTTGTCTGCTTTTATTCCTACAAGACCTCGCAGCCATTTCGGCACACACTCCTTGCGGTTGTACGATGTTCGAGAGTTGCTGGTACAGTGGTTTCATCATCTCAAGGCGGCGTCTTATAACTTCCCGTATCGTTTTCTTCAGGTGCTGCCATCCTTGGGGCCATTGATTACAAGAAAACGATGCTGCAACTATATGAATCAGATGCAGAACTTAATAAAGCTTACTCACTGTGCCATGCCCGGAGTGCACAGCGCGTGCTAAATGCGCTACTTGCGAACGGGGGTAGGTTTTTTAACTTTATTTTGACCTCAAAACCAATGGCGTTGAATATTACAGGGATCTTTATCAAAATGGGACAACATATGTCATCGCTGGTAGTTTTGCCGAAGGAATGGACAACCACCATGAGACCATTACAGGATCAATGCCGGCCAACGGAGTACGGCGATATAGAAGCGTTGTTTTTGAGTGATATGGGTGCAACCATCTCAGAAATTTTCGATGATTTTGATCCCAACCCAATTGGTGTTGCAAGCTTAGCCCAGGTGCACGTTGGACGGCACAAGGCGTCCGGAAAAGAAGTTGCCGTGAAGGTCTGGCAATTATGTTGGAATTGGCATGATCTTAATATTCGTTGCAGGTGCAACATCCACACCTCGCCGAGTTCTGTGACATTGATATGGAAATGGTAGATGTTACTTTAGGTACGCCTTTAACTGCTTGAGTATTTCTCTCTCTCATCGACATCAGGCTGGATTAAGTTTTGGTTTCCGGAATTCGAGTTCTCATGGTTGGGGGTGAGCTTTTTGGGACCGTGTTTTGGGCTCCATGACAAACGCTCTTCAGGAAGAAATGCGGACTAATCTTCCAAAAGAAATGGATTTTGTTCACGAGGCGAACAACGCGGCGCGAGCACGGCATGATTTCACGAATGTTACAACCTCTCTATACATTCCCGACGTCATAACGGCGTCGAAGAGGGTCTTGGTCATGGAATATATTCAAGGCGGACGAGTGGATGACCTGAAATATCTAGCGGATCACAACATAGATCGTAATAAAGTTGCTCTGGAACTGTCACGGATATTCAACCAGATGGTCTTCATTAACGGTTGGTTTCATGCGGTGCGTGCATTACTTCGCTGGGTCGTATCTTTGCCTCATCATTCATAGGACCCTCATCCAGGTACTTTTTATATACTTCTTTATTATAGATCCATTGCCTACACTACCCTTGAGGAAATCTCCTGATACGACCTGCCTCTGCGGTATCAAGGTCGCCTTACAACTTCGAAATTGTGTTACTGGATCATGGGCTGTACTTTGACATGGATCAAGATCTAAGGGTCAATTACGGTAAACTTTGGCTGTCTCTGATAAGACCGCCATCTCCTTCGACGAGCGCCGACAGGAAGAAATATGCAGAACTCGTGGGAAACATCGGGCCTGATCTTGTGAGTAAGCATCTGCCTTGGGTTACTTGAGGCGATTTGCTCACCGGATGAGCTAGTATCCTGTATTCGAAGCGGCTATCACTGGCAGAGTTGCACTGGAAGGAGCCTGGCAAGATGTAGAGGACGATAATACTCTCAAACGAGCTTCAAGCATGATTGACATGGTGCCTCAGACCGAGGAGGAGATGGAAGGTATCCGAAATGCTGTAATTTCTCAACAAGGTCTTCTTTTGTCTGTGTTTGACGTATTACGACGGGTGCCACGGAGGGTTTTGATGGTTTTGAAACTCAACGATCTGACCAGGTGCGTTAGGTAGTTCATTGTGGGTAATCAGCGAACTGAGGTTTTGTGCAGGAGCCTTGACCACGCCCTGATGACTACACATTCAAATGTGAGCCTCACGATGAAGTCGGCTATATTCGCTGATTTTTGCATAGATTCGGATATTTCTTATTACTGCCAAATACTGCACTTCTGCTGTCTGGCAAGCTGACCGCACACGGCTGATCGAAGATATGAGACAAAAAGGTTTATTGTCATTCGGCCTTCTCTGGAACTATTTCTCCTGCTGGTGGTATGTCAATCAAACAATATTTGCGCGGTACGCTCGCCTCAACCTTTTATTTTTCAGGAAATACGAGGCAGCATATATCCAATTGGTAATCATGGAGACTGTTCTGGATGTTGATGGATTTCTTAGAAAGAGTAAGTCATGGTTAAGGGGTCTGCACGGAAGAGGCTTCAAGGGGGCCCACGAAGCAGCTGCTGGTTTAGCATAAAAATATTTACAATGAAATCATTAGTGTTCAAACGGATTGATTATGTCGTGCATCACTTTTTCTGCTGAAGCTTGGCGAGGAGGTCGTCAACCACGTTCATACCCTGCTTCAATGTTTCCCACTGAATAAATGAGATCAGAGAGCCCTGGGGAGAATGGATGTCGATGTCCTACTTGTTCTATAGTGAGAGATATGCCCTTCTTGCCCGGTTTCTCCTCGCCTCCCGCCTCGTAAAATTCTCGTATGTCGAGCAAGACGGTCCCTTTGAATGCTCTAACTGTAGCGCGTTTTTTCTTTCCCAAATCAATGTACTTGTCGCCGTCGTTAGTGGAAAATATTTTAATTCCAGTAGATTCAGCTTCTGGCGCGTCTTTCTGTGTATTGACCTTGAGCTTGAATTGTGGTATTTGGCTCAGAGAGCAGCCATTCTTACCATTGATTGATCTATTTTCATTTTCTTGCTCTTCTTGGATAGTGGTTTTTCTTCGTCTGAGTCGCCGCTGTGGCTCGATTCGCTCATTTGCCGAATGATGGGCTTCTTGCAATGTGGCGTCTTCATCTTGCATTCAGAGATGTCTGAACCATCGCTATTGCAAGACACGTCTTCTTCAGTCGCTGCTTTTCGTTTCGGCATTGGCACAATGAGTAAAGGTAGGTTTGAGTTTGGTTCAAGTCAGGAGTACTCAGGGATGATGTGACTGACGCGTTATTAGTCACAGCTTGCGTCAGCATCCACTAACTACCCTTCATAAGCGCTAAAGTTGACTTGGGGTCTCGACACTCAAGATTCTGGCCATCCTGCCGCTACGCGTCTTGCATCTGCCATCTATACATATAAGCGCCCGTTGACACGCAAGTAAAGCTCTCATTCTCCCGACTCAGTCGTGGAAAATGAAGATCTTGCACAAATCGAAGAAAGCGGTGCCTCCAGTAGGTTTCACTTTTTTTCCGTTTGAACGCGTTCCTCATCTAACTTGCTTCCCTTGTCAGCCAACTCAAGTGGCAGAGCTAATAACGAAACTGATCAACACTTCAACAAGCGAACTTCTCGATGTTTTGTCCCAGATTGACTCTTGGAAATGGCCGCGGTCCGATCTCAATGCTTGGATCAAGGTCCTGAACAAGTTCGACGGCATTTTGGAAGAAATAATCAATGAGTATGACTTAGACAAGCTACAACTAAATCCATTCACTCCTACCTCCAAACGTCTTATCGCTGAAATACTCCGTTTCGAGCGGTTGTTGCTTGAAAATTCCACAAACAGGAAGACATTCAGCTCATACGATGTAAGCTTTGTCCCCCTTTTTGTCTTCACCCACCTTAACTCTGCATTTTCATGTAGCGGTTGAATAGCCTCCTCTTCACGTCCGATTTGGACATTCTTGTTTTGGCGCTGAACCTCCTCCTCCGACCATCTCAGCAGTATTCTGCCCAACCTTCCGTCTCTCATGCGCTCAGTATCTCTACAACTCGTCTACAATCTCTCGCGAAAAAGTGGCCACATTTGCGTGAATATGGAATTGGGCTAGTGGACCTTTCTTGTGGCGAAGGCAACGCAGAGCTTGAAGCCCTTCCTGCAGAGGCCCGCGAAGTCAACTTTACCTTCTACAGGACGACAGAAGGTACTGGAGCTGGGGAGAAGAAAGCAGAGGACTCTGTGGAGCCCACCTCACAGGAGCGGAGTGTTCCAGGCGCCGTCACCGTGCACATTGGAGAAGCAACGGTGCTTGCACAACCAGTCATGAATGTTTTGGCCGACGCTATTGACGCATATTCTATTCCGGACAGCGAAAAATTTGAAGTCCTATGCCGCATCCGTACCGCCGCATCATTGGTAAAGGACAGGACAGCGGACCGTGAAAAGCTCGTCATTATTAGACTTCTAGCCATCGCCATCTACGGTCACACCCACCCAGAGTCTCAAGCTACCTCGAATCTGTTCCTCTACGAGCCGGATTTAATTGTTCACATCGCGGAGCTGCTTCAAATCGATCACGGGATTCCAGTGCAGGTTCAGACAGCAGCCATTGCCGCTCTAGACGCCTTGGCACGGTATAGAAACCGTATACAAGAAGTTTTGACTGCTGTTAATGCTGGTGTCAACCATGGCATATTAATGGCCCTTGTACGAAAAACAGTTGGCGATGTCGCGAACGAAGAATCCAGGCTCCCCCATACGTTTATTGAAGCTCTGCTTTCTTTTGTGACATTCATTGCGTCACATGCATCGGGTGGAAATATGGTTATTGGTGCTGGTTTAATCCCTCTCCTCATCCAGATGATAGACAACAAGTCGCCCCTTCGACTACAAGCTGTATCTAAGACGATGCAATTGGTTGATAACGTCCTTTACAGCTTCACCAATGCCTTCCATCTTTTCTGTGGTGCGCGAGGAGTTGACGTTCTCGTTGAGAGAATTGAGGTCAGTCGGATCGATTTCTTGCACTTAGCGGTATCATTGACGGCGTCTAGCACGAGGTTGACTTGGACATCAAAGAGAAGGGGGATTCGATTTCATCTCCCGAAATTAATGGGACTTCTGGTGAGTTGTTACCTATTTACGTGTCTTGGCGTGGTGTAATTCGACTATTTGCTTCATTTCTCCTCTGTGAAGGTGAACTTCCGATCGCAAGAGTAGCAGTTCTGAAACATATCCTACGTTCAATGCATCGGATGATGCAATCCTCTGGCACTACGGAAGGTCTTCGTGGATTAATTGACATGTCCCTTCTGAGGTCAGTCAAGAAGATCATTGAATATCGTGGGCTGTTTGGGTCCAGCATACTGCCATTTGGTAAGGCCATGACACCCGATCGCAGAGAGCGTGCCACTCATATTTATGTATGCACTAGCGATCAACATCATGGCGACTTTTGTGCACAATGAGCCGACTTCTTTAACCATCATCCAGGAAGCTGGACTGCCCAAAACATTCTACGAAGCGATTGAGGCGGGAATTGAACCATCCATCGAGGTCAGTCGCTTTTCAAAATTATCGCTTTGAATTGTGTTGACAGGACTCAGGTTATCCAAGCCATCCCGAACGCAATCGGGGCACTTTGTCTCAATGAATCTGGACAGGCCCAATTAGCAAACCGCCCGAGCATAATTCCTGCAATTTTCACAATATTTACTTCACAGCGACATCTCAAAGTTTTGATTGAAAAGGAGAATGCAGTTCTCATTGGCACAGCTATCGACGAGCTTATTCGTCACCATCCGACGCTGAAGAGTGCTGTTTTTGAAGCTTTGAAGTCAACGATGAGTAACATTGAGAATCTTGGGTTGTCGTATCGCATTCCGAAGGATATTCTTCAATGGTACCAATTGATACCTGTTCCGGTCCTGGCCGCCGATGTTGATGTCACAATGGAAGAAGCAGACTCAGAGGCTTTGGCGAGACCAGGTACTGTCGCCGCAGAGGAGCCCTTGTTGGGTGAAACAGATTCCGAATATGAGGATGCTGTTAAAGCTCACGATAATATGGTGGTGTCATTCATTGATATTTTGGGTCGCGTAAGTTGTAGTCATCAGGTTGAGAAATTTACCAACTAAATCGATCGTTAGTTTCTGGAAGGTCTATTCCAGCATACGCCACATTGCAAGGACTTCATCACAGAGACGGATGGACTTTCTCATCTTGGCCGATTTACTGCTCTTCCGTGCTTGCCCTTCGATTTTGCGAATAGTGTAGCGTCAGATTCAATGGTCCAAGTCATGCGTACGATGACAGAGGTGGCCACGAGCGAAACCCTTCTACATTTGGCAACCCTGGTCAAGGATTCATTGGCGGAGACTCATGGGTTCTGGGAAAATGTTACAGAACCATCCAAATTGCTCCCATTGATTGACATTACGGGTAAATCGCCCCCATTCAGTCCTATATCATGAACTGACATCGTGTAGATGGTGAATGTGAATTAGCAAATGAGCGTTTTCGATGTCTTGTGACGCTCCATATCCGGATCACTCTGCTCTCTGACGTCTTTGCCACAGCAGGATATGCTCATGGGCGGGGAGCAATTGGTCTCCTTCAAACATTTATGAATAATACCTCGCCTCTAGTCGTAGCAGACCTTGGGTCACTCCATCGAGCCAGTATATGGGAAAACATCGCTCTCAACGCTGGGCTCACATTGAGGGGGATAAATTTGCAGACAAGCCCCTCATCGTCGCCCCTGGAAGGATCTCCAAAGCGATCCGATGTCGATCTTCCAGACGAGAACCCTTTCGCAGCCAGCGGTTTGAGTGCCACAAATGGAGTTCAAGCAGAGGACGGGACCAATCCCATGCTTGTCAACGGGATGGATCGGTCCAGTCACAACGATCCTCGGAATAACAACGCTTCAGCCCTCAAACACATCACGCATGGCCTGCCCAATGCTCTGGCACCCTTCTTCCAAGGTAAAATTATCTCTGCAATCATATTGAGGTTTGCTTGAGTTTGTTTCTTCAGCAATGGTAAAGATGTTTCACGCCAGGCGAAATCCTGATGCTGCACAGAAGAAACAAATGGCGGAGTCTTCAAAGATTGTCGCCGACATTATGTTAAAGCACCTGAGCGTCGAAGGTCACCGTGAGTCTAACAATGTGCTCAATGAGGTTTCAGAAATGAAAATTGATGCAGATGATACGGCTTCTCTCTTTACATATTACAGCGTCATTTTGGGTTTACTCGCCCTTTTACTCTATGATGGTACAATTATTCAAAGTCTTGCGATATTTCTTGTGTCGACTAACCTTTCACAGACCGCACTTCATCAAGCACCTTACACACAGTACAACTCGCAGCCTTTTACCGCGCGGACGGATTCCCTGCATTATTCAATGTCTGTGGGGCGTTCATGTCAAAGATTGAGGTGATTGTGAACATAGGGGAAGGCGATCGCACAGACGTTCAACGAAAAGATCTCTTACACGCATACGGAGGCCTCAAAGTGGCACTGAGCTTGCTTCACCCTATCATCTCATCGAGGCCCCTCCTTGATTCCGGTCAAACGTTTTTACTTGTGAGCCGTGACAAGAAGGACACAGATCCAGATTACTTTGAACCGCACAATTTTCTTGTCAGACTTCGAACGGCAGCCCTACCTACAGTACGAAGGCTGTGGGAATCATCGTGGCTTGTGCAAGCCCCCCTTGGTGTCATCAGAGCCGTGGTGCGCACGGTTTTGGAACTGGCGAACGGGGAAAACGAGGAGGCGAAAGTAGATCCAAATGCCGACGTTGCTTCGGCCCCTGCAGGGGTTCCCCGTCCATCAGGTCTTGATCAAGCTCGCGTCCACATATTAACAGACATGGGATTCCCTCGATCAGCCGCCGAGCGTGCCCTTACCCGGACGCATAACAACGTCAATGCTGCTACTGAATACCTTCTCTCTCATCCTTTCTCCTTGATCTCAGACCCTGAAGCTGAGCAAATTGAAGAGCCAATCGAGGACACAAACATAGATGAAGTTCCAACGGATCCCAGTGCGGAAGCAAACATACCTCTATCTCCGCATGCTGCTTCGCCCTCACTCGATTCTACTGTTTCAATAAAGGGTTCAGATGGTTGGCGGAAATCGTTGAATGAAGCTCGAGAACCTCTTGTTGCCAGCATCAGCCGACAGTCACTTTTGCTAATCGATGAGCACACTCAACTTCTCTTCGATCTCCATGTCGCTTTCACGAAAGCTAACAATACACATCAAACGCGCGCAGTACAGGATCTTGTTGACGACGTCAAAGCTTTTTCACTGTCCCCTGATAATGCACACGAGCAACCGCTTGCGAATAGATGCCGCCTCCTTGCGCTGGTTCTTTGTGAAGCACCCGCTTCACTCGAAATGGAGTCAAGAAATACCTTGTTGGACCAACTATTAGCATTGTTGTTGCCTAGCATTGACCTCAAACATCCTCCTCGATGGCTGGCGTCACATCTACTTGTCACAGAAGCACTTTTTACATTAGCTGAAGAGCCCCGCACCATCACTCTACCTAAAGAAGCGGATGCCATTGTTGCAGAAGCCATACCAGTGGGCCCCAAACACTTGGAAGCTCGGGGAGTCATCTTCGATTTCTGTCTACGCCTCCTTGAAGTGGATGACTTGGCTTCAGATGAACTGCTTTCCGCTCTACGACTTCTCGTGTTGTTCACTCGAGACAAGGACATGGCTTCTCAGTTTGTCAACCGCGAAGGGCTTGACCTGCTCTTCAAACGCATTCGAGCGTCTCCTGTAACCGGAGGTTCTTCGTACATTGCCACCATCTTACGTCATGTTGTGGAAGACTCTACGACTGTCCAACATATCATGAAACAAGCTATCAGGAGATATTTTGCGCAACCAAGAACCCGCGTTGTTGAAATAGCTACCTACGTTCGAAATTGTAGCGCCATGGCCCTCCGAGACACAGCACTTTTTATTGAAACAACGTCGTCCCTTTGCCAGCTTGGGCAACCGTTTACGGCAAGCCCCAATATCAGCCTTAAAGTTGCTTCACCGAATCTGGAGGATAAGGCAGAAGCAGTTGACAGCCGAAAATCTCCTGAAATGCAGGTAGATAACCCCTCATCACATTCTGCCGCGCAGCCCAGAAAGGTCGTTGAGGCTCTTATTCACCTCCTCATCAACGAACTCATGGCCACATTGAAAACGATCAACGATCAACCTCCGCCACCACCCGCACGCGTAGGCACGCTTTCCTCTGCTTCAGATGTAGCACTGGCCACATCTGAGATTTTGGCTGACCCTGTCGTACATCCGGAGAGCACAGAAAATGTGGAAGAGCCGATCAACATCTATGACAAATACCAATATCTTTGTTTCTTGATGCAATGCCTCACCGAGTTACTGTTCTCTTACGACACTTGCAAGTTAGCCTTTCTCTCGTTTTCCCCAAAGAAACGGTCCCAGACACCAGCAAAGGAGCCTATGAACAGGTTTAGGACAGTCACATTGCACTTCCTCCTTAACGAGCTCATCACTTTCGGCACAATAAATCCTCAGCCTGATGCCAGAGCACGTAATAGGATTACTCTTTGCAATTGGGCTATGTCGGTTGTGGTTGCTCTCTGCGTTGACACATCTTCAACGCATGAAGTGAAGGACGTGTCGTCCGATTTGGTATCCGTTCGGAAATTTGTTCTGGAAACTCTCAGTCGCGCAATCAAAGAGCTCTCTCCGTCGGAAAGTATGGAAGCAAGATATGGTCGTTTGCTTGCTCTCGCCGATCTCTGTCATCGGCTCTTGACGGTGCGGTTTAACACAGCTTCCCGTGATCGGAAACATCTGGATGAAGTTCCTACACATCTGGCTAAGGTTATGTTAGAAAAGAATTTCGTTGCTACCCTAACGACGGCTCTTTCTGAGGTAGATCTCAATTATCCCAATGTTCGCAACCTGGTAACATCAATTCTTCGACCACTCGAACACCTGTACGCCGAATTTATATTACTCTCATTGCAACCAGCTCACCCTCTCGTAGAACAAAAATTGCAATCAAAATGAGTCGAAGTTCAAGCAAAAGTAAGGAAGAGAGTGGTGCTCCTCGATCTGCTAGTCAGTCTTCCTTCGCCTCCGGAGAAGACGATGATCTGGACGATGCAGGCCGGGAGGAAACTCCTGATCTGTACAGGAATTCCGCCCTGGGCATGTATGCAGGCGTGAGTTTATTATCTACGCCTGTCGATGGATTAATTCTTATTTGAATTAGGAGATGGATGATGGTCATTACCCTGAGGATGAGGAAATGGATGATGAAGATGAAGACGAAGACGAAGACGTTGAAATGGATTTCGGGGAGGAAACTGGGAGCGAGGACACTTCGAATACAGAGGATGAAGCAGACGAAGATGATCTTGAAAATGTAACACACAACCCGAGTGAAGTCTGGGATGAAGGAGAGGAAGAGGAAGAGGAAGGTTTGGTAGAGAATCATGATAGTCACGACGACGACGATGACGACGATGACGAAGGTGATGACGACGAAGGCGAGGCCGATGAAGAGGCCGACGAAGAAATGATGTGGGAGGTATGTCTGAACAAACGCCGAGCTTATTGAGAGGTTACTGACTAGCTTCAGGACATCCGTGGTGAAGCCAATGGTCTAGAAACCTCCCGGGATGATCTAGACGAGGAAGAGGAGCATGGGGGTACTTTCAATTTTATTTGTCTTCCGCTTGGATCTTAAATACTTCATCCAGTTCCCATTCAAATCATCCACCATGAGGAAGAGGAACCTGATATGGGCTCCGACGAAGAGGAATTCGTCATGGAAAATGGCGTTTTCAGCGGCGAAGGTATTTTCAACTTTGGTGGAGGTTTGGTAACGACAGGTGGTGGCCGAGATGGTGCTGGTTTGTTTGTATCTCGTCGACGAGCCACTGGTAGCTGTCGCAACTACTTCATGTCAAAAATTATGTGCTGACTATTCCTCAAGGAGATGACCATGTGCAAGTCTTCGGACGGTCCAGAAACGCACCGTCGGCTCCTCCGGAGTCGACAACGCATCCTCTCTTGCTTGACTCATCATCCGGAAATAGGGCATCGGTCAACCAGAGTAGAGGCTCACGTCAGACTCAGCGGATTGTTGCAGGTGGATCAAATGATTTCATCCAATCTATTGATGACATACTCGGCGGAGGCTCCATGCATGTTTTACAACACTTGGGAGTTGTTTCCCGTGGACGTGGTGGTGGTCCAGAGGCTTTCCGGTTCGATGTACCTGCTGGAGCCCTTGTGAATCTCGACCGCGGCTATGTTCCAAGCCGTCGCGTTAATCAAGGCCTATTTTCCGCCGCCATCCGTGTTGAGAGGGCCCCACGACCCCCAGGACAACGGCAAGGGCGCGAATTCGATCCCCTGCTGACGCTACAACGATGGGCAGAAGAAATGAAGATTTTGCATGGCGACTTCGTAACAGAGCGTATTGGAAAACTCATAAATCACGTTACACTGGCCCTTCTTCCTGCAGCAGTAGAAGCCGCGAAACAGGCCAAATTGCGTGAGGAGGTGGAAGAAGCTGATCGCCGACAGCAAGAGCAGATGAAATCAGAAGTCAAAGCAGCGGAAGAAAAGTACAGGGTTCCCGAAACAGAGCAGCCTGTTGTAGAATCTCCTTCCAGCACTGCAGACGCCATTCCCGCCGCAGCCTCCAGCGGAGAGGCTTCGACGAGCCCTCCTATGCCCGCCGATGAACGTCAGGGTGAACAAGATCAGGTCATGGAAATGGCTAGCCCGGTGGACATTGATGCAGACACAGAGATGGCAGATATTTCAGGAAATCAGTCGCTCGTCTCTCCTCCAACAGAAGTTGAACCATCTATGGACCCTCACACTGAAGCACCTGCCGAGTCGTCATCCGCCGCCACGACCACTTCTGAACGCGTTACAGTGATAATTCACGGCAGTGCAGTGGACATAACTGATACCGGTATCGATCCCACCTTTTTGGAGGCCTTGCCCGATGATATGAGGGAAGAAGTTTTAAACCAGCATGTACGTGATCAACGTGCGGCGCGAGTTGAGCGACCCCCCGACTCGCAGATCAGTTCCGAGTTTCTTGAAGCCCTTCCTCCCGAAATCCGGGCCGAGATCATCCAACAGGAGGCAATCGAACGGGCACGTCGGAGAGCAGAAGACGCGCCGTCAGGTGCAACAGTTGCTACCCCTGCCGACATTGACCCCGCAAGCTTCATCGCTAGCCTTGATCCCACATTGCGTCAGGCGGTGCTGATGGATCAAGACGATGGCTTCATTCAGACTCTACCTTCCCACATGATTGCAGAGGCTGGCGCATATCGTGATGGACTGGCACCGCGTCAGAGATTGGCAACTCGTGGCGCCCCTTCCCGTGCAATGCCACCAGGAATTCCTCATGCAAGGAAGTTTTCACCCCTCCACGACGCAATTCAACTTCTAGACAAGGCAGGCATTGCCGTTCTGGTGCGATTATTATTCTTCCCTCAAGTCTTCAAAAAGACTCTCCTCTTTAAGGCTCTTGTTCACCTCTGTGAGAACGCCAAAACACGTACGGAGCTCTTCAATCTGCTCTTGAACATATTGCAAGACGGCACTGGTGACCTCGCAGCTGTGGACAAAAGTTTTTCTCAACTATCTGTCAAAGGTTCGAAGCCACAAACGCAGAAATCAGCAGGAAAGCAGAAAGCAGGGTCCGAGTATCTAGCAGGATTCCCCTTGCCAGCGTCACATGTTGAAGCTGTTCCAGATCTTATCGCGCAGCGATGTTTAGAGGCATTGTCGTATATCGTTAGCGCCAACGATCTCTCCTCGTTGTTCTTCCTAACGGAACATGAACTACCCTTCGGGTTACGGAAAGCTGCCACGAAAAAGGGGAAAGGGAGGGAGAAACAGATACCCCAAACGCATTACCCGATCGTCCTTTTACTGGGATTGCTAGATCGACAATCCCTCCTTCGCACCCCTGCCATCATGGAGGCAGTTGTTAGTCTGTTGGCAACCGTCACACGACCTCTCACAAGTCTCAAGGATAGGGAGAAGACAGATAAAGTTCCTGAACCGGAAATCACAACGTCAGCTATAACTGCTGTTTCCGATAGAGCACCTCCTACGGATGGATCGAGTACGAACGTCCAAGTGGATTCAACGACACGCCCTTCGGAACCTTCGACGAACGAGTCGACGTCATTAAATGCTAGTATGTTTATTTTTACCCTAATTCCTTGAGTCAACCACTAATGACGTCAAGTAGGCGGATCTCCTGTTCCAGCTGCCTCGGTTGAAAATCCTCAGAAACTCTCTATTGAAGCAGTTGAGGAGAAAATTTTGTTGGCTAATCCCCCTCAAGTTCCACATGCAGTATTACGACTCATCGTAAACATTCTGACCATTGGGGAATGCTCCGGGCGCACGTTCCAGCAGAGCCTGTCTTTAATCCAACATCTGTCTTACATTCCGGACGCCCGTGACGTTATCGCGCACGAATTAAAGAGCAAAGCACAGGAATTTGGACAAACACTTGACACGGACTTGGAGGAGCTGGCAGGTGCGCTACAAGAAGCCGAGAATGACGTTACTATTGGTTCAGTTGCCGCCAAGTTCTCTCCAGCATCTTCGACACAGGCCAAACTGCTCAGAGTTTTGAAAACTATTGATTACATGTACACCCCGAGGACTCCGCCACCCACCATGGCTAACAACGACGTGGAGAAGGTGCAATCTATCTACGAATCCTTCCGATTTACTCCCTTATGGCGGAGGCTTGGAGATTGTTTGTCCGTCATTGAGAAAAAACCTGACACTGAAAACATTGCTACCGTTCTGCTGCCTTTAATCGAAGCGTTGATGGTTGTTTGCAAGTACGTGGGATCGAAAGCGCAGCTTGGGACGGTTTCTCGTGCATTGCACGCATCTGCCTCTCCAAGGTCTCCTGCGACGCCTAGGGAATCTATGGAGGATCTCTTTATCAGCTTCACCGATTCTCACCGAAAGGTTCTCAACTTGATGGTGAGAAATAACCCCTCTCTGATGAGCGGTTCTTTCTCTCTCTTGGTCAACAATCCCCGAGTTCTCGACTTTGACAACAAAAGAAACTACTTTAACCAACAATTGCATCGACGACCGCACGCACGAGAGCACCATGGGACACTACAGCTCAATGTCCGCAGAGCGCGTGTCTTCGAAGATAGCTTCCAGTATCTCCAGCGTAAGACAGGTGATCAAATCAAACATGGAAAACTCAGTGTGCGTTTCTACGATGAAGAAGGCGTAGATGCTGGGGGAGTCACCCGTGAATGGTTCCAAATCTTGGCGCGACAAATGTTTGACCCAAATAATGCTCTCTTTCAACCCTGCGCTGCAGACAAACTTACGTACCAACCAAACAAAAATTCTTGGGTTAACCCGGAGCATTTGTCATTTTTCAAATTCGTGGGTAGGGTCATAGGCAAAGCAATCTACGACGGACGGCTGCTTGATGCATATTTCGCGAGGAGTTTGTATCGGCAGTTGTTAGGCAAGCCTGTGGATTACAAGGACGTTGAATGGGTTGATCCAGAGTACTACAAATCTCTTTGCTGGATTCTGGAAAACGACCCTACCGTTTTGGATCTAAATTTCAGTGTGGAGGCTGACGCGGTAAGGTCATCGTAACTTCCTAATAATTGTATGCTGACCCCCTCCTTAGTTTGGTGTTAATCAGATTATTCCTCTCAAAGAAGGAGGCGAGAGCATCTCTGTTACGCAAGAGAATAAGCGAGAATTTGTGCAACACTCTGCCCAATATCGACTTTATTCCTCAATCAAGGATCAGATTGAGAGTCTTTCCACTGGATTCTATGAAATCATTCCCAAAGATCTGATCACCATCGTGAGTCTCAGCCTGAGTTTCAACACAAAGCACGATTTTACTTACCTTCATCTAGTTCAATGAGCAAGAACTCGAACTCCTTATTTCCGGAACCCCAGACATTGATGTTGACGAGTGGCGAGCCGCCACCGAATATAATGGGTATACGAGCTCAGACCCTAACATAGTGTGGTGGTGGCGAGCCCTCAAATCTTTCAATCGGGATGAGCGAGCCAAGGTTCTAAGCTTTGCGACGGGCACTTCACGGGTTCCTCTGAGCGGGTTCGTTGATCTACAAGGTGTCCAGGGTGTCCAGAGGTTCTCTATTCACCGTGCATATGGAGAAAGCGACAGATTGCCTCAGGCTCATACATGCGAGTTACCTGTACTTGTTTCCTGATCATATCCTGACCATTCCCCACAGGTTTCAATCAGATCGATCTTCCACAATATTCCTCGTATGAGATGCTCCGACAACAGTTGTTGATGGCTATCAATGAAGGCGGGGAGGGATTTGCTTTTAGCTAGACTTGCAGAAATATACAGGAGAAAGAACAATTCATTGTACATATTAATGCATCACCGGCAGTTATCATAACCGGCGTGCCGGAAGTAATAAATTCTGTTCACGACGATGCACATATGATATTTCCCCCCGTCACCGGCGACCAACTGACAATGCGTGCATTCGTTATCAAGAAGCTCAGCCATCCGTCAAATATATCCCTTTCTATTGACGTCCCAGAGCCTCAACCAGACCAGCGTCAGGTTATCGTAGATGTCTACAGCGCAGGGCTGAACTTCTTCGACGTATGACCCCAAAAATATAATCTTCGCCCGTAATCTGACATTCAGTACTTGTGTGGCAGATTCTGCAAGCCCAGGGGAAATACCAAAACAAACCTGCACTCCCTTTTACTCTCGGGTCAGAGTTTGCGGGGCGGATTGCCAAAAACTCGCCGATACCTAAGGGCTGCCCGTACAAAGCGGGAGACCGGGTTTTCGGTGCTTCCCAAGGAGCATTCGCAGACAAAGTTTCTGTTGATTGGGAGCGTCTGATTACCCTCCCGGACAATGTTTCATTTGATCAAGGTGCAGGTGCGTACTAGTACCTGCTAAGTTTGAGCGCTCCAATTATAATGGACTTGGTTACGAAGGCTTATTTATCACCTGGCCCACCAGCTACGAGGCCTTAGTCGGCAGGGCTGAACTAAAGCCAGGTATTAACAACCTCTTGTAATAGGAGGTAGGCCATAACCTTCATGTGTTTAGGTGAATGGGTCCTTGTGACTGCTGCAGCAGGAGGGGTTGGTATCGCCGCCGTCCAAATCGCGAAAGGTTGGTTATAATTAGGATATGCCCGAACACCTACTGATTCCTATAGCCCTCGGAGCCAAAGTAATTGCCGCTGCAGGGTCGGAGGCAAAACTAGATGTTGCAAAACGCATCGGCGGAGCTGACTACGGCGTCGACTATTCCAAACCTGCGTGGTACAAAGAAGTGTTGGAAATAACAGGGGGAAAAGGTGTCGATGTTATATATGACCCCGTTGGCTTGATCAACGGTGAGTGACCAAAATGTTAATATCTTGTACGATCATTGATGGGAACGACAAGATTCCCTCAAGTGCATAGCCTGGAAAGGGCGAGCACTCGTTGTCGGTTTTGCAGCTGGAACCATCGAAAAGGTATATCTTATTTTAACAACTAGGCGATTTACTGCTGAATGATATCCTGTACCCACTTTGAAGGTTCCAATGAATCTTGTTCTCTTGAAAAACGTGTCACTAGTGGGTGTACACTGGGGTGCATATACCAGTAAGTAGAGTTCCATTCACTGGAACAACGTTGTTCCTTACAGCTCTCGAGTCAAGGAATCGGGTCGCATCCCGGTTGTGTGGAAGGAATTACTAGAGTGCGTCCTTCTAAAAGGTCAACGACCGAAACTTTTTTGACCAAGCACCACTCCTTTAGCCTATTTGCGTCTAACAGAGTCAAACCCGTCACGTTTACCAAAGTTTACGCCTTGGACGAAGTCACAAACGGCCTCGCCGCTCTGGAACGTCGAGAGACATGGGGAAAGGCGGTCGTGAGGGTGAATCAGGAAAACCCGGCTGAACGGGCAAAGCTGTAGTAATCGCTGCTGCGGCATTTATTTGGAATCAAATTTAGAGACAGAAGGACGGTCGTATAGCAGGGATTCCACGGTGCCGTCAGAAAAGCGAAGGCACATGTCCCATACTAATAAGCTAGCATCCGTTGTAGTGGCCAGAATCTATTCTCGAATTATATCCAACGATTCGGAATCCCAAAGCCGGTCTTCGTATTCTTTTGATCTATGCATGTCAAAATCATCTATCTCCATTTCAGCGTCGAGTTCTAACTCCAGGTCACCGTCCTCCTCCTCAGGAGGCATAAGGGTGTTGAAGCACTTTGAATCTTCCTCTTGAAACGAATCCACCATAGAAAGCGAGAGAGGAAGTGTAACCTGTTCCAGATGTGTTCCGTTGTGAATAGTGGCCCTGGGATAAATTGGAATTCCATCTTCATTGGTGTGATCAATGGATTTATTATTGCCTTCCCCAGGTGGAGATGGCTCTCGTTCGTCTGCGATCAAGGAAGCCTCTGGGCCGAGGAGCGTTTTGAAGTAGCTTTCCTTGCTCGAATATGTTGCTCCCATCATGGTTAGTCCCTGCCTCACGTGTTCGGGGGTGACCTTTCGATTATGAAAGTTAAGTATTTCAATGGATATACCAAAACGCACTTCTTCGTGATTCTGCCTCCACACCTTAATATTACCTTTTACAGACCTCTCCTGCTCCCTTAGAGTCATTGACAGATGAACTAATTCCGTAGTGAATTCGACCGCAATGGAGGTCAATAGTCGAATGGTGTCATCAGAGATAGCGGCTTCTGCTCCAGCCTTGGGAAAATCGTAGCCTGACCGAAATATTCTACCAAATGTTCAACAGAAAACGTTGGATTAGGTACATAATGCTTACTTCATAAACCTGGCAAGTGTGGAAAGGTGAAGAAATCCAAGGTCATGCTCGTTCAAAGTTTGTGCGTCAATTTTGCGTTCCATGAATTGCTGTTTGATTCTATATGGTCGATTCAGACCTCCTTTATTAGGATGTTTGGTAGGAGCATGGTCATCCACATTCGATATAGGCCCCTTGTTGAGGTTTGCCGTTTTCTTGTAAGTTTTCGGGCGTAATCTAACTGGTTTATCTCGAATCTTCCGTCCAGGACGCAACCTCGCGGATTCGGGATCAAATGCCTCCCCCATTGCTTCAGCCCGTTTTCGCCGCATGTATATTCGCTTCTGTAACCTGCGACGAGACGTTGGGGTCAGATTCAAATTATCATCTTGTTGATACGGCGGCGTCGGGGTCGGGGATCGGAGTTGAAGAATTTGTGAATTATCTGATTCAATGTTGTCGGGAGAAGAGGTCACTGGAGGACTTTGACATACTGCGTCGCGAGGATAGTCGGTGTTCGACGTCGTTCCAACATCCTGCTCTAACCCGATACCTTTCTCTTCAGCTTCCCGAAGCATGCTCTCCATCACAGCCAGGTGGCATGCATCCAACATTTTGAGAGCTTCTTTTTGCTGCGGGGGGTTAACTTCGTTTTCTCCTGAAGCTAGGTTAAATTTCTGGCATTCTATTGTCGCCACCGAATAGGATGTACCTGGATTGGTTTTTCCTTCATCCAACTGGCATTGCTGGATGCGAGATGCCGCTGCCTCCTCCCAGTTCATCCAAGATTCGGAAACTTCCATAGCACAAGGCAGAGACAGACGTGCAATGGGTGAGTTGGCGTCGATAGCTGCAACATGGAGAATGTCTAGATAAGCACAGACGTCGAGAACGGACTTTGTTCCGATTGAAGCTGCGATAAGGTCTGGCCTGAGACGGGAATGTATTGATAGTGCATGAAAAAACGCGTTTTTTTCGGTGGAAGACCAGTAAGTGGATGGGTGAACGAAAGAAGGAGGTAATTGTTTGCCATAATCTCCAGAAAGATGGCATTGAACTTCAGCAAGATGCTTTTGAAATTCTGCCTCATAGCCCATTCAAACTAAGTATTGTAAATCTTACGTAACCTCTTCATAAATTACTACGCTCAATCCCATTTCGACATCGATCTTCCCAGTGACGCCTCGCAAGCTTCCGTGCTATCCCTTTGACAATCTTTCCCGAAGGGGTGCGTTCTAAAAAGGCTCATATATCCTTGTTATTCCGCAAGAATTGGTTGAGGCGTACCAAGCGCATGGTCGACAATGACCACCATCACTGGAACAGCGAACTTTGGTAGGCTGAAATACCGCATTATGACTCCAAAACAATAAAATAATATCAATTAATAAATACCTTTTCTGCGCCCGTAGGATCAGCTCCGCTTCCGTCACCTGGCCTCGGAAAGCAGGTTTAATGGATACAATGGCCGCCACAAGCTCTCCCAGACGTTTGTCTGGAACCCCGACGGCCGCTGCCTCGAGTATTCGATCGTCGGAATATAAGGCATTCTCGACGGACACAGAGTCCTTGTGTGGATGTACGTTAGCCGCCGTGCATCTTGAGCATCACCTAACAGGACGCACAATGTTTTCACCCCCCCGAATTATAACGTCTTTTACTGTTGAGGCGTATGTATTATGCTCATGCAGAAATTGGAATAGCTCACGTCTGTCCTTGATGAAAAGAAAATTTTCGTCATCAAGGTACCCCAGGTCGCCCGTCTTGAACCAGCCGTCTGTCGTGATGACTTTATTTGTGGCTTCTATAACAGTATCTCGGTGTGAACGCCACGGCAGACGGCCGTCAGTCGCGCACCTGGATCACGCCAGTAGCCTTTCATGACATTAGGTCCTCGCCTAAAAGGCAGATCAGTTGTGCTGGCGCAGAAAAATAGATTCAACACACAGCCACACTTCACCCACAGAGTGACGAGGAAGAGCGACTCCGTTCCACATAATCACTATGTCGTTGACTGGAGAGGCTAGGCCACTAAGTTAAAGCGTAAGTCCATCTCGAAATGCGGAACGGATAAATGGGAAACTCACGTACTACTTGGCCGCGCGATGTAATCTTCACCTGCAAACTGTTGGATATGCTGAGTTTGAGCTCAACAAAACTACGACGTCACCTCTCACCGACACGGCTATTGAATTGGTTTCTGTCAGTCCATATCCCTGGATCCTGTGAAAATGGTAAACATAAGGTAAGGTGAGAGCCGTCAACATACATGGTGGCAGTTGGGAACGCTTTGCGTGCCCTAGGCACCAGAGAATTAGGGGCTGGTGCACCGCCGAAAAGGAGACCTTCAAGAGGATGTCCGACTAAGGAACTGTCGCTCAGGTCGGAAACCATCGCAGGGACACTGATTCTCGACGTTGGCATTTCGCAACGAAAAATCGGACACAACGCACCCTCCGGCCACCGCGACATTTTCTCGTTTTATCAACCTAATTCCAATCAGTTCGATTCATCGACCATGGGACAGTTAAAGTACCCACTTTGCAGCTGGGCAAAGAGTCAGAAAATTTCAAATCCGTTAAGGGGAGAGAAAAAACCTTCTTCTACCTCCCACTTTCGCATTAAAACAATTTTCATACCAGTCATGGTGGCTATCATCTACAGAAAGTCAGACAATGTTAACAGATTCACTCAAATAAATACAAGACATACCGAAAAGCTTGTTGATCCGGTAACATGAAACAAAGGGACGGAAATAAGAATTGCTTTTTGTAGTCCACCTTTCTGCGTAACAGACAATGTTTCGCCCCGCCGAAGTGCCGCTCTACAGCCACCAGCCAGAACCTAGTTATGGCATGGTTTGAGTGTGCATAAAGTACAAGTATTCGTGTTTACTTACGTTCAACACGTTTGTTAGAAATTGGCGCTGGGTACTCAAAACGCCCTTCGGTAGACCAGTCGTGCCTGTTGGTCGGTGAGCCGGTCTCGCGTAGGCGAGGCGCTCAAATAAATACCTGACGTGAAGACAATGGTTGCGTCATCTTCAGGATCCATTCCTTGAGTTGGTGCTTTCGTGTATGCACCCTTGACGAAGGCTATCGGGAAAAGGTCAACTACGTCGTTAAAAAATTCCATCCCTTGCCAACGTCTCGTTTTGTCTGTCGTGTCCATCACCAGAAACTTGGTACCTCCTACGGCCTCGGAAATATTTGAGACGGTGGTCTCTAACGAACTGGCGCGCTCTGGATCCAGAATGATAAGTTTGCATTCAGTATGCACGAGGCAATGGCGCAGGGGTTGAGGGGGCAGCCAACTTCATCAACAAGAAATTAGCCGACCTTCCACAACGGCGAATTAATCCATTACATTATACTTACGCGTTTACAAGGACAGAAACGGCACCGATAAGGTCTGTGGGTCAATCAGTACAGACCTTTCAAAGGTCGTCCAATGAGTACTCACGGCAAGCCCAGAAGGCGACGAGATAGTCAGGACAGTTTCGGGAACAGATCCCTACACTGTCGCCTGTGAATGAAACGTAGAATGTCGATGACGTAAATCGTTGAAGTACCAAAAAAAGGGAAAAAAATCACCTTTCTTAATGCCATACAGTTGATGGAACGAAGCCGCCACTTGAATGATACGGTTATGTACCTGGTCATATGTTAGGCGCTGATCTTCATAAACGATGTAAATGTCGGTCGAATATTGAGAAACGGCTGATAACCAGAAGTCTCTCAGTGAAGGCCATAAATTCTTGTATACACGGTATAGCCTTCCATCGACAAGTGTCGTCTCGACCTCGTGAACGCAGCCAGGAGCGCGGAGAAGATCTTCGGCTACTGATAGTTAGAGACGAGGGCATCTAGGTAAGGGAAGTCTTACTTTCCTGCAACGTTCGGTGTGGTTTCCAAGTCATGGCTTAGCAAACCAGTAGGCGAAAAGCGCGTATGAGAAACCGGCATGAACATAGGCTTTTATGGACACAGATATTTCCCCTTCCTGCAAATCACGGAAATACCCACATCAAGTTCAGGGATAGAAGGAATGAAGTGGGGCTGAACGATCATTATAAGAACCCACTGACTTCATATCCGCGGGTTCGACGATTTTCCGCGGTTCCTCAGTTTTATTCTGAGTATTGTTCTTGCTCGGCGCCCGATTATCGATAGTATGTTAGACCAAACGCGCTCGAATTTTGGCCGAGATCGGAGACCCCACTGTACTGGTTAACGTAAGATTCAATTTGGATTCAATGCTTTTTCCTTTCTCTGGACATTCCTTCTGGCTCGTGAGCGCCCCTGTCGCTGAATGCGCGCAGGAGGGCTGACAAAATGCTGACAAGCTGGCTGTAATCTGCGGGCAACGGAAAGGAAATTTCCCCCATGGCTATCTTCTTGTGTGACAAAGATAAACCTGGTTGTATCCGTGTTGTCCTCGGACTGAGGTAGTTGTGGATGAGCCAATCGCGCATCCGGGCCGTCTATGTGATATGTTTTTGAGCGCCAGCCTGTGCTTGCAGAAATTTGGATGCCATTCGACGAAATTCAGTACCAATAGTGCAAACGCTGTAACTTAGATGATATCGTGGCTCGAAATTCGCATTTAGCATAGCCGACGAAACGCGGAACTACCCGAAGTTCGTGGGAAGCCTTCGCGCGACAAGTTGGCGGGTCGCATTGGAGTCGCGACTTATCTCTCTCTGTTCCAGAGTGGAGGAACGATTTTTGTGTCCGCTCATTATGGCCCGATTCTAAATATTATTCTCTTCCTCCACCCTTTGCCAATTCCTTTATGTCGGGATTGCTCTGGCAGCCCCCAAGGACGACTTCTGAAATATGTCGTAAAGGCCAGCTATGTCTATGGTTTCATACTAGCAACATCTTGTCTAAAAACCCGTCGAAACCGGGTCGGTTACCGCATTTTCTGTCTCTTTTTTTTGTTGCTCACTTTGACGTGTCGTAGGTGCCTCTAGACGAAAATTGGCCTCAGACTTGAAGCCTAGGTCTGGAAATGGTCGCTTGGAGGTAGCACCAAAGCAATCTACACGCCAGGATGCGAAGCTGAGCTCTGGAAATAGTCGCTCAAGCGATGCACCCAGAAAAGCTCTCTGGAATCAGAAGCCGAGTTCTGGGAGTGATCGGTTAAAGGCTGCACCCACCAGGAGGTCCTTCCGCCCATTTTCCTTTCCTAAACCCGCCATTGAGCGCGATCTGGCGCCACACACGAACAACCAGCCTTGGGAGCCTCCAGTCGATCGGAACCCTTCGTTTAGGAGACGATCTGCGTACAGGAGCGAGCAGGATTGGAAGGGTCGGACTGGCCGCTGGAGTCTCCAGCAAGACTCTACAGGAGTGCAGAGCGACGCGCAAGCTCGGCGTTATCCATCACGAAGGAACGCAGGGCGAGAGTCTGAGAACTACGATGACCGGTCTAGGTCACCCTACGGAAGGTCACAACTAGAGGCGAAACGGGGGTTCGAAAGTTATGACAGGGGCACGCCGCGTCGAACCTACTCTGCAGCACAGGGGACCCGAGAGGCGATCAATAGTGAGGGTTTTCAACGGGAGTTTTCAGGAGGTAGGAGCGACCGTTCTGCCTCCTCTGGGCCGGTACCAAGACGGGAGCCTGACAACAACACCGGCCACTCTACTTCACCCTATGGAAACACGCAACTAGAGCAAAGGCGTAGCGGTAGGCCTACAGTGCCGCGTCGGGTGTTTCCTGAAGAGGAAGTGGCAGAGAGACCCTCAGAGTTTTACGATCCACCACAATCCGTTTCTCTCGCTCCCACAACAGACAATAATGCTTTCTCAAAACTTGCCACAGACTCCCCAGCTTCCACAGAGTTCACCTCACCTCCCATCCTCCAGGGGCTCTTATCTTCTCTGAAGGAGGTGCTTGGGGCTAATGCGAAGCCCACGCCCATCCAATCGCTCAGTCTGAAGTGGTTGCTCAACCAGAGCCCAGGGTGGAAACAATTTCTTCTCGCCTCCGAAACAGGCTCCGGGAAATCCATCGCATACCTTGTCCCTCTCTTACAAAACCTAAAGCAAGCCGAGCTCGATACAGCCGCTACGGAAGTACCCCACGTACAACAAGCACGGGCCTACAACCCACGGGCGTTAATTCTGGCTCCTACACATGAACTCTCGCGCCAGCTTTCAGGGTTCGCCAAATCCCTGCTGCACAACGTCAAACTCCGCGTGCTGTGTGCGTCCAAAGCGAATGTTAAGAGCGTGAAAGAGCAGGATGAGACCGCGAGCAAGATGGCGGCGCAGTTTGATACGATGATTGGGGAGGGTGAGTTTGAGGTCAAGAAGGACAAGTTCCCTGTGGATGTGGTGGTGGGGACGCCGATGAAGTTGATGGAGATGGTTCGTGGTCGGGGCTGGGATCGGAAGGAGGAAGAGAATGAGGAGGAAGGAGAGCGGACGTTGAGAAGGGGGAGAGATAAGATGGTTGGGTTTGGCAAGTGGAGGAATAAACCTGAGATGGGTCTGGCGAATGTGGAGTGGGTTATTGTTGATGAAGCCGATGTTCTCTTCGGTGTGTATGATTAATCTTTCTGATTTATTTATGCTAATTCTCGTCAGATCCCGATTTCCAAGAAACGACTAGAACACTCCTGTCGGACATCAGTCTTGCTCGTGGACATCCTGTCCCCGTCACGCCCGCACTACCGACTACGCCCATATCCTACCCATTCAATCTCCTCCTAACAAGCGCTACCATCCCCACTGCCCTCGCGTCCTATCTCGAAATTTGCCATCCATCTCTTATCAGACTCGCTTCGCCACGGCTGCACCACCTTCCCCAGACCTTGCGGACTGAATACGTCTCCTGGACTGGGGGGAATAAGTTTGTAGACATCGAGCGGCGGATACGCAGAGTCTGGGCTGAGGACTCGTCGACGTTTCATCTACGAACCGGACACCTGTCCAAGGTGCTCATGTTTTGCAACAAGAGCACTAAAGTCCTGGAGTTAAGCTCGCACCTCAACGAACGGGAGATCAAGAATGTAGCTTTGACAAGTAACAGCGAAACTAGGAAGAGAGGGTCGAACCACCATCTCGACGGGTTCTTACGTCCACTGTCAACGAAATCTACAACAACTTCACGTTCGTCTACTCCGGCTCTGGCTCTGAATGATCCTAAAACGACACCACTTGTGTTGATCACTACCTCGCTTCTCTCTCGAGGTCTGGACTTTGACCCATCGATTAAGCATGTGTTCATCGTTGATGAGCCGCGGAATATGATCGACTTTTTGCATCGGGCTGGCAGGTCGGGTCGGGCGGGTGAGCATGGAAAGGTGGTGGTGTTTGGGAAGATGAAGGGGCGGGGTAGCGCGAAAGGGAAAGAGGTTAGGAAGCGCGTGGGGGATTTGCTGTGATAGACGGGGATGTCAGATATATAATTACTTCACTCATAAAGTTACTATATAGATCAACCAGTTCGTCCTTGGATTCTAATTATTACAAGGTACTAAAATCATTTAGTGGCGCGAGCGCCGGTTCCCGACCTTGTTCGAAGTTCAAAGTTTCCAACCCTGTTACTGATGAGCAAAGCATGAAAAATAATAGCTACTTAGAAATATAGATATAGGCGTATGGTGGAAGAAATTCATGCAAGATACTTCTAGATTCCGACTGACCACTCTCACGATCCCTTGTTCGGTCTGGCAGGCAACCTTGTCTCAGACTCCTTGTGCAAAATGAGTTACGATGAACAATTTAAAAAAAGGTGTCCACTAACCTCGTCACCCTCATCAAAAATGTCATCAGCGCTGTCGACTACGATCCAAAGGACATGAGTGATCAAGCTGTATGACGGAGATCTATAGACACATACAATTGTTCTTATCCCTCAAATCCCAACCTTGATCGGGTTGCTGATGGTCGGGGCGAGGACGAAGTCGGCTTTTTGCGGCCTCTCGATCTTGAGCACTGATGAGGTCCCAAGGTACTTTGGTATAGCGAGACGTGGTGGGTGGCGGACTTGGATCCCCACTGGGTCCAAACACTTTTAACTCCAGCAAGGCCGCCTTGAGAGCAGAAATCCATTTGTTTCTGCGTTTTGCTTCATTATTGTGAGTTATAGATAACAAAACCACAAGCATAATTCACATACCTTTGATAGCGCTTTGCTGGCCATTACTCTTGTACTTGATGTCGGCTGATAGCGTCATCTTTTCCTGAGCTGGGATATCTAGACATTGCCAATATTTTCAGGCAAGCCTCTGAGTAGAAGCAACTAAACCCACCTTTGATGTTTACATCGAACATCGCGTGATAGTCACGTCGTTCAGACTCGAGGAACGTCAACATTTTTTCTCGAAGTCGTTCGAGATCCTCAAACGTTGTTGCATAGCTAACATCGAAAGTAAATGTTTCGGACATCTGTGGGAGAGAGGAGCACATAAGAATTCAAGCTAAAATCAAGATTAAAATCGGCCTCCCTGCGGACTACGTCGAAGATTTTGTATGAACTGTCAACGAGGGGGATTTAGAGAAACGAAAGAAAGTATCAGGAAAGGTTCCATCTCACCAACGAATTCAGCATATTGTTTGGTGCTTGAACAAGAATGGAACTGGAATCGAGGAAAATAGTGCTTAAGAGTCGGATTTCTTTCACTGTGTACGATTCTTTGTTGAGGATGACTTTGTCTCCGACATCGAACGGATGTTTGACGAAGAGGAAAATGATACTGGTAAGAACTTCCTGTAGACTTCCGCCGATGAGCCAGCTTAAACCTGTTTGATGATGACTGGTATAAGACTCTTCCTTCGAATGCATAGGATCGGAGACAAACCAAGGATCAAAGTTCCTGTGCCAGTCACGAGGGTAACGAGTTGAGTCTCCTGTATAGATTGTTAAAATTGTCATGTACTCGTAAGGATCAAAGAAATGTACCAATGCGACAGCGATGATGAGTATCGCGACCACAAAGTAAACGGTCATTAAAATGTTGTCCAGCCTGCCAACAGCACTGTCTAGATCTCTCATTGAATTTTCGATAGAAAGTTGTTCCCGATGAAATTCTCTAAATTGCCGTTGCATGAGCTCTGAATCACGTCGATGGGAGCAAGGGGTGCTTACAGACAGCTCATCTCAATCTCATCCAGAGATGCATCCCCATTTCCATCCTTGTCGAATAGAGCAAAGACCTGAGCAGCCTCCTCTTTATTTGAATAATATTTTTCAATATCTTCCACCAACAGATATTCATTATTGGATTTGGCAAAGGAATAGAATAGACGACGGGCAAGCTTGAAAAGATAAGAACAGGTGGTAGTGAACCTTGAAGAGCACCTACTAGACGAGATTTATTGGCAGATTCTAGAGCAGTTTTAACCATCGCGGGGGGAGAATTGGGTTGGAGAACGGAACTACCAGGCAGAGTTAATACTTGCAAGGGGGGGGTGTTGTTCACCTCACCTGCCAGCAATTTCCGAGGCAACGTTTCCCAAAGCGGTTGTCGTGGTCGTGGCAGCTATTCGAACCCCATGCCTCAACTTTTTGAAGATTCGACCGGGATTTACGGACATTCCCTTTTGAGCCGACGATTGTAATGGATCAGTTCGTCCAGGAATGTTGGCGGAATGCCTGTACAAGGTCACCAATGCTCTGACAGCAAACTTTTGATCAGCTATTCGTTCTGAAAAAGACATGTGTCAAAGGAGCGGTTATATTAAAAAGAAGAGAAATATTCACCAGCATATGAACGTTCGTGAAATTTACCAGCAATCCACTGAATAGCAAATTTCTCGAACAAAAGAACTGCGGCACAGAGGAAGAGTGAAAACAGAAGTTTGCCTATCAAGGTGACGGCCTGAGTGCTCTTATCTCCAGCAGCATTGTCTTGATGAATGCTGATGAGGGGATTCCATGAAACCCATGCCGCGAGCGTCCACGCAAACAGCGCTATATACCTTTGAGAAACAGGTTAATTTTAACTGGAGAAACGGGATGAGATGCCTCACCTATGTAAGGCTTGCAGCCAATCGATGTAGCGTCTCGTTCCAACAGCTACGATACCTAGGGTAGATCTTATGATGGTTGGTATGACACGGCTGAAGGTTTCATGTTATTTAATCTGAGTGCGTTTGTTACGAGCGGAAAGGCTTACGAGGTCGCAAGTGCGGCCCACCATCCTGTTGTTTTCCTTAAGGGTGCAACCAAAAATATGAAAGGTAATGTGGGCTCACCTCCCCAAACGACACTCAACCAGATACTCCACCAGATTAGTTTAACACCCCATACCTGCCATCGTTTTTTTTTTCTAAGTGAGATGACGGAAAATGAAGACGCCGAACTGACCTTTGCATGGGGAAATGTAGTGATCGAGAGGATGCCGGGAATCCAGATAATGCCGAGGACGGGGACAATGAACAATATCCATCGCGTCACGATAGACACATTGAGTAAAAAATTATAAAGTCGTGAGAGCTAGCATGTTCATTCGTATCAATAAATACAGCGACGGAAAAGAATCAAAAAACGCACCTTGTTCTTCGGGGTATCACCGTCAGCGTATATGAGGTGCGCTTGACTAGCGTTACGGGAATCGAACTCCTCGTAGGATTGTTCAATCTTTCTTACTCCAGATAAAATGTCCCAGCTCGATGTGCGTCCATTATGCGAATTGTATCCTTGGGTTTTTCTGCGTTCTCCACGTTCTGTATCATATGAAGCTGGAATGCCAGAAATATCAACGTTTTGCTGATCTGGAATAGATGGACCTGGGGGGTAAGACGGCGGTGCCGCAGGTGGGTACATGAACTTTGAATGAGTGTTCGTGGTGTTGTCCTTGACGTTGTTTCAACTTAGAAGTGGCCTTGAGAGACGTTGTCTTGGCGTCATCGGGTTGGCAGGGTGCAGGGAAGGGCAGGGTCCATGCAACCCTCGAACTCCATTGCAAAGCCGACGACCGTCATTGATGGTCGACGTGGAGACGAGAATATTCAGATATGTCGTCATGCAGTATCGAGGTATCAATTTTGTTTAGCAAACAGCCTTACAAGGGATATACACAACAAGTGGGAAGAGAGCCTGCCCGGGTAGTTGTTTGGCCAGCACCAAAAGTAAGTGAAATCACTGAGCGGGCGGCCCGGGAGTGTTGCCGAAACTGGTCTATTGATACCTCGATAGCTGTATTGAAGTCTGCCATCGTACGCGGGGAGAATAAAAAATGTTTAATGTACTACTCGTAATATATTGAATCCAGGGGGTATCTTAAGAACTGGGCTTCGTCAATGTCGCTTTTTGTTAAGGGAATAATCGTGGCCGTGGAGTAAACGTCCGCATAAATCTAAGGTTTGACGAGTCTGGGATAGGCTGTGACGACGGTGAAGAGGGCAAAGGAATGGGACTAGATGTTCCGCGTTTCTTCGGTTTGAAAAGGAGAACGACTACGAGACCAAAGATGATGAGAAGCAATAGGAAGATACACTTGCGTCTTCCGGTATTCTTCTGATACCTGAAAGGGAGGGGTGTTTATAGCAGAAGGGCAGAGGGGTGGGGGGTCACCGACTTTGTTGCAACATTGAGCTCCTCTACAGCTTCTTCTACCTGGACTGCAGTTTGTTCAATGTTATATTCGACACTATCGAGAAGTGTCCCCTGATCGATGACGAGGACGGAAAGGTCTTTGAATAGCTCCGCAAGAGAAGCAATCGATTTCGCGATTTCGGTGAGTTCTCGGTCCCGCGAATGCAATTCCAATGAAGGCTCGACATGAACAAGTGACTGTGATTGTGCTCGTGTATGTGTCTGTTGTGAGGATAGAAGCGGCGACGGATGTGGCAGAAAATGGGTTCAGGTGAGATTGTAGGAGGTCAGGTGCGAAGGATTGTGACTGCGCACTTACGGCTGCTTGAACATCATCGTCTACCTCGCTCATTCCATCGGAACCTTTGAGAGAGATGGCGCCGGAAGCTAGGAGAAGATCTTGATTTTTGATCGCATGACCTTGGATTTCTGGATGCAAAAAAAGAAGATGAATATGTGCGGAGGTTGAATGCGGGGAAGATATCGATAGGACAATTTCAAATTGCCGCGCGGAAGAAGGAAAGGGGATCGGAGGAAATAAATGGGGATGATGAAGAGATAAGGGGGAGGATGACCAACTTTCCATGTAAACACGCTGCTTTTTTCGAAATGCAGCACTCAGGTCCTGCACTTTGGCCGCAAGGCCTCTCTGAACGTTCTTGGCAGTAAGGTCCTCGTGCCTCGACTTCTTGTGATCCGGAGGAAAAGCATGGGATTGAGGGGCACTGATTTTGTTGATAAGAGACTGACAATGACGAAAATCCTAATTGGGAAAAAGGCAATGAGAGAGGTGAAGGAAAGAGGACGAGAACGGACCTTTGTGATATCCGTTGTTAATGCCTCTATCTCGCGTTCTTCATGAGAGCGATCCGAGAAACCCGGAAGAACGTGTTTTGCGTGCAGCTTGTCGAGAGAGGCGACTAGAAAAAGAAAATAAGAGAGAGAAGTAGAAAGAAAGGTCGAGAAGAGAAATACTCTTTGTGTGAGTATCCAAGAGGAGCTCCTGGACTCTGTCGGCATAATCGACCCTATGTAAAATGTAAAAGTGAGTAGGAGCGGAGGCAGTAAGAGATGTGATGACCAAGTTGGAGGAAGGTCTGGGAGGTCGATAACAAGATGAGAAGCCGTTATTAAGTGTTCATTCTCGTCGTTGTTGTCGTGATAGAGGGCACGAGGACGTGAGTTTCTGTATGAAAGAAAGAGGCTTGTACGAGAACGGGTGGTCATCGTCACGGTATGTATGGAGTATGGATGTCACACAGGTCACGGGTTGTGTTGTAGACGGTGACGTACTTACTTGGTATAAATAGGAACGGGGTTGTATCCAGTTACGATGGTAAAATGTGCAGTCTCCGTACGTGAGTAACTCATTTTTCACCGATTCTCTCTCTCATCGTTCTTTTAAAGCGAAGGAACACAACATGGTTGCGGCCATTACATCATCGTATGCCAGCCTTGTCTTCATAATCATTCCCTTCTGACTATTCATTTATCAAGACAAAAAAGGTTGACAGGCGCGATTGCATGAGCGAATACTGCATCTATTCTGACTACCACAGTGAAAATTGTCCCCATTGTCCAAATTGCAAACGCGTCCGTTATCTATCTTTTTTTTTCTTTCTATACCCTTTGCTCATTTGATCCCTTTCAGTACCTCGATCCAGATCATTCAGAAACAATCACCGTACGAACGAACGCTTACTGCACAAGTTGCGAATACTGGTATCATGGCGCCGGTGCCAAGCGTCGACGATAGCCCTCTTCTATATTCATCACAACCTACTCGTATTAGCCGTTAATAGTACAACAGAATATAATCCACCTATTGTCACCATTTAACAGCAAGGCCAACGATCTTACTCTCTTTGCATTCGCAACACTGTTCCTCAAGTTCAGTCATTCGATCCGCCAACTCCACCGCACTCCTGACGAGTCATCCGACGCCGGCGTCCTGTCATCCCAATATGCTTCCTCCCTCCGCGTCCATTCTTTATCTCCCCATCTAGCGCCGGCCATGCCATCCTCTGCAACACCTTGCTCCTCCCAGTTCCTTGAATATCCCTCTGCGCACCACCTGGGCATGCCATCACTTCGATCTAGTCATACGACCGCCCAATGTGTTAGTTCTTTTTTCCGACAGCGGCCCGTCCACCCAATGTACCAGCAGCTCCACTACCAACCCTTACTCCACGCTCCCTGCCCACCTTTCGCACTACATTTTGTAAATTCCAGAACCCATAGCATTTGGTCCCTTTGAAGACAGATTTTCCGCTGCTAACCTCGGTCAAAATATGCTCCTCGTAGTCGGCATTTCGCAATGTTTCAACAAATGTTGAAGCGATATCGACGACGAGGCAATAAGGTGGGAATTATTCCCTGGAGCCTCGTAGTATGTGCAGTGGAGTCAATATGAATCTCTGTCTGAAAAACAAAAGTCAGATGAGGGTATATCTATCAGTCGTCTGACTACGCACATCTGCACCGGTATTTGCGTTCAACTGCTCGACGGGCTTGATACACGCTTGTGCTGGGGTTATGACGTCATTCGAATCAGTCAGTGTCTGCCTTGGAAGTGTGTTTGTTCAGGGAGGACGCAGATGAAGATGATGATGATCAAAGGGATGTCCGGTGACGTTTAAACGTGAAGGTCGATATGGAGGATCAAGACCGCGTCGACTTGGTTTGGATAGAGGGTGGTTGCCAAACAAAGACTTTACAAGCTTCTCTCTCGCCTCCATCATCACAAGCATACCCAAAGGATGTCGTCCAAATGGGACCAACCAGCGCCAGCCGCTGCCTCTTCTACGACCGAAGAGCAACTACTCTCAACGTCAGCGTCAATCGTGAACGGCAAAACTGCTGCAGAAGCTGCTGCAGCCGCAGCTGCCATTGCCGCCAAAATTGCAGCTCAATTCGCTGATGGTACCTTGGGTGGCTTGAACGAGGCTTATTCAAAGGATATCGATATAAACGACGTCAGGAATCGATATATGTTAACTAGAGGATCGACGCAAACAGAGGTGAGCTTAATTTTTTTTTCAAAGTTTCCTGACGACTAAACAATACATTAGATCCACGAAGAAACTGGGGCTTCGGTGAGCACCAAAGGAGTATGGTATCCTGATCGTACCAAGGCGACAGAGAAAGATCCACCTCTCTACCTACATGTCACTGCCGCCACCCCGGAGATACTCCAGAAAGCATTGGACAAGATCGACGAGCTGATGTCTATAGACCTTGGGTCGTTGGTAGAGGATAAGAAGTCGTTGATGAAGGTGAGATTTTTTTTTTCCTTTCTCATAGGCTCCTGCGACTAATCCCGTATAACCTTAAAGCGTAAATGGCCTGAAGAGAAACTTCCAGTCGGCCTAGAGACAATTCGAAATTTTAATGTCCGAGCCAAGGTCGTAGGGCCTCAAGGATCATTTGTCAAGTATATACAACAAGAGACTGGCACCCGTGTTCAGATCAAAGGCATCGGGTCTGGGTTTATTGACCAGGAAACTGGGCGTGAAGGTGACGAGCCCCTGTACATCCACATATCGTGCGTCTCTCAAATTTTCCCCCTGTAACTGAGCTTACCTTCTTCATTTCAGAGGCCCCGAAGACGGTCAAGTTGCTCGTGCAAAGGTACTCACTGAAGACCTTCTCCTCGTCGTCCGATCCGAGCACGCCAAAGCCCAAGCCATCATCCATCAACAGCAAATGGAACTTCATCAGGCCCAAGCCCAGTACGCAGCGTACAGCGCTATGGCGGTAGGTCTTCTCTCCCCTCTCTCTCGTTCTCATCTCTTCTGTCCCAGTGGGATTATGGTACATGAGCTTTCATTCTTCATCTTATTTGTCCACTCCACTCACACATCACATTTTTAACGCGATTCGAATCGGAGAATTGGTTTGTGAGACTAACTATCATCGTCTCGCTCATGTTGCTGTAGGGATACGCACCGCCTCCAGGAAGCGCTCCACCTCCACCACCGCCGGGCGAGCAACCTCCGCCACCCCCTGGTGAAATGCCACCACAGCCAGCAGGCGGTCCTCCCCCGCCTGGGACTGACCAGGCCAGTCATGATGCTTTCGCTACGTATTGGTGAGCGAAAATCCCTCTGTTAATTTGGAATGCGGCTGTTTACTCGTAATTCAGGGCTGCGTATGGGTACGACGTGAACTCCTCTCAATTTAAGGAATGGGCTGCGCAACAGCAGCAACAGTACAGCCAGTATTATGCGGCGTCAGGATCTGCTGCACCCCCTGAGCCTGGTCCTGACGGGGCAGCGGGAAATCATCAGCCACCCCCTCCACCTCCGTAAACACCCCATAGGTATCAGGTAATCTAGATATGCTCTCTGTTACATACATATGTGTTGAATCTTTTCTTTCCTTCGTGATCTACAAGAAGAAACCCACCAGGCTCGTGGTTCAAAGTGCCTATTTTTATTGGAGAATTCTTTTCAAAATTAGGTTTGCTTTACTTCAAACCATACTTGTCCCAGTACTGTTGCATACTCTCCAACTCCCCTTTCATCCCCTTCTTCTCCAGCCACACCATCAAGTCTCGCATCTTCAAGATAGAGAAAACCCTTCCTTCGCCGATGAGATCCTCAAGTTCTTGAACAGTGCTGCTGACCCCATCCTGACCAACTTCCTCTCTGTCTAATGCCTGAACCACGCCCACCACCTCTCCACCATGTTGCTTGACCGTCTCGATTGCTGCGCGTACAGCTTTTCCAGAGGTCATCACATCATCGAGAATGACGACTTTCTTCCCTTCTACCGAAACCCCAACCATCTTTCCTCCCTCACCATGATCCTTGGCTTCTTTCCTGTCATATGCAAATCCAACGGAAATGTTGTGTTGCGTGTAAAGTGCGAGTGCAGCGGTAGACGCGAACGGAATCCCTTTGTATGCAGGTCCAAACAGGACATCGAAAGTTGGGACGGCTTTAGATGAAAGCGCATTGGAAATGGTAGTGGCGTAAGCGGTTGAAAGGGTGGCAAGGATTGGTCCCGTTGACAAAAGCCCAGCGTTGAAGAAGTATGGCGAGACACTGACAGTGCGATCACAAATTCATTGGCTGGTGCGTCGAGTTGTGAACGCCTGGACGCACCGCCCCGATTTGAGGGTAAACGACCCAAATTTTAGAGCTTCTACGGACATGGCATGTTCAATGAGGTCGGATTGGTAGCTGGAGATGGAGGATGAGGTAGCCATGATAGCGGAAAAATTTGAAAGATCGTCACATAACAAAGATCTTATCTTATCGACGGTTCATTCTAATAGTCCACACATCACCTATCACAACCTACTCGTAAAAATACAACAGAATATATAATCCACCTATTGTCACCATTTAACAGCAAGACCAATCACCTCACTCTCTACTGCCCGATATTGCGTTCGCAATATGTTTCCTCCTTCTCTTTCCTTCGAGCATAACTCTCTGTGAACAAGTTCAGTCATTCGATCCGCCAACTCCACCGCACTCTCTGACGAGCACCCAGTTCCATCCGACGCCGGCGTCCTGTCATCCCAATATACTTCCTCCACCTTCCGCGTCCACTCTTTATCTCCCCATCTGGTCGTAATTGGCTCCTCTGCGACACCTTCCTCCTCCCAATTCCTTGAATATCCCTCTGCATCTTTTGCTGCACCAGCACCGGACGCTGGCACTTTTAATTGCCCTCCACCATTCACGCAACCACCTGGACACGCCATCACTTCGATGTAGTCATACGACCGCCCACTGTGCTGAGTCTTCCTTCCGACAACGGCCCGTCCACCCAATTTACCAGCAGCTCCACCAGCAACTCTTACTCCACGCTCCCTGCCCACCTTTCGCACGACGTTTTGCAAATTCCGAAACCCATAGCACTTGGCCCCTTTGAAGACAATGTTTCCACTGCCAACCTCAGTCAAAACATGCTCCTCGTAGTCGGCATTTCGCAATGTTTTGACAGAAAGTTGAAGCGGTATCGACGACGAGGCAGTAAGGTGGGAAACAATGGATTGAAGGTAGGATCCAGATGACGATCCGGGGTGTTGCAAGAGTTCGGGGAGGTCAAAACTGGAGCTGCTCGATTGCCAGGGTGCGTCATCCAGCTCACGGGGCAAGGAAAGATTCCATTCTTTCTCTCGCATCATCAACTCGAGTTCTCCCGTTGTAATGACACAATCGACGTCCCTTGTCGAATAAGTCTCGTTGTAAAAGTCTTGCCGTGAAGCCTCAAGCTTTTTATCGTAACATGGCATCACGGAAACGTGGTAAACGTCCTGAGGCCTATCAAAATAAAATAAAAGGAGGGTGAACGTCCATGGACGACAATTACATTCAACTCACAGTTTGCCCCACTTGGCGCCCATCCACTCTTTCACCAACGTTCCCATAACCTGTTGCGGGCTTTTGGTGGTGGCGATAAACGGCAGCATCTCTGAATGTGCCTTTTCCGCGTAACAGATCCACCCCGGACATGCACTCGCCAGCATTGGAAGCTGTCCCACAGCATCCTCTCCCCCAGCTTGGTCTTTCAACCGACGCTCCTCAAACTCGGCCACGTGCTCACGCAGTGCCAAATGTCGAGCGAATGTGGTGTCGAAGACATGGGCAAAGCCTAGTACGTTTTTGCAAAACAGCTCAACCCGACGTAGGACTTGTCTTGGGGTGATTGGTGTAGGGGAGGAATGCGATAGGGAAGCGGCTAAAGATGCCAGAGACTGTGGAGCTATCGATATAACAGGAATCTTGTAGGATTCGGATGATGAAGAATTTGCCTCCAAAAAATTCAAAACCTCTGTATGAGATTGGAGGGTGATAAGGACGGATTCAGCGGATGTGATGCAGCCACTAAAAGTTCACCAATTACATAGAGGAAACCCAGGGGAAGAAATGTACTTACCTACATGCTAAGCAATCGTTCAAGCTGATCTGTGCTTGCTCCAATTGCTTCCCCGATGAAGTTGGTTGGGAAGACGAATCATTCCCTGAGACCTCGTAGTATGCGCCACTGGAGTCAATATGAATCTCTGTCTGAAAAAAAAAAGTCAGATGAGGGTAAATCTATCGGTGGTCTGACTACGCACATCTGCTGTCCCCGCTTCCTTCTCAACACTGAGATTTGCGTTCGACTGCTCGACGGGCTTGATGCACGCTTGTGCCGGTGTTATGAAATCATTCAGATCAGTCAGTGTCTGGTTGTGTGGGTTAAGTCATTACATTGATAAAACTCGTGTTTATGAACCTACGAGCGCACCAGAAAAGGCCATAGAACGAGTGTGTTCAAGCTCAAGGATATAACAGATCTGGTGACAAATCGTTCACATGTTGATGAATAATTGGTCCTATTACATGAATTCCAACAAGTCCCAGCAATGCGTACTACAAATTATCTACGTGCAAAAGTCCTTGCGTAGGGTAGAAATAATGACAAAAATTACAAGCCTTATGCCTGAACGTTACAAGTAGCCGCTGCTTACACGCAAAGGGCGACAAGTGTGGTGGCAATCATCACGACAGCGGTCAATGTGGTAATTGAACCGCCATGATGGTGAGCATCGCTTTTGACCGGCTGGCCTGTGAGATTTGACGACGCTCCGTTTCCCCACATCTGAATGTTACGGAAAAAAGTATGGGTGGTATTTGGGGTGGCCCAGCTTGAGTCGGAACCTACACGAATGGTCAGACAAACAAAAATGCAGGTAAATGGCACTCTTGCCTCCAAAAAATGTCCTATCCGGATGTGTGAGATGACATTGAGTCCGAAAAAACAAACGACTTACGATAGATAAAAGCCATTGGCAGTTAGACTAGAATTGCTCCGGATCTGCAAATTTTGCTGGCTCAGAGCCAAAAGGTCATTGTAACTGTGGATGTAAATCAGAACGCCATTCCGGATAAGTAGACCCCTTAATACTAGCTAGAGAAGAATATTGCCATTAGCTTCGTCAGGTGGATTGTTGAGTTGTACAAGCATGGTAATTTTGTTCCATCTAGTCCGAACGGTAGGATGTTATGATTCACCGGAATAGATGGGATGTGGTCAAACTTACTGGCCACTCACAAAACTAAAAGAACCTCGCTGAATGCTAATTCCAAAGTCTGAATTACAAACAATGCCCTTTGTTGAGCACAACCCATCCGGGCTGGGAATGTACGCGTATACTATGGTTGGTTAGCGAGAAATCGGAGAATAAATCGATTTCGAAATACCTTCTCCGGCTCCGTTTGGCCGCCACATCACTCTAAAACTGAAGCAATCTTGACCAGTTGCTTTATTCCCTCCGCTGCAACCAGTAGACTTTAAGCCTCCTCTCAATCCTGGTAATTTCCCTCCTTTTACCCAATCAAAGCCAGCTTCGAACGCAACTTCGTAGGACAGCAGCATGGAGGAAAAATTAGACCCATCCGAAGAATTCCAGAGCGTGTAGAGCTGTGCGCCGCCTGTATCATTGGAATAACTACCAGCCGGGTATGTGACTTGCAAGACGGGACTACTGGGAGAGACTTGGCCAGAAGACGCAGTGGGAGTGCTATCAGGGTATGGATCGTTTACGAAGGCGAGGTTATTAGGACCGTCCTGAATGCGGCCTTTTCCCAGAGACCAAGAGGAGACTATAAAAGATTGTGCGGCTGCGGAAGCCTGGGTCGCTGAGGGAAATGGGAAAACAGTGCTTGTTGAGAGTGAATATTGCGAAGCAAGAGAGCTTGCGGGTATCTGCTGCGCGGCAGCAACTAGAGGTAGTATGTAGTTAAAGGCATAGAAAAGAAAGACGAGCAACTTGGGCATAGTGAAGGGGTAAGTGTCCGAAATGACATACATAACAGTCCATAACAACTCTATAATATGTTCCGTAGCGTCAATGAAGACACGAATCCCCTTCTCAGCCCAGAACACTCCTTATTCTCTATAGTCGACGACGACGACGACCTCGACGCGACCTCTGCACTTGACCCTGACAACAACGCTCTAAAACATGATCAAGTCCACGTTATTTCACAACCCCTGCGCTCAACCATTTCCAGCCGTGAAGCAGGCATGTACGTTCCCCATCTTTATCGAACCGCGTTGATAATTTATACTCTTAAAGAATACGACTTAGATCCCGACGACCTCGACGATGATACCTCTTTACGACAACTTGAAAACACTCGCGTCACTCCCAATGATCAATCTATGCCTTTGCTCGTGGGTCTCATTGATTCATCTGCACGAAGAAGTACGGATTTTTCCCTGCCACTCAATCAACATAATGGACACGGGTCGATGGAAGACGAAATTGACCTTGACGCGCTTGCCTCCAAGAGGACTTCTGGCGGGGGTCTTCTAAACTCAACAGCCAACATGGCCAATTCCATCTTAGGCGCGGGTGAGCACTCTTCATTGCTGTTCTTTTTTTTGACCCCTCATATACAATATCGAAAGGGATAATCGGTACTTGTCAATCATAAATGGTCCCAAACCACTTTTTCATGCTTCGTTTTCAGGTCTACCATACGCCGTACGGCAGGCTGGTTTCTTCACTGGACTTGTGTTGCTCGTAATCCTCTGCGCTGTTACGGACTGGACTATTCGACTCATCGTTGTCAACGCAAAACTTAGTGGTGGACATTCATACATCGACGTCATGAATCACTGCTTTGGTTCTTCTGGAAGAGCAGCCGTGTCGTTCTTTCAATTTTCCTTTGCTTTCGGAGGTCTGTGTTTTTCTTCCACCCCATGTGAAGGACTGACGATAGAATTTAGGGATGTGTGCTTTTGGGATTATCATTGGTGATACCATCCCCCACGTCATGCGCTCAGCATTCCCAAAACTCTCTACGATACCCATTCTTAAGCTCTTGGCAAACCGGCAGTTCATGATTGTCCTTTGTACCGTCTGCGTTTCTTATCCACTATCCCTTTATCGTGATATCCATAAACTATCTCGTGCCTCCGGTCTCGCTCTGGTTGGCATGCTGGTCATTGTTTTTTCAGTACTGATCGAGGGGCCCCATGCTCCATCAGAGCTGAAAGGTGACCCTTCGAAGAAATTTACAGTCATAGGGCCTGGAATCTTCCAAGCTATCGGGGTTATCAGTTTCGCTTTTGGTATTTGCCGCGCCCCCTGCTACCTCAACTGTTGCCTAACCACATTTTCGTCATCTAGTTTGCCATCATAATTCTCTCTTGATATATGGCAGTTTGCGAACACCTACTTTGGACAGATTTGCCAAAGTGACTCACATATCAACGTTTATCTCACTCGTTTCCTGTACGACATTGGCGGTTTCAGCATATGTCGTATTTACGGACAAAACGGAGGGAAATATTCTGAACAACTTCTCGCCGGTGAGGATCATTTTCGACTTTTGAAGATGATCAGTCCATGCTGAGATTCTGACAGAATGACACCTTGATTAACGTTGCAAGATTTGCGTTCGGTTTGAATATGTTCACGACGCTGCCGCTAGAGTTGTTCGTTTGCAGAGAGGTTCGTCCCGGATACACCTTTTCTAACTTCGTCTAAGCCTGAGTTCTATGTTTATAGGTCATCGAACAATTTTTCTTCTCTCACGAAACTTTCAACATGCAACGCCATGTCTTCTTCACCACGACCATTCTATTCTCATCGATGTTTGGTGCGACTTCTCATCACAACGATTTGCTGATCAGCTTAAGAACACTCCACAGTGGCTCTGATAACATGCGATTTAGGTGTCATGCTTGAGATTACAGGCGGCGTCTCTGCTACAACCTTGGCCTTTATTTTTCCCGCAGTTTGCTACATCAAGCTTTGCGACAAACAGCTCGTTTGGTATAGCCGCACAAAACTTCCCGCAGTCATCTGCGCTGCCTTTGGCCTCATTGTTATGATAATATCTCTTTTTCTTGCGCTTGCGAAGACATGGACGCCAGAAGGACGCACAAAACTATGTGTATAGTGTAATGGGTGCACATACTTATTTAGATCGTAGACCCCAACCCATGGCTGGCATGTAAATTAGGATACATCGTAATCAAGACACAGATATAGCATTCTTCAACCCAGGTATATCATCCAGCGCCTCTACTCTGACACCCTTTGCCGTGCTTTCCTGAGCGGATAGAGGTGAAACGTCCAGCTTTTCGTAATGAGACCAAAGATGTTCAATGCGTTCGAGTGGGCTTTGATCTGGTGCGCAACTTGGGGGATCACAGACAAGAAGCCAGATGGCGTCATATCCCCCGGCTTTTGGTGAAAGCATGAGTGCTGAAAAGCAAGTTCAGAAGTAAGAACAGCGTACCGCCCGGAACTCCACCTCCAATTACACCGGCTTGTGAAGCGCAAGCATCCAATAATGTTGTCTGTTCAATCGGCTCAATTGGAACTCCAGAAAGATTGCCCATCTCCCTCATCTTCTCACGGATGGCCTTGAAATACGAAAACCAAAGGGAGTCACAAAGGAACACGGCTTTCGAGAAAAAAATAACTGACCTCACAGATATGGTGGGCTTCATAGAATGCTGCAATGATTGGTTGCTCCGAAGCGGGCTGTAGAGGATTTGCTACCCACTTTGAAATAAGAAGGATGAGATCAGGTTCCTTTTCAGTTCAGCAACGCCTTACTTGTACAGGCTGCAAAGAACAAATGTATTTCACTGCACTCGCGTAATTCTCGTAGTCGTCTTCGGCGAGCTTTCCCAGGTGGAGAAGGGTTTGGGCCAAGGACTGATTTTGCTGGTCAAGGTTCTTCCACAATGCCTCAGCTACAATACAATTCTTTGAGATGATGAGAGGTATTAAGGAAATTCAAACCTTCTGTGCTGTTTTCTTTGCGCCATTTCAATACCTTCCCTACCAACGACGGGGTATCACTGCCAGCATCGACGTCGGCCAACACGATCCGAGTCAAGGGCGGGAGCTTGAATGGTTCGATGCGGTAGTTCCAAGCTGCGTTAGACGGCGATAGCACAGACGGCAGTTGTGATGGTAACTAGAAAGCGTCAATGGACAAGGTGATATTAGCATTCGAGAGACGTACTGCGTCGTCACTCATTAAATCCTGGATGACTGCTGGATCAAACCGAGAGTAAAGGTGGCTACCAAAGACAGCAGCTGAGACATCGAAGCCGCTGCCAACCTTCCCTTGAGCCAGACAGTGAACATATTGGGCAAGGTTATGAGCCTGCCGTCTATCTCTGCTGTCATCCTCAGCAAGCGATGACTCGGAGATCACAGAAAGATGAACAAGGATGGCAGATGTGAGGGAAGTGATCAGGGCGGCAGAAGAACCGAGACCAGTCTTATGGACATCAGACAAATGAACTTCTGTTGCGCAGAAGGGTGTTATTTCAGTAAGCGAATCGAGTGTACGGGGAAGGCCCAGGGACTCTAACTGTCAAAGAAAGGAAAGATGAGAGAGATGAGGCAAGAGTTAATATATGCGGAACCTTCGCGCGTTGAGAATAAAAGTCATTATCGCCGACAATGGCTATGTCAAAGCCATGCGTCAATGCTTCCTGAATTTGTGCAGCACCCCGCAGTTCCACGGCCAACGCAATGGTTTTCTGCAGTGCGAGGTGAACAAATTTATTTTTGCTGGAGCTAACCCGAGTTAAAAAGCATGAGCATCGAAGGGAGTGCGAAGAAGCTACTTCTCTGGCGATGCTTCCACAGCAACAGCTGGTTCAAAGAGCACCGAGTACGACCACGTAGCCTCCAAAAATTGCGGTGATCGCACGCGTATCGTGTTCTTACTTAAAAGTTCCTGGCTTTGAATAACAGTGTAGAAGCGAGAGGAAGTGGACACGACTGTGCCAGGGTATGCTGGATCAAGAACAAGATAACCACCAGCGATGAGAACTTTCCCTGGAGCAGACACAACAGTTGTGCGAACCATGGCAGGCAGGTATGGATCAAGTTGGGGCTTGGTAGTACTGAAATCTCATGCGGCGTAGGACTTTATAGTGGCTGTATAACCAACCCCAGGCAAGAATCACAATCATTATCTTATCTTATCATATTGACAATGACCGCGGCCCACAACCACTAGCTTCTCATAGACACGTAACTCACAACATCTTCAACCCAACTGTACCACAGTAACTACTGTAAACGTTGCTTCTACCACTCGTTATCAGCCCCCCTGCGCGAACCAAGCCTTTTGGTTGCCACACGTTGCGTTTGTGCAACCTGGACACCGCAAGCCAAATTGCACGCCAACAGGTCCCATCCCCGCGGCGCAATCGCGAAGATGTTCTGCGGCAATGTCGGCAAGCGCTCGAATGAAGATCGGCGAACCATTTAGAGACTCTGCTCGATGTATTTCGATGCCATGCTACAATCGGACGTTAGAAAGCTTAGGTTAAAACAGGGTCGACCAGAAGAACTGCTAACCTCTCTTGCCTCCTTTGCATACTCTAGGTCAAGTTCATACAACGTCTCAATATGGTCACTCGTGAAGGCAATCGGGACCAGCACAACTTGCTTTTTCCCGAGGCGTGCGAGCCCTTTGAGAGCTTCACCAGTCTGCATCCCCATCCAAGCTGATGGTCCAACCTGGGATTGCCATACTAAACGATAAGGGTTGGAGTGACCTAATCGTTTCATGACCGCCGCCACGGAAGCTGAAACCTCTAATATATATGGATCTCCGCGGTTGACGACCGACATTGGTAAAGAATGTGCGGAAAAGAGTAAAACGGCGTTGGCGCGTGTGTGGGGTGAAAATTTCTCCAAAGCCGCCTCAACATTTTGCGCAACTGCCTGTGGTGTGGATGTAAGATTTTGTGTATGTGAACCCAGGCGGCAAGTACCTCGACGAAACCAGAATGAGTTCCCCAGCGATCTATCACGCTCCATTGGACATCACCCATCTCTCCACCCTTTCCACGACGATATAGCTCGTTCAAACTGCTTCCTGTTGTACTGCAGCTATATTGTGGGTATTGCGTGAACGCAATCGCTCTCTTGACACCGTCCGCCTTCATTTGCCGTGCTGTGTCCTGTGTGAGTGGTCTAGCATACCGAAATGCGACATATGCTTTGTGTGGAGCGGTTGGTGGATGAAGCTCGTCGAGAAGTTGCGCCATGCCCTCGCCTTGTAGCTTCGTATAATGAAGGATAGGCGAACCTCCCCCAATAGCGGCATATTGTTTTTCAATCTGCGGTGTTCTTCGACGAGCAATGTATGGTGCTAGGAAGCGCTGGAAGGGTAGTGGGATGAGGTCACTGTCGAGGAAGAGGTTTTTGAGAAAGTCGTGCGTTTCTTCGACCTACTCCTGGTTAGTAATGGGAAGACGGAGAATAACGCGTTGAGCTGACTGTCGAAGGCCCTCCCATATTTAGCATGACGACAGCTTCCACAGTTGTTATTATTTTGTTGAGTAGTAGAATTAAATCTCTTACCTGTGGGACTTGAGACCGCGTAAGAAGGCGGACTCTATGGGCTAAGAGACGACCGAATTTACCTCTTATGAGTGGTTAGATTTTGGTAAGTCGAGAAAGAGCGAGAAAGGGCATTGATTGTGGGGAAACGCATGCTGAGATGGGAGATGGGAGAGGGAGTATAAATATGTCACTGTGTTGAATACGCTAACGATGTGATTGGTTGACTATTCGGGTCCCCGGTCTTCTCGTCGGCCTCTAGCCAAAATGATGCACTTTTGAAGAGTGAAGCCCTGAGTCTCATGGGGACTCGAACAGGCCTATCTACCAACACCTGGGGTACGGTTTGGGTACGGTCAAGGTTCGATACGTACTGGCAGATGGTACATTCCCATGGTGTGGCAACCACTGATATATGTCTAGAAATGTGCCCGTTCGATGAAATATACGTACACTGCAAAAAAAGGTGGGGTAATGTACCATGAATGTATGACTACTATAAACACAATGAATGCACAACTGAACGATCATGTCGGATGGCGTCAGGGATTTCTTCGTCGCTCCCTCCGAGATCGTTTAGAAGGAAGAATCTCGACCGCTCTTTGGCATACTGGGCATCGCCCAGAAACGTCGGTAAGCCAGGGATCCAAGCAAGTTTTCTGAAGGTTGGTGTCAGCTGTGCTGACAGAGACGTTACAGAAGGTACTGACATGAAAAACATGGCCACAAGCTAGAAGTCTCAACGGTTGCGCACCGTCGCCAGCGTCAGCAAGCTTCAATTGTTCCTCTCTTTCCTCCTCGTCAACGACAGATATTTCGGGTACAGACGACGCTAGTTTTGCAGGCGTCTCCGCAGGAGTGCCGTCGAGTTCGGCTCCTGTGCCAGATACAAAATTCTTTCGCTTGGGTTCTTCAAAGTCCATCAAACAGATAGCGCATGCAGCACGATTCCCTTCCAAAACGACAAAGGGATAATCGCTCCGTTCCCAATGTCCTTCCCAAGACTCTGGGTCCTCTTCATTTTCAGCTTTTTCCATTGGATTTCCAGAAGAATTTCCTGAAGCCTTTGCTTCACCCTTTTTTCCAGCAAGCAGTGGTATTTTCCTAAAGAATTTAAAGCGGTGTTTAGGGGGCCTTGACTCAACAGAGATTTTTGGCGGATATGAGTGGGAGGGCCCAGGGATATTGGACCCTTCAGACGCGGAATTCGGAGGAGGGGGTATGTACATCACAAGCGGAATACGATCAACAACAGATTTCGACAACTTTCCAATTTCTGGCTTGATCATGTGGGGATTTTGCAATGGGTGACGGCCAATGCATATTAGGAAGATATTCCAAAAGACCTATAGGGTTCGGGGTCATAAAACGAACTATCAAAAGGGCAAGCGCTTACGAAAAGGATCGGTGCGACAATCAAAACAATGAAGCCCAGAAGCAGAACCTCTAGAACCATAAGATACATTATACAGAGAATTCCAAATGTCAGCCACCACAGATGAGGGGAAGAGTGTCGACATGTGTGAACAGACGTGTACTCTAGAATGTGGGCTGTCAAGAACCAGGTAAGAGTCATTAACGAAGAAAGGAGTGTCAAGCTTGAGAGGTTGATTAAAATGGGTTCAAGTCGAAAGATGCAGGAATGTACAAACCGAGAATAAAGTTGAGTATGGGGCAGGACGACAGGTTCTTGAGCATCTTCGGGAGATAGTGGTGTGTTGTTAGCTCGCCGCGTTGCTACGCCTCCGTGTAAATTTGCCAATTGAGGGTTCTGCGCGCTTGATGCGGGAGAAACAGCACCAATTTCCACCTCGGTACGCGGTGCGTGACTAAATTCAGGTGGGTTTCGGATGCAAAGGAGAAGAGGAAGACATGAACGCACCTAAGGCGATCTCTTGTGAATTCCCAATAAGCTAACACGGACGCAAGGGCCACCCTAACGATCCAAAGGCAAGCCCAAATACCCAGGGGCCGATCACAAGCCTTCCATTCGCTGATTCCAGGCTTGGTGGGACTTTTAAAGACGGTCCCAGACAATCCCAAAAGGGTTGATATTACGATAACCTGGCAAAAGCGGTATGACGACCAAGGGTGAGGAGGAACAAACTAACACGCACCTGCGAGAAACCCCATGAAAGGTTCCAGATTAGGGAGACAAGGGACTTCCGAGCGTGTGACGCGCCCCGTCCCACCCCGAAATAAGCGAGAGTCCTAGAGTACAAAGACCTGCGTTGCTGATGTCTATCTCGCTGATCAAGCGAACCGGCGACTAGAGGATCTGGGAAACCTTGGTGCTCTGAATTTGTATTGTTTGCTGCCGTAGGCGCTGTTTCCAAACTTTGAACCAACCTAGGGGATAATGTAGCGGGTATGGATGGCTGTATGTTGATTTGGACATCAGGTATATCGGAATTCTCTGACATCCTGAGTGAGGCTTGTCCTGGATGCGGAAGGTCCGTTCGGCGAGGTATATCTCCAGCAGATCTGATTCTGCGTAGCGGGGCATCTTGAAGGGGGAGATCCACCACAGACATAATATAAAAGGGGTTGCAATTGAGCACAGTGTCGATGAAGGACGTGGAGATCGCAGGAAGGCGCCCACTGGAGGCGTGCTAATCAACCATTCCAGTGCAGAGCTGTTGTGTCACGCTCACGTCACGTCCAACCTGAGGTTGCAATTTGAATATAAAACTTAAAGTCTAGCTCAAGAATTGTATTCAACATTTATATGAACCCGCTCAAATCAGCAACGTCCTGTGGCTTCCTTCCAGATCGGTGTAAGCGCTTGTGCTACCGTGTTCGCAGCTAAAATGTCACATCAGGGCGGCCTCTCTTAGCGAGTACCGGCTTTGACGCACCAACTTCCAGTGAATCCCTTTCCGCCTCATCCACAACACTCTTTAATAACGATCTGCTACTCCAACGATCTGGATGGAATCTGCGATGGCTTTTTTCAACAAATGTTTTGAAGTCTTGAGGTCGCATCTGTCCCTTCAGAACGGCGAAGAACTCTTCCACCGATGCCCATTGGACATCCTCCACCGAGAATCTTGACGGTGGGTGTAAAACCGGCCAAGGGACAGAATCCACCGTAAGGGGCTCCAAGTCGCAGAACTTCGTTGTATCAAAATATTCACTCATCGCTTTGTACTTTTCCAAGGCTCGTTGCGGCGTCCACGGCCCAGATGACCACCTTTGTTGCCGTTGTTGCCGTTCATGCTCTCGTCTGGCCCGTTCCTGCCTATCCTGCTGGCGGGCGTTATCGCGCTGCTCGGCCTCCTGCTGTTCTCGGGCCCGACGTTCTTCCTGTCTTTTGACTTCTTCGCGCTTATGCGCTGCAGCTCTCGCCTGTCGAGCTTCCGCCTCCGCCTTTTCTCTAATGGCACGCTTTTTAGCCTCTTCTTCCCATAAAGGACGATCAGCTTCGAGCTGCGCAAGTTTGCGACGTGATTCTTCAATTTTCGCTCGCCGCTCAGCTTCCTCAGGATCTAATCCTGAATTAAAACCGTCCATGCTTTCCTCATCAACGGTCTCTACCAGCGCAAGGTACTATGATTATTAGAACAGTCTGGAGAAAACTGAACTCGCACCAGCTTCTCCTTCGGGCACGTCAGCAAGGATTTCGCTCATGAACCGTTGTTCACGCAGCTGCCTTCGAGTAAGAATTTCTTGCTCCCGGCGTTCGCGTTTTTGTTTCTCACGTTCTAGTCGTTTTGCCTCCAATTCTCGTTTTGTAGATGAGGGCGAAACGGTGCGAGTGCGTTTCTGGTACTTTGGAGCGTAGTTAACCGTGTTGCGGAGATAATCTTCGTTGGCGTAATGTGGATCTTCGGAACGTAGCGATTCAAACAACGTATTCACTTTGCAAATGAAAAGACATTAACGAAGGGCACGGAGAGAGGAGTGTGTTGTTGTACCTTTCCGTTTATGTGGTTCTGGAGAAATAACTTGTGGTTGTTCCGGTCGTGAAAAATCAAATGGACGGTTGCATTGGGATTGCAGTCGCTCAGCGCGACGAATAATTTTCGCCCTTCTTGCTTCTCTTTCCAGGTGGTTTCGCTGGTGGCGTCTCTTTGAAAATAAGTCACCATCTGGTCCCCTCGATCTTCTGCCATCGTCCACAATCATCTCAATGACTTCGTCCTCCTCTTCGTCCTCTACACTTTGCTCTTCGTCTGAGCTAGAATCCGATTGTAAAATATGAGCTTTCTTCCTCTGATCCGAAATGGGCGCAGGCACTGGGGATGAATGGCGCTTCTCCCCCGACGCTGGGCCTTTTTCTCGTGGTTGAGGCCTAGTTCGAGTAATGGTGCTCAAGGAAGGTGGTGCACGGACAAGGCACTCATAAAAAGGATCCAATTTGTAGATGTCCCACTGCTCTTGAGTGCAGTTGACGAGCTGCCTATCTGGAATCAGTTTCACTCTGAAAGGTGACAAAAGTTCTTACCCACAAAGTTCAACGGTTCGTGGCCAGGTCCCCTCGTCAAGCACGCCGTCCTCTCTTGCCGCATTCGGAACGAAACGCCAGAAACTTTGCCCAGTCGGCAACGTCTCTAGAACGATGCGCTTTGGCCTGTAGAGTTCTTCGTTCAACGAGAGCTTGCGAAGGTCAGAAACATCTGGCGGAGTCGCGACATGGGGGTCAAAAGATGCGAAGGAGAGACTTGAGTCCGGCGTTCGAAGAAGACGTGACGATTGAGTGGGATCAATGATACCTGGCTTTGTGCCACTGAGAACAGGTAGAGTAGAAGGCCCAGGAGAATTTGCTGGCATATGGTTATGAGTCATAACGTGGTTTTTGGTGGGTCCTGTCCTGCCCCGTCGTCGTTTTTGAGGCCTCGTCGTTGGTTACTGTCAAGCCTTGTCTGTCCTTGTTCGCTAATGGGTAACGAGTTCATCACTGATCAGGTTCATTATGCCTTGTTACTCGCAACGTGACCGTATCACTTGAGCAACAGCACACGTGATGGCACTTAATGCACATATCGGGCAGCTGCCCTGCACAACTGACTCGTTCAGACAATTCCTGACAGCGACGTTGACGGTTTCTGACTCGCGAGGTCAAGTTAATTACATTTAAATCGACCAAATTTTCTCGGTGACCATCGCACCATGACAACACTAAGGACGTTTCAGAACGAGATAGACGAGATTCACACCCGTGAACTGTCGAAGCAACGAGCACAGACTCTAATTGATAAAGAAAAGGACAGCAAACACCAGGCGAAAGGCAAGGGGAGGGAACGGGCAGATGAATCTGCCAAAGTTTCCAAGGAGAGGGGAGAGGTAGATGAATCTGCGAAAGTTTCTCGCTTCGAAGGAATGCAGGAGATTGAGGAGCGGATATTGGTACAAACCTCTGACCACGTTGCATGTCCTCATGCTAACAATCACATTAGACACAGCTGCTCTCTCAAACTCCATCCGATCACGACGTTGCTCGCGACCGGCTTTCTGCTCTCCTAACCCAGAATAACGGGGAATATGTGCTACGGATAGGTCGACAACCCCCACATGCGTTACTCTTCGCCAATGACCTCTCTGATGAGACCAGTGAATGGACAGGTGTTCCACGGACAGCAGAAGAGATCATGAAAATACGCGAAGAGATCACCAAAACTATAGAGGAGATCGGAGGCAAGGTAAATGTTCAATCAAAAGGTTGCATCTTCTTTACTGAATTCACTCTTCCAGACATGCGTTTTATTCGAGGCCTACTCAACAGATCCCCGAACGTCCTTGCTCCTAAGATTACCACCACTAAATGTGTCGATGACTCCGGAGGTTAGGTGTGCGGTGGTTGGTAATGTAGATAGCGGAAAGTCAACAACATTGGGGGTCCTAACTCGGGGTATCTATCTTGGCCGTGAATTGATGCAAGAAACGCTAATGTGACCTTAGGAGCCCTTGACGATGGGAGAGGTCGCGCACGCGTAGGACTTTTTCGGCACAAGCATGAAGTCGAGACAGGACGAACCTCAAGTGTCGGGATGGAGGTATGTCATACCTCGGTTTCAACGATTTACTCCAAAGCCGATGGTAGATTCTTGGCTTCGCGCCTTCTGGGGAGCCGATATTGCCAAACATCGCAAACTTGACAGATCCAGATGTTCTGCGGCGTGAGAAGTTGGGTTGGGAAGAAATATCTGTGCAGGCTGCAAAAATTATCTCTTTCATTGGTCAGCTTAGCGTCAATAGTCCTTACATGGATCCTGATACCGGATTAGATTTGGCTGGCCACGAACGATATCTGAAGACGACATTATACGGTCTCACATCGGGGGCTCCATCTTGTGTAATTCTGATGGTAGGAGCTAATGCAGGGCTGATAGGGATGTCCAAGGAGCATCTTGCCATCGCCCTAGCTTTGAGCGTCCCGGTCGTGGTTTGCATCACAAAGGTATCTTCTACGCACCGCGTTCGCGTCGCAAGAGCTCAAGCGTCGATCCAGATTGACATGACCCCACCAAATGTCCTAGCAGAGACGGTGAAACAGGTTGTCAAGATTCTAAAAAGTCCCGGATGCCGGTTTGTTCAATCTTCACAATTGTGACCTCCTTGCCCTGACGCCGATTGAAAGAAAAACCCCAGTCTTTGTCAAATCAGTAGAAACCGCGGTCGAACTCTCGACTTCATTCGGAACTGATAGGTCAGTTTTCTTTTGCTCACCCCTTCATTCCTGATGGTAGACGTTTACTTTTAGAATATGTCCAATTTTTCAGGTTTCCAATGTCACTGGTGAAGGACTCGACTTTGTAATTATGGTTGCTTTCGACTGGTTGAAGGGACTGACACAAATTCTAGGTTCGAACATTCTTAAACTTGCTGCCATCCAGTGAGGCGGACAGCGAAAAATTTGCGGCTGATCAGCCACTTGAGGTAAAACATACCCGCCCAGTCGGACAGACCCGAGCTGAACCTTTGCAAGTATTCCGTGACCGAGGTATGGTCCGTTCCGTACGTTGGCACGGTTGTCAATGGCATCATGAATGCGGGGAGCGTTAAGACTGGCGACGCGGTTCTTCTAGGCCCTGACTCCAATGGTCACTATCAATCAACAGTGATAAAGAGCATGCAAAGAAAAAAGTAAGCAGATTTTCAACTGGGCGAACTGCGGGAAAGCATGCCAGGTTTCTTCATCCCTCTATATCGCTGTTTTTGACAACTAATGATAGGGCCCCCGTGACGAGTGCGGAGGCTGGTCAATGCGTTTCTTTCGCGTTAAAACGCGTGCGACGTGCGGCCGTGCGGAAAGGAATGGTATTGGTGAATAAGACTGACACGCCTCCGCGTGGTAAGTCCTACGTCATATGTGATTATCCGTCTGTCTAAATGACTATTTCCACAGCTATTCGTCAGTTTGAGGGACAAGTGCTGATTCTCTAGTATGCAAAGCTAAATAACACATTTCCATCACTCACAAGCGTACTAGTCACAACACAACTTTACAGAAGAACTACCAGGTACATTAACATTCCTCAGCTTCGTCGTCCTGTTCTGATCGATTATTAGGCGATGTTGCACTGTGGCGTATGTGTAGTCGTAAAGTGTGGTATTCGATCTGACTAATTGTGTGTAGGCTGTCCGACAAACTGTTAGAATCATTGGAATGGACCACCCACAGGGAGTCCTCCGCACGGGAGATCGTGCGACCGTTCAATTCGAATTCATCTCTCACCCAGAGTTTGTAAAAGAAGGTATGAAATTGCTTTTTAGAGAAGGAAAGACAAAGGTACGTAGGTCTCAGCTGTTTCGTTGAATTATAGCTCTGACCCACTTTTAGGGACTTGGGGTCATTACACGTGTATTATAAAAGTGTAGAGTATCTCTTTTTATCTGTTATGATAATTCATGAGGTCGTTGGCTACTATTCAACACCTTTACTCATTCCAAGAAAGCCATCCCTCCAAGCTTCAAACCAAACTCGAAAGTTGATCGACATTCTGAAGTGTCGATCATGTTCCTCGTAGACCTCCTAATATGAACACCCCTTTTCTTTGTCTCTCTTCTCGTTTTTGCCGCTCTCACTCAGACTTGTACCCTCGTCCCGATGAACATTGCAAACAAACCCAAGTGGGACTCGGACGCTTGGACTGACTCTGTGTGTACCTTTTCTCGTACACATTTCCAAATTGACAAGTATTCGCCTTCAGCAATCCGTTTTTGACGACACAGCTCCGTACCCATCTGGTGCTCGTTCCAGTTTGGCTGGACTCTCTTCAGAGGTCTTCACATCTCCCTTTCGCTTCGGTTTGTCTCTCACGATCATATCTTTAGTATTCTTTTCCTCCGAACCCTCATGACTGGGGCTTCAAATTATCCCCCGATCTTGTAGAGTCGGATGATGATCTCCATACGCCTCTCAATGGGGCCAACCTCGCAGCCGTCAATAGTTCGGTTTCTCTCAGAGGAATTGGCAACACTGGATGTCTAGTTACACTCTGTCTTGGTCTACTCGTTTTATTGTCCGTCTCCCCTTTCCCGCTCCTCCACGCTTGCATAGCCTTATCCCACTGAAGCATAGGTTACCCTGTGATCACCTTCTACGGCAAGACAGTCTTATCGACAAATAATCTGGGATCGTTTAATGCCAGTGGTCAGGTAAGAATTCGTAACATGCTTTGTAATAACAACTTAATACATTGTAGGTACCACAAATGACTGGCAACCATGGTCTCATCGATCTTGATACCCCAAAATCAGCGTATACGAAATTGTCTTGGGAGGACGGCACGACGGAGATGCAACTGGTTTTCTCAGACGAATTTAACACAGAAGGAAGATCGTTCTATCCCGGTGATGATCCTTACTGGGAAGCAGTTGACCTTCATTATTGGGTATGACTCATTTCCCTCTTTCAGCTAGCTGGCAGCAGTATTAAATAATTTTAGGGAACGGGTGATTTAGAGTGGTATGATCCTGAAGCGGTCACAACGGCAAATGGGTCTCTCGTAATTACCATATCGCAGAAGCAAACACATGGCTTAAACTACGAAGGCGGTCAGTTTCTCTTGCTTTCAAAACGAGAAGCTCTTGACACGCTTTACGCACAGGAATGCTATCGACCTGGTGAGAGCTCTAAGTTCTCTGGAAGCCAGGCGAATCGTTGATGATTGTCATCAGGAATAAATTTTGTTTCACGGGAGGCTTGATTGAAGCATCGGTTCAGCTGCCAGGGGCAAACAATGTCCTCGGATTTTGGCCCGCTATATGGACAATGGGTAATCTGGGCCGCGTTGGTTATGGCGCCTCTCTGGAAGGGCTGGCAAGTCATCGTTCCCTTGAACATCACAGTGGTCTCACTGTATCTTTGCCAGTGGCCTTACACGTACGATTCATGCGATGTCGGTACAGTTGCCAATCAAACTGTCAATGGTATCCCAGTTGCAGCTACCGTCAACGGAGATAAAGGGGATGGTGTCCCCCTATCGTATCTCCCCGGTCAACGTCTATCACGCTGCACTTGTCCAGGAGAAAGCCATCCTGGTCCAAAACATAGTGACGGAACATTCGTTGGTCGCTCAGCCCCAGAAATCGACATCTTCGAGGCACAAGTTAGGGTCTCCTCCTTGAATTGTTGACAGCATGGCTCACGCTTACTTAAGATTCAGCGAAGCCCAATCATCCCCGAGGTTTCGCAATCGGCACAATGGGCTGTGGGTTCCATTCATATCGTTCATTTTTATAGCATTAATTTGTGCTCTACAGCCTTTCGATGCACGATATGCATGGTTCAATACTTCGGATAACATGATAATTACCAATCCCAGCATCTCGAAACAGAACCCGTTTATTGGTAGTTTCCTACAGCAGGCAAGTTCTGTTGTCACGAAGACTGATTCTCGCTGCTACGAATTAGCGGAGGGATGCTACTCTTTGTATGGTTTCGAGGTTAGTAACATGCAGTTGGTCTCGAATCAATATTGATGAATCATCGTTGCTGTAGTACCAACCAGGTAAACGTTAATCGTATAATTTCCTTCCGTGTGTCAGAATCTCATGAAATCTTTTTATAGGATTTGATGACGGCGTAAGTGGCACAATTCTATGGGTCTATCAACTTCGTAACCCTGCGCTGATACTCAACTCAGTATATTACGTGGATAGCGAATAATAACACTGCCTGGACGCTCAAAAGTCCCGGATTGGGCCCCGATCCAATTGTTGAAATCTCCCAAAGGCCAGTAGCACAAGAACCAATGGTAACCCCCCCTTTACCGTGACCAGGGAGGCTTATTCACATCTCATTCCAGTACATCATCGCAAACCTGGGCATGTCAAGAGGGTTTTCATACGTGGACCTCGCACACCTGACATTCCCTTCCCGAATGATGATCGATTATATCCGAGTTTATCAACCCAAAACATCCCTCAACATCGGATGTAGCCCCAAAGATTTCCCGACCGAAAACTATATAACCTCGTTCAGTTTCCACATCTTTATAGCTGACCGTGGCTAACCGGTTGTTAGGTATATTGAAGCATATACGAACCCCAATTTGACCACTTGGGTTGATGATTACCAACAAGAATGGCCAAAGAATTCTTTTCTAGGACAGTGCTAATGAACTCGAATTTTACAGTCGATTCCTTTCTATGTACTTTTTCATTCGTGTGCCTTCGTTCGCGTATGTTGTTGATGACGTATTAGAAACAAATTGAGAGTATATATACTATATATGCATGTCTTCCACTAACTACCAATCTCTACCCACAACCGAATCGACCGACCATATTCAAGTTACAAAGTTCTCGTATCGCAAGCCCCTTCTTCTCGCCCTCGCTTTTTCGCTCGTCGCAGCCATCTTCTTCAAAGCAGGGCGGTCCTCTGTTCAACACGTCTTGCCTTCAGAGATAATTATCTCACCTCCGAAGCCCGTTGCAGGAGACGCAGAAAACGCAATGTCGAACGAGGGCAAGTACAGCGTCGGCTAGTAAGCTCTTTCTGCTCAGGTCTACTTATTTGTGTAAATCACGCATATAATCGCATAGCTTTGTGAACTGGTACAGTGGTGCACATTCTTTCGCGCATATCTCCATGACTTTACATAAACAGGGGTATTTATGGGCGCAAGTTCCCACCAAGCCTGATCCCTGTTCAAGACCTCACGTACGTTCATTCGCTCACAACTTTACTTGTTTAAGTTCAACGTGCAGCACTCTATCAGCCACATACTTTACGCTTTTGCCAACGTCAGGCCTGACACTGGCGAGGTCTTTCTGTCCGACGTTTGGGCAGACAAAGATATCCATTATCCAGGTGACTCCTGGAATGACGTCGGGAACAACCTATACGGCAATTTTAAGGCGATCTACAACCTCAAGAAAGCCAATCGCCAACTCAAAGTACTTCTCAGCATCGGTGGCTGGACTTACTCCCCTTCTTTTCATCCAGTCGTCGTGAACCCGATCTTAAGGAGCAAGTTCGTTGAGTCGTCTGTACAACTTTTGGAAGACTATGGTCTGGACGGATTGGATGTCGATTACGAGTATCCTTCAAATGATGCTCAAGCACTTGGGTACGTTGAACTCTTGAAGGAAATGAGGGCAGCTTTAGATCAACATGCCTCAGTCAAAGGGGCAGGGTGCAAGTTCCTTCTCACAGTAAAGCCATTCGCTCCGTTCTATATTTCCTCTTTCTCTCTAAACTTTGGCATAGATTGCAGCCCCGTGTGGACCAGACAATTACAAGAAACTTCGCGTTGCTGACATGGATAAGTCTTTGGATTTCTGGAATATGATGTCCTACGATTTTTGTGAGTTATTCTTAGGAGACACTTTGGTTGATCCCTTGCTAACACCCTCATGTAGCGGGTTCATGGGATTCCATAGCCAATCACCAAGCCAACATTTACGGTGGGGCTATTAGCGCCCATGAAGCGCTCACATGGTATATCGGTCAAGGCGTCGCGCGGAACAAGATTGTTTTGGGCATCCCTCTGTATGGTCGGTCCTTCATGAACACACAAGGGCCTGGATCCGTCTTCTCTGGCGTTGGACAAGGAACCTGGGAAGCCGGCTCCTACGATTACCGCGCATTAGCTCTCCCAGGCTCCTTTACGTATCGCGACCAGGATGCAATAGCGAGCTGGTCCTACGATCCTCAGAAACGGGAAATGGTCAGCTTTGATAACGAAGATGTGGCCGATTGGAAGGGTCAATATATTAAGAATCAAGGACTAGGCGGCAGCATGTTCTGGGAACTCAGCGGCGACAAAGGATCACCACGTGAGGGTATGGAGACAGGACCGGGGAAAGACCCTCAAAGCGGAAGAAGCCTGGTTACAATTGTCAAGGATGCGATGGGTGGGCTGGAGTCCAGCCAAAATTGGCTTATCTACGACAACAGCAGCTTTGACAACATGAAGAAGGGAATGCCGTAGATGTATTGCGCAGCCCATCAACAGACAAGTGTTAATAGTACTATTAAAAGTGGCCTTTTCGTGTTTGGAAAACGTGTAATGAAATACCTTACCATACCTATAGTAGCCCGATAGCTTATTCAGAGTTTTGGCAGAAGGTCCGTCACCCTTCGATCTGACGATATCCTCGGTTTCCAGCTGCCCACCTGTGTCCCTTATCGGCAGAGATACCTGTGATGATTACACCCAAGACGATAAGAATGCTGGTCGTCCAAGATAGAATGTTCATCACATATGCTGAGCCTGTTTATTTAGGTGCGTTAATGAAGCCCCTGGAACGACATGGAAAAAGAACAACCAGGACGAGCTCGGTCGAATGGTGGATAACGCCCCACACGATAATTATCATTAACGAGACCAAATGATGCGATCTGGCAAACGGCTGAGACGGGTCCGTCAGCTACCATGAACGAAGTAACGAGTGGGTGTCATACCTTGAAGAAAGACTAAGACAGCAACTGCTCTCCAAATGCGTCTTCTGCGCGAGTGAGTGCTGACGCCAAAGAGTATAGCGACAAGCGAAATGGAGGCAAATCCAATGGCGATTTGGTCGAGATAGCCAGCACTTGTCCATGCCGCGCAGAAGGCGCGGTTCTCCTTCTCGCAGCGGTCCGTAACTTGAACGGGAAACTTGCGACACTCATACTTTCTGTATGTAAGTTTTCCACCACCCGAGGGGTCGGGGATGCTTGTAACGGTGAGATCGCAGCGCTTGTATAATCCGTACGAGGTGGTGACGGTGGTGCGAAGAACGTCCGAGTGCGATTTGGTGATTAACCTTGACGAAAAAAAGGTCAGTGATGAGCAGGACTGGTCTTGCGATCTTCGAACCAGTCTGGTCTGCGTGCAGAGAGGATGTTCTGAAACAAAAGTGAGGACAAACAGGGAGCTTAAGCCACAGAACGGACTAAGATCAGAGTCAGAACACCAAAAGTCAGGGCAACTAGATATGAGGTTTTGCGCATTTTCGGGCTGTGGTGCTGCTAGTCAGAACAAAAAGTCATGTCCCAGGGAGGATTCGAACTTCCGGCTTCTCGGAGTAGTTAACCACAACGAGATGATTTAACCACTAATCGACAAGGACTTGTAAGTCGGTCACTCTATCACCACTTAGTGTGGCATGCAGAAAGCGTCCTATATAGTTGCTAAACCTAGAGTTACGGGGAACTCCTCTAGCCTCTCGCCACATCTGGCTATGTATTGGCAATCAGCTAAAACAAACCAATGAACCTACTTTATATGTCCGAGGATATGCTTGCTTGAACTTCCGAGGTGACCACAACGAGATGATTTGACCATTCATCGACAACTTGCAAACTAGGTACTCCATTATTTACTGCGCACAGAAAGCATCCTATATGCCTTTCAAAACCACACAAGTCCTTGGTATATCTACTAATCCTAGAAAAACCCTAGTTTCGGGGAACGCCTCTTGTCACAGCTGGGTATGTATCGGCAATCAACTACAACAAACCAATTAGCCAACTTTATATGTCCGAGGTTATGCCTGCTTACCGTGAATAGCGCAGGAGCACGGATCGCCAAGACCTGTGGATCTTCCCCGAGTCCGACGAATCTGTTAAATGTCAGAGCAAAACCTGTGCTATAAATCATGAAACATACATTGTTGAAACACCAGCCTCGATTGCTGACGATAGTGTGGTGGAACAAACGAGCCCAATGAAAAATGCAAATAACAGGACGGGCGCCGTATATTGACCGCTTGCATTATAAGAAGGTGCGGTGACTAGAGTTCAGGTTGAGCAACATCCTTATTGAAAGAGAGATTGTATTTACGCCGCAAGTAGAGATATGCAAATAGGGATGAAAGGAGGCCTATGGCATACGCTCCCCACATCAACGCTGTAGTCAAAGGGCTCAGTACAGAAAATTCTGAGTAGGGTGATCATCTTACTCATCCCGACAAGAGAATCGTTGACGAGAGCATCGATTCCTGCTTAAAATTCAAAGCAGACGAATCACAAGTTATGTGGAAAAACAAACCTCGATCTTTAAACATTCGCCATGTATCTTTGGCTGCTGGGATATATGCTTTTCCGTACAAAGCTAGAATTAATCGTCAATGATTATGATCGTAAAAAAAAAGGTTGCACAAGTTGGAACTTACCGATCTCTATGTATGCATATCTGTTGAAGTATTCAACCATACTCTCAAGAATACCAATAAAGCACGCGGCACAGCATGCAAGCAAAGCTTCCACAGCTATCGAATATCATAATCAGACGATATAAATTAACTTGGCAGAAAGCATACGATGTCCGTCGGCATTTGCATTATTCTGGGCAGCATTGAGAAGGAGCCGAATCATTTCCAAAATGGTGACGATCAATGAACCGAAGGCAATCGAGCCAAGGGAGAGGGTGGATGCTCGACCGAATGCAGAGATGGTAGGATGCTTCGGCTAAGGTTTTGAGAGAATCAATTAGGGGAATTGGGAGAAAGAATAAATGTATTGCAGACCATTTCGCCAAGTTCTCTTGGACCAAAGTAGTACCATGATCCGTATGGTCCGCCAGCAAGCGTAGCTAGTGAGACGTTGCCGATGACTTGAGAAGTCCAGACGAATGAGAATGTTTCAAAGAAGATGAGTCCAGCGACTTTTCCGCTGCTGCAACTAGAGGTATCGCAGGCTAAAAAGGGGTGAGATGGGAAGCAGCACTTGGCGAACAACGTGGTGCGTACATGGACTTCCAGGGGTCCACTTGGAATATCTATTTATTAAAGAGGGTTGAGTTTGATGCTTGTAGATATAAGCGGAGGACGCACGTTGCGATCACAGTGAATGTGTACCAGCTGCAGAACGAGCAATTAGCTTTTCTCCTATTCGGACGGTCAGTGCCACTTACACCGACAGTGCTGCCTGAACAAAGAGCGCAGTGAAGGCAACAACGTAGACGCTTAAATGATGCTTGGAAACGTCCATGACGACTTGAAGTAGCAGGGCCGCAAGAGGGATGCGGGATCTAAAGCCAAAGTAGGACAAAACTGAGAGGATGGCAATGATGGTGAAGATGATGGCCCCAGCTACGACCAGAGACGTCAGGAGACGTAAAAGCGCACAAGAAGAAACGAACAGTAATATCTCGTAATCCAGTAGTACACGCAAATTCCGCTGATAACAAATAGGTCAGCAAAATATTCGTTAAAACGGCGAAAGAGTTACATATTGAGAAGGATTGAAAGGATGAGTGTGATGTGCATAATTATCTTGGTAAAGGCGCGTGTCAGCATAAGATAGAGAGCGGACAAGAGCACCGCGGCTGCTGTGACTAGAAGCAAGAGATAGACGGTGCTCCTGCAGGCAGAACAAGTCGGTCAAAAGTCAATAAAGCGTAGCATAATGGCGCCTACCGGTTCAACGTCACCGACGTCCCCGTGTGACTTCCTGACTTTCCCAATCCTCCGCCCAGTCCTCCTTGGGAGACCCATGAATGTAACGCGACTGCTGACAAAACAGCGAACCCAACGAGCTGGAGATACCAAATAAGTTGAGCAAGGAAGGCATATGGAGGTATGCTCACTTGAAGAATAAACAGGATGAGGAAAATGGGGTCGTTTATCTTCTTTTTGGGCTTGAATCGATCCCCTTCGTATGGGTTTTTGGTATCGCCATTGTCATATAACGGCTGGGCGGGAGGGGCGTAGGGTGGGTATTGGGACTGGCCATATTGCGGGGTTGGTCCTGGGTATGGTCCTGACTGTTCGTACATCGCAGTAATAAGTAGAGTTTGGGGGTGGCTTTAAACGATCAACGTCAAACGAGGCTGCCAAGAGACAGCGACAACGTTCTTATGCACGCCACGGCACAGCCTCAAGGTGCATGCTAACGCGCGCTCAACCGGGGGAGTCGAGACGACTAGAGTCTAGGTCAGACCGCCAACCCCCCTAAAGCCAGAGCCTAAGAATCACCCAAGGGGTTCCCAACTTGGAATCACCCTACTCTTTCACAAAGCCGAAGCCCCTTCGGAGGGTAAAGATTTGTTTTTCCCATACTTAAGTATTACCTGTAGGGACGCTAGCATGGCTTCAGTACTTAGTGTATCATGATATCTTTTATTTCTTCATTCCCGGGTATGACAGCTGTTAGCCAATGAGCTTAGGTACAGTAAGTATTAGACTTGAAAGCCATGGAATACAAGGCAAAGCCAAGGAACATCGATGCGGACTAACGGCACGTTGCTTGAAAGTTGAGATATGGAGAGTCCAGAGCGGATATCCCTCTGACGCTGAAATATCTCCAGAATTCAATATGGGCCAAGAAAGAGGGTCCTTGGGTAGGGCCGGTAGGCTTCAGCAATACACATTATTATGTTTACAATACAATATTAGTAGCATTCTTCATCGTCGGAATCCAGATGAGGAGAGTCATCCACATAAATCGGATCATCACCCTCTGCCTCCAACTCCTCGCTTGTCTTGAATGCCCTCCTCTCTGGCATCAAATTTGGACACATAGCCATCGTCGTCTCCAAGATGTATTGCAAGCAGCCTAACACAGTTGACAGCAATCCATGCACGAGACTAAACAGCCTGCTCTCTTTGAGGATGCCTTCATGTGTAATAGTTACGAAGACATAAGTGAGACCATCTGTCGCAATGCCATGAACAGAGGCATTGCTTCGTCCTCGGTTGAGGCGGGATTGACGAAGAGATGCAAGATATACGACGAGTTGCGCTACAGCGTCGCTAAGTATGCCATGGCGTTTGGCCTCGACGCAGAGCAGGAGTGTGTGAAAGAACCGATTAGGAACAGGGAGAAACCTTACCAAGGCATGCCGATGGCTGAAAGGTCGTGATGTCAGGCAATGCCTCAATGTCCCACTGGTGCTTTAAAGGGTCCCTCAGTGTGGGGGCATACACCAAGCCAAAGTCCATAACTGCTTCTTCAAGTGTGAAGTCCTCTGCGGCCTTGTGTATGGACTTCTCCTCTTCAGCTTCTGCAGAGAGCAGCTGACGTTTCAGCTCCTTAAGAGTGTTCCGAGTAATGGAGGCTGCAGGTTTGGAAGCATCGGTCAGGGCGAAGAGCTTTTTGAAAACCAAGTCGATAGCATCTGACTCTGAGTTGGCTCGGGGGCGCTTGCCAGGCATGATGTCCGATGAGCAACAGAACTGTGGAAACACAGTAGTCACGCATGATAACAAGCGCGTCTTACTTACATAAGCCAAGAGACAGCGGGAACGCCCTAATGCATGCCACAGCACAGCCTCAAGGTGCATTGATCGAAGGCTAACACGCAGGCTAGACGACTAGGCCAGCTAAAGCCAGAGCCTGAGAATCGCCCAAGAATCACCCTAGGACTCAAGACTCTTTCCCAGAGCCGAAGCCCCTTCGCAGGGTAACACCATTCACATTACCTGTAGGGACGCTAGTGTGCCTTCAGTAAGTAGTAGGCCTAAGCTCATTGGTTAACAGCTGACATACCCGATGAGGAAATACAAAGAGAATGAAAGATGATATCATGATACAGTAGTAGACTTATGTAGCCTACAACTATTAACGTGTGTTACAAATTCGAGTTTAATCAAGCGTCTCCACATTATTATGCTACCACACAGAGTCTGGCAGTGAGTATTATTTGCGCGTCGAACTTAAGCTGTACTCGGTGCAATATGCTTGAATCGGATCACCAGAACGGTGACATTGTCTGTGGTATGATGTGACAAAGCGTGCTTGAGCAACTTTAGGCTTGCAAGCTGAGCGTCCTCAATATCACGGACCAGGTCTATGGCGCTCTGATCGCCAACGATGTCCCAGAGCTGAAAACGGAGTGTTAGCATGAATAAAAGGGGGGTAAAAGATGAGGCCCACTCCGTCACAAGCCAATACCAAAAACTCATCTTCCTCGCATAACTCGGTCTCGGTGGTGTATGGAGCGCCCACGACGAACTCCTTCATAGCCGAATCACCTAAGCTCCTAGTCACGGCCAGAACGCCATTCACCCTTCCACTCATAACAAATCCACCAGCGTCTGTGATCCGCTTTGCTTCTTGCTTATCGGATCCCTTGTGGTCATAGGTGAGACGAACCGCTTTCCCCGCACGACAGAGAACGCCACGAGCATCACCAGCATTGGCGCTGTACAAGACGCGTCTCGCATCGGAAGGGGGTACGATCACCGTAATGCCCTCTGCGGCCGTATTGGGGGACGCAGGAGATGCTGAACGAGGAGTTATTGATCCAAACGCTTTCGAGCCACCGCCAGCCAGACTACGAAGAGCTTTCCGTATGCGACTGGCTCGAGGAGGCTTCACCTTCTTACTCTTCTTTTGGGGATCGTTAGAAGCTGTTCCTATGCTTTCTGCACTGCTTTCGTTTGAACTGTCGGCCACAGGTTCTTCGGTCTCGATGCTGTGACCTGAAGGGGGTGATGAGGAAGCCGGAACAAAAGGTTGCTGACCCTCTGGATCTTCCACACGAAGAAAGGCGGTGACGGCTGTGCATCCCGAATGAATTTTCCCATCTGATTCTTCGCATAGTTTAGATAAGCTTTCATCGACATCGTGGAAAGTTTGGTTGAGGATATCGGGGATAGGTGTAGTGGGTGATGCGTGGATAGCTTTCAGAAGATACTAAAAAGCATGTCAGAAAATGGTGTGAAAAAATACGATGGTGTGGAGTATACCTCATGGAAATGCGAGCCACACCACTCTGCAGCATGCTTTCCAGCGTGGCCATCGAAGACGGCAAAGAATCCCTGACCGCGAATGGAGTCAAAGTCTACGACAAAGGAGTGGGCATCTTCCATAGTCCTTCTTGTGCCCTTGTCCTCGGAGACACCGACGCGGAAGGTGGGGTGATTGGTAGAATGACGATTGAGGACCTGTAAAATGTCAAGATAAGGTGAGGTTGAAAAATGAGAAGGCTTACGCCATAAGTATCGAGGTCTGCGGCTGTGATTGACTTTGAACGCGCATTGGGAGAATCTGTAAAAGAAGAAGAGGACATTGAAGCGAATAATTATCAGGACAGAGTATTATGTAATATCGGTGTGGTTATTATTGTTGCTATTCGGGAATTGCCGCATCTTCTTCCTCTTCAAGTTCCCAGTTGGACCTTGGTTGGACCAGTGCATGTCTCAGCAATCAGCCACTTCAAAGCCTTCGCTCCAGGGCGTCAGAATAAAAGCAAGAAAGGGCGCAGTAAAGGCACAGGCAAAGCACGAGCCATCCAGTGAGCACTCTCCTACTGCAACCATCTGCCTATCTTATCGGGAGCAGTCTTCAGAGATCAGCTATACAAGCATCTCGAAACAGTACCAGACGGCGACTTTGACTCTTTTGCAACAAAGCTAGTCCAAGCAGGTTCCACTCTCGAGTTTCTCAAGTATGCAGATGCACTCTTCGAAATCATCCTCGTTGGCGGTCTTCTCCAGCCAGGCGGAAGTTATGTCGACGATGGAGCTCCCGTCTCGCCATTTACCATCTTCAATTCGGAAGATCCTGCGCAAATCGATGACCTGAAAAAATACATCGAGGTTCTCAACAAACTCATCAGAAGGTTTTCTCCGTCTCTTTGCCTTCTTCTTATCTCTTATTTTCTTTCTCTTATTTTCTTTCACAGGTACAAATATCTTCAGAAGCCTCTAGAGGAATCAGCTCTGCCAGGGCTTCTTCAATATATCCACCGCTGGTCTCCAGCACAGAAGGACAAGCTTTCACTCGCCGTTGGCCTTTTGATCTCTCAGGGTCTCGCCAACGCATCGTGCTTGCAGAGTCTTACCAAAGATCATCTCGTCAAGAATGGTAAGTCATGTCCTACTTATCTGAGCTGGATGTTGAAAACTCTGTCAGATGTATCCGTCAGCGTTATCAGTCTTATTTTCCGTGCATATCTGGTCGATCAATCCATGGATCACTTATCTGCGACCTTGAAACGGGGCGGTATCAAAGATCTTCTCGCCTTCTTCCCTCCCAATAAGCGCGAGGGCAAATACCTGGAAGACCATTTCAAGAAAGAAGGACTTTCACAGGTCGCTGAGTGGTGGGCAAAGAAACAATATGCCGTTGTCAAAGAGAGTATCGTCAAAGAGCTCTCTGAACTCTGCGAACGTGAGGAAACTCCCGACCAGGTCAGAGAACTAACTTCCTATTTCGTTTAGATGACCTCTCATGCTTCATAGATTGTCGCCGCCATCAGAGCGCGCCTAGAAGAATCGCCTGTGCCAGAGAGTGAACTGATTCAGTGCATTTGGCAGGGTTTGATGACTTCAGTCGATTGGAGCGCCCGCCCAGACCAAATTGAGGGCCTCGCTCTGCGCGAAGTCGGTGTAAGTGCTTTTGCCTATTTAAACTCGACACTTCTTATAATTGTTTCATAGAAATTCGCCCCCATCCTCGAACCATTCTGTACCGGAGCAAAAACACAAGTGTCCCTCATAAACGTTGTTCAAGTGTATTGTTACGAAGACACGCGTATCATCAAGGCGTTCCCGCAGATTCTCAAAGTATGTTCCTTCCAATTTATGAATATTTAGAGGATCAACCCCTCTCTCCTCCAGGTGTTGTACAATAAGGACTGCATTTCTGATCAAGCTATCATCTACTGGCATCAAAAGGGCTCTAAACCACAAGGCCGACAGCACTTTTTGAAGAGTACTGAACCATTAGTTAAAGTACGTCTCCTAGCTACTATCATACTTGACATCCATTAAACCGAATGCAGTTCTTGCAGGAACAGGAAGACAGCGACGAGGAAGATGGCTGATTCTACAGCCCACCATCTCGTAATACTGGTACTACAGGTAGTATGCCCATGAGTCATTGGACACGAAAGAATAAATAAGAAAACTAGCAAAGCATTGCAAACTCAAGCCAATAGAAATCAAACGAATCAAACGACAAGTAGATCGTTGAAATCTACCACGCTTCCGGCATAGAGGGAAAGTCTCCTGTCCATCCGTTGGCGCCTCCCATCTGCAGAAAGATCCCATCAGAGCCATTTGCGGGAAGCCCAAGGTCCGCCAAGCTCTAAGAAAAGAAAACACCGCATAAGAAAAAGGAATGCTTTGGTCTAACAGAGGACACAAACCTGTTCTTGGAGCCAGATAGGAATGGTTGATGGGTTAAAGATTCCTTGATTGCCTGGCCAAGCAAACCCAAGTTCTTCCATGGTAAACGGGGGTGGCATTCCGGGATCAAGATATGTTTGGGGAATAATCATGTTTTCTGCAAAGGATGGGGGTGGCATGGTAGGTATCGGAGTGTTGATTCCACTTCCCATACCTACTTTGCGGCGGAGGTTGGCTAACATGATCCTCAAAGTTAGGGCGTACCTGCCGAATTTCAACATACACCTTGGGGTAAGTATCAGTTTGCGTTCTTACCTCTCAGCCGCAACGTCCGACAGAAGCTGAGCCAATTGCTCAACTTGGCCAGTGATTGCTCCCAGATCCAGTTCAGAGGGGAATAGACTGGCCATTTTCAAAAGAAATAGGCCGGAAAACGCAGCCGTGACAAGACTGTCATGGACGGCGTAGCGAAGGGCAGCTCTATAAATTTTACATGCTTAGTCGCCATAATAGCTGCGCAGAATCGTGGGCTTACCTGTATTCGGATGAGTTCAAAAAAATTGAGAGACAGTTTGATGCGGCATCTTTTGCTTGGAAGGCAAGCTCGCGTTGTTCGAAAGGCATTTTATCCCAAGCCACGCCGCGTAAAGCGACACAAACAAGCCACAGTTTTGCATAATGCAATTCCCCAGCCAGGATTTTTCGGAGTAATGAATCCTGGTCCATGGTCCGACCTAAAGGTTGTCCCCATCAATGAGCAGGACATGTCATCAAACCAAGGTACTGACAGTGAAGTTCATCGCAGTCCGACCACCATTTGTCCAGTGCTACGTTTGCACGGCGGATGAAAGCCAATGTATTGTGATTGACCTGATCGTTTAAGGAAGCCAAGGTATCGTAGATTTGAGCTTAAGTAGGGTTTCCATGTCATTGCCTATTCATAAAGCGCATAATGGGAAGTGACGCACTCTTTTGAGCAATAAGCTCAACCAAGGCGACGAGCCTGACGTCGGTCGGCGATGACATGGGGTGGCTTAACAACAACCGGCAGTGACGAATTGTACTCTCATCCCGTAACACGATTGGGCGGCCTGTTCCCAGACTCATTCTGAACAGCCAAATTAGAAGACGAAGAAATTGAAGCACTGAAACCTACTGATGGTCAAACCAGTAAAGACAAAGCCAAATGCGAGCGGACACAACTGATGAATACATGAGATATTGGGTGCAAAAATAGTCAAATGCTGACCTAGATTTCTCTCTTCTTCCTCGGTCCGCTGTTTGCCAACGACGTCAGCCAGCTTCTCCAAGGCTCGATGAAGGCCGAGGTCCAAAGCCATACGCATGGCGTGGCCACTGGGAAGCCAACCATTTGTACTCCAGGCAGCCAGCAACAACATTCCTACACAAAACATAAGGTGATGAGTGGGAAATAATTAATTTACATGCCTTGAATAGCCTCCTTTCTTACTACGGGCCCGAAAAGCGAGGAGCGTGCAATACCTTGTGCTTCTTCCAGACATTTGTAAAACGTTGAACTAAGAGGTCCGTTGCCGCTGCGAATTTTAGAAGCCACAGCCAAGATAGCATCGAACGTCCAGGGGGTCCTCTCCATTAAGCTTTCATATGTGTCATACAACGGGTCGAACAAGGGAATGAACAAGTGACATCCTGCGAAAAAGCTGGAAAGGGAGATCAGGGACCTGGGTGATTCAAATGATATGACATACATATTGTAAAGCTCGCGTGCCTCCGAGTCGGTGACCAGGCCCTAAAAATGGACAAGTTCAAAACGGACGGCAAAAGTAAAAAGAAATTAAACCAACTTTTTCCACTACATGGGGAAAGGCATTCCTTGGAATGGGTTCAGCCCTTTTACGCTTCTTCACTCTGATAAAACGTGTGTCAGCAATGGGCAAAGTCATTCCTTTATTCAAACCTTGGGGAAACGGATGGGGCAGCGGCAGCTTCGGCAGCAGCATTTGCCAACCCCTGCAAAGCTTCTATGGGAGCGTTCAAAGTTGAACGAGGGAGCGTGTCTTCGGACTCGTCATCCGAAGAGGGAGCTGTGCTCGGAATGATTCCATATGACGCATATTTATGGGGCTTGAAGTTGGAGGGTGAGTAGAAAAGTATGCGTCGAGGTTGTTAACGTACTGGAGGTGCAAACCCCGGAAGCGGTGGGAAGGAGCGGGAGCGGTCAGAACCCGGCATCATGTCAAACCCATTATGTTGGGGCTGCTGTAGACCAGACATATCACGGTGGACATCCATGTGAGACGTATACATCCCTGGGGGTGGTTGCATTGGCGGGGGATGCTGTGGCTGCACCGCCAACAAAATCCTATCCAACGATGATTGCATGCCAATCATCTGGCTTTGCATAACCTGTTACACAAAAACCGTCCAAAATCAGTAAACATCTACGCAAGCTACCCATTGAAGCTGTACCAGATACTGGCCCTCAAGGCGAGACAGTCGTCTAGCGAGTACGTCATCTTCAGCATGGGATGAGGGTGGCAGGAATGGGACGCTTACTCAACGCTGGGTCCAGCGCTCGCTTGGACATTCTTCTTCTCTGGTTTTTCAAAGACACAAGGCGTTCCACTTGCCTGACAGCGGCGGCAAGGAGCCTAAGAAAGCGCCGGGCCGGGCGGGGGAGGCGGGCCATAGTGAGCACAAAAGATGGATGAGGCCAGCTGAGGCTGATGCGTACCTCTCCTTCGCATCTGTTTTTCCCCTTCCTACAGGCGGTACAAGCCCGTGCGCCTCTCTTTGGGATATGGGGACTTGGTTGATGTTGATTATGGTGTGAGCCATCCGCTGTTGACATAAACTGGCCCATGGAATGACCGTCACCGGTTCTCCGTCTTTTTGATGCATTGTCAGAGCCATTAGATACTGAGGCGGAAGGGCTTTGCGACATGGTGTTGTAGTGAATAATATCTTGGCCTGTTCAGCAGAGGCGGCGGGATCAATGCTTGCCACGTGCCTCGGATGTCGCCTCAGTCTCAGACTCAGGGCCGCCATTAAGCATCATAGCAATCTTCACTCTTCAAAGGATTCTTGGTCTACTTACCCTCAGTAAATGATATAACAGGTGTGTAATTAGGTTTCAGTTCCTTTGGGCTCACCATCACCTCCCACATAGTAACCATGTCGGAATCAACCCATTTTAAAGGTCAATCTCGCGTCCTCAAAGTCTGTCATTGGTGCGCAAAAAAGCAAGAACCAGAGGCAAAGCCTTTTCAGGCGTGTTCTCGTTGCAAAGAGGTGAGGTGTACATTTCATGCTTCCGCTTCAAGACATTTGACACGTCTAGGTCATATATTGTGTATGTTGGGAGCATTGATAAACTGTGACTATAGTGTTGACAATACATTTATAGAGTAAAGAATGTCAGGTAGCGAGTTGGCCACTCCACAAGGTAAGTAAGTCGCAGAGGCCTATATATTGATGGTTGCGAATCTCCCAATTTTTTCTCACCGACAGACTCCGTGCAAGTTCAGCGCAGAAGCAAATGCTGCTATGTCAAAGAACCCCGTTGCCGCTCAAGGTATTGCCAACTTTAAGAAATGGTCTGTCTCAACCCCCAAGTTCTTATCAGCAGAGTATTCACTCTCTTCCAGGCATGGGTTGCATATCGGTGCTCTACGCCACGCGGCCATTTGTGCTTTTGACCTCGGTCACAACCCAACGGCTCTAGAGGATGGTGTTCTCTTCGTCGAGATAGAGCTCAAATCCAGCCACAAGGACTTCCCTCTGAAAAGGAAGTATGAACCTACCGGTGGTTTCACACTGACCATGAAAGAGACACGCGAGATGTTGGGTAACTTTCGTTTTCAATTGTCTTTAACTCATGAACTGATGTTTTAACTAGGTAACATGGGAGGCGCTGCCATTTTGGATAGTATCAAGGAAGCTAATCTTCACATGCAACGAAAGGGTGCCTTGGGCGTGGCGACCTTGTTATTAAAATCTCATGACATGGTCGACGTCGTAAAAATCATTCTTCCTTCACCTGCATCGGTCCGTCAAGAGCAAGAGGCAGACAATTGGGGTCAGCTTTGGGTTAGTTTCCCCTACGATTTCTATAAAATCTGCAACAATGATTTTTACAGTTCGATAATCTGCGGCTTGCGGTGGAATCGGATTGACCTCGATTCGGTATGCGAGACGGTGTTTGATATTAAGTACCGTGTGTTGTCGCCTCACCGAACTTATCTATGGCTAGCAAATATCTTCGTAGTCCTCCCCTATTTCCAAATACTTGCGAACATCCTGCAAGGCTACCCCATTTTGACGAGTAAAATGCCCAGCAAGCGTGCCATAGTTATCTGCCAACAGTTGAAATACGGCTGAATTAAAGACAAGGACAGATTGTGAACGAACCAGTCCAGCGCAAGGCAGCTTCTTTTGCCAGGAAAACTGCGCGCTTTAACTCGTCAACTTTGGCCGGATTCGAATCACCGTATGCGTTGAGTTCTGCTTCTTGGCTATCGAGTTCTCTCCTTAAATCGGAGAGCTTAGCAAGCGCAACGGAGCGAGCTTCCTAGGCAGAATAGATCAACGAAAAGCAGAGAAATAGAGGCCTAATCATATAAATTCACAGAATCCAATCTAGCGGATTCCTCGACCGAAATCGCGCTTCTCAGTTCCAATATTTGGATCTGATGATTTTTATGGGTTTCCTTCAAAGCGTTGACCCGTGCTTGGATCTAAAAAAATCATCGTTAGCCAAACTCGAGAAATCTTAGTGAAAAGAGGCCAACTGCGGTGCCTTGCTGTGACGGGAAGCTCCAAAAGACTTGAGGGTTCGAAAGTTCACGCATACAGGCACACATGACAACCACAAAACGCACAATTTGAAGATCCAATCTTATCTGCTTGAACAAGCCCATCATCAACCAAAGATTGCAGAACTTCTTTGATTGACTGAGAGACTTATCGAGTAGCCGCCTAGATTAGTTGGAAGGTCTTGTGAAGAAAGAAAATTTTACCTATTCCTTTCATCTTCGGTCCAAGCTTTTCCAATTCCTTGAGCTAGAGAAAAGACGTAACACAAAAGGGGCCATGCTAGTTTAAATATTGAAAGTACTTGATAGAAATCACGCTAGTAAACCTCATGAGTGATGTTTAGGTGGAGATAGACACGAGCAGACTGTTTCATGAAAAATTTCGAGAAGTTTGACGCGCTTTTCCTCCGCTGAAAGACCTCTTGAAGGCTAGAAGGATGCGATCTCAATGGAAATCAAGAATCTGAATGATGAATGTACCATGGTGACTGCTATGAGGAAGGCGCGTTTCAGTCACATGATTCAATGTGCGGTTGAATTTCAATACACCTCTGTCCGCTTTTGACATTTCCGCGCCCACTGCTCGGCACTGCCGCACAATAATAAACCGAAATGCTCGTTCCCAAAAACACCCATCAATCGTACCATTTCCTGTCCATATGCTGAACTTGGCCACCGTTGTCGCTGCTCTCGTCGTCGCAGTTGTATTACTAGTCTATGTCCGCATTTTGCAGGGCACTTCGTACTCTGGGGGCGTTCCACGCATAGGGAAGCCTGGTGTCTGGGGTTATATCTCAACCGCCCTGCGATGGACCATTGATGCAGAATCTGTTATTTTGGAAGGTAGATCCAAATTCTCTGGTCGACCCTACACCATCCCTACTCTGGCAAGCAATTCCATTACCACTGACATACGCAACTGTGCTAACAGCTGCTTAACCAGTCCGGACCAATCTTCCTTCTTGGCCCAGAATATCAAGAGATGGTGAGGTCTGCCAACGACGACACCGTGCGTCGTCAATCATCACCAGCCGTTTTGTGCCCTAACGTAATAGAGCAGTTCAACCAACCTATGGCGGTCAATGAGGACCTTCAACTCCCTTACACTATGGACGTTCATCAGCTTCGGAATCCATACCAAGCGAGTGTATTACGCACAGATGTAAACCGCGCAATCTCTTCCTATATCCCTGAAATTCTCGATGAATCGATTCTTGCCATGGATGAGACTTTCAAGGTCTCCAAGGATAGTGGTGAGCATATACCCTTCTTGTCATGCATCCGCTACTGAATACTTTTCATATAGGAGTTATTGATATCCCGGTCTTCGAAACAATGACCCACCTGATTGCTCGAATCAGCAATCGTGTGATCTTTGGCATCGGGATGTGTCGCAATGAGCGATTTCTTCACGCGGTTGTACGATTTGCAGAAACGACACCTCTTATGGCACCTTTCATAAACTGGAGTCCCCATATCTTACGGCCGTGAGTATTATATTTATCTTTTGAGATGCGTTCAAATCAGAATTTTCCAGGTTGGTCTATTTTGTTTTGTCAAACATTCTGGGAGGGAAAAAAGCTCCACTCAAATATATCATACCATTTTTAAATAACTATCTAGAGGAGAGGGAATCCATGGACGAGAAGCCGGTATAACCGTCTCTCATTACTCAAATTTATCTTGTGCTAATGTTATTAAAAATTAGAATTTGGTCGCCGAATTCTTGATCAAGGGTGCCCCACCTCAGGAAACAGTCCTTGGCCTTGCGGTTCGATTGTTGAATCTGAACTTTGGAAGTATTCACACATCGTTCGTGTTACTGGTTTTGACAAGCGATCATAAGCTTATGAAATTCATTAGATCCATATTTATAACGCAAACCTTGTTCGAAATTGCCCTGCTGCCACCCGAGGATGTTGAGAGTATCCGGACGGAAATTCAGGAAGCTCTCGAGTCAGAAGGTGGTTGGACTAAAGGAGCGTTGCTGAAGTTCAGGAAAGTTGACAGCGCTCTCCGAGAAGTTGGCCGATTTTATGGATTGATGTATTGTACGTTTTGTGTGTCATTACCGCGACTGGAGTCTGACTCTCTTCCAGTTGCCCTCGGCCGCGTTGCTCTCGTAGGTTGTGATCTTGGGGATGGCACAAGTGTACCACCTGGATGCAGAGTTGCCATCGATATGAAAGCAATACATTTCAACCCGGATATTTACCCAAATCCCGAAGTATGCGATTTGTTCAGATTCTCAAAGTTACGTGCGGGAGAATCCAGTGATTCCAAGTATGGTTTCGCTACCATCGATCCAAATGTGAGTGCTTTGAACTTGGTACACGATGAATCTTCATATTTTGAGTTAGTACCTGCCTTTCAGTGCCGGCCGACATGCCTGTGCTGGACGTTTCTTCGCAGCCGTATGTTGGCTTTCTTCTGAAACCATGCTCACTATCTGATCAACACATAAGATGGAGTTGAAAATAATGGTGGCTCATATCCTATTGAGATATGACGTTTCACTCCCTCCCGGCGCTACCTCACGACCCAAGAATATCATTTTCAACGGTGCGATCGTGCCGGATCCGAAGGCACATTTAATCCTCACTCCGCGACGTTGAGGACTTAGGAGGATACTTGAGGTAGGAAGAAGATTCGTTCGACTGACTAGTAAGTTGTCTCGAATATATCACCATAGGAGGAATGCGATGTACATGTCCGTTGTTGTAACGTAAACATTGATAGCAAGGTGTAAAAGTGAAGATAACAAATGAGTGATGATGTCGTTCCAAAGGTGATTTGCTCTGGAACCAAAAATAGATACCTAAGTATGTACTATCTGAAAATTAGGCAAAACCGAAAACCCAGATCACGCAACTGGCTATCTTAAAAGGTCTAATTGTTGGTCGTTGGAGGGGTAACGGTAGGCCACGAAATCAGGGTCCTGAGCAACGAGATCTTCGAGAGCTTTCCGCGAGGTTACTGACATCCGAAGGTTCGGATTATTGGATGCTCCCATGCTTAATGCACTGTGTCTTGAAGTGGAGGTGGCGTATCCGTTGGTTGCTGGATCATCCTGAGCTTCATAGTCAAATTGTCTCATGGATGGAAACTGGAGGCGACTGTCATCCTGAAAACTTTCTTGCTTCTGAATTGGCTGCTTTTTACCCAAAAATGATGCAAATCCAAACTTGCTTTTTCGTTTGGTTGATGGAACGGGAGACGCGCTTCGGGTTGGGTGCTCTTGAACATGCTCAAGCCTTCCGAGTGATCTACGAGATAGGCCAAACTCGTCATAACGGGGGCCCAATGATCGACGACCGTCAAACTCAACCGCTTTGCTGGCAGGCATCGTTTGTAACCTCAGGTTGGGTTGCGAAGTCATACCGCCAAAGGATTGGCGTCGAGTGTCCCCATTGCGGAACGGGGCTTGCGGAGGGAGGAAATCGTGCGCTGGTCCCGAACCAGGCGGTAACAATTGAGGGGTATATGTGTATACCGTTTGCGGCCTGGAATCGGGTGACTGCCGAGCCGGAGCTTCACCTGGAGGAAGAGGAGGGAGAGACTTCTCTCTTGAAAGCCGGTTTGGGACAAGTGGCGCCAGGGGTGGATTCTGCAGTCGGAGGTCTGGTTCTGAGGTGACCGGGTAAACAAATTTGGCTTGAGTCTTTCCTATATTGTCTTCGTGGTTTTGTCTGTTGTCCTGGTCATCGGGGTAATTATGAACGAATGTGCGGACTTCGACCATGTCTGCTTCAGGGCCAGGCGGTCTTGACGAGGTCGGAGATGGCAGGACACTAGAGGGGGCCGTAGGTGGCGACATACCAGAAGAAGATAACCCTAATCTTGGCGATGTCATTGAAGGAACTGAGGGTGTGGATGCGTGTCGGTGAGTCGACTGTAGAAGTTCAGAAGGCCCTCGCTCCACGAGATACGAGAGTGGCGGAGGAGGTGCAAGGGGAAAATCGTCCTCGAGCTTTTCATTTTTTCGTTGTTCTCGATCAGCCTCCGCCTTCGTTCCAGTAACAATGCGCCAGATCTTTGCAAGGCCATTCTTCTTCTTCTTTGATTTTTCATCGAAGGCGGTTTGGCAAGTATCTCCCGCCTCTTGCTGTGTGGGAGGCCAAATTTGGCTGTGACGAGACCCGCGGAGGTCGATAGGTGAGGTCGTGAGACGGCTTGGTCCTTGTGCCTCGCGTTGAAGGGCAACGCTGGAAGAAGCCGTTAGATAAACAAAGCACCAACTTTGAATCAACTTACTGCATATCAACCATACTCCCAGACATTCCGGAAGGGGCCAAACTATCTTGGCTCATCCAACCAGCACTTAGGTTTCGAATTCCAAAAAACCTGGTGCGCCTGGGTGACCCCGAGCCTAAGCTGTGAACTTCAGAGAAAGAAGCCTGTGAATAAACTCGAGGTAAATCTGGGCGTTCTGGCGGGGCGGTCAAAACACTCGTCGGTCGAGCAGAACTCGAATGGGAATATCGTGAGTATGGCTTGAGGCCGTTATCGGTGGGTGGGCCATAGCTCTGTGCAGAAATGATAGAAGTGACGTCCATAACAGAACTCCGAGAAGACTTTCTTGCACGTTTTTCTTCTTTCCGCCGGCGTTCTCGTGCCTCGCGCTCTTCCTTTCGAACATCGACATGCTCCACAATCATGCCATTCTCAAGCAACGTTATTTCGCGTGATTGTGACCGAGTATGCACATGGATATTGGTTGGTGAAGAAGGGGACTGTGGAGGCTTGATGCGAACGCCGCCAAAGTCGTCCGCGGGGGATGAAGCGGCACCCATGTCGTACGCAGACCGTCGTAACTGGGAATATGTGTCTCGCATCCTGTTGTCGAGCTGCTTCGCCTCCTGCATTGCCCGAGCATGCGCAAGAGCCTCTGCTTGCAACAAAGCTCGCTGGGATTTGATGTAAGTGTTCAGAGTCTGTTGCCTTGATGCAGGTTCACGCGGATTCTGTAGATGCATCATTTGAATATCAGCGCGAGTAAATGTAGCGAGTCCAACTCACGATGCTTAACCAGATTTTGAGGTTTTGTTCGGTCAAACGACCACCTCTTGCCTTCGGTCGTGACGAATCGTCGACAACGACAACGCCATTGGCCTCATCCTGTAATTCTCTTTCCACAAGATCTTCGAAGAGTACGTCGCTTGCTCGTTCCCAGACGCCTGGGGAAGCGACGTCAACATCCGCCATATCTTGATCTCTCATGGCGCATTCCACGCAAACTTCTTCCTGCAATGGTGGTGACGGAGAATATACCATATTGATGGGGTTGGGTGCATCGGGAGGAGTAATGTATGTAGGTTGTTGCGGGTATGTCCGATGTTTGGGCGCCACCGGAGGGTTGTATGTTGGAGAAGCTGATAGAGGCATGACGGGAGGAAATTGACTACTACCACCAAGAGCGTTAGGGCTCGCTGAAGAAGACGGTGCGGCAGGACGGCGGGGAGTAGCAGGAAGAATGGACACTGGTCTGTCCCGCGACTGCAACTCATTCAAGCGGGTAGGTTGAGGCGTATTCGTCCTGCTGCGTCCAGTATCCTGGTTAGACTCCACTAGGGTCGGCCGTGTCTCTGTTGAAGCTCTCGAAGGAGCGCGTTGGCCATTATCCTCTAAGCTATACCGTTCAACAACCCGACGCGAAGCACCTGATGGTAGGGCATACGACAAAGAGGTGCGCTGGGGTTCTTGGGACTGAGATTGAGTAGAAAGTAGGCCAGGCGAGCGGGCACTTTGCCTAGAGGGGGTCTGCTGATACTGAGAGTCAACCCGACTTGACTGTCCAGCAGGCCATCCCGAGATGCTATTGGATGGTTCAAAGGAACGTTGAAAGGATTGGGGGTCATATCTGTCCCACAGCTGATCTTGTTGAGGTGGAGACTGTAGAATGGGTTTGGAAAGAGGTGGGTATCGGTTGTCTCTAAAGTCAATGTCGTCCATAAGTGTGCGTGGGTATAGATTGACATGAAGATTTGCAGCGGGGTCGTTTCGTGGCGGTTGTTGTATGGTGGCGGCCATGTTGGGGTGAGTGAAGTGTCAGCGAGCGCCTAGCGTGGCGACGACGGAAAAGAAAGATTAAACTGAAGAGAATTGTGTGGGCATCCAGAAGGAAGAGAGAAAGAAGTTAAAGAAGAATGGAGACGTGAATTTGAAGAATTTCAAAGTTGCTTGAGCTTGCAGAGACGGAAAGCTTAAAGTTCAAGCCAAATTCGAGCAACACAAGTTGCCGTCACCTCATGATTATTCGGTTAACATGCCAGGATTCCCGTGAAACACTGGGAAACACTACATGGATACTCTATTACAACAGCCATCTTACTTGCGGTACCATAAAACTCCTTTCCGACTCCGCCGCATCTTCCGCTGTAGCTGTAGCATCCCATACAATAGTGCCTCTGCGGTAGGTGGGCATCCCGGAACATAGATATCCACAGGCACAATACCTAATTCAGAAAATCGACCTTTAGCTTTTCAAATAGTACATGACTTGCACACGTACGGTCACACCCGCGGACGACAGAATAAGAATAGTGATAGTAACCACCACCATTTGCACATGATCCCATGGAAATCACCCATCCTGTTGAACCTGTCAGTTCTATCCTCCCCCTTTCGAACATGATGGACATACGAGGCTCAGGCATTTGGTCATACACCTTTCGGAGTGCAGGCGCCATCTTGTTTGTTAGAGTCCCGGCCACGATCATGATGTCACTCTGTCGTGGACTTGCACGGAAAACAACGCCCAACCTATCCTGGTCGTATCGAGCTGCAGCCATGTGCATCATCTCGACAGCGCAGCAAGCAAGACCTAAAATTCAACAATATATTGACAATAATGGCAAAAGTCAAACGAGAACTAACCAAACGTCATTGGCCACATCGACCCCTGCCTAGCCCAGTTCGTCACCTTATCAAGGGTCGACAACACGTACTCTGGATGCTAGAATTAGGCAAGTTTTATCTCCCAGCAATGAGTAAGAACTCGTACCAGCACCGTTTTGGGGTTGCTCCAGACTGAGTTGTAGGGAGCCCCGTTGTGCGAGTAGGGTGACAGGCTCAGTAGGTGATGTAGGCGGTGGAGCAACGGGCTGTTGCTCAGCCATACGCGCAGGCTGCGACGTGTGTAGAAGGAGCCGGGCTGAAACGAAGCTACTCAGCACGTTATTCAGTCAAATCAATTGAGATGCCCTACCGGCCAGAGTCCTGGGACCTGCCCTCCACGACCCATTGGCGACTGGAACAAAGGGATATCAGAATAACGTAGGGGAATATGTTGTATTTTGTACAGACCTGCTGCTTTTAAAGCAAAGGACATTTTGTAAACAGACGGCTAGGCTTTCAGAGGAGAGAAAGCAACGACGATATTGGCCGAAACGAATTATTACGTAATAATATGGATTGACAAATCGGTGAAGTGTACAAATCTACAGTTGATAAGAAATTGGCAATCCTACGAGCGAAGCTTTAACCATGGATGAGCTTTTACTTCCGCTATCGAAGCCCTTGTCTGAGGTTTGGGATCAAGGCATTTCCTCATCAAGTCCATCGCCTCATCTGAAGGGAGAGGTCCTTGCGTTTCCGACAAGAAAATTCGTCCATCCACAGTGTCGCGAGGTGACGGAAACGGCGATATTCCCATGAGGAGATATGATAACAAGACACCGAGCGTCCAAACTTCGGCTGGGGCTGCTTGATAGCTTCTTTTGAGAAGGATCTCAGATGACGCGTACGCAGCAGTTCCATAAAATAGGTTGTAGAAAGGCCTTGGCTCGTTTGGATTGACGACTGTCGCGCTTCCAAAATCAATCAGTTTAATCTATGGGACAATGAAATGAGCAACTTTTTCTATGAAAAACGGGGCTTGCCTGTAAATCATCGCTGATGATTAGATTCTCGTCTTTGATATCGCGATGAGCTATTCCCAGAGTATCCAGATAATGCACGGCATCTACTACTTGAGAAAAGACATAACGGGCCTGCGGTTCTGTTAGCCTCTTTTGAGTTGATTGTTCTATGCATTCAAAGAGGTCGTAGGATGGTCTGCGAGAGAAACCTGGTCGCGAATCCACTCGGGGGGAACATGTGAAAATGTTGTGAGGTTTCTGCTCGTTTAGCGAAGTTGAAGAATCAGCGTCCTGGGAGTCTGCTATTTGCCCAGGTAATTCCGGGTTCACATGAGGCGGAGTTCTGGGTTGAAAGGAGTCAAGTGAGATCTCAGATCCGGAATGGGAGAGGGAAGGGGTTGGGAGTGATGCAGTTGTGCAGTCCGGCAGGATTCTTTGAGAAGAAGTTCCTTCAGACCTTGGCCACGGTGAACCATGTAATTCTTGAACCTTTTACGAACATTAATGAGAGGATGCCGACGATAGCTTCAAAATACGCGCACCAAATAAAAATATAGAGGGTCTTCAAACACATCTAAACATTTCACGATGTTCCTGTGGTTGACAAACCTCAGCAGTACAATCTCTGTCGGTAAGTTTCCAACGGTTTCATCGTACATCCAAGCATGCTCGGGAACTTTATCCTTGATGATAAACTTGACTGCGACTTCATGCCCTTCTGCGCGATGGCACGCAGTCATCACAAATCCGTAACCCCCAGAACCTATTTCATCTTCGAGTTGGTATAAAGTGACGAATTCCGAATTGAGAAGGTGCCCTTGGGGGAACTTTGGTGAATGAAAGTCGGCTTGAAGATTATATATACGGTGGGAGTGTCGGTGACCAGCCGCTCGTGAAGGTTGCGAAAGAGGTGAAGAAAGCAAGTCAACAGCGTTTCCTCGTGTGATTTTGTGGGGGATAGTATGTTGTTCTTGGAAAAGGGAAGAGTTTGGCGATTCGCTAAATTCGACTGGTTGAGGTCGTGCGAAGGGATTCCGACGGAAGAACTGTAGATCCTGCTTAGGCGAGGAGTTCACAAAAAGCCTATGTGAGAGGGGGAGGTCTTCTGATGTAGCTCGTGGCTTTGAGCTGTTAGACATGTAACGCCTTGGGTCGGAAAGAGAAATTGAGGAGGCATCGCTGGCATTGTTGGACCGATTTTGAAAGCCGTAGATTTCCTCGCTGTCGATTGAACCAACAGAAGATGAGCAACCTCCGCCAGGTGATGAGGACGAGACCAGGTACAAAGGCGGTCGAGGCGCAGGCGGCTCAAGCATCATGGCTTGCAGAGGGAAGCTGACGGAGGCCAAAGACTGAGAAACAGCGAGAATATGCTTGGACTACTGTCACGAATATCCGTGATTCATGCCACAATCCCGTTTGTCTCCGCACCCCTCAACGGAACACGCCCAGCGGAACATGAGCGGAGCAAGACCGAAACGCTAAGCATATGAAAGTTTCATCGTAAAATACCCCGATCAGACGGATCAAAGTAACTAATTTTCCTGTATGAAGTCCGATTGAACAACTGTTAACATTCAACATTGAATACTGCACATCCTGAGACAAAAGTATCTGATGCCACAAAGTATTATTCTGCGGCGGCTAGAGACCACATGTAATAGACACCTGTGGACCTGACATGAGAACATCCTCGCCAAGTCTTTCGGAAACGCACCTAAGCTTCTGTAGGGTTTCCAGCGCTCTGTCAGTGCTGCCATTTCTTGTGGAGTTAGAAACGCCCCTCTGACCAAAAGGGTAAGTACACCCATATCTAAGGGGTTAGCCACGTACCTGATCTTTTTCTTTCCCTCGAGCCTGCTCTTCAGCGTGGCAACGGTTAATCCTTCAGGAAGAGGGAGACGTTCCGTGGAAGTGGAACGATTAAGTGTCTTGTGAATAGAGGGTGTGAAAGGAGGAGGCACAGCAGGGAGATCAACGTCTTCATCCTCAGATATAGGGGTCCCGTCACCTGTAGCGACGTCTTCGACCGCTCTAGATTTATATGCAGCATCCACCACCTCAGGCAGCGCATCATCACTTTCGGAGGCAGACAGGTTCAAAGTTGCCTCTATGGATTTTCCCTGACCAGATACCTTTTCAGGTGATAGTGCGAAGAGGTGCGTTGGCAAATGGAGGGATAAAAACCAACGGACCAAACCCCGCTGGACACCCAGATCACCTGACACACAAAACCATTCACTGGTATAGACAATCTGCACAAGAGCATACGTACCCACAGGAAGGATATCGGGACGCCGGAGTGAAAATATGGCAAACATGTCGACTGTATCAGAGGCTCACTAAGCATCACAAAATCTGGCGCGTTCCAGCAATTACCTGTCCACTACAAATGTGTCAATTTTTATAATGGAGCACTGAGAAAAGTGGACAAACTCTTCCAATGCCCCTGACTTCAATAAGGATACTGTACAAGTCGTCGTCGTCGGCATTCAGCAACTTTTCTGTGGACAATCTACCGTCTACAAATCGTGAGGCCAGATCCTTGACTTGGGATAATAGTTATTGGCAATTAAAATTAGAATGGCAATGGGACGGACCATATTCTGCTTTGCGTGCACTGAGTCCCGCTGTTCTGAGAGTGGCAATATCAGTATCAACGATGTCCTGTGGGGTCGGGAAGAGATGCAAATAAGATTTCATCATCCTAAGAGCAATTATCAGTCGAACGCGGTAGGTTTTGTTGTTTTGTTTTTCACGAACTGGTGGTCTGGCTTTTCTGGTATGGAGGGGTGATATAGCCTAATGAACCGATGCGTGATTGATCGTGCTGCCAACCAGGAAATTTGTTGACCTCTGCATTTGGGAAAGTTCAAATTATCGTCTAGACAAGCTGCCGTCAATTACCCACAAAATAGATGTCGAAAGAGCGCTGTTGTACAAGGCGGAAAAATTAGCATTCAATATATGTTGGATAGGAAGGCGATTGCACCGAAATGGATCAAGTTGCTCCAGGTGTTCGAACGGTTTACATTGCATCTTGAGGAATAAGTCTTGAAACCGTCGATCTACGCTGACCAGGTGATTCTTGGCCAACTCGAAATCAAAACTAAGGACAGCTGGCACGAGCGAGTTCAACGTAATGCTTGCGCTCGAAGGTCCCGCATCAGTGTTGTTTGTTGAAGGGGTTTCCTTCTTGCTACCGTTGCCATTGCGTCGTGCCCGTTTATTGGAGTCTAGGATTGCTGTCGAATTAGCCTTGCGTTTCTTGGGACTCGGAGGCGCTTGCGGAGAGGTCGTGGCCTTGCCGAGTGAACGAACAAGGGAGCGCGTAACGACGGGCATCGAGTAGAATTGAAGTGGGGATGCTACCAAGGGGGGAGCACAATTTTAATTTAATATATGATGTTGATTTTTTTGATAAGGCCAATATGGCCAGACTAACCAACCAGGCGTGGGAACAACCTTCCATATATAGGTAAATCTATAAATAGGTAACGTGTTTTGGGATGTCAGCCGCCGTCTTATCCTTCGTTTGCTGCCCCTTCCTCTACTTTTCTTCATGCTCTTACATGGGTCACAAACCCAGTCATTGATACCAAGATCCACTGGCAGTACAACCCATGAAAAGTGGTACTGCATAGTCAGTGGTCAGGCTGAAATGACACAAAAAGAAAATGACCTACCCTGATGAGCACATGCTTTTGTCCTCTGCCTCAACTGCATCACTCTCACCTCAATTACAATGTGGACAGAAAACAGTTTTATCATCTCAAATATTGTCCTCAATCTATATCATATACCAGGCTTCTTAGATCACAAGTGTGAATAGTATAGTAAGTACTGCACTTGGTAAGTGAGGACAGCTTGCAGAACGCCTCAGAGAGCGCACTGAGCTCATCCAACCCATAGATTACCCAAAATTGGTACTTTAAATAAAAAAATTTAATGGCCTGCCGGCCGGACTAACCAACCGACCCCATATGGCAGATTCAAATCCTGCTCCCCCCTTGGATGCTACTTGACTCTAACAATGTAACATAAATAACGTCATCATATTGCAAGTCATGTTTTCGGCTCCGTCAAAACTATCTATGTACACGAGACTGGAACCCAGTCTCCGATAGTAGTAATTCGCTATGTTTAAGGGGATGCAGTGTCGAATCCGAGAAATTGTGGAAGTTCTGTAAGTATTTGGAATGTGTGAGCGGGTAATTACTACCATGGAATTACACCCCAATAGTGTACATATCCATAACGGCTGGTATCGAGACTATATGTACACAAGAATTGTTTACATAACAAACGGAATCGTAAAGTCGTGAAGTCGTAAGTCATTTATTTGCAAGGGTAGCTTTCTGCCAGAACGATTAGCGAGTTTTACGCTGAGACATCCCGTCGATAGTCGCCTCGGCAACGAGGTCAAGAGTCAGCGGTGAAGAAATGGGTGCGTCAACGGGGAATTGACCTATTTGTGTTACACCGTTTTGCGGACTTGGTTCTGTTAATGGGGGGAAGTCCCAAGGACGGGGTACCTGGGTAATATTCGCGTTAGTGGGGTGACATTTCCAGAAACCAAGGATCAACAACACGCCGTACCATGGCTGCTGGCATAATCCTATTATGTATCGGGTAATATAGTAAATCCAAAAACGTCGGGGTGAGTGGAACTCACCATGTAGCTGCACAAATAACTCCTTGGCCCTGGTCTTGTCGCTTGATAGCGTTCCATTCGAAATCGATGTATTGAGCTATGTACCGAATGAACGGGAGGATTTCTCGGACTCCGTTGTTGATCAAGGCTAAGGCTGACAAAAAATTCACGACAGAGCCTGTCACCGATTGAGCGCTCTGAAAAATTGAATAAATTCGAGATCAGAATCTGGCAGAAAGTGCATACGTCGAGATATTCCAAAGTCGGAGGGGGCAGTAGTATCTCGAGCCCCCACCAATCTAAACTTTGTCAAAAAAAAACGAAATGAAGCAATGAGAGACCTTCATACATGTGATCACTGACAATCGGTCAGTTGGTGGGTGGACGCCTTCGAAATTCAAAAATTATTGAAACAGTTACAGGAAAGGTATAACAGAGAACTAACCGTTGTGGTCTGGCAGAATGGCCCTGCCTGTTGCATAACCCAACGCCATTAATTGTGGGGTAATCTGTTTCACACCTTCGAGGACTGTTTTTGCAGTTGGAACAGCACCAGCCAATAGGCCGCTTCCGTTTCCAGGTTGGCCTAGTCCCAGATCGGGGGCAGCTAGCAGGTCAACGATATGCATTTCGTTGAAAAGGTCAGTTAGCTTATCAACGGGGGTTGACACAACGTCGAGAGTTTCCCGTTTGCTCCCTGTGGCGGTATTGGGGACGTGTAACTTAGTAAAATGGAGTAGGTCCTCCTCTGCATCGGTGTGACCCAGGCAGACTGCGTGAATGGGCGATGCCGGGACGACATGGGAATTATAAGTGGAGGTCCTTCGTATTGGCTCCCCCGTTGCCGGCAGAAGGCGCAACTGAGCAATGAGTTTCTTCGCTGTCTTCGGCCGCATGAGCTGGGACTTGATGACAAGTAATTGAGGCTTCGCAACCGCTGAAGTGAGTCTGGGAGAAAGGGGGGAAGAAGGACCAATAATGATCGAACGGACAGACAATGCTGTTTTCTTTGCTCGCTTTTCTGAACTTGATGTGCGAGACTTGTCCATGCGTTTTGAGGATGACTTCGCCACCAACTTTTTCCCGCCTTTCTCTTCTGTCATCGATCTGTCGCCTTCCTTCCATCTAGAGGAAAAGGAAAAGGCGCGGAAAGAGAAATAACGGAGTCGAACGGGGCTCCCCTCTTCAGGGGGTTCTGGGCTGCTGCCGGCTCTACCCATTGATTTGGACTTTGTGGGGTACGAAAACAAGGTCAGAACACCCATTATTATAGGGAATGGGGAATCAAGGAATCCTTGTTACGTGAGACCAACTGGCCGTTGATACATAAGTAGATGATAGCAGGACCAGAGCGCGCCAACCGTCCTTATTTGAAACATGACAAAAACAAACCTCTTTGATTGTCATGCTTGGTTAGCGAGGCACGCCCTTACAGTGTCTTTCACTGCCGGCATGAAGAAGAATCCCTTTCTCCTCGTGAAATTGCTGACATGCAGATGTTCAATTTGCCGTGACAAAAAACCCTGAGGGTAACAGTTCTCGAGATTTATGTGCAACAAGTAGTCTAGTACTAAGACGCACAACGTAAAGCTCCCCTTAGGTGTAATTAGGTCTGGTGGGCCACCACTTATGTGGGTATTAACGTCCGTTGTGTAGCTGTAGGGTACAGATAATGTGAAGGTTTTGGGTAGAGGGCCGTGTGATCGGAAGTCTTGGTCTATTGCGTCTATGCGACGCTAGGGTATGGGCGCGCGCTACTGCGCTCGCATGGGTTTGTCTGTGGGTATGGGTAGCGCGGGCGTGTTATGGTTCGGCGTCGGACTCATCGTCCTCTGAATCTATATCGGGGGGTTCTGGCTCGTCGAGGAAGGAGGGAAGCCCCTTGAGCGTGTATTTCTCTCTTGTGAATGTTAAGGCGCCCGAGTCCCGTATGAAGTCGGCTAGGGCGGCTATTCCTTTGGGGGTCCCCAACAGCTCTGGGAGCGCCAGGTCGCGGCTGTGTTTACGCAGCTTCTTCCGGTGATCTTCGTAGCGGTTGCACTCTCTGATGATGTGCTCTCGGGTTTGCGGGTCTTCTCCGCACTCGCAGCTGGTGCTCTTCTCAGGAAAGAGCTGTCTCCCGAATTCACCCTTGGCTCGCCGTAGTGCGAATGCCCGTGACGTGCTAATTGGCGCGTTCCATGCGAGTTGAGTGGCCTCCTTCGCTAGTTCGTCCGCTCTGTCGTTCCCTGCTATTTTGCAATGGCTTGGACACCATGCGATTTCGATTGTGCGAGTAGGGTCGTTATCGAGGAACCTGGCCATCTTTCGGTGGAATTTGGCCGCGTATAGTTGTCCCGGTTGTGGTTTAGGATCGAATATTGCCCCTGCCGCTGCTGAGTTGTCGACGAAGAAGTGTCTAGAAGTGTATGTGTTTGATTTCCGGGTGATTGTCGACATACTTCGTTGTCATGCCCGCCCCCATCTTTAGCCCGGCCATTTCTGCGTCGTAAACCTCGGCCCTTCCCCCCGTGAACACCTCTTCCCCTGCGTGGTATCCGACCGCCGCTGCGCCTACCTGAGAGAAACCCATCTTCTCCACCATGGACCCGTCCGTGTAAATGATTAGGCATTCTCTTCTTTTTGATAACTTGCGGTACTTTTCTTTATGTTCTTCTATCATCTTCCGCTTTTCTTCATCGTCTTTCGTTTCTGGTTTACAGGCATTTATCTGCACCCGGCCTCCGAAGCTGGAACTTGTGCGTCGCCACGGAGCTACAAGGATCCTTTCGTGCGCGTGATAGGTTTGCTTAGCGATAGTAGGTTGGTCGTCCTGGCCATGGCTCGGTTGGTGGCCGACAAGTGGCCGAGTTATTGTTGAGTCTGGGTTGGAGGAGTGGTGGTGTTTTCTTGTCCCCGGGTTTCCTCCATTGTTGGGGGAGCCTCTTGATGATCGGGCTGGAGTGGCTTAGCTTGTTGAGCCGGATCGCGCACCGTGTAGGTTGGCTTGGTGCGGAACGCCGGGAACGCCCTTATTTAAGCTTGTACTTATACACAACCAAACTTTAGTATGACTCTGACTCTCAGCAACCATGTCCAGAGTCGGTCTCCTCGTCAAGGCTTTGACAAGGTGAGGCTTAATTTTCACTCTCCCTTCATTTTTCATCCCCTCTTGCAGAAAAACAAACCCCGTTCTGTTTGCGATAATAATGGGTATTTTTTGCGGTGTCAAATTGTTTCTGTAGTTTGACAGAGAAACACAGGCACAGGGGCCATTAGCACTCTCTTCAACGCTTTTCCGTATGGCACGGGAACGCGCCTCATGACAATTCTTAGTCTCATGGTTTTCTTTGTCAACCTTGTGCTGTTTTTCTCATTCACTGCCATGGCTTTGGTGAAGTATACTTCGCATAGGGATCGCTGGGCTTCATTGCTTCAAAACCCCGTCGCAAGTCTATATACTGGTTGTTTTCCAATGGGAGCAACCACTCTGATAAATGTGGCCGTTGATGTTATACATGAAGAATATCGTTTTGGCGGTCCAGCATTCCTATACTTCATCTGGGCTTTCTGGTGGTTGGACATCGTAATTGCTTTCGTTTGTTGTTGGATTGGGGTTCATGTGATGTTTGTCCGCTCTTTTCTGACATCGGTCCAAAATCGAACAATTTGGTTTTAGGGCGACGCGGCAAACGCATTCCCTTTCGTCAATGACTGCCATGTGGCTTCTCCCCGTTGTTACACTTATCGTCGCAGCTTCGTCTGGTGGCGTCTTGGGCAGGGCCTTGTTGAACATCTCCCCTTATTTTGCGCTTATCACCATCGTCGTCGCCGCGTTCCTCGTCACTACTGGACTAAGCCTTGCCCTTATGATTCTGACAATCTATCTCTTTCGTCTGGTTGTCTACGGCTTACCACAGGGAGGAAGCATTCTTTCCGTTTTCCTGCCTCTTGGGCCGACTGGCCAGTCTGGTTACGCCATCTTATTGATTGGTCAGACTCTAAAGAATCTCCTACCTTACAATCCTGCCTCCCGATTTCTTCATTCAAAAGTGACGGGGGAAGTCATTGAAGTTGTTTGCATTTGTGCCGCTTTTCTCCTTTGGTCGCTTGCCACAATGTGGATGCTTTACGCATTACTAGCCATACAAGCATCACTTCGTCAAAATCGGGTACCTTTCAAATTGTCTTTTTGGGGATTGGTATTTCCCAATGTGCGTCTCTGTGTTTCCTCGCGTCCTTCGCTAGCCCTTTTATGCATGCCTTTATCCGCAGGGTGTTTACGCCAACCTCACCATTCAGCTAGCCACCATATTTGGCTCAAATGCCTTCCGTGTGTGGGGATCAATCTATGCGGTTGCCACTTTTATCCTCTGGGCGTCAATCGTCTTACGCTCGTTATGGGAGTTGAAATGGGTTGTCTCAAACATCTTGGCTGATGACTCCAACGGCACACCAAACGGTGACGATTCCCGCGAGAAGGGAAGCAGTGCGGCGACGAGCACGACTAATTTTTCCGAGTTGTAACTTACCTACCTGCTGCACCGGCGCAACAACCTTGAACAATGGAGACAGCGACGCAGGAACTTGATGGTAGGTTTATTCTGGATGGATCGAAATCCTGCCATACTTATAACTTATAGAAGGAGTCGTTCAGTTCAAAGTCAAGGCGCGCGGGCGTCTTATGTATCTCCAAAAGATGAGATGGGGAGACACTTCGGATTTGTAGAGCCACCTAGATGATTGAATAAAGGAGTCCAATGTCATCGAGTTGCCCCATTACTTAAAGCTAATTATTTATTTGATGTGCGCAGTCTGCCCGAATATCAGTACATAGTTCTATAGTCGAACCCAAGTGGTTTGACGGTGCCCCCTTTTTGAGCACTTTAAGGGGCCGGCACAGCCACAGGTCTGTAAACAACAGTGGTTCTGCATCATTTGAACTTCATGTCTGCTCGATCCCACCACTCCGAATACCAACCTTTGGTTAGTCAAGAAGAAACCGACGTGGGAGAGGGTCGCTGGGCTTCCTCGAGCAGAACGACTACGACGCCGGGACATCGTCGCACCGGTCGTCCTGGGAGCATTGACCTCACAAAGTTGGACAATGCGTTTAAACGGTTGGTTGACTTTGCATCTTGCGCATCTTACTTGCTTATCTCTCCAAGGTGGACAGAATCTATAGCGCAAAAGGTGAAACGGAAGAAGAAAGTATCTGACCATTCGAGGAAACAAATCTGGCGAAGTGTGTTCGAGCCAACGGTTATTGGGATATCCAGTTCTGGGGCAGCGGTACGTTCGTGCCCTTCGATCAGATAGCTCCTGTTGATCTTTGGGTCACTGAACAGGTGAAGACTTTAGATCATAAGCCCCCAATGACGAAACAGGCATTCGACGTGTGAGCAGACTATGCAGACACTGGAAAATACTCACAGCTAAACGTCTTCAGGTTGGCTCAGTCCGTGAGAAACGCAATTGCAGAAGGAATTCATCCCAAGATGATAACGAAAGGATCTTCTGGTTCATATTTTGCTCGAGCAAAAGTGGGAGGTCGTGTACAGACTGTTGCGTGAGTTGTCACTGTTTCCCATTTCTCCTGTCAGCGTTAACATTAGTTAGTGTTTTCAAGCCCAAAGATGAGGAACCCTACGGCCGGTTAAACCCAAAGGTAAGATTTTTTTCCTACCAACTGGAAGTTTCCACAACTCAGGTGTTGCAAGACTACGAAGTGGATTCACCGACAGTTTCGGTGGATCATACCATTTGGGAGATCATGCCTTATACCCAATCTTAGGTTTGTGTGGCCTTAACCTTGGTCTGCCAATGGCTTACATTTTGTAGCTACATTTCTGAAGCTGCAGCTTCGTTGCTTGACCGAAGATTGGATCTCCACATTGTCCCCCCAACTGAACTTGTTTCATTATCGAGCCCGGTAAATGGGCTCCTGACATCGTACGGCCCGTTGTGATCTGAACCAGCTATGATTTCTTCGCTAGGCTTTCTTTTACGACTGGCTTGACCGAAGCGCAGCTAAGAAAGGAAAACCGTTACCTGAGAAAATTGGGAGCATGCAATTCTTTTTACATGGTTATCAAGGTAAGTTTTCGGCGCTTGAAATTTCCCTGTTTCAAATATCCTCCCCAAAGATGCATCCGACTTTTTGCGAAAGTATCCTTGGCCAGGACGCGCTATTGCAGATACCTTCGACGATTCGACACATCGACAGGGAAATGTATCGAAACGCTTCCTCGGCGCTTTGAAAGTTGTTTGTGGAAAGACAGGCGACACCGAGGACGCGTACGATGATGTTGATTATGAGGATGAACGCGTCCTCTACGATGCCACGGAGGAGGGCGGTGCACACCGACCATTCTATTGGAGTCAAACTCTCCAGCAAAGCTTCCGTGAGGAGTTGGAAAAGTGAGCACTTCATGATCTTTGTTTCATAGCTGCTCACATAACAAAGGCTTGTTATACTGGGTTAATCTCTTTCCCATTCGTGGTACTTTGGTATTAACGCTTCTCTAATTTCTCAGATTATCTCATGCTTAACACTGACCGGGGTGCGGACAATTATATGATCAAGTATTGTGAAGGCGACCATGAAAAGGCCCTTGTAGATGTTGCACCGTCCCGCTCAGTTCGCCTCGAGATGCCAGCAATGAGCGAGCTTCGGAGGAATGAGATGTCTTCTCATACGCCGTCAATGACCCCATCCGCTTCGTATCACCCACCTTCATCACCAGGCGCGTCGGGATCTTCCACACCACACGGCGATTATAGGCGACGCCCGCATATTCACATCGCAGCCATTGACAATTCACTGTCGTTTCCCCATGAACATCCACAAGGTTGGCGGTCTTACACATACGGATGGTTATATTTGCCTGTCAGCATCATTGGTCGGCCTTTCAGTGAAAAGACAAGAAATCATTTTCTACCATTGCTCACGTCGAAGTCATGGTGGGAAGAAACGACATTTTTGCTGGAAAACCTGTTTGCAGTTGATCCCGATTTTCATCCAAAGATGTTTGCTGTAAGGGTAGTTTCTTGTTGAGGAATTTCTCTGACTTTCCCCTCCTTCTAGCGACAACTTGCCGTTATCAAAGGTTCATTATTTCCCTTGATCTGTTTTCGGGAGTCTAATCTACCTCCCGCGCAGGCCAAGCTTGGAACATCGTGCAGTCCTTGAGGCACGCAGTATGTCCTTCATAATTCTCCACTTCCCTTTGCTCACCTTGACTTTTAGGATGAGGGTAAATATTGCTTCCCTCCCTACTTCTCTCTTTTCGCTACAATCACGCATTTCAGGTCCGTTAGAGTTAACACGGAGAACGAAAGTCCTTGTCTGGGATGAGGAATTGGAGGTTGCTGAAGAGGCTATTCAAGAAGTGGCAAATAGTCCATCTTCTCCAAGACTTTCCATAAATAGTGTTCCTCTGCCAAGACGGACCCGAAGTCAAAGTTCTGGGAGCGAATTCCCCCCTCCAATCCGTAGAACATCGACTGACGCATCGGGGGCGCCTCGGCCAGTTCCCTTTGCAGCCAAATTCCAACGGGTACACCCTGGGACTACTGGTGTCACTGTTCTGGAGCATCTGGAGCGGCTTGATGCCGTAGAAGCGAGCTTACAACGGCTAGGCGTAGGTGAGACGATCGAGGAGGAGGAGGTCGATGTTGGCGTTGTTGCATCGACAGTACCCCCGAAACCTATCTCCATACCCCGTCGCCCAATAGAGTCGTCTTCAAACGTCGCTACATCTCCATTCTCACCTCCCGGCAGCCCCTTACCCACCGTGCATGAAGTCTCGTCGTCAGCTAGTTCAATAGCGGAAGAAGACCTGGTGGCTCTGTCTAAATCTACGTCACATATTGAAAGTGCAAACCCCTTTAATCGTCCAGACAACCTCTCGAGCGCGGGAATAGAATGGATTCAAACTTCAGGCGAGAGCCAGAAGCGTATCGTGATCACTGAAGTATGTATCTCTGCTCTCTAGTTTTGATACTATACCTTACAAGCCTACAGAGACTGGAAACGGTACACAAGAAACCCCTTTGTGCTTGCTGGTAAATTTTGAGGTTCTATTATTGGACGATGATAATCCGGTCATTTATTGGATGCTTAATAAAACGTGTGATATAATAAATATGATCGTCGGCGTGGATTAATCTCCCTCTGTGACCAGCCACTTAGCAAAGTCATCGAGCCGTTTTCTCTCAGCATCCTCCCCTTCACCACCCAGATCGTCTCCTGCGCCGCTGCGTTTAAAACGTTGCTTTCCAGAGTAAAGATCGGCTTCGATGCGACGACCAGCGAAAAATCTTCCACTCATTTTCTAGTTTTCAGCGTAAAAAACTCATTCTTGTGTTCAAAATCAACCACGTACCAGGACGCAAGCTTGCGCACTAATGGTATCCCGAAACTTGACGGTCATTACGCCATCCTGTTCTTTCTTGAAGTGGAAAAGTGTCAATGAATGATAAAGTTGTGAATTTATGCTTGCTCACATCATATAATACAACGTTGGTGACCTCTCCGAGCGAAGCACACTCCTCTCGGACATCCTCCTTGAGATCAAGCAACAAAGCAGAGTCTTCCTGGAGCTCTTGTAGGGTAAACATGTGCTTCAGGACAACCACACGGCTGTTTTTATTAGCCACATTCATATCATCTTCAGGATCGGGCATTGGACCAAAACCATCGTCGTCCCCCCATTCGGCCAGTTTCCTGTCCTCCATGTTAAACCGAACGGGGATGAGGATTCAAAAGGCAATAATACTTTTGCATTTTTCCAATTCGTTTCGTCGTCTTTTTTTTATTCACCGTTTTCCTCGGCTTACTTTGATCGCCTGTACCGATCGAGTTATTCTTGTGTGCAAAGTCGGCCTTTGTAACTCTCATGACCGTTGAAGGCACACCTAATCGCAACTCTGCGTCGTCTAGTATGTTCAAGGCCAATAGGACAGATTCTTCCTTGAAGTAAACCACGAGCGCCTCTCCGCTGAACGACCCATCATCCCTGGCGTACATCTTAATTTTGGGCTCTCCTTGTTCATCCTCCTCGATAACACCACATCTCGAGAAACGTTCGATGAGCTCGTCCTGCTCGGTATCGAGAGGCAGGCCGGTGACGTAAACAGCTGTATTCTTCGATTTACGTTCGGCTGGGGGCTTGTCCCTCTTGTCGTTCTTGCCTCGTTTGATGGAGGGTCCGGCTGCCGTCAATGGGGTGGCAGAGGTGTAATCCTCCACTTTCCGTTTCTTGCTTTCTCTCCTGAGGACTGGAGCCGCAGGAGTCTAGATGCGTGAGTACGGGGTTGTAGACATGAACAAGTCTTGCCCACCTCTTCGTCTACACCGGCGATGGAATACGCAGCTTGTTGATTCTTGATGAGATCTTCGTCAACCTGTGTTTGCGGTTTATATAAATTTGTTGGGTTGTGGATATTAGTGGCGCGCGCACCAATGGGACCCAGACAGCGTTGGAGGGGTCGTATTCCAGTTCTGTGTCATCGTCCTGTTCATATCGCCATGTACCCGCGGTTTTGGAGAAGTAGATGCTGGCAGAGAGGTCAAGATTGCTGCTACAAACACTAGGCTCGTTCAAGTATATGCTCACCGTGGATCATCTGCGAACGCCGCTGCTTGAGCCTCAGCAGACGAACCAATTGCCACAGATGGTGGTGGGACAGACATATTTTGTATTTACGGTTGTTTGAAACTGATGGTCTAATAGGCTACTACCGGTATAGTGACATGGGGAAGTAGGCAAACTGGTCATGGGGAGCATTGGGCGACAGCTGGGGCACCCATCGCTTGTAAGGAATAGGCAGGGCTGGGGGAAGCTTTGACTCCGAGTAGACCTTTGTAGCTCCGGTAATGGTGGCAATAGCTTCGGAGAGCTCGGGGGTTTTCTGGGCAACTACGGGAACCTCTGTCTGTCCTTCAACAGGCGCCGCGCTGGAGAGGGGGGTAAGCAAACGGATATGATGAACGTTCGTGGAGACATACACTTGAGGAGGTGAAGAATGCGCGATTAGCAAGGAAGAGAGTTCAGACTGAGTGACGACGGAGAGTTGTGGATATGCACGTCGAACATCGCGTTTCCAATATGGATTCTCGGCAGGGTCAGAAGCTACGACAGTTGAATTGGGCGAAGAGAATACAAAAAAAAGAAGAAAAACCTTTGGTGGCAGGGGTAGAGTACTTTTCCGGACGAGAGGCTGGCGGGGGCCAACGATTGAGATTTGGCAAGGGGAGACCAGAGGAAATTTCTGGGTTTACGACGACAACGTCGCCTGTGGATTATATGTTAGCGGCGGTGAGGGAACAAAGTATATGGAAAACTCGCGAAATTTCTTCCAAAAACCCTTTGGACTGAGGTGATAAAGAGTTGACTCTGCCGCCTTCTTCAAGGTGGCCATAGAGAGAAGAGAGGTTGTCACGTGTCAAATTGCTCACAACGTGCTCACACTGACAGGTCTTAATTATGATTGACCTCTTTCAGCAGTAATGGTAATAAGGTTGACCATTACTTTATCTATTCTATTCATGAATTGCGCAATCATCATGGCGCAATCGCCACCATTTCACCATCCATTAACTTTTCTCTCAATTTTCATCGACATCCTTTATCCTTAACCCGGCCCTTTAAAGCCCCGTACGATGCTCTCAATTTTCATCCCTACCACCTAATGGCATCCTCATCCAGAGACCCTCATTCTCTTCCTTCCTTTGACAGTCTCACTTCCAACGCACCAGTCCTATACCTCCCACCTCTTCTCTCATCTCTGCCAGAGAATGTATCACCCCATAATCTTCCTTCACTCCATCCACCTCTCATAACAGAAACACGTCTGCCGGATATCGATCCTGTTTCCTTGTCTCTTCACAAGGCCCTTCATTATTTTAGACCCTTGTCTTCCAATTATGCCGACACCCCGTATTCTGACGCCTTCAATTGGTCAGAACTCGTCCTGCCAGACGACGAGGAAAGAGAGTGGTACTGCGTCGTCTTTCGAAGTAAACGTGCACCCGACAGTGAGAGTGGTCGTAAGTCTTCTTTTGGTTTTCCTGTCCCTTCCTTAATTATTTTCTCTCTAGCTTTGTACGAAGCAGATAAATATGCTCATCAAGAAGCCGTTCTCAATGGAGGTGTACGTACTATGATTCCAGCCAACAATCGTCTACTGAGCATCTCTTGATTTCATAGTTGATCATGTATTGGTACGGTGTTCCGGACCCAGAATCCGGGATGAATCTCGCAACTTGCATTTGGCAAAGCAGAAAACATGCCGTGGCCGCAAACTCGCGACCTCATCATATAAAGGCAATGAAGTTGGCTGCTCAGTCCTATCAAGTCTATACATTAGAACGCCATATATTGCGAAAAGACAAGGGTAATACAAGTGTAGAAGTAGTACCTTTCTCTGGTGGAGAGGTGGGCTGGTAACATGGCCAACTGACTCCCGATATCACTTTCTCGGAATATACCCACCATTCTTTGCAACTGTGTATCTAGCCTTGGGCCTCTTCTTCATCTCTCCAAGAATCGATGCTATCGTTGGATAGCTGGGAACAAACTTCATCAAACGCAGCATTAAGCTTGGGAGGTTGATTCCGCGCAGACGTCACAATGATGGGCGACAGATCTTGCGGGAAGGGAACTGCTAAATCGAGGGAAACCTGAACAGGTGATGATGGCGTTGGTTGGCTGCGGAGCGGCGAGATGAAAACCCCTTTAGCAGGAGCAAAAGCAGGACCAGCCTTGGCACCAGTAGACCCACGTAATGAAGGCTGAATCAAAACAGGCGGTGGAGTGTTCTTTTTGTCGTCCATGTGTGGGAGAAATCGAAATGGATTAGGGGAAGCTTCTTCTTTTGAAGGCGGTTGGTTATCGTTCTGATCCAAGGCTTGATCACCTCCATGACTTTCAGCCCACAGATAAGTATCAGCCGGTTGGACTAGACGAGGTTCTTGTCCTTTTCTGTTGAACGGTTTCCACCTAAAGCCCAGAGAATCATAATCGATATCATAATGAGGTTGCGAAGCATCAGGATCTGTAGGGTCCTCGATCGGAGAATCAAAGTGGAAATGATCGGTAACATAACCAGGACCTGGAGTTGAGTAAATCGCAGGCGCATGCTCCATATATGCAACGCCTTGAATCATGGAATCTGAAATAAAGTTGTTAGTGGTATTGGGCTCGTGGTAGCAAGCATCCTGAAAGAGTTCGACACCAGACGGAGATACAGCAGGTGAAGGGAAAGAGACAGATGATGCATAAGGATAGTCGGTTAGGGGGTTAATATTCCCGGGAAGGGCTGGGAGAGAAGCGCGCGCATAGTCAGGCCCTGGAGTAGAGAATGGAAGCGGTTGGTCGTCGGATTCCAATACAGCTGAAGCATGAGAGAAAGCAGAAGGGAGGATCGAAAGCGTAGCCTTTTTGTCACGATGAAAAGTTTCAAAGCCGTCTGTAAATTCGTAGGATGACGAGCTGTCCGACTTGCTGGATTCTGGTGGATTGAAAACAAACACATCCTCCAGAGCACTGCTTGAATCCTGCTCTTCGACTGGCTCGTCGTCTCGAGGCTTGGGTAACAGCAGACGTAGGGGATGGTCGGCAACAAGCGTCGAAAAAGTATTTGCCAACCAGGAAGGAAGCGGTTTGCTGCCTCGACGACTAAAAGATGACTGTGAGTGGAGAAAGAACTGAGCACGCATTCTTCAAAAAGGATCCAGGAGTTCATACCGCTGAGCGGCTGCTTTGCTCAGATGAATCATCGTTTTCCGATATCCCAATAACGGACAGAGACTTGGTCGTCTGTCGAGGAATATCTTTGACAGGACGCCGAACGGCGTTCATGGTGTCTATCATCGCGTCAAAACGGGCATTGCGTACAGATACCTTGCGTCGCTTTGCTTGTGGTGAGTATTCGCTGTCGGCGTCGTTGGATACCCCAGAAAAGCGTCGGACATGAGCGGGCATGGGAAGAATAGTTACATAACGCGTCCAACTCAACCATAACCCAATACACACTACAACTATGATATTTCATATTGCCTTGATACCCAACCTTCGTCGGCTATCGTTCAACCATCGAGTTCTCGAGCCATCATGAAACGTGGAAAGCACCTACCTTTCCCAGCAGACGTTTCAGAACTCCCGCTCTATGTTGTGAATCCCCATCATTCTCAGCGTCCAACAACCTGGTTGACTATTCCCTGCCTTGTTCTTCTCGGCTTCCTTGCATTTCATGCACGGTGCAACAATCTTATATCTGGTACATCGTCCTTGACACTCAAGGGCCCTCGGAATCCTTCCTACCTCGTTAAAGCGCGGTCAGGTGCTGTGGCTTCAGAGAACAAGCTATGTTCTGATATCGGCGTCGACGTCCTGAAAGATGGGGGCAACGCTGTTGATTCGGCAATTGCGACTACTTTCTGTATTGGTGTTGTTAATATGTTCTCGTGAGCCCCCAGAAAACCCTCAAGTGCTTGTTACTCCAACTCATCCAATCAGTTCTGGCCTAGGCGGCGGAGGTTTCATGACCGTCCGGATACCTCCAAGTAGCCCTGGTAAAGCCTCTGATATGTATACCATTGATTTCAGAGAGACCGCACCATCATTAGCAAATGCGACGATGTACGTCGGCAGACCAGAATCGTCCAAGTTTGGGGGTCTTGCCGTGGGCGTGCCTGGTGAGCTGCGCGGTCTGGAAGAAGCACATCGCCGCTGGGGCACCTTGAGCTGGAAGCGTCTCATCGAACCGAGTATTGCGTTGGCACAGGGATGGAAGGTCGACCGAGAGCTGGCAAAGCGGATCACGGCAGGTTATCTGGTTCTCTCAATCACATTTATCTGAATGTGTTTTTTTCCTTTAGTGGTATCCAGATCTAATGCTGAAGAATCCAGAATGGAGTGCCATCTTTGCGCCAACTGGGAAATTTCTACGACAAGGCGAGGTTATACGCAGGACGAACCTCTCCTTGACACTTGCTACAATTGCTAATGAAGGTGCTGGCGCATTTTATAAGGTTCCCATATTTTGAGTTCAAGATCAAGCCTCGTTGAACGTTCCTATTAGGGCCCTATTGCAGACTCTATTGTCCGCAAGGTTCAACAGACTGGGGGAATACTGACACACACCGACCTGGAAAACTACACTATACAAGTCAGGCCTGCCTTGCAGGGCGTTTACAGGGCCAGGAAAGTTTTTACATCCCATGCACCCACCTCGGGTCCTGGTTTGTTTTGCATTTTTCTACGTCACCTTTTATCCTGATTGGTACCAGTTTTACTGCACATGCTCAATCTAATTGAGAACTTCGACATGAAGGAAAGGACCAGCCTCAATGTCCATAGACTGGTGGAGGTTTTAAAATTTGGATTTGCCGCCAGGTAATGCCTCTCCTCCTTCATGTGCAGCTTTGTAGACGTTGTTATTAGGACGAAAGTCTGTGATCCGCTATTCAATAACTCGACATACCGAATTGGGGAGATCTCTACAAAGGCTTACGCGGATACGATTTTTGGAAATATCACGGACGTGCGTGTAAGAGTATTTTCGACGGATGATTTTTGATATTTTTTTCCCCCGGGAACAGGATCGAACACACCCTCCTGAATATTATAAACCGGAGTATGATGTATTGGAAGACCACGGAACGGTGGGAGGATTCAATTATGCAACGGGGCTTTTTATTGACTTGTTCACAGAGTCACAGTTCAGTTGTCGACAAAAACGGCATGGTGGTTTCACTCACGTCCACCGTCAACTTAATTTTTGGGTCTCAGATTTTAGACCCTAATACTGGCATTATTTTGAATAACGAAATGGACGACTTCTCGACGCCAGGTGTTCCAAATGCTTTTGGCTTACGGCCTTCTCCTTGTAAGTGCTCTTAGGCTCGAAGAAGAAAATCAGACGACTGAATCCGACAAGATAATTATCCCGAACCCGGGAAACGGCCCTTGTCTTCCACCGCGCCGACTATAATGGAACACGAGGATGGGTCTTTCTTCCTTGCACTTGGCGGTTCCGGTGGTTCACGCATATTTGGAGCGGTGTTTCAAGTTTTGCTGAACCTGGACTGGGGTTTAAACCTGAGTGATGCAATAGAGTTTGGTCGGCTACACGATCAGTTATTCCCGTTAACGTTGGAAGCAGATGATGTGTACCCTCCCGATATTTTGAAAGACCTGAAAGGGCGCGGACATAACATTACAGGCGAGGCCTTAGAAACCCTAATTGATGCAGCAGGTCTTGACACCGTTTTCAATAGTGTCAGATGTCAACCGTGTCGCTGCTGTGGTCCAAGCGGTTATGCGGGAAGGCGAATTCATTTTTGGCATGTCTTTTTTTGTTTTGATGCATTGATTCAGTACTTACCTCGATACCAGCGGCAAGCGATTCGAGAAAGAATGGTATAGCTGCCGGATACTAAGTGATGTTCGTTCTTAAGTATTCCTGGCTGCGGTTGCAAGAAACTTTTTTTTATCGCTGTCACCTGTGGCGGTAGCCAACCAATCGTGAATCTAACGAGTCATCTGCTCCATTTGGATTACGCATATAAATCAGAACGGCCTTTTGTCGGTAGTATTCGGCCTGAGGGACTGCCGTTGGTTTGTGGAGGTCCGACGGGGATGAAAAAAAAAACACTTCTCGCCCAGAATGCTCTCACACCGCGATCGGGCTTCCTCCACTTCGCTTTGCCCAGCGGTCTCTACAGTTTCGCCGGACACCAGTCCATATGAATGACTGAAGTATCATATGCTCAGGTTGCTCATCTGATCTTTCTAGCACAGAGCCTGCTGTATTAAAGCTTCTTTGACAAGTATCGCTTCAATCAAGGTGAGAACGTCGATTTCAAACCATGTATTTTTGTACTAAGAATTTTGCAAACTGAGTTGAAACGGGTATTGGCGGCATTTCCAAAGGCTGATGCTGCCGCCGCCACTGGAGCCACAGCAGTCGGCCGATGTTATGTTGGGGCAATCCAAGAGTGAATGTTCCAACTATATATTTCGCTGGGGCGTCAATAAATTTACCAGTCCAAGCGGCTTTAAGAAATGGAAAACCAGTGAACCTCCTCTAGGACTGCAGCTGGTCTTCAGAATTTCTGGTTTCATCTATTCATTCTGTTGGCAGTAGTTGTCTGTCGGAGTGTTGAAATGAAGGTAAGTACAACAACATGTTGACTCTGCAAAATTCCTCAGGGTTGCTCTGCTGGTGGGAGCTGGGGCGAGCATGTGATCAGCTGTGGATGTATATGGCCCAAATGGATCTTTACGTGAGTCAGATTTAGTCAGATTGGCTTCGCTGGCCGACCTCATGATCTATACTATACAAATAATGTCAATGGGGTCCCGCTTTCCATTCGAAAACGGCCTACAAACAAAGTATATAAAGGTATTCATTGGTTGCAATTGAGGCGGAGATAACATCACGGCTCTTCCTAGAGTTGGAGCAATGCAACTTCAATGCAAGTACACACAACATATCCACTGTGGGTTACGCACAGCCGCAATTAACTTGGGCGCAGGAGATCTACATATGAAATCAAGATGAAATCGATCAGCAATCTAGGGGCTTCTACGCTGCGATTGATGGCCCTGAATTTCGGGATGTCATGAGAGCGCCGTCTCACAAGATGAGTTCAAGTACATAACTCTTTCAGTCGCTTTCAACGGTGGACGGTGATTTGGAGTGGGCGGTAACTGACGAAACATCCTGCGATGGTGCTACAAAAGATCAGGTGTTTAATTTTGATCCAATATTTTTCCGGCGTTGCATACCTCCTGATTGCCACGGTACTCTGCGACTGGAGATCTGACAACAAAAGCTGTGCTTATGCTTTGTGCATGTAGTGACAAACACGCCGAAAACAAACAAATTGCTCCCGAACAGGTAACTTACTCTTTCATGTGGCACCTTGATTGGGATTTACTGTCTTCGTATGCTGGTCTTCTAAGCCTCGCAAGTATCTCAATATACGCCGGTGCTTTCGGTTCGCTGCCGGTTCGTGCTATTTTCCGAGTTTGCCAAAAGTCTTACACGCGCAAGCAGAATCCAAAAAGTCCATCCACTCAGAAGGGGGGTGATGATGGTGTGGAGGAAGAGATCGAAGAGCGTCTTTCTTCGGAAGATGCTTGGCTTTTCCCAGTTGTGAGTACACCTTTGGGATCATTTGAAGGGGCTAACCTTAATGTATTTTCCAGATTGGTTCGGTAGTGCTCTGCGGATTATACTATGTGATCAAATACTTTGGGAAAGAGTGGATCAACTGGCTTCTTGGTTGGTATTTTGCTTTGGCTGGAGTCGGGAGTCTGTGGAAGGTATGCATGTAATGTTTCTTGGAATCAGGGTGTTGATTAATCCTTCGACAACAGTCTCTGATCTCGTTGACAAAGTTTATAGTGGGAGAGGCAACGTGGAATAGATTTGATAAACTGAGTGTTTCGGTGAAGAAGGGCTCAACTTGTGAGTAACTACGTTGCTTTTTGTACGATGACTTGTTGACGTTTCGCAGCGCTTTTATCCTTGTCGGGGAGAACGCCCTCCCTCATATTATTCCCTCTCGCAATTATACCCTCTGCCTTTTTCGCTTTGGGGCGGAAATCTGTTTTGATAACGGACATTCTGTCTCTTTCATTTTCTCACAACGCGCTTGCGATGCTGAAAATCGACTCTTTCAAAACTGGAACGATTCTCCTCTCTGGATTATTCTTCTATGATATCTGGTGGGTGTTTGGAACGGAAGTGGTGCGTTGAATGATTTTAATCTGCTGTTGGAACTTACTTAGCAAGCTATCCAACAGATGGTCAAGGTTGCCACCACACTTGATGTCCCAATTAAACTTCTTTGGCCCAAGTCGCTGATATTCTCTGACGCGAGAGGATACACGATGCTTGGGCTAGGTGATGTCGTTGTTCCTGGAACATTTATTGCGTTGGCACTGCGATATGACCACCACCAATTCCTTCGTTCGTCACAGAAGACGTTTGGGCCAAAGCCTTATTTTTACGCTTCATTGTCGGCTTACATACTAGGGCTGATCGCAACTATGACCGTTATGCATGTATTTGGCAAGGCGCAACCAGCACTTCTGTATCTTAGGTGAGTCAGACAATGGTCCGTTGATGTTCTCTGCCCGCTGATGATATTGTAGCCCCGCGTGCATTGTTTCGTTTGTATTAACAGCGATCGTCCGCGGTGAACTCGGAGAAGCTTGGGCATGGAGCGACACGCCGAAAAACGGTGAGGACAGTGAAAAGAAGGATGACGATGGGAAAGTTAGCGAGGAGTCGAGGTCGAATAAAACAAGCTCTGTAAACTAAGTTGACGAGATTGGGCGGCTAGATGAGACGGAAATGGGCAAGTGTGTTGTTCCAGGTGATCATCTGTACCTTTAGGGTGGAGATGAAGCACAATGTGGGTGGATGAATTTGTGACATGTCCGTTAGAATCCGTATACTCACGAAGGTGCTGATGGAGAAGCAATGTGGTGTCGGAAGAAGTGAAGTCGAGGAAGGGCCGAGACCAGATGGCAGGCTAGGCTATGACAGGTCAATGGCAGGCACTGGGCAGATGGCTACAGATGTTGACTGTCAATGACTGATCTGAGCGGCGTGTGAAGGCAGAAGGACGTGAACGCGAGACTAAGCAGAACTAAGCGACTCTGAAGTACTGGTACATAGTCATTTGTTGTTGATTTGTTGCTTGGTCCTCGTGTCTTGGGTCCCTTTCGGCCCGTGGCGGAATTTGTATTGGTACAGGCACCATTGGCTCGTAGTTTGCAGCTACCACTGGCTGCGAGCACTCACCATCGCCTATAGTTGCCGCCTGCACTAGCCTGTAAATTGCCTCACCTTCGTCGCTCTTGTCGTCTACTCGCTCGTCGTTTACCATCGTTCCTGGCTACTGACCCTTTTTTTTTTCACAAATTCAGTGTAGGTACCAAGCCTTCTGCTTGCTCTCCAACATCTACACTCATCTGTCGGTCCCTTCATGGAACGGCCCTCCTCGTCTGTGAGAGGTTTTGAAAACGCAAATTTGTCCAGGGCCTGGTCTCCGACATCTCGTCCCACTCTCAATACGTCCTCTTTACCCATTCATCCGCCGCCATCCAACCCATCGGACCCTAGTCCTCATCCCTCTTCCATTCCACCCTCTTCCCATTCCTCTCCCTGGTCACAAGACGCTTCTCTTGGTCCATCCCATCCCCATCTCAATTCTCATTCCTCCTCTCGCCATGTCACCCCAGAGCACCCACGGTCCTTTTCTGATCCAGATTGGTCCCATATCTTCTCGGCACCACTCAATCCCACCGTCTTTGCTACACTGACAGCCAACGGCGTTATAGGTCCCGTCAATTCTGGACAACTCCCTTCGCCCTCTAGTCTCCCTGCCTCTTCCTTCCACGACCATTTTCCTCGCACCCATACCCTCAGCGTTCCAACAACCCAGGCTTCACCGAGTTCATGGTCCCAACCTCCTACACTTTATGGTCACTCTTTATCGTACTCTACCAAGCCCTCATTAGCGCGCTCAAATTCTACTTCGCTAGACTTCCACCACGGTGTGAATAGAGCCCCCGATCGTGAGTTCAAATTTTCGCCCTCCTTTGCCTTGCTCACTCCTCTGGATTTAGTCGATACTCGACGTTTGCCAGGTAGATCTCAGCGTGTAGTAAGGAATGGGGCACCTGACTCTGGTTCTGACCTTCGTCTCGAGATCACACCGAATCTCGGTCGTTATGACTTTTCAAAGAATAATCGTGGTGTCAACAAATCTCCCTTGCATCAGAATAACCCTGGCTTTTCCTATTCAGGTGAGCGTCCACATACAGGCCTACCTCCGTCGCTCTGGATGTCTCCAGTGTCCACGTCGACAACGCAATTCCCAGGGTATGATGCACTGAATTGTCCTTCGGCGCCTGCTCTACAAGGTTCTCGCCGATCCTCCCATGCTCAACCATCCATTTCTCCGACATCAACTACCACGGATTCCAAGTCCACTTTGTTCACTGATCTGTTCTCTGATGATTTGTTCGGCCAACAAGGCTTGTCTTTGTCTCCTCAGGCTACGAGTCCCTTCACTTCTCCCAGAGTTTCTGGCTCTCCCGATTTGCAACACGCGCCCGATCCGGATATTGATCCAGATCGACTGGCAAAGGAGGACCCATTGGCGACGCAGGTTTGGCGGATGTATGCAAAGACGAAAGCAACATTACCTCATGCTCAGCGGATGGAAAATATAACCTGGAGAATGATGGCGCTGGCCCTCAAGAAGAGGAAAGAGGACGAAGCTACCGAGGGCCTTGCAAAAGAGGAAGAGGCCCCTCTCCATGATCAAGCGTTAGGTCGTCTCCGCGAGGCGCCCCAAGTTGAACATAAGCCGGACAATGAAGGCGAACCAGATGAAAGAGGGCGAAGAATTGATAAGGGGAAAGCGAGAGTACGGGTCGAGGGATTCGACGGAACGAATCAAGATCCTTTCGAGGAGGAAGAGTACGTTCCCTCTCTTTCCATATGACGCCACTGATTACTTCTATTTCTAGCGTAGTGCCTATGGATTGGAGGGCGATGAGTCGTTCGCGGTCTCGGATATCAATGGATTGGCGGCCCACCAGTCGTTCTCGGTCGCGGCCTCCCGAATCAACATCTTTCGACCAGCATGGTTTCACTAACAACCCATACGATGTTGGCATCCCTTTTCCCGCAATGGGTCCACCCTCCTCACAAGATAATTCCAACAAAGGCAGGGGAATGTCAATGAGTATTCCAATTCCCGGATCTTCATTCCATTCAAACGGTCGACGCAGCCCGACATACGGAGGTATCCATCCCCGCACTGATCTCTCTGTATTGTATGAAGGCCCAAGCGATGGTACGTCAGCCTTGTATGAGAACTCCAGCGAATCGCGCTTCCCTCCTGGACCGGTGTACCATCACTCGCCTTCAACATATAATTCTCCTGCATTTGGACCCTCATCACTACCTACGGCCAGCCTCCATGGTCTCACCAAGATGAGCTTGTCAAGTCCTGTACTTCAACGAAGAAGTTTCCCCCAACACGTGCGCAAAACGAGTTTTGATCACACTGTTCCCAAGGATGGAATCCATACAGAGCTGAAAGGACGTCACCAGCTGAATGGAAAACCCCAGCTTTCCGATAACTTGGCAGGTACAAAGCGACGTGCGGAAACGGTCCTTTTTGACAGTTTGCTGCGTGCTGATCCGTCGAATATGGACGGAACGCATTCCCCTCTTGATCCTCGACTCGCTCGAAACGAAAGCACTAGTCCATTTCCTTCAACTTCCTTCAATTTTTCGTACCCTCCTTATGAAGGGATATTTGATATACCGACAACAGCGTCTGCAACGCCCTTGGCCCAACCCACTCAGTATCCTTCCAATCTGCGACCTAATCTTGAAAGCAGTCGCTATCACTCAACTCGATCATCAAGTAGCAATATGTATCAATCATCGAGATCACCTTCATCGGCTGGTGAGGGCCTTTCTGCAACAGCAGCAGCGGCCTCGGCGGCGATGGCGGAAGAATACGCACATGCTGCTAATGTGGAAGGATCGGTCCTTGACTATCGTCTCATGGGTTTTCCATATTCAAATCTTGATGGCTCGCCGATGGGTCATAATCCATACACTCATGTCGACCCTACTCAGATTCTTTCTGTCAGTCAGGGTGACCTTGGGGGGTACGCTGCATTCCACGCGAGTCCCTCGAGTGATGGTTTGGGTAACGGGGTGGGGTCAAGCTCAAATGCATCTCCCGAATCATACAATACATCATCGGCATCCACACCGCCATCAACGGAGGGCCCTTCCAACGGACAGCATGCTTCACGACCAATACAACGGAGGTATATTTCGCTTCAGCAAGGGGCACAAGATGTGCAACGGAAAAAGTCGATGCCTTCACCTACGCTGGGAGAACAAAAGTCGTCACCAAGTACCCCCGAACTCGGCGGCACGGAGCCACAAGGTGGTAAACCTGAAGAAGCGGATCAGACCCCAACCCTTTGCACCAATTGCCATACGACGAACACTCCCCTCTGGAGACGTGACCCGGAGGGACAACCACTCTGTGAGATCTTGCGCACTTACCTACATTGACATTCAATTGACGATTGTTTCTTTTTCTCCTCAGGTAATGCATGCGGTTTGTTTTTTGTGAGTGCCCAACGTTTTGCTGTTTCGGATGAAAAAGTTTACAGTGCGTCGTAGAAATTACATGGCGTTGTGCGCCCTCTTTCGTTAAAAACGGATGTGATCAAGAAGCGGTGAGTTCTGTTGTTGTTTTCTTGCCGATGGAGTCTGAAACTCGCACGTAGCAATCGTGCTTCGGGGACTCCAAGCAGCAGCTCCCGGAAGGGAGTTTCTGCTCTACCCAAGATTGCGTCATCCACGACACGACCTCGTTCTCAATCGAATTCAATAGTCGGCGGGTTAGGCAGAGGTGGATCATCCGCAGGGCGCGGTGGACAGCCACCTGGCACCATTGTAACCCTTGCCATGAAGCGACAACGACGGACTTTTGGGGCACAACTTTCTGAAGCAGACAGTTAATACCAGAGAGTTGGAGCAATTTATATGACAACCTTATTTATCTCTTCTGCATTTTAGGTGATAACCCACCATCTTGAATATCTCCCCTTTACTACTTATTTTTGTTCGACTTGGAAGATGTATTTCCAATCTGTAGATGTAGATTATATGATCATTTGTGAGGCGCTCAATGCAGGTACATACTTAGCCCCTGCCAAGCAGGCAGCTCCAGTTCCTCCTACACCACTGGTAGCGCCGTGGCCAATATTTCCCCCTCTTGCACACGCCCATCCTGGCTTCTATTTTCCGTCAGCATGCTGCTCCGTCGCGCCCTCAGGGCCTTCATACCGCATACCCCGCAGGCTTGCAACCAATCGCATCCGAAGATCTTTCTGGAAACAGGCAAATACACCGTAGGGTTTCTCGAACGGACCTCGACTTTGAACAGGCTTTGCGAGCAGAGGGCACAGTGGTCTTGAGAGAAGGGGTGGACGTCAATTCACTAGGGGTAGATATAAGTCCGTCTCCAGCGAACAGAAGCTATAGTTCTATGACCACCTCTCCAATGTCGCGTTCGACACCACGACCACAACCCTCAACCCCCAACGTCGTTCCGCCGACTCCTTCACCTGCAGCAGGTCCCTCTGCTTCCAAACAAGCTGGCTCCTCTCCAGCCTCGTCTTCTCAAGATTTGTTCTATGATGCCGACGATGGCGAGCGACATATGAATCGTCGTTCAATGTACAGATCTCCTGGTACATCAAGCAGTCCTGACCTCGCTACGCTTTTGCGTAAGGCAAAAGAACGCGGTGGCGTCGTTGGGGTCAACTACAAGAAGGAAAAGAGACGCGAATCACCACCTCCACCATTGCCCTCTGCATATGACCGTGCTACTGATAAATTTTCCCCCTCTTATTCAGCCAACTCTTCGCCCTCAAAAGACAAAATCAGGGGGGACGCTGAATGGGTACTCCCGAGTTCTCGTCAGCCGAGGGAAAACGGAAATAGCAAGGTAGGCGCTTACACGAATCGCATCACCATACAACGTCTTACTTGATCAAGGCTCCCAAAACGTCAGTGAGAGCAAAGACCAGCGCGTTTCTAGGGAAAATGCTAGGCCAGAACAGTGTTCGAGAACGATCCGTACGTTCATTGATCGTCTGAGGGTTGAGTTACCAACAGTGATGCCTATTTAGAAAACCGATGCAGCGATGTATTCCCTGCCCTCTTCCTCCACGTATACCCCGCCAGCGTTAATGAATGCGTTCACCCCTCCCGTACCACCTATACCGGCAGAACATCGTTCGCCAACAACATCACCCATAGCCGATGTTTTCAGCACTTCAAATCGACAGCTTGTCGATGCCAGTGAAAAGCCTCTTCCTCAAAGCCCAGGAATCCGAGAGAGGGAAGATTTGGATGAGAAATCAATTGTATTTGTTGACAAAAAGGCCCCGCTGCCTTTGACACCATTAAAACCAGTCGAAGATACTCATACCATCAAGCGAAGAAGTATGAGTGTTGGTAATGCGGACCTTCATCTGGTCTCACCATCGACACCAAGTTACCCTCGGACGCCAGAGCCCAAGAAAAAGGATGATCCTGGACGATGGGACGATAGTACATTGCATGGCATCCTGGATGACTTCAAAGGCGAACTTTCACAACTTGATCCAGTTTCTGGTTCTTCCCTCGATCTACGCGATCCATCGACGCCCCAGCGCCAGTCTACATTGCGGTCTAAGGCTGGCAGCTTACGCCGGGAAGTCAATATTCCTACCTCCCCGTTACTTCTCGACAAATCGGAAACAGAAGAACCCGAAGAGACTGGTGCCCTCCAACCCGCAATCATACCTCCACGAACTTCGTCCTTACAGACTCGACCTGGATCAAATGGAATAGGTAGCCCACGAATTGCAAACTCGAGTCCTGCTGTGAGAAGCCCATCCGCCGGTTTAGGGGCAAGGGATACGAGCAAGCTACGGGTGCTTCACCGGTCAACCGCTTCAAGTTCAGAGCCTTCTCTTGTTCCTGTCGCAGATCCTCAGTTTTGTGAGTATATGGACTCCTCGTTTGTGAGGTCCTAGCTTGACAGCAAAAATGCTCAGTATCTACTCCCCGGAGGAGTTCACAGCAAGATTTAACTGGAAAGGAAGTAACACTGACTCGCTTTTCCTCGTCTGCTCTATCGCCCGGAGGAGACGATTCGACTGACATGGATACGAGAGGGAAAGAGCTCGCTACTCGCTGTTGGAATGAAGATGAAGACTTTCTGGCAAAGGAGAAGATTGCAGAGTGGCTCGGCGGGCAGTATGTTCTGCACGATATGATTCCAGGACGAATGCTGATATACTTTAGCGGTCGTATCAATAAATTGGCCTTGCGACATTACGTCGACTTCTTTGACTTTCAAGGACTCAGACTTGATCTTGCATTTCGGTCAGTCTCTCGAACCGCTGCCGTTTTTATAATGCCACTTACCCTATACCGTCAGCCGCTTCTGTGCGAAACTTTATTTGAAAGGGGAAACACAACAAGTAGATCGAATTTTAGAGCAATTTAGCCGCCGCTACTGGGATTGTAATCCTGGTGGTCTTTATGGCAGCTCAAGTAAGTGATATCGGGCTAGGACTATCTATTCCAGCTATGCTGAATTTACGATTAGATATTGTCCATGCAGTTTCATACTCCCTTTTGCTTCTCAACACCGACCTCCATGTTGCTGATCTTTCAACCCGAATGTCTCGCAATCAATTTATCAAAAATACGCTCACAGCCATCCAAACGCAACTGCAACCTGTTTCAATTGCACGCTTGTCGACATCCGATCTTACTTATGATGATTGCAGTAGCATTCGTGGAGTGGGCTCCGAAGAAACTGAAAAGGGATTTCGCAAAAAGAGAAGTGATAGCATTACTAGTTGGAACAGCGTCTCTCGCGAGGTGATAATGTCCACGCCCACTTCGCCTGGCGGAGGTCAGGGATTACCCTTAGGAGCCCATCTTCCCAATGGTAGTACTCCATCTGTTCAGGTCTCAAACAGTCACGACTATGGATCGTCAAATCAATTTACCCACGTCTATGGTCGTGCATGGGAGAATGACATGGAAAACCTTCTCAAAGTCAGCCGAGATCCTTGCCCTCAGCGTTGATCCCCCTAATCTTTTTATGAGTAGGAAATGTATAACGCCATTAAGAGCCAGCAAATTTTGCAACCTATGAACACCACCTTGACTCGGTCTTCTGTATCTTCTCTAAGCCCTGGCGGGTCTGGAATGATGCGAAATCGTAGTTTTCGTGGACAGCCAGACAGATTGGCAACTCTCAAGCGAGGCAGCATCCGTGGTTTGCAATCAATCCTTAGCGCTCAAAATGGGATCAGCCCCTATAGTAGTAATAGCAGTATTGACGGCCGTGTCAGTCCATCTCCCAGTTTCGCGACATCTACACACGAGGTGATATCACATTGCTCTCGCCATCGACATTGCTAATTTTTAGCTGCAGGGAATGTATGGCTCGAGTTCATCATTTCTAAACCCCACCTTAGGTTTTGCTTCCAACTTATCCCACACCATCATCCGTGAAGCACAAGAAGACGATGACCGCAGCGCCCACAGCGAGGAGTCTTCGTCAACGACCATCAGCATCTCCGACGAAGAACTAGCTCTGCTGGGCGCTCCATGGGCGAAAGAGGGTATGCTATGCCGCAAGCAATACTGGGAATCTTCGGGGAAAAGAGCTAAAGATAAAGCTTGGCTGGATGTTTTTGTTGTTATTCAGAAAGGAGAACTCAACATGTTCACCTTTGGTGATACCACCTCAGGTTCGTCCGGCACATTTGGAGGCGGAAACTGGCTGGTTGGTCTTTTTTGCTACATGTGGAACTACATACTCATTTTTCTAGGCCAATGCCCACCCTGTCGGAACTGTCCAACTAGCACACTCACTAGCCCATTCCTTGCCGCCGCCAGGATATAATAGACAACGTCCATACTGTATGGTACTGACGCTCGCCAATGGTGGCGTGTATTTCTTTCAGGCAGGAACGGAGGAACTCGTGAACGAGTGGGTGTCGACATGCAACTACTGGGCTGCGCGAACAAGCAAAGAGCCTCTAGCTGGCGGCGTTTCCAACATGGAATATGGATGGAACAGGCTCGCGGACCCATACACACACGACTTGGCTCGGTCGAGAGTCAATAAATCTACAGATGCCGACACTGATGGGATAAGTGTCAAGAGCGGGAGGAGCGCGCGTAGCAAATTCGGTTGGCGAGAGGGTGCGGCGACGGTCCGCACAGCACATTCACCCTGGGCGGATAAAACCTTCGTAAACGATTGGAAAGCTCCTTTACCTCCAACCGTGTCAAGTATCCACGACGAAGAAGCACAGCTTGAGGCGCTCAAAAAACACGTATCATCAATGAAAAAGGACCTGGAACTCCATAATGAACTACGGGAGCCCATGGCTGCTCTGGTCCGTACTCGTTTTACATTCTTTGTCGTCAAATCTAAATCGTCTTTAGTATCAACCCAGGACTGCTAATTCCATGAAAGCGCAAAGTAACTGGGAGAGAAAATCGCAGTATCTGCTTACTGAAATAGTCAAATACGACTCGTACATTGATTCGCTTCAGGCCGCCATGTCATTACGATTGAAAAAGCGTGGAGAGAAAGGTGAGATAGGGGATGTTTTTGTGCCAACGTTGCTTACAAGTTGCCAGCCTTGGAGCGTGCCTTGAGTGGTGTTTCCACACTGGATGAACGGTTAACCAAGGGCAACTGGAAAGGGCGACCAAAAGAACAGACGATCAATGAAGAGGTGGAACCACTGACGCCGGGAGCTGGTCAGCAGTTTATGGTCGCCTCTCATCAGAGAGAGAGGGCTGAGGTTCGGGGAGAAGATTAAATTATTTCTACTAATTTTTGTTGAGGAAATCGACTGACTGTCGCAATCCAATCTGTGACGGATTCTTCTTGGAACGTTCATCAGCGCCAGGTTAGCAGGATTCCCCCTGTGTGTGGTGGCTAGGGGATTGTAGTGCACTTCGTTGTATATAATAGGTGTATGGATCGCTTTTTTACTCCCGGCTACATAATATGTTACATAGTCTCAATGATCGAAACACATGACGTGGCGGCGAACTCCTTGCACTGGCACTTGACTGGCACACACCACAACACTATTCCAGCTTCTCGGTTGTGGCAAGCGACGTCCAACGTCCCCGGCGCACATAGCTGTCAAACAGCTTCCCATGGCTTCTTCATCAGATCCGAAGGTCTTACACCGCGTTATACGCTTCATCTCAGGTCTTGCCGTCTCGTCATTCTTCACAGAGCTGCGAGTAATAGGTGGAGAGAATGTGCCAAAGGATGGACCAATTATTGTGTGCGTATGCCCTTCTGTTCACTAGTTACTTATCAATTAATTTTATGCCCTCAGAACTGCGACTCACCACAATATGATGCTTGACCCCGTCGTTCTTTGTGGGCACTCTCCCCCACCTTTCTTCTCCGTCCCAATGATTAATTATTTCCTACAGCTGTGGGATTTCCCCATCGCCGCATCCTCAATTATTGGAGCAAAGGTGAGATCTTCTGGCATGTACTGTGACGTTTGGTTAAACATTCCGTCAGCGAGTTTGTTTAACAACCCAATCATGCGATACATTCTTTTCTCCTCTGGCAACATCCCAGTCGATCGCAAATCGAAAGACCGCCAAGCTCTCTTCAAAGGGACCTTTGACGCCCTTTCTAAGGGTGAAGCTGTTGCTTTATTTCCGGAAGGAACGAGCTACACCGAGCCAAGAATTATGCAAGTTAAAGACGGGGCGGCGTGGGCAGCATTGGAATTTTCTAAATGGTTAAGGGAGCACCCAGATGTTGACACGCGAACCGTGACGATCATTCCCACTTCAATTGTGTACACCAATAAATCCAAGTATAGGAGCGGAGTGGGTACTTACTTCCTATGGATCGATCATAGGAGAACTGACCTTTTTGATCTACAGGTCATCATGGAGTATGACATGTTGGCAAAATAAAGTCTCAACAATTGGGCTGACATTGTCGTAGGTTCGGTCGCCCAATTTCCGTCAAGGATTACGAAGAACAGTTTTTCTCCACGGAAGAGAATGCAGCCCGTGCCGCTGTTAAACGACTGACGCGCGCCATCGAAAGTGAATTGGTAGAGACAAGTATCAATGCTCCGGATTGGTACGTTAACTAAGCGGTATCCAGAGCTTGACCTCATCTTTGGTCAGGGATACCCTATACACTGCCAGAATGGCTCGAGATCTACTGTGGGAAGGGGGCAAGTCAATCAAGCTGGATGAATTTGTTATTATTTCTCAGACGTAAATACCGTTTTTTCTGTCGTATATCATCCTCGTGGTCTGACATGTTTTCACCTATAGCCTCGTCGATCTATTCTCTACTCCAGACCTGACTGCTAACTTCAAGTCGGTGAAACGCCATTTATTGGGATATTATTCTCTTCTGCAGTCATCCCATCTCACTAACTCTGTGCTCTCATCTTTACCACTGTCGGAATCATTAAACCCAAACACACCAACAACTATTCCAGGCCGGCTTTTCACACTTCTCATCCTTATTCGTGATTCTCTTTCCGCTCTTGTTCAATTACCCTTTTTCTTCGTTCCTTTAATTGTCCACCTCCCCGTGTATGCAATGGGCCGTTTTGGCGCCAAGTTGGTGGAAGATGAGGAAGAAACTCAAGCACAGAACAAGGTGGCATTTGGCCTGATCTCGTTATTGCTCATCTACTCTGGGTCGTTCTTTTTCCTTTGGGCTCTGTTTTGGTATACCCCCGCGGGAGCATTGTTTTCGGCCTTTTTGGTTTATCTTTTTGCGGTATATCATATCAAGATGATTGATAGTGAGTTTATTTATCTATTTTTATGGAAAGATGATGATTCTAATTGAGAATCAGGTAATTATGAGCGGTTAGTAAATTCGAGTTCTTGGTTTGAGTTGAATTTCATGGTCTGACCCAGGGCGAAACGATTGATTGCCACCTGGCGAATCCTTGTTGGGGTTTGGACACCGAAACGGTGGGACCTCTCTATGGCAGCCCTATCTCAGTATACCACGCCGAAAACGCCGCCGGAAAATCCTTGGATAGACCGGCCAAAGACACCTGTGGAAGGGGAAGCGACTGCGGCACGCTCTGATGCAAACAGACCAATAGGTTCTGGAACAGGAAATCGCTCTGCGCGTCGGCCTCCGTCACGTCGCCTTGTTCGGCATGTTTTGAAGGCGCGTGTGGAAGCCGTAAATGCACTCGCTAGCTTTTTTGATCAGCTGGAACGGGAGGGCGGTGACAAAAGGGTTAACTCGAGTCTGCATCTGGCGAGATTATTTGGCCAGGTAACCGATGGCGAGAGCAGTGAGAAGGGATGGAGGTACTCTAAGGAGGTAGTCGGGTTTCTCCGACAAAGAGGTGCCAAAATCCCAACACTGGGGAATGAGGTTATCAATGGCGCATGGGCGGCACTGAGCAGTGAGGGAGAGGGATATACTACATCTGAGGAGAAGGATGAACCAGTGTGGGTAGCGTAGTCGTTGGTACATAGGATTTAACTGGGTAGTCAGGGTCTTGAATCGTGTTGGCATCAAAGTGAATCGAGTGAAGGAATTACCCTTTAAAAGTACTCTTAGTACTCTCAAAAGTACTCTTTCACCTGTTCATAAACTTTGCCCACATGGCGATCCCATCTGACCATTATCCTTACTCTTCCGTCCAGGTATCTATGTACCCTTTTCTTCTCTACTTGCCCTCATCTCATCCCATCACAACAGCAATCGGAACCAGCTGAACCTCTTTCCTTGTTCGCTCAGACTTTGCGCGAAACCGACGAAGAGTTCTATGCTACTTTTCCTCAGGCAAGGGCGGCCAGGCAGGCTCAAATTGAGGCCCAGCTGAACCATGGCCATGACCCAGCGGTGAATTATGGCTTTGGAGAGGGCATTTGTTACGAAGCCCCTTCTTCGTTACAACCTTCCCCGCATCGCGAGTCTATGCAAGTTGAGTACCCAGGTCTTTACTATGACTATGCAAGCATCCAGCCTATGGCCATCCACCCGACAACCCCTTCCCAGAACTTTGACTCGAATCAATCTAACCGGCCTAACCAACTCTACCAAATTTATGCCCCACCTTTGGAAAGTCGACCCGACCTAAACACTTATCCGCAGGTTAATCAACTTCCCAGCCCGCAGCATTGCTCTTATCCCTGTTGCAAATCCCAGTCACATGTGGTGGACCCTATCGTGTCCGCTCCTGCACCTGCATTCCGACAGACGATTTCAACGAGAACGGAAGTACCCCCTCCTTTTGACCCTACTCCCCAATATCGTACGATGGCTGACCCTACCTGGCCAAATCCGCCTGCTTTAACGACGCCAACTCCAAGGCATCACACGGTGCAGGAACCAACGGTCAGAGTCAGATCTCGCGACCATCCTCCACGCGTTCATGGTCATGCACGTCATCAAAGCGACTATCAGACTCACGCCCCGTCGTCACATCACACTTCAGTGTGGCGGGCTCATCGTTCTGTGTCGCCGCGACCCTTGATGCCATTGACCCCTCTTCCAATCAAACGTCCAGCGGAAAAGAAACCCCCGCTTGCATGCCTCTTCTGCAGAGGTCGTAAAATTGCATGTGGACCTCCCATCCCAGGAAGCAAGGACAAGACTTGCAAGTAAGTCCCAAACCTTCCACGATCATCGTAATCAGTCATTCACAGCCCTCCAGTCAGTGCCAACGTCGATCTCTGAGATGTGAGTACCCATTGGAAAGTCGGCGCGGCATGAGGAAGAAGAAAGTCAACAAAGTCAACATCAACACCGATGGCCCGAAGGTCACGCTCACAAGAAGCAAATCTTAGTATTGCCCATCATGCTGCTATGTACCGTTCTTGCTTTCTCTGCTTTCGACGCTTCGCTGTCAAACACACAAATTGTTACTCATCGTTCTTGCCCGCTTTGCACTATTTTATGTCAAGAATTTTTTTAATTTTCAGATATTATTGTATATACTATGAACATTCACACTCCACTACCATACACGTACATATAACAACAGTGTGGCCATCTTGCCATTTTTCAAAGATGTGGCAGTCAGTATAGCTTCCAGAAACCCGGATCTACATCCTCCAGAGTTACTTGTGGGATGTTTGGGTGAAAGGTATATTTCGATGCATGAAACTTTGAGACATGTAGAGTATTATTGAATTTTCGTACAGGGGATCAAAACCAAGAGATACATAATGGGGATATTGTAATAACACGAGGATGTTGGGATAAATGTGTAGGAAGAATAAATCAAACATTTGACCGACGGGGCCGTTTGGTTCCCCTCTTGGAAGAAGCTCCAGGAGCACCTGATGGCAAGTAACCACCCGCACTCTCCTCAAGGAGAGGGGTTAACTGTCCGCGGAGGCGCTTTTGTCCACCTCTAGTCATGGGGCCGGCTGCAGACCTCTCCTGAGCGACCGCATGCGCGATCATTTCGGATGACGGTTCGGAGAGTGTAATCTTGTCGTCTTCTGCCGCTTGGGAGAGAACTTGACTGCGACGTTGAAGGACTCGTGATTTTGCTTTGGGCACAGATGGCTGGATCTGCAGCCCAATGAAGTCATTGGTTACACCAGCCTCCCCATATTGTTGACCAGTGACAGATGACGATGTGTGAGATATATCGTCCATAGTATAAACAGGCGTATAGCTTTGCAGCCAAGGGTGCTCAAGAGCATCCTTCAAAGACATTCGGCGACGTGGGTCTTCTTGCATTAATGCATGAAGAAAGCTTAGCGCTGACAGAAAAGAGTTGAGCTGACAATGACGAAGTGAAAAAAAATAGCAAACCTTCTGGGCTTGGGTTAACATTCTCTAGAATACTCCAGTCAATGTGGCGCCCGGCAATTCGAGCTCGAATGTCACGTTGATTTTCATCTTCAATGAATGGGCCTGCGTTGGTTAACCTAGATGTCACGGAGGTTAGCGAGGGGCGTTACGTGAACAGGGGCGGGATGTTTACATAGAGAAAATGATAACGCCCACACTCCAGCTATCCACGAGGTTATCATATCCTTGATGATTCTCTTGTTTTACAACCTCTGGCGCTAGATAACTTGGTGTTCCACACATCGTCTTTGAAGGAATATATCAAGAAGCAGTTTAAAGTAGAGATATGAGGCGTACCCGTAACATGGTAACGCTGTCAACAATTTTAGCCAATCCAAAATCGGCTACTTTGACTCTGGGAGGCCTGTCCTTTGTGAGAAGTACGTTCTAATAACATTCAGACCAAATGATAGGAGAGAAAATGAAAAAGGAATAACCTCAGGCTTTAAATCGCGATGGGTGATGCCCTTGGAGTGTATATACTGAAGCACGAAAGAGGACAGAATGTAAGCAGCTAGTGACATAAAAGGAGCAACCCCTTACCGCGAGTGCATCGCAAAGCTGATATGCTATATGTTTCGAATCCACTTCGGCTATATTTAAAATGTTTAGCAGGTGAACAACGCACGAAACGGGGAAGGCACTCACGCACACCGTTGTGCTTGAGGATGTATTCAAGCAAATCCCCACCTTCAACAAGTTCCAGTACTAAATCTAAGGCGGAGATCAAGATCAGCGAGTGGGTCATCTTGTTGTTCGGAGAGCTCACTTATGTCGTTGTTCTCCTGGTAAAAAACCTCTTTGAGTTCGCAGATATTAGGATGCTTGAGTTGCTCCATAACGGTGATCTCTCTGGTAAAAGAGGTGCTCCTCGTGACGTGATGGTCATTCCTGTTTCCGTGGATCATTTTCACAGCAAACCATTCGCCAGTTGTCCGTGACATCGCCTTCATGACAGTTGCGAAGGATCCTTTGCCCAACTCATTGCTGAGGTCGTAGTAGGCATAGAGGCCCTCTGTAGGTGGGCCATTGGCTGTGTGACGATAGACAAAACCTGTTTAGATACCACATAAGTTTGCGGCTTACATGTCGAGGTCGATAAGCTTACGATAATCTTCGAGACCATTGTTATGAGGTTGTGGGACGGAAGTTCCAAAGGCGATCTCATTGCCTTCCCGAAGAATCCTAGACTGGCCCTTCCCAATCTTGGTATTGTTTATCTGTTCAACAATTCGAGTGAGAAGTCCCCACAATTATCAGTAAAGACTCACGAATGTACCATTACTGGAAAGATCGTGAACAACAACGTTGCTGTTCCCTTCGCCATCCCATTTGATCACACAGTGTTGGTTACCTTGATGAGTGAGATGAACATTGTGTCGTGGTCGAGTGTTATTGTATATATACTCACTAACTTTGAACCCAGGCAGAACGACCTGGTTCACTTCCGTGTTCCTCCCAATCGAGTATCGAGGATGAATTTTCCAAAAGTCGATCCGAGTAAGAGAAGAGCTGCATGGTTGAAGATAGCCCCACAAGTGCGAATCGGCAGCAGTAGCAATCGGCTGAGAAGCTTGCTGCGTCGATTGAGTTTGGGTTTGGTCTTCAGCGTCCTCAGAGTCGTACGCGTTTTCTTCTTCTTCCCCTTCGTCCCCTTCGTACTCTGCGGATGGGTTAGTGTAGTCGTCCATGGTGAAGTAGGCCGGTGGGTAGATGAGTTTTGCCAGAGGGGGAGAGCTGGGGAGAGAGAGCTTTTGTATGTACGCGTTTCAAAGCCCGACGGTGGCGACCCTGCACGCTTTGACTTTGCCGAACAATGGGCGCTCAATTGGCAACACAAATCGTACAAAGGGCCACCAAGGCCAAGCGGCCACCGCAAGGATCAAGGCCACAACAAGCACGAGGAGACACAGCACAGTGTTATATTTACGAAATGTGGCTCATGACACGAGTCCTCAACGAGTTGTAACTTAAATGGCCGTTTCTAAATTCTCAGTGGCGTCGAGATTACTTATTGGTATACGGTATTCAGTAGCATTCAGCGATTTCATTCAGTCGGTAACAAAGAGTATCACGCTCAGAAGCTATCGTTGTCAACCCCGTTCGTTTGGTGGTTTCACAACGACACAACGATGCTTGTTCTGATGTTCATAGGGGTAGCGGAACGGTCACATGACAGCGCGTCGTTCCAAACATGTCATTGTTACCATTTACAATATTAGTGTAGCAATTTACAAATTAATGCCAATTAATTCTTCCTCACTGGCGATCTTTGTACCCCATTTGATCTAGTTTGAGGTCACCGTCACCACGGCGTGAGAGGACCGACGTTCTCTCTTGCCTTAATTGTTTTGGCAAGAAACTCAATCCAACAAGATATGCTACAGGCAGCACCTAGAGAACAGAGTTGTCAAAAGGCACGCAAATGAGTGCGCAAATGACTCACCGCTAACCAGACGAAGAAGAAGACGTTGACACCTTTGGAGAGTTCACCACGTCCTGTTACCTTGGGCCATTCAACTTTATACCCTGAGTGAACTTGATAATACGCAAGGGCGATGATGAGCAGCCCAAAGATTGCGTGAAAATAATTCTGGAGAGGTCTGCGGGTTCGATCGCTAGCCTTGACCCAATGAATGATTGCACCCACTCCGCATTGGAGAAGGTAAAGAACAAAGATCGCAAGACCGTATTTCTGATTCGACGAAATAAGATATTGGTCGCTGAGAGGGGGGATGAACATATACTTTGTGACTATCGTTCAGATGCGTGGCACCTGCTTCTGTAACAGACTGAATGCCCAGAGCGACTCCAATGAAAATAGATGGACCCGCTGTAAAAACACAGTTGGATCCTACGCAGCAGATAAATGGGAGGGATACACTTGCCCAGCGCGAATTGTGCAATCCAATGTCCTTTAAACCACATGCTTGTGAATGTTCTTGAATATCTCGCCAAAAGAGCCCCAGCTGGCAAAAACAACAGGAAACCGACAGTGCAGAAGGTTGCATGAGCAACAATCATACGCTGATACGACAACAATGGGGTACTGTCTACTCCAGAAGCGCCTCCTCCGGAGGATGAGGTCCCCCCTGTACTTCCATTTGACGTCGACGACGACTTGGTTAAGTCTAACAGAAGTACGCCATAATCAACATGCTCCGCCAGTGTTGCGTCTTTCGCCGATGAACCTGGGTTTTGAGTGCCAAAAGCGTAAATAACGCTCTGCTTCTGATCGCTGTTAGCCTTCAGGACGAAAAATGAGTTGGTTCTGAATTGGCGTAAGTACATTACATACGGGGATGGTGTAAGCAAGTTGTGGTGTGGATCCTGAGGTCTATTTATCGACAATGAGAATGTAGGATAAACCGACTTGACCACTCACAATGCTGAGAGAATCGTTTAAAGTAGCTACACGAGGGGGATTTTCGACCACGGTTGGCATGACCTCTCGCTGAGCTTGGCGCTGAGAGAGAGTTATAGTCCCATCGCTGTTAGACCACATAATGACCATGGGAGTATTAGCCATTTGGCTACCGAAGCCCCTGCGAAACGTTCTAAAAACAAAATCGCAGAAAGGACTATGAACTGACATTCCCATCCAACCAAGGGTCCTTTTCCCTCGGCTTGTTAAAATATCTGTGAGGTGTGTTAAGTAGGCAGCTGTTTGTCCATAGGGTTGAACGCCTCCTATTGACATTCAACAGTGGTGCTGTTGGCATTTGCAGTAATGCACATCGTCTGAATGAAAAGTGCATCGGTCATAAACGATGAGAAGTCAGGTGTTTCCAGTACGGACAGTACCGCATTGTTGATCGCTCGTAGTCTCAGCCTGTATGAAGCGTAAATGACTTTGGGAATGACACCTTAAGAAAAGCCCTAAATACCGCAGTGGCAACATTACAACTCGATGCGAGGAGCAAAATAAGAGAAAGACGAAGCATATCGATATGACAGAAGGGAGGGAAAGAACCGTGCTGCGGCACTCTTGATTCCAACCAGGTTTTGAAACCTAAGGCCTAAGGGACCAATAAGTTCGTGCCTGCAGTGAGAGTGCCAAGCTTCGCCCTAAATCTTTTTTAAACAATGATGAACGGCACATCGCGAGCAGACCCTAGTCCACTGGCGGGTGAAGACACCGTCGTGAGAACGGACAATACAAATCTGAGTGAAGTTTTTGCAATTCCAAGAGGTGCAGTCGGTTGTTGCCATGAGGGTACTTTTAGTCGCGAGAAGTAGACTGAAGCAAGTGCGATCACCCGCATCTTTGACGACGGAAAATTTTGATTACGTAAACAACCCTTGCACACATATGAAATGGGAAAGAAGGAGCTAGAAAGTCCCTCGTTTTCGTTTCCCTGGGTCACTAGGAATAAACCTATCTTCCGTAACGGTCCTTGAGCTGACATCCTGCAATCTATCCAACAAGGATTGGGATGGCGTCTCCGCTGAAAGTCGAGGAGGAAATCTTGCACCAGTCGCTCGTGCAGCACCCTTGATTGACCATTCACCTCCTGGGGGGCCGTCGTCATCAAGTGATGCATGAAAAGTTTGGACTAATTGAGGAGAGGAAGAATGCAGGCGACTGAGAAGTGAGGGTTCGGGAAGGCCCGCCACACGGTCACTCCCCTTGCGTCGCTTTGGAGCCCTTTGGCTTTCGTCGAATGCACGTCTCGATGCGGAGTCCGCGGGATGGTATGATGGATGACTTGATAGAGGATTAGTGGCTTGTTGACGTTGGTTTAGCAGGGATCTATTCATCTGAGGATGGCCATTATTTCCATGGATATGATATGTGAATGCGCTGTTCGTGGCGTTTGTGTCACTGGGAGGAAAGGTCGCAACAAGTAGTTCGTTTGAGGGTACAACCGGGAGTTTCGCAGGCGCCAGAGCCTGCTCAAAATAAAAGAGAAGATGGTTGCATGAAAACAGGACAGAAAAAAGAGTAGTCCATTGCGAACCCTTATACGCTCTTGAATTTTTTGCTTCAGATCTTCGGAGAATGATACATTAATTTCTGTGTCCAGCTTCTCCAGCACGCGGACCAGATTCGGCGGTACGATCCATGTTGAAGATTGTTTACGCTGTATGTGTGAATCAATATCGTAGGGGAACCTCGCATAGTTATCTACTCACAGCAATACACGTGTCGAGTAGCCATTGACAAGCATTGGCTGACCTTGTCTGTGAGAGATTTGTAAATAGTAGCGTCTATCATGAATAGGAGGTAAGGACCGAGGGCGAGATATGAAAAAAGAACGCAGACCTCGAGTAAGAACGGACACGCTTCTACTATCCGACTTTTTAAAAGCATAAAACGTTCGTCGTTTTCGGGGTTTTCCTTGCAGAACGCAAGAACATCAGCTAGATTGTGGATAACCCAAAGCCGATCGTCCACTTCTAGCTTCTGTAAAAAGATTTTGCCAATCAAGGAATTACAATAATATTGTAAGAGGTCGCATGAAAAGGCCGTCTTGCTTTCCAGCACTATGAAGCCTGCAAGCTGAAGGTATGGACGGGCTGTGGTTAGTTCCGCCGGCTTTCTCGAGTGTGGATCGTGGTCAAGACAGGGCTTTATCTTCTCAAGCAACATACCCAGAAGTACCTGCCCACGAGGCGAGTACTTGTGATAAGAGGGCAGTGACAAAAGTAAGTCTTTTACGATGACATTGACGGTGTTGAAATTCAATTTAGGTATCGCCTTGGACGTATCAAAAAACTCCATCGTTGGAAAGCATCCATGCCACTTACTGTTAGAAGGCTACTCAACAGAAGTTCCTCGGAAGGACTCCCCGCAACTGCATGTCGTATCACGGTTCGTTTGGCCTCTCCGGAAAGAAAAGACAAAACCAGCTCCCTAAGACGATCACGGATTTGCTTTTCTTCTTCATCCACGCCTTCGTCGGGCGGAACGATTTGATCACAAAGGACGCCGAGGGTGACCTTGGGGTCCATGTCCAGGTGCTCCGTTAATGCTTTCTTGACCACAAGCACCTCATCGGGTTCGTCTATTTGTCCAGCAGAGTGAACTGTGTTGAGTGATAGAATCACCACGACGGAGAATGGAACTGACCACTTTGTAAGAGTTGTAGGAGGACATCCGCATTTCGCTTGATCCACTTGTTCTGGGCGTCTGAAATACGAGAGATTGCTGCATAACCTTTGATCCGAACCTGGAATGTTGTTAGTAACTTTGATATATGAAGGATATATGCCACCTGAGGGGATTGGTCTTCACACAAATCGTAAATTGCATTGATTGCCTCTTCTTCCAGCTCAGGGAAATCGTTGAATAAGGAAGGAATGTTCCCCGCAGCCAGGATTTTGAGAGCCGGGGAGCCTGAATGGCTGGAGACAATCAGCTTCTTTAATGCTTCTCGTCTCTGGTAATGATATCTCATTATTACCCGGAGCAAAGTGGAATGTCTAAAGCTCACCTGAATACCGCTCTTGTCCGGATTGCTTGCCGCTCTCCGGACGAGTTCTTCATGATAAGTGAGAAGCAGCCGCAGGGAATGAAATAATGGATTAACCTTTGACCTCCCTATCCTCGTTCATCTCCATGTCTGCAAACAAGTGGGAAGAAATGCTAAGTTCGTCCAAGTTGTCACCTCATCACGTCTTCAACTTGAGCTCTCCCTCATAGGTCACGTGGAGATAACTTTCTTCTAGTTCGCATTCGCACCCTTAAAGTAGTTACTTATTACAAACGTGCCATAAAAGAAAGACTAAAATATAAAGTAAAAGCACAGGCCAACATATCAAGCGACGTAGTTGATAATCCCCTGTCTCTCCTCCGAGACCATGAATAAAGCCTCGAATTCATCTGATGTTTGACCTATCACCCCGAACGCGTTTTGCAAGGTTCGCCCCAATGACTCAAGTTCTTGGGTCACACCTTTCATGGCAAGAGCATAAGCAAAAAAGAGAAGCTGGCGTGAGCCTTTCACGTCACGATTCTTGACGACGTCGAGTCTCCGAATAGCGTCTACCTATGGGTATTATCCCATCAGCTCATGGAAAAACCGGGTAAAGGGAGTGGCAATCTACCAGACGTTGCCTGGACTTTTCTACCGGGGGTAGATATGGAGGAAGCGGGGCCTTGAGGCGGAAGGCGGAAGCAAGAGTCGAAAAACTGAGAATTATGTTTCCAACCATTTCGTGCCGCTCCTTGTTCACAGGAACAATGAAATCCTGTCTCACACTCTAACAGAAATCGCCCGTTGTTATCTAAAGTCAAATCGAGGCAAAAAGCTCCAACTTACCGTATACCTGATTATATGGTGAGAAGTTCTTGGCATTTTCATATAGAGTCAAAGCTCACCATTCTTCTCGAGTCGTGACGCAACGCATGCTGTGCAGATTGTCTAGAATCGCTTGTAAACCCGTCAACACGTTACGATATAGTTGCACAGGAAATGGGCCCTTGAGACGAGGCTCATGCTGTGCCTGAGCTAGGAGTGTCTGCAATTCAATCAACTTTATTTGCAAATGCAATTCCCTAGCAAAGAAAATCTAGGCTGAGCGAACAGTCGGGGAAGAAAAAAATCATCAAACGCACATGGACATGAACTCTTGGATTGAATTGTTTAATCGTGTCGTTGGCACCCTTCCGGGCAGAAGGGAAATTTCTGAATCCTCGTTGCACTCATGCTGATGATGATACTCGGGGGCAAATGAATTCGAAGCCACTAAACGAGTATAAAGCCACCCAATATTTAAACAGAACCTTTCCATCTTCTATAAGCAACGCAGCTGCTTGAAAATATGAAAAACTCAACTCTCCAAGCGCCCTACTGAGCTCGCGCCGAGCCTCTGCGGGCCACCAAAATCTTGAAATAAATGCGGCCCATAGGACGCCAACGGTAACGGCAAGTGCACGGTAAAGCGCCACATCAAGCACGGAGACATCTTTTTCACGAAGATTGTAACTGGAAATGAAGATGGGTGTTACTCAGAAATGAGTCAGCGTGTCAAACAGAGAAATACACACCAGTAAAGACACGTTAGGTTATACGTCAGGAGAACAAATCTTGAGGCCGAAAGATATTGGGGTTTGACCACAGCAAAATAGAAACAGGGTAACGAAAAAATGAAGCCAAACACGGCTAAAAATACAGCGTCTTCAGGAAAAAAGCTATACGTCGCAGCTGCGACAGCTGCCCCAAATCTAGGAGTAAGATGAGATAGAGACTTCAACAGGTCTACTAGAGCGCACAGTGTTCCAAGGACACGCTGAAGGCTGAGGTAGTTCGTCTGAAGTCAATTAGCTCGGATTAAGGGTAATTTCAATGTCACCTACGGCGCCGATAGTTGGGGAGATGACAATAAAATACTGCAAGCAAAGGGTAGATCAGAGACAAAGAAAAAAATAGATATCTCTCACTGAAATCAAAGCCCAGTCACCATAGTATTTAACAAACGTGGGACGAGTCGCATCGAAAAAAGCGGGGGCAGATAGAATGGCAGTTGCCATTCCCGCTTTGATAGCGTATTTTGCATCTCTCTCCGTCAAGCGAATACCAATCTCCCATATGGTGCGCTTCATCTTTCTCCAAAACGACAGCTTATCCCTTGAGGGAGTCTGAATGGTATTTGGTGCATGGGGCCGAACTTTGGGAAAGAATGGATGGGCAGCTCTGTGTTCTGGAATGATGTACACTGCTGCATTGTTGAATTAACACTTGGGCTGGAAAGAGCGATTGGCAGCACGTACAAAGAGTCCTTCTCAGACCAGACCTCCCTTGAGAGGATTTACCAGACTTTCCCCAATGTCGAATATTACGCAGTGTTTGTCCGATTCTAACAAACACCTTCCACCAGAAAGATCGTTGAACGAGTCTAGCCTGCTCAAAAGTGTATATCCTTTCCATGGCATCCACGAGTGATACCAATTCCCTGGCAAACTCTTGCAAGGTAAATATGAAGCTGTAGAGAGTGATGACACAAAGAATGAATAGCAGTGATGAATGACCTTACAAGTAAACCAGGAAAACGTGCTCGTGATCGGGTCCAGTTAACAAACTGTTTTCCCCGTGAACAGTGTTTTGGGGATTAGAACTTGAAGTATGATTCGCGTCGCTTCTCCTGTACAGTCGAAGGACAGCATGGTTTGAGGTACTCTCAAAGAGTACCAAAGCGCGGTTGATGTCGTCTATAAGTTCCGTGAATTCATGAGGCGTGATTACATCCCGTTTCCGTTGAGTAACAGATTGTGACTTCAGAAAGGCGTCCCTAAGCCATTGGAGTGTGGAAGTGCAGGCTCCCTAAAGGTATCTTAGAAGTGTTTCCGTGATAGATAGACTTTACTCACAGACAAAGCCTTCAAAGGAGGCCCAAGTTCTTCAACAAGATCGCCAAACATCCCCACAGCAGTGCTCAACATTGTGATCTCGTCCTCTTCGACAATCTGGCCTGTGGTATGTACAGCACTGGCTTTGCCGAGTTTCTTGTTGTTATCACGAGTAATTCCCGCTTTCGTCAAGTCATATTGAAGGCGCGTACTGCTCCGGAGGCCATTGAGGTGTTGAGCCAAACGGTTCATGCTATCCACCGCATCCTCATAGCTCTGTCGACCAGCATTTCTTGTTTTGTTGCCACGATCACCCTTTTCACCAGGCAATTTTCGGCGAAACCACTCGCTTTGAGCTTCGCTGAGGTCCTTCTTAAGTGTCGTAAAGCTATCTTGATGATCTTTGACTGCTTGTTGCAGATTTCTTAAGCTCCCCGCTTGCATCCCGCTCTCGTTTTCCAGAAGGAAAACGTTGGTGAGCATCGTCAAAAGGGTTGAGAAAGAACCAAGTGTCGTCGTCAAATTAGTTTGAAGATTTGATGTTGCAGATTGAGGCCAGATGAAGTAACAGACCAGGTTTGAGACGGCAGATCCAAAAAACACGATCGTAGAAACCTGTATAAGTGTTTCTAAACCACCTTCCTTGACCAGACTACGGTGGAGTCAGGCAGGCAGCGTAATAGGACTTTCACTGCTTACACGACAAATATGATGATGGCAGTCATGCTGCAAGCTTGGCATGAAACATGGGATTTAGTAGATATGAAAGGCAGAGGTAATCAAGCTGCTTACCAGTGTTGAACGATGCGTTATTCTGCCATTGACGTGTTAGAAGGCATTGCTTTACATAAAGTGGCTTCTCAACGTACCATCCACACCTTCATCCAAGCCACTCCGCTCATACTCAATCCAATCCAGGCAACGGCAACAATGTCTGCAAGCCACTCCCAACCAGGTTTCAACTCCAACCACCAATACATAGACATTGAAACCAAACAGACAAGCGAAGAGTAGAGTAAGCCCAATAGGCAGAAAAGGTCTGCCTCGACCATCGCGCCCATAGTTTTGGCAGGGTTAAAATACACGGCACTATTTAAAAAATGGTTGGAAATATTCTTCAGTCAAGTTGCCAGACTCACATCGTTGCGACCATATGCCCACTTGGGGATGGTTTACGCTCTCCAGGACCATATGACGTTAAGTCGCTGATGAAACCGGATAGGTATGGAGAGAATGTAAACAAAGATGCGATCAAGTACGCGATGGAGCATTTCAAAACGTTGCGGTGGGCCATGGAAACCTTCAGAAGATGGTTGAGGAAGCGGGTTGGACCTCCCACGGACGGGCGGGTTGTGGTCGATGTATCAGAGTCATTGGAACCGTACCCCCCGATGACGTCATCAGTGCTCATTGGTGGTTCCTTGAAGGATTCTGACCGTTCAGCAGCAGGAGATTGAGCATTTACAAAGGAGGTGGGATTGGAGCCTGGCGACATGGCAGGGCTGCCACCGCGTTGTCCTGATGTGTGGAATGGTGTTCGTGACTTCTCAGGTAGCCCTTGAAGAGAAGTTGAGGGTCGCCCAAGATCCTCACATGATGTCATGGGCTTGTACCATTGTTTTGGCGCCTGCTGAGTGGAGGCGTCTGGTAATGGCTGGACCCCATTTTCCATTAGCTGCGCAAAGACAGTCCAGCGGTGGTCCGATTGCCTTCGTAAATCATGAAGCAATCCAAGATCATTTTGCGGGGATGGAGACCTCCTGCGGGCAACAAGAGGGGATGAAACGCTCCTCGTTGACCTCGTGAACAGGTTGCTGAGATTTGATTCGCTGCCTGCTGGGCTTTGCCATCTGGTATAGTCGAAAGAGTCCAGAGAGCCAACGACAAGCCGAGGGTCGTGAAGAATGGGGGAATCGCCGAGAGGGGAAGGAATAGCATCGCCCGGCGATTGCATGTAGTACAAGTTGAATCGTGTTTACCGTTGGAGTCCTAAAGGTGAAAGTGTATGGGCATTGACTTCAGTGGTTCGAGCAGAGTCGAGGCAGGTGTCAAATGTTTTGCTCGTCAACAGACTACTAGCAAACAACGGAAGTTAATTACTCTGTTGTGAAATGATAGAGTATACATAAAAAGGCAGCTACAGATACAGTTCATGTAAATTATGGGCTAGTCAAGTGCTAGTCGAAGAGCGTAGAGTGTACGTCCATATATCGTCCGTGAAAGAATATTGTCCGTAAGTCCGTTGTTCTAATCAAGTCGTAAGATTAAGTCCAATGTCCATTATGGTCCAAATGTCCTAAAGTTCGTGAACTATTGGGAACGAAGGAGAATGCAGAAATCCTCTAGAAGGCATCGAAGAATTCCGGAGCCCGCGCAATCCACGTTCACATTTGAAAAAGAGGAAAATACTGATAATGAACGTGTCAAAGATCCCCCGGGTTGTCCGGGGGAGAGGATTTTGATGTTTCTTATGCAGTTAGCCCTGAGCTGCCTTAACCGACTAAGACAGCCGCTTCTGGAGCTTCGAAAGAGCAGGCGCTGTGTTGACAAAGATGAACAGAATTGATGGCGGAGTAAACGAACCACAAACCAATGATTGGAAAGCGTGGAGCGAGACGAGTCATTGCATACAGGAGGGTTCCCAGGTCGTTTCGCACGTCGGTGCAATCTATCAGGGGCCAAGAAGCCTCAAGAGTATCCAGTTCCCCGACAATAATGTCTGCGACAGACCACCAACAAGGCTAAAAGATTGTTGAAAAAAAAGCTCAAATTTGAATGTTGTGAGACTGACCGCAATGATAGGCTCCAGAAAACCAAAATCTTGCTCTGTGATGTGCTTGATGATAGCTATACAAGCTCTTGCAGCTTGAGTACACTTCTCAAACGAGACAGTGACTTCCTCTGCAAATGGGCGATGCATGTGGATGATCGCCGACTGTGCAATTGTATGAGCAACAATCAAGCTATGCTTTTCCTCAGGAAGAACAACATCCAGTTGATGGACAGGAATCAAGGTGGACAAGAAGAGAGTGATTGTGTGTTCGAGGCTGCGCATTTTTTCGGTGAACCTCACAGAAGGTTTGGTGCCTATCAACCATCAGGTAAGTAGTTTATCTCTTGGAGGCCGAATGACGGGAGGGGAGGGGTACCTGGTGTCAAATCCGTTAAGAGATGATCGGCCTGGGCGAACAACGTTGAAGCCTTGACTCGCAGAGCAGGAATAGAAAAACCGCTGGGGGACATAGTCCCGGCCAAGAACGATTGAATAGTTTGCATCGGATTAATATTGGAATCGATATAGCCCTGTGGGTCATAACGAGGTCAAAAACCGTGACAATCCATGAAAAAAAAAAACTAACTATCTCATAATCCGCTATTTCCTGGGGCCAAGGGCAGTGAATGGCATTTTTTGGATCGGGACCATCTTGAATGATGCAAGGCTTTCGAAGCACGACTGACCAGCAGCGGTCAAGATTATAAACTTGCCAGAAGGTAAAAATCCTTTCGCCTTCTTGAATGTCAAATTTGGAAGGTTTGAGGTCAGTCTCCGTACAGCCGTTCAACAAAAAGTTTTGAGTTTCTAAGAAAGAATTTCTTCCAAGGCCGATTTGCACAGCTAAAGCGGCAGCCGCATTTGCATGGTAACCCCCTTCCAAAAGCCGTCCAGTTGAAAGAAAGTACAGTGAAAGAAGACAAGACGCCTGAATGACATCAATGACCTTGTTCTGAAGCCGTAGGGCTTCTGGGAGGGCAATGAGAGCTTGTTGAAGGTAGTGTTCTTCGTGCTGACAGAGCGGTTCGGGTCGAGAGACAAAACAAGCCCAAAGATAGACGGCGTTCATAAGTACGGGATGACGCTGCTTTGGGCCAAGACTGAGGCTGTCCCGTAACTGGCCCATATGAATCGCAAGACCACATTGACGGCGATGCGGAGCAAAGATATCCAGCCTAAAACGGAATTTAGAATGCTGCCATTCTCACGGAAATCAGACAATCTCACAGCATCTGCCCAAGCTCAGGAGGAGGATGGAAGGGTGGCTGGTGGTCATCGAAAAATAGCGGCGTAACAAACGGGGAAGGGATCGGAGAAACGATACCCTACAGATTATAAATTGACGAAACTTAGGAGACGTGCCTGCGAAGCTTACCTGCACATGAGACCAATCTGGGGGGGATGCGGGGGACTCTGAAAAGACAAGTTAACAGAAAGTGCTTTAGCCAAGGCTAGCCAGACCTACCAGAGGGGAATGGGGAATGAGAAGCGGAGAGATAGGAACTCTCGGGTGAGCCGAACGAAGACGAAGACGACTCCGAGTGACAATGAGTATGAGGATCATACAACATCACTGACGACGCAACATAGTCAGGATCTTCAAGATCCCGTATCCTTTGTTCCAATTTTGCTACAGTTTCGCGAAGGATCTGTGTTCTCGTTTTCCCTTTTCCGTCATCATACTCGCAAGCCTCTCCCTTCTTGGCCTTGATACACTGCTGACACGCAGGCTTCGCTCCGTCGCATCTCTGTAGAAAAGGTCAGCGGGCTTGATGGGGCGAGCTATCGGCTCCTCACCATCTTTCGCTTACTAGACAGTGAGCATCGTCAGTGAGCAACACAATGAAGACTAATGATCCAAGCTCACCGGCATCGCAGACATGCCTTCCCTCTCTGCAATGTGCCCTGCGTGGCTTTATCCATAGAGGTGTTGTTGGACATTAAAGGGAGATTATAATATTATATACAGTGACACGGGGTAGATTTGCTGGCTCCAGAGCAAAGGTCGCAGAATGATGGGAGAGCGGCAGACGTAAAGAAACTAGAGGGAAGAAGAAGAAAGAGACATAAAATGGCGAGAAGGGAGAAACGGAAGGTTGAAGAAAGAAGTTGGCAGTATGGTAGGGCCATAATATACTGAGATCGTGCTTTTTTGGAAGCACAGCCCTCAATGACACTTCTTGATCACGGATCCTACGGGATTTCTGAAGCACTTTACAGTCTGAAGCTTCCTCCTGATTACTCGGACCCTGCGCTCCTGCTGCGCTTCACGAACAATTCACAGGTGCAGGTTGATGCATCCAGGGAAGGAAATTGCTTCCTCTGCCATGCCAAGCTATTTCTTTCGCTTGTTTCATCCCCACGTGCTGCATCCCATCATATGTATCATTTCTCTCTCTCATCAGTCTCTCATCACGGTCATTTCATCCCGCAAAAAAACTCTCTCTCTCTGCGTGAAGACTTATGTCCAAGTCAATTGAATTTCTTCGTACAAGTAGCAACTCCCTCCCACTCAATTCCCACTCACCATCAAAACCAATACTCATGCCGTATGTCCCGGTAACGGGGCTAGTCTGACACCACAAAACAAACGCCTTATTCAAACTGTATCAGCACATAAACGTGAAAGATGTAGTCTAAGTGCACCTGAAAATGGCCATCCCCGATCATCTTAGCCAGAAGCCCCGATCGAATTTGAATGTGTTCTGGATGAAAATGTCGCCAAAGGTGTGGGGTGAGCAACATCCGAAAATTGCTGTTGCTCAGTTCTCTTCTCCCTTGCATGCGCTTGACGCACATAAGCATATCGTTGGAAATGGTTGAGAGCTTGCAAGAACAAAACCCCCACCTGATTCATCTTCAGCAGAGTGATCCGGAGAGATAAACTCACACTCACAGGATACGCGCGGAGTTGGTTAAATAAATCAACCGTTGCATCTCTCACCCCTTCTCGTTGGTGTAACAGGCCAAAACCGAGATACAACAAACCCCCCCCATGAGGGAGCCAAGACAGGAGCTAAGGGATAAACCGTTAGATAAACCTGATAATGCATATCAGAACAAGAACTAGCCTCCACCACTTGATCGTAAGACCTGACATTGTCTGCAAGAGTACGCATGATGGCCAAAGTCTCAGCTTCTGTGATATTCTTTGTGTATCGAAGGCGAAAGAGCTGATGGAGAACATCAAAGCCTTTAATCGCCAGGTTTGCTTGGTATTTGGGGTAATCCTGCCCGCTTCTAAGTCAGCATAAAGTCAAAGACAACAGCCGTTGAGTATGCACCGTGACAAGATATTGATAGCTATTTGTTTTTCGCCACGCTTCAATGCGATGAGCATTGGCCATTAATTCCTTGAAGCATGTAGCCTCGTCGCCGAAAGCGATGCCGCCTCCAAGATGTGGGAGTCTACCTGGACTTTCTGAAAACAAGGAACTCGGAAAGCCGAATTTTGTGGTACCCGTTGTCTCTTCTTCATACCGAGATGCGAGGCGAACAAAACGCATCACATATTCAGTAAATCTGGTACGTACTAAACTTTCACCAAAGTGGTCTTCAATGGCCGCACGTATCTGCCAGTCATAGGATTGAGCATCAAGTGTCGCTGCAAAATCGATGAAAGGAACAGACGTCTTCGATAAACAATTTATCGGCATTATTGTCCTTGGCAGCAAAGTCAGACTTTGATCCTTCCCTGGTGATCCTTGCAATGTCGTCCTCGCTGCCGACAGAGGATTCAGTCTTCAGGGTACCCGATCGGGTGATAGTGGGGGCACCCAATCCTACAGTATTCGTTGCTGGATATGTCATATGGATATCTTTGGCGACGGTGACGTTACCCGAGCCAATGTCCAGTAGCAAATCCCACTGACGCGACGACTCAAAGATAGGATTTGTCACTCCCGCAATGTAGGCAGGGCTGCAAAAAAAAAAGATTTAGCTACTTGACCAGGTGATTGAGCTGCGCTGAACTTACACTGCCTCCCATTCATCTCTATTGTTCAAATTGGCATATGGAAAGGAACGTTCAACGAACCCTCTCAACACGGCTCCGCATCCAGAACCAAGTGCGCAGGCAGAAAGAACGAAGCTTGAAACTTCTCCGGCAGGCCGTTTGTGTCCCAGGAAGATGATACGCTTCCCGGTGACAAGTGCGTTGAACAATATGATGATAGGATGAGTCTGTGGACCGTTTGTATGCAGGTGAGGGTGCAGGGGTCCGGAAACCTGCTGATAAGAAGAAAAGACTTTGATAAGGGTGATTAATGAGTACTGTGGGTTCTGTCACACAAAGCGAGTCGACTGAACAATGAAACCTACATCTCCAACTTCTTCGGAAAAAGTGGCTAATGGCATTTTGATTGGCAAGTGGTGATCTTTATACGCCACAGAGGTATGGTAGAAATGGGTATCTTTGGCCATCCCAGAACGCAGATGTGGGTCATAATAAGAATGTGATTGCTGAGGGTTAAGTGGTCGATATGTTTGCTCTCGACCATGAGTTTGGGATGAGAATGAAGACGCATCCGTTGACCTGCGTTTTCTGGAGGAGCTAACCAATGTGTTACTTCCAACAAGGGACAGGAGACTACTCGAATCTCCTGCGTGACCTTTTGGGACCAAGTCCAACCCACTTTCATCACCAACCCAGACTGCACTTCCGCCTAGCGAGAAAGATGAGTCTGAGGGTGAATTCTGTGAATGATTTTGACCAGGTTGCGGGACACCATTTTCAAAATCTTTCTCTGGTTGTGGGTCCTGCCTTTTGATCCGATTGTCATCCTGACGGCGGTCTCTTTCTCGATTCCTCATGAGGAGCCCATCCTCAAAGCTCGACGATGATTCGTTAGAATGAGAGGATTTATGCTTAAAAACGGCTTTCGAACCGAGGCTGGAGTTACCAAAGCCCCAGCTTTGTTGAGAAGCAATATGAGAAAACTTCTCTGCGAAGATGTCTTTACGTTCCGAAGAACGCATAATCAATTTTTCCTGTCGAGTTAAGATAGGAGCCCCTGACAGGTCCATGGAGTTGACGGCATCAAAGAGGCGCGCGAGGCAGTCTTGGGAAGGGTCCGAAAAATAGTCGTCCAAAGCCATCAGAAGGAATGGCTTCCATTATTATGAAAAATTTAACGCCGATTTCAAAATAAATGGTAGGTATACTCACCTTGAAGATTTGGATGAATGGATGACGCGTGCAGATCGCAAGCGCGAGCACTTTGGCTCCCCTATTTGAGTTGCACGAAGAACATGGGTTCAGCAAGACATGAAAGTGGTATAAACCTACCGATCTAGCGACTTGTCATGTTTGGTTCTAACCAGGTTCAACACACACAGAAGTTCAGGCTTGTCGTTTTTAACGCCGTTGACCTCGCCACCTGGAAGTCCGACTGGTGATACCTCAGGCGTATCCAGGGCGAGTACAGGAGAGATAGTATTGAAAGGTGTCTGGTTGAGAAAGAAAATGGTCCAGTCATCCAGTTGGGTCTCGGCGCCGTCTGGAAGCATGGACATTGCAAGAACACTATGTAGATTACCATAAGTACTATAAATTCAGGGTGTGAATGAATCAAATCCGACCTTTCATCGATACCTAAAGGCTGAGGAAATTGATACTTGAGCTGAGCACCTTCAAAGATATGGAACTCAGCAAGCAGGACGAAGGAGCAGTGATTGCCATTTCCCATTGGACAGTACTACGTGCAATTGGGTAATTTGAACCTGAGTTTGTTGGGACTGAAGTATCGAATAATCAATTATTAATGTTTGGCGATGGCATATGCTTTCAACATCACTGTAGACTAAGTATTGTCCCCAACGACAACAATGTCCCAAGAAAAAGCCCAAATGACGCTAACCCGCCTCAAAAGCATTGGGGTTGGTGTGGTGCCAAGTCTTCGTCTTCGTCGCCTGTGTCTGGTACTACTCCCAAGTCTACTGAACCCTCGACAACTCCGAAATCTTCACCACCACCAGGACCCAAAACCAAAACGACCCTCCCAGCACTTTTGCTGGATAACATTCTTAAGAAGAGCACGCATTTTCCACCTAGGTCGCCTGTTCCTAGTTCAAGGAGGGAGAGGGAGGAGAAGGCCCCGGCTTTTTTGTTTGAGTCGTCAAGTGGGAGTGGGAGTGAGACGCTCATACAGGAGGAAGAGGAGGAGGATGAAGAGGATGAGGAGAGCGTGCAAGTCCCAGTTCCTGTGCCGGTGTTTTCGTATACGTCCTACACCACACAAGTCAACAACAACGACACACTCTAATTCGCCTTCCCCATCGCCTACTACACCCCGAAAAGGATCTTTGCAGGCGCCTTCGCCGTCACCCTCCCCTTCGTCTTCGTCTGATGAGATATACCAGGCTTTCGTACTTCAGTGGGGTTTTGCGCAGGGACCTGGACCGGCAAATTTGAACCATCCTGTTGGTGGTGTGGGGGAGAAGCTGAAGAAGGGGGGTGTTGTTGGTCGGGATGAGTATGGTTTGTTGGTTTGGTGACAGTACGATCCCCCTGCAGTGAAGTACGAGAAGAAGTCATCCCAGAACTCACAAAGGCGTACCTCGCTCCTTCCCTTCATCTCAACGATATCCATCCCAACCACCCCGCAAAGAACGTAGATTCCAACTAAGACTGGTAACGAGAACCCACCGCACACGCCCGCAGATGACCCCCTCAAGCGCCATAGCGCTCATAGGCCGCCCCCCGACGCCACTGACCCTTTCGCATTACGCTATGCTTTTCCTATTCCCTGCAGCTACACAACGCACATCTATATTCGTGGAAGCGACAGCCCGCATAACTTGATTATACCTCAAAGTTCTCATTTCGTCTTTGTTTCAGACGACGAAGCGCTGGCGACCACGGAAGCTCTCAAGGCGAAAATGGAGGGGATAAATTGCGAACGAGAGGTGCAGATTTTGGCTGAAAAGACAGCATTGTCAGAAACCACCGAAGCCAATTTGACATATGCAGGCAATACGACGGCTGCAACAGCTCTTGCATCGCTAACCTCCAAAGAGAAGGAAAGAAGTGCACGTGCTGGACCATTTTATTGCAAAATATTTGCTTACTTATTTTCGTTCAGATTGAGATAGAAAGGATCGTATCCTGCCTGCCGCTCGAATTTTGCGGTAGTGATCCAGTACGTTCTTTCGCCTACTCTCCCAAGACCCATCTTCTTATGTCAACAGAATTTACGCCGCAACATGGAAGGTGCCTTCGAAGGCTTAAGAAATGCGCCTGGCAATACCTTGAAATGTCGGTTCTCTTCTACTACAGCGTCGCCGACTCAACTCCCCGTGAACTTACCGCCCCCTCAATTCCGCCTACAAGAAACTTCGTCGAGCTCGTATTCCCATTGACCAAACAAGGTCGGCCGGTTTCGTGGGCTGGCCATCAAATAAAGGACCATCGGTGGCCTCAGCGCCCCAACCTTTGCAGTTGCCTATTCATCCTCATCCCTAAGATCAATGGTGTTGATCACGATTTCTTTTGGAAGACATACGCGGATTTTACATGTCTCACGAAAACAGTCTCCCAACAATTGTCGTCATCCTGCGCTCCTCCGACTCCGACCCCCTCCGGCACCCAAACCCTTTTCGTCTCATTCCACCTCTCTCATCCCACGCCGTTCGAGCGCCCGAGCTCTTCCATCCACCCATTCAACCCTGATACTCTCCTACTACGAAAGGTCGATTTTCAGCAACCAACGAACGAAACGCTTCCTCCATTCTGGCCCTTGACCACCCAGTGCGTGGTTCATATATGACATCGCAAGGAAGGGTCGGAATCAGTAGGAGGCAGCGGCTGAATACGCGCGCCTCGTGCGTCTCTGCGGATTGTCTAACATGAAGATCTCTGTTCCCCGTGCAATGTTGGAATAACACGTTGCTTTCAGGTTCAGACCGTGGGTTTTCGAGCCTCATGCTAGGTTTGCAGCTGAGTCTGGGGGGTGGTGTATATCGTTGAAGCGAAGGATGAGGTGGAAGGTTTGTCGTTCTATTTCTATCTTCACATAGATGTTTTAAGAAGAACGACGCAGGTGCCAACGCACGTACCACCTCACCCCGCATCTAACTTACCATCCAACACGCCTCACAACATTCACGCAAACAACGCACCTCGACCCACTACGCAGCTTCGCTTTCTCAACCGTACGAATCTTTACACGCCGTGGTAAGTTGCGGAGTTGAGCCATCGTTCACGCGTTTGTTGGGACGAGGGCAGGCGCAGGGAAAGACGCAGGAGGAGGCAGTGGAAGTAGAAAAGGGGACACCGATAACGAAGAAGGGGGGATAAGCGGATGAAGGAGGAGAAGGTATGTTTCATCTTTTGTTACTAGTAAGGACTGATGATTGCAGGGGGTAGTTAATGGAAGGGAACACGACCTTCACCGTCGTCTTCCACCATGACACTGAAGCCTATCATTCACCAAGAATGGACGAACGATGATGATGACACACGACGACGACGACGAACGACCGCACATCTGCCGCGATTGCACCCCCCAACCAGCGGGACAACACTCCCATCTTCCGGCTCCACCACCTCACCTCCCTCCTCCTCTCGAGCCCCACGCCTTTGACCTCGCAAGGCTGCACGGCTGTGCCAATTGACACTCGCACTGCCCTTGCGAGGTTGCTTGGTGACTTTTAGAGCCACACCTGCACAAAAGTTTGTGTCCCCGGGTTTCTTAAAACCTTACCTGTACCCATCAAAACAACGACCCAAAGCCAATTGACGCAGTCCATTCTTTTGCTGTTAATACTTACATTTTCTACAAACTTTACACCTTCAATTCAACGACGACGCTCTACCACACCTCCTAACAGGTTTTCCTCATCACCCTCCAACTCCGATAGTCTTTCTTTCGTGAGCTGAAAGTCGGAAAATGATACCTCCATAAAATCCGTGGCTGGTGATGATTGGTGGCTCTGTGCTTTTTGCAAAGCATGATCTGCGTATTTGTAGAGGCATTGCCACAGTACATTTTTCAATTGATTTTCGAGGCATTTCAAAATTCCCAAGTCCAGGCCCATGGGAGGTGCCCATGCAAAGACAATACCACTGCTGCCTGGGAGGCTGAAAGTTGAGCCCTGCTCTGCCATGGCTTCTCGGAGCTGATTGCACATCCAGCAGCACTTCTTCACCACACCAATCTTGTTGGCATCCTGCAAACCAGTAACCATCAGTAACCAGCACAATTAAACGGGAAGGTGAGCATGACCTTAAGGATACGAACAAGCTTGTGTGGTAACATAGTCTGCACTTTAGAGCACTCTTTGATAAGTGCCATTAAGATGGCCTCTGCATGTACTGTCCCCTTGAAATCATCACCCATCTGTTCCAGACTTCTGATCTCCTGTGACTGTCTCATAGTTCCATTGTCACAACCTCTTCGGGCGCTTTATAGGTGGAAAGTTCTGCGCGGAGGGTTTGGTGGTTCGCCCCGTGGGATGGGATGCGGCCTGCGCAGATGTGGTGGATTGTGGCGGGGGGTTTGTCAAGGGACCAGTTGAGCGCGAGGAGGCGGACGGGAGTGGGAAGCTTGGACGTGGGTTCGAAAAGGGATTGGTGGTGTTGGCGGAGGTGGTTGGATGCTATTGGGGAGGCACAGGCACCGTGTATCAGAGGGCGTTTGGGTTAGGATATGCAACATAGCGCATGTGGGAAAAAAAATCCCATGCTTGGGCTCGTGTGGTTTGTGAGTCCGAAATCTGATTGGTTTCATTGCAGGTGAGTTACGAAGAGGCGGCTAATAAGTGAGGTGTTCTCCGTTGACGTTGACGTGGTATTGGCTTTGTCTGCATGGATTTCAGTGGTAAAAGCCATCCCACCCATATTGCAAGTAGACTCTGGTCAAAGGCATGAGAGAAGGGATAAGTTGATCACGACCTTACTCACCAACGTAGGGAATATGATATATGAGTCACGGTAACCCTGTATCCACTGCTCTTGACGTTGAGCAAACAAAGCGGCGGCCGCACTGTGCGACACACTCGTTGTATTCGTCGACACTCTGAAGGGGGGGAATGGAACACATGAATGTGTCGTGGTTTGACCCAATGTACCGCACCCTTGCCCAATGTGTCGTCGATGCTCGTACACACTGTTTCCAATGTAAGGATAGTGGTAGTCGATCAAGGACGGCACATACCTTGTACTCATGCAAATGCTCGTTGAATGGAGACGTTGACGGCAAGCCATTGTGCTTGGCAATAACAAGCGGCTCGATAGCTGCTCGGCGGGGATTGAACCGCGGAGACGGGAGCGTGAACTCATCGTCCTGTCATCGTCTTAGGTTGACGGTGTAGGTGGCAACATACCAAAGAACACCTGGTGGTTGGACGACGGGCAGGTCGCTGGAAGAGAGCCTTGACGTAAGGAAATAGTGCGAAAGGGGGCCATGGTGCCATGTCTGGAACCAATTGTAAAAAGAATCAAAAATCAAAAACTCTCACAAGTAGAATTACAGAAATCATACTATACTACTGACAGCATCAGATCATCTTTAACAGGTCCAAGAATTTTGGGTTTATGTGAATGCTCAGATCTTTCAGAGTTCATACTTTCTATTTAAGATAATGAATCTCAGGCTCACTCCGTGAACACTATGGAAGAGCAAAATATTGTTACTCAAATGGGTTGGTGCGACCTGCCTGCGACAGATAACATTTCAGCTGAAATTTTGATTCAATGCTTGAGTTGCCTTACTTGAGAGTCTCCACCACGGTCCGCGCCTTCACCACAACCACACAACCAATCATGCCACCAGCGATAATCCTGGACTTGAACCTCATGACCAGAACCGCCAATGGTTGTATTTGGCGGTGGGGTTGAAAGTGGTGGGGATGATGTTGGGGGAGGAGGGGTTCGAGGGGGAGGAAGACCCAATGGTTTTGGAGGCGGCAGTCGTGATGTGGGGGCCATAGAAAATGAAGAGGCGAGGTGGTTTACTGGTATCGAGGGATCTACATCTGGTAGCTTGGCTTGGTGAGAGTCAGAGAAGGGGGAAAGAGACTCGGGGGGACCAGCAAAAGGGTTTTCCGTAGGTGTATCGTCCAATTCTGCGTTTGAAGGGGTAGGACTGAGATTAACGTCGGTCAAGGGGAGGGTGTCGACGGGATCCAACACCCTATGATTCCCCAGGCCATCAGGAACGCTAATGGAAGGGTGCTTAGATTTCCTTCCTGGCCAAAGTAAACTTGCTCGTCGGGATATATCACTAACAAGGGAAGGTTGCGTGTTCGTCTGTTGCGTCGACTCCCGTGCTGCTTTCCGTCGTTGTCGCTCAGTAACCTCCCATGCACGAAGAGTCTGAGGCAAGAATTTAGTTGTGTTGAATAACCTCGAGCGAGACGTTACGTGCCTCTTCTACACGACGAGATTCAACGGCTTCGTCATTTGTCGGGGGGTATGCTGCGATGCGAGATGATTCTGCCGCTTCGTCGCTTCCGGAATCGGTGTATTCTCGCTGCGACTGCCTCTCCTTTCCCTTGCCTTTCGTAAAGAGAGCAAGGTCATCCACAGTCGAAAAATACTGCTCACGCGCGTTATCCTGCGAGATGTCCTCCTCCTGAATGCTACGAGGGCTTAGGGAAGAGGACATAAGCAGTGAAGCTCACTCCAGGACGGGGAAGTTCAAGAGGACGTTGTTGATGGTTATTGACAACGCCTTTCCAATTTATTACAAGTTGCTCTCCAGAAGCGGTCAAGAGGTATAAGCTAAACTTCGCCCAAATACATTATTTAAATGTCCATCCAGGTCATCAAAACCGTCCTTCCACTTTTTTCGTCGGTTGCATCATGCTTGCATCATCATACTCCGAATTATCGTCCGCAAGGTAGTGACGAAGTCCAGACGCCTTTGGTGCCGCATGTTGCAAAATTGGTGTGTTGAGTTCGTCGGAGAGGTCGCGGCTGCCATACAACGTGCTCTGCGGGCTTGTCCCGCTCTGGTTCGGCAACGATAAGATCGACGCGCGCGCAGTTTCTCGCATCTGCAAAAGATTTTGGTGGAATGCATTCTGAACAATAGTTAGATCTTGTCCATACAATCGGACATGGTACTAACCTGCTCACGCCAGTATTGAACCCGCTTTTCGCGCTCTCGGTCTCGTTGCTTTCGATGAGTCACAAATAAGCCGCTTAGAGTTCCCGCCATTCCTGCAAACCGTCGTTTTATAAAACATACCGAGATTGGGAACGTACTCACCACCAAAAATCCCAAGAGCGACAAGAACATACACCCACACACCAAAGTGACGAGGAGTTGCCGCGCTGGTTCCACAAACACCAGTGGAAAGACAGTTCCACGAGTCGCATCTAGCAAGGGTTTGTAATCTTGTGCCATCCCATGCAATAATTAAAACACACTCTTTGTCGGCCCCACATGCCGCTCCGAGAACCTTATTGGTCATGCACACTTTCTTGGCCGAATCACAATAAAGTCCGATGCGACAATTCCCACTGACCCGATATATTTAGTCATTTTTTGAAGTGGAGTTGGGGTAGCCATACCGAGACACGATGTCTGGGAACTCTCCAGACACCCCATACGCGATATAAAATGTATTCTCGACAACGCAAAGGTTATTAAGGGTGGCGTTTGCCCACCTGAAAAGGAGAGTTAGTGAGCATAAGATATGTAAATCGAAGAACAGACAAGCGTACATGCATTGATTGTTGAGACAGACTGAGCCGTTGAAGTTGAGGCCACGGCCACTGGTATCGGCAAGTTCTTTGAAATTTGGTGGGCCCTCACATTGATCTTAAAATTACAGAGTGAGATGGTTTGGCGACAAAGTGTAAATAGTTACCATCTCGGTTCAGCTGACAGGGACTGCCAACTGCTAGAGCAGGCTGGCAATCACTTCCCTCGTCGGGGCAAAATTGACCTTTGCTGCATTTAGGGGGGAGATCAGCACGCTGAGCATATCCAAATGGAAAGTCGTCTTTGCGACATCTTTTAGGAACGCAGGTGCCGTCAGCATCTGAGCAGAAGGTAACGGAGTTGCATTCGCTCCAGAACTGATTTGTGCCCGCCTGCAAACGGCTGTTCTTTGTTGAGCAGGCCCCGCCTTTGTTGACGCTTCCGGCGAGACAGAAATGGTATAAATATAAAAGAAAGAGTGCAGGCGTCAGCATACGCATGTTGAAGAGACTTGAAAGGAAGGAAAGAGGAGAATTGTCACACCCGTTGCTGCGTAGGGTCACACCTTAATTACTTACATAGAAGGGCATGCCGCACTTGCAAAGGCAATTGTATCTAGACCAGATACGACAGCTATTACGACCAAGATGCCCTGGCGTTATGTACAGCGATGCTAGAGAACTGGGGCGAAGGTGGTCTGAGGCTAACCATTTATGTTGAATGCTCACAGCCACCATGAACAACCTCCTTTGCTTTCCTTTCCCCGCTTGAACAGTAGAGGGAAATTTAGAATGTTCGTCGACTTCATAAAATCTTTGATCAATTTATTTTGTGGGCCACCATCGTCAAACGAATCCCCAGGATACCCACAACAGCAACAATCAGGATACCCACCGCAGCAGCAACCGGGATACCCACAACAGCCCCAACAGGGCTACCCAGTACAACATCCCCAGAGGCCGGAAACACACCAGGTTTTTCAATTTTGCAACCTCGCTTGAGCTCTCCGCTATAGATGTTGATGACTGGTAAAAGGAGCAGAACCAGCATCAAATAAACCAGGGCGATGACCATTACACCTCTCTTCGAGCTCGTGCAAACGAAGAAGGTAATAGCATGGCCCGCGCTTTTGAGGAGAGCCACCAGGCCTACTCTCGCGGAGATGGAGCACTCGCAAAGCAGCTATCAAATCAGGGCAAGGACCATCAACGCAGGATGGAACAACTCAATAAAGAGGCAAGCGATTGGATATTTGCGGGTCAGGTTCCTTCTCTCTTACATGGCGCGAAACTGCCTGCACTCTTATCTGACTCTTATTCATTATTCATTGTTGCGATGACTCTAGAAAACAACAAGGTTAGAACCACCTACCAACCTCCATTCTTGCCTCTTCTCAGTCCCCGTCAGAACCGCAAACCCGGAGAAGTAGATTTGCATGGGCTTTATGTGAAGGAAGCAGTAGCACGTACTGATCAAGCTTTACAATCAGCAAAAGCAAGGGGCGATACTCAGCTCAACCTCATCGTTGGTAAGGTTGCAACTGAACTTTTACATTTAATCTATAAATTGCGCAAATTAGGGAAGGGACTTCACTCCAAGGGGGGGATTGCCAAGGTTAAGCCTGCCATTGAAGAGCTCATGCAAAGGTATGTAGCGTGTTGCTAAGTTTTGTCAGATATTCACTATACATTCTAGGCATCGGGTGAATGCCGTGTTGGACCCCAATAATGCGGGAGTGCTGATTGTGCAAATAAACTCGAATATGGGAGAGCACAGCGTCGGACCTGATGAAATTTCACGTTGTTTGGAGCGCAATGATGAAAGCTGTATCATTATGTAGACCATTGGCACGATAACAAGTCATATTGCCATACAGGAAGATAGGTGTAAATGATATTTAGTGATTTAACCCATAACTCCGAAAGGCACCACTCATACGTCGAGACCAACCAGAACAAAAGCGGGGTTCACCTTGAACGGGGGACTCGTAACAACTGAGCCTCCAACATACATGAGTGAATGCAAGAGGCCACCCAAGTTTGATGACGTCCTCTCCAATACGATCACAAGACCATCACATTCCAGGCTTTCATCCGCTAGTTCCAACAATGCAACAATACTGGAATGATAACACTGTTAACCATGTAGGTTGACTAAAAGATAGGGCGTACCTTTCACGCAAATTCACCGTTGCGGCACTCTTGCCATCAACATAAAGTATTTTGGGCTTTCCGGGCAATTCAAGAACAACTCCGTCAAAATCGGCACCTAAACTGGGGGCAGAGATAGAAACGCCTTTAGCATAAGGGAGGGCATCATATCCTTGGTGAGGAAAGACTGTCATAAGGAAGTCAAGGGCGTCTCTTTCGCGCTTCGGATAAATATGTGATTGTGTTTTCGGGCTGAAGTCACTACCGCGGTCAGGAGTTAAAGGGGGAGTTGACGAGTACGAGTTGTGAGATCCATTCCTGTGTGGGATCGTTCGAGGACTTGATCCGGTGGAAGGAAATTCGGAGTAAGAGATAGTAGTGATAGGCGCACTCAAGCGGGGATAAACGATGGATTTGGAGAAAGGAATAGATTCTGGAGAGGAAGAAATGGAACCGGAACCATTGGAAAAAATAGACGCTGGACTGCCTGTCACACAGTCCAACGACCCTCCGTCTGGAGGGCATTTTTCTTTAGGAACGTCAAAAGCACCACTTTGACAAAAATGAGCCGTTAGTGAATGGCAGATGATAGTGGGCAGAGAAACTCACCTCGGGCCCTCCAGAGAAAGTAGTGGAATAATAGTACTTGTTCTCTGTGCCTTGGAGATGGCACACCGCAAGCACACTAGGCTCGTTGTCGAAAGTAGCAGCCCCATCCCCAACGGTTTGACGACCGTTGCTGAGGAGTAACCTCAGTATGCTTGAATACAAAGTTAGTGCTGAAAACTTACGTGGGGCAAAGACTAGATTTCTGTTTTGTAAAATTGGACATAATTGATAACGACATAAGCTGCCAACTTGATAACTTTGAGGAGGTGAGGGCTGAGCAAAGACTGCGATGCAAAAGTTTGCGATAAAGGCTGTGAATTCTGTGGGAATTGGTTGGGAGCAAGGGTTGGCGATTTACCACGTTCAATGTCAATGCGCTGACTCAGCATTGACTAATCACTTCTCACGTGCCTCTCTCCACCCAATTTTACCAGTGCGGTCTTGAAGCTCATCACTGCCGAAGACAGCGATCTCAACACTGTAAGTAGCACTTTCTTCCTTTTGAACGACCCCAGAACTATTCTTGAGCAACTACGCGGCTTGTCTCATGTACGGTCATTTCATCTTTGTTCTTTATTTCGCTGGATGGGGATTATCTATCTTCGATGACGTTCCGCTAACTTGGCTTTCCTCTCAGTACACTTCCGACGATAACAATTATGGCTGACGCTGCACGAGGACGAGGTGGATTTGGTCGTGGACGGGGTGACAGAGGCAGGGGTCGCAGAGGGCCCCGTCGCGGAGGTCGCAAAGATGAAGACAAAGAATGGTGAGCATCTTTTCACCACCTCACCGAACTGCGCACCAACCACACTATTAGGGTCCCCGTCACGAAGCTTGGTCGTCTGGTGAAAGATGGCAAAATCAAATCGATGGAAGAAATTTACCTTTTCTCCCTGCCCGTCAAAGAATACCAAATTATCGACTTCTTCCTCCCCAAGCTGAAAGACGAAGTCATGAAAATCATGCCTGTTCAAAAGCAAACTCGTGCCGGACAGCGAACCCGTTTCAAAGCTTTCGTAGCGATTGGGGACTTTGAAGGTCATGTTGGGCTTGGGGTTAAATGTGCCAAGGAAGTTGCGACGGCAATCCGTGGTGCTATAATTCTCGCAAAGCTATCTGTCATTCCCGTGCGGCGAGGATATTGGGGTGCGGCTCTTGGTGAACCCCACACTGTGCCTTCGAAGGTCAGCGGAAAAGTCGGCTCTGTCATGTGCCGCCTGATCCCCGCACCCCGTGGAACGGGTATCGTCGCTGCCCCCGCCTCAAAACGTCTTCTTCAACTTGCTGGAGTGGAGGATGTCTACACACAATCCAAGGGTTCAACGGCCACGATGGGCAACTTCTTGAAAGCCACTTTCGCTGCCGTACGTCCACGGTTATTTAATTTCTTTAAACTTTAACCTGACATGAAAATAGATCACCAAAACCTACGCCTTCTTGACACCCGATTTATGGAGGGAAATCCCCGTGTCGAAACTGCCCTACGACGAACACAGTGCTCATCTCCAGCTTCTTGGTAAAAAGGCTTATTAGGTGATTATGAGCATTGAATTTCCTGTTTTACCCTGTATCTTTTGAGGCACATATGAAAAGATAATGGTCCTTAAGCGCTCTGAACGTGTAGCTAAGAGCGAGTTGAATTCATGGGTTTCTGATCGATCGAGGTATGTGGGGTCTGTATTGCAATGTGCTCATCCACCGAATCTTGTGCCACCTTTGTTATGGCCATGCACCGAGGACATTCCTCAGACTTGCCTCACTCTTTGTCACATTTGGGGACTCGTTCACTAGGCGATCTTCAGCGCACGAAACCTCAAGAGCTGTCTCCCTCACAGAAGTGTAATCGGCGTTTACTTCGTGTGTTTCCAGGTCCGAACGGTGACGTTATGATATACCATAGCTCCCCAGAGACTTTGGGTATTCCACGGTTTGTTTTACAGTCTTATCAACCCAACCTCTCATGACGACGTCTCGTGAACCAGTGGCCTGTGCCCGACGTCGCAACGACTTTCTCTTTCTCGCCATGCAGAAAGCGTCACTAGCTTCGACGGAGAGAACAGAAACTGCGATCTACCTATGTCCCAACCAAAATCTCGCCGACGCTCTGTTTATTCGCCACAGGAACGTGGCGAGATAGTGGAGACCAGAAAACCCATCCCAGAAGTACTCCAATCACGCCGTTACGCAACCGACTTCGGTCTTGGAAGATACGACGTGCAACCATCACCCCTACCTCCCGTGCCCCCACCATATCTGCCACGAAGCTCTTCCACACACCGTGGTGACTCTAATGTCTCAAGTACTGGGTCAACACCCTCATCGCAAGACCCCGAAACTGACAGTTCTTTGTCGCTCTACGAAGATTTTTCTCTAGAGTTCCCCCAACCGCCGCCCATAAGAAGCCCAGTTCTAAGGCGGATGAAAAGTTCGCCGTGGCTAACGGGTCAAAGAACCAAAGCTGTTGAAAAACATCCTATTCAGCAGAGTGCAAATATACGATTGACCTCATCAGTTCAGCGTAACTCTCAGCCATGTTTCTCGCCATCAACTTCTGACTTGAAGTACGCATTCATCGTGGATTTTGAGGAGATGGCAGAAGGACAAATTCACAATCCAGACCACAAAGATTTGGATCTAGAAATGGTTGGCGAGGCGTTGGTCGGCTTGGAAATGAATAGCTTTGTTTCGGAGAGTTCAATTCAGGGCATTTCAGACGAGGTAGGAAACAGCACAATCGCTGGCACGGTCATTTCGGCGGGAGCAGAGCTACTGCGCTGGTCAACATTGCACCGTGTCACGCCACCGCTGGCGACGCGAACATCCATTTCTCCAGTTAACCGACCATTGACGAATTCACAGGATGAAAACACTCAAGTATCGGATAACAGTGATCCCCGAAGTCGACCGCCCCAGACCATTCGCAAGGTCGCAAGCATGAGAGAACAATCGAAGGACAGCGAACTCACAACTATCATTGCCCATAGACCTCTGCCGAAAATAAAGTCACTGAGATTCATTCCTCCTCCGCATTGGGACCATACACCTACATCAGCATCCAATAAGGAAGCCAAGTGTGGTACAGCTCTCGCGAGGCCACCGCCTGGCGCCAACCGACGTGGAACATTGAACGGCGCAGAAGCTGAAAGGTCTCTCCCGAAGACTCCGTATCCCTCTTCGACAATCAACGGAGCGACCCAGAAGCTATCTCATCGTCAGCACCAATCTGTTCCCCTTGCCGGCTTAGGTTTTTCAGATGCTGCTCTTTTCAAGTGTCAGGCTTCCAGACCTCAGCCACTGGCAGCCCCGTTCTCGTATCGCCCATCTCTTAGCGTTACAACGCAAGGGTACAAGGAGGGTGCACTTCCAACACCAAAGTCATTCATTGACATAACGCCTGAACGAGCGACTGCCCCTGTTGCCCTCAGAAAAGAAAGGGTCAAAAGGTTTATCGCCAGGGCAAGTAATGGTGTTAAAAACTGGAGTCGACAATTCGCCAAAAAAACACAATCTTCGGGGTGAAGGCATGGATTCGATTATTTTTTTTTGCTGTGTTTTAGATTTGTATTAGAACATACTAGTTACCAGCACTGTGATTACATTTAGAAATCTGGCCACGATAGAAGTACATGAATCCCGTGGTGTGGTCGCAACAAGATAGGAAAACTGAAAATTGCGTTGGAGGTCAACCATAAAAAATGTACACAACGATAATCAATAAATCAAGAGAGGGAATGAGATGGAGGTAGATTATTCCGCTATTGTTCAACATTCACAATGTGAGGGGAACGTCGTGACGTTGTTGGTCCCAAAGCTTCGGCTTTGCGCTAACCTCAATATTTTCAAATGAGCCTGCCTGAGCGAGCGTCACGCAGTCCCGAGTGCCTATAACGAGCAATTCGAAAAAAAAGGAGGCAGCAGCACGACGAGATGCCTATGAAAAATGGTCCAAAATAAGCTAATCTAGTGAAGCGGGGAAGACGCACCTTATCCGAAATTCTGTTGAAGCTCAATTTTGTGTCCCCCATAGTCTCACCAACGGCATGCTCAAGCTCCCTCCTGAGAAGCCCCAACGCTTTTACAGTGTTCTTGCTATAACCTTTCCCTTCCTGGTCGTCTTTGTCTACTTCCTGAGTTTGTGTTGATTGTCGAACATCAAATATTGATAGAGGGCATGCACTGTCGACAAGCCGGTCATCACCGTCATTGGGGAAGGCTTCATCGACTCCCGGGGTGGAAAGGCGACTTAGATCGCTCAACCCTGCTGACTGATCTCTTCTTTCACCTGAGGCATCGAAGTCAGGGACATGGAGCTGGTAATCATCGACGGCGCTGGGTTGCTCAGCAAACTCAAGATCGCCGTACGGGCCGAGGCTGCCTTGTCTATGGATGTCACTCCCAATGGCTATGCTTGGGGCAAGACTATCGGCTCTACGCCCATGTTCAATTTCGTCCTCCGTTTCGTTGTTTGGGTTTAGTCGAGGACGTTTGGAGGGAGTTTTCTTGGGAGATCCGGCCCGACGTTTCATGGACGAAGTGTGAGCGGGACGCATGAAAAGGTTTGCCAGGTCTGGAGCTAATCCTGGCGGAGCAGCGCAGAAAAATGTCCCATTTGGTGTAACAGCGGTTGGCATGAAATAAGCAAGGGGATCATCACGAATTTCAAGGAGCCGCAGAAGAAGAGACGATTTTGGGAGGAAGCGTTGGTCGGTCACAATATCGGTGACGTCCTTCTTAGTCGGCGGACCGAATACTGTCCCTTTTCCACGTCCAACCTTCCCGCCCAGAGTGTCGTCCAATTCAGTGACAGAATCGATGATTTGTTTTTTTCCCTTGACTTTCCTCTTCACCTTTCCAAGGTCTAAAGTGGGAGGTACGATAGCAGCCAGGTCGACATCTTGACGTGGTGTGTCGGGCAAGTCTGTGAGCGGCGATGCTGTCCATCTGTTAGAAACAAGACATATAAATTGCGGAACAAAACGCACAAGCACGAGACAATGACTTATTCTGACCAGGCAATTTGGAGAGGTCGTTGATACCTGGTTCACCAAAGCCTACTCCTAAATCTTCCAAGTCAACACCACCCATGTCAGGGAACTCGAAATCCATGTCAGTCCTAAAGGGATGCTCAGAAAGGGCTCTGCTCTTGCTCCTGTTAGAGAGGAGATCGACATCGACATCCATGTCCTGTATACCCAAGATATGTGAATCAATGGAATTCCTGCGACCGGCCGCGTCACGTCCAACTCCAACGCTGTCATCCACGCTCGTTCCGTCGTGGTCTTTCTCCCCGCCAATTCGAACCTCGCTATCCCAATCAATTCCAAGGTCCACATCAACGAAGTCTTGCGAACCAATTCCGTCCGAGGGCCCAACGGTGAAAGGATCCCCCAGATCAAACCGTTGGAAGTCATCTACGGTTCGCAGTGTAATGTCATCCACGTGAGCCTGGTGGTGACCCTGTGGGTGGATTGGTCTGTCTTCGAAATCCATTTCCCTTTGAATACGTGAGAGAAGTGTTGATGCTCAAGTATGTAGATTGTTACCAGTTCACGTCAGGGAGAAGAAGATCAAGATCAAGACCGAGACCTTGTAACGTAATGGACGTCTTATTCACAACAAGCTGGTCCTCCGTCATATCAACCATGCCTGGACGGAATGCCTGAATGCTGCTACGTTAATTGCGCAAGATAAGCAGGGTAGTTCGTACCATCTTGATCTTCAATAAGGCCTCATTGCAGTCATCCAGCAGGTACTTGGCTTTCCGACTGTAAATGCGAACAACACCGAGGAGAAGCTGGCCACTGAGACGCAGAGCCATTACTTCAATCTCCTGACCCATAATCGCATCTGTCAAGTTTGGAGATATGAAGCGCGAGAAATATTTCCAAAAGACTCGTACACACCAACAGATTGTTCTATGTCTGTTTGCAATGTTTGGGTCTTGGAGAGTTTACGTTCCATGTGAGCGGCGAGCCATACCTTGCCCAAAGGCCCCCGCCGCGAAAGAATGGTCTCCGAGTAGAACTAAAGAAATAATTTAGTATAATACACAACGCGGCTGCGTGAAAAGTTACCATTTAGGGCAGAACGCGCGTTGGAGAAATGAGAGAGCGGCAGGCAACTTGAACAAGAGTGGAACGCGACTTGTTATGTAATACCTGTGATCATGTGACTGGCAATACATTCCGATCAAGCCTCTTCCTCACGACTATAATAATATATGTTTCCTCTTGTACGACGAAAAATCATTGCTCTTCCCCCTTCCCTTCAAAAACGCTCCTATGTTGTGGCTACGTCGCTTGGAGCCGCAGCGTCTATTCCCCGTCGCTTAGACGCTTCTCTCGGTCACGCCAATCGTGCCAGGTATAACATGCAAATTATGGCAGCATCTGAGGCCCGCCGCCTGGCCGAGTGTCTCGTTATCGCTGCGCAGATGAAGGAAAACCATCTGAAACCGGATATTTCGACATATAACGCTCTTATGAGTGCCGTCTCTCGCGATGGTAATTGGCTCCAAGCGTGGGCCATTCTAGACGACATGTTCCTCGTGGGTGTGAGGCCGACGACCACTACATTTAATCATCTAATATACGTATGATATTGTTTCTTCATATTTTGAAATTGCTCATCTTTGGTTCTCAGGCGCAGCGTCAAAGAAGTTCTGCATATATGTGGAATGTCCTAGATAAAATGGACCAAACTGGGGTTCCCCCGAACGCTGCAACGTGCACTCATATCATCCGTCGTTTTGTCAACGACGAAAATTTGGAAATGGCTCTGCAATACCTCTTTACCATGCAATCCCATGGCCTCGTTCCTGAACTCACCGCCGCTGAACACGTTATTACTCTGGCGGCACAATGTAACCAACCTAGACTAGCTATCGATCTTGTAAATTGGTTCGAGAACATATCTCCTCAACGTGTTGGTCCTAGTGTGTGGATGGCATGCTTAACTTCATCGGCCGAGTGCATGTATGTAAGTTCATGTACCCCCCTGTGTTCAACTCACTCCTCTCACCCTCTCCTCACAGGTCCAGGGCGTCTCTGAATGTTGGAAGGTCGTTCATCACATGAATGTACTCCCTGACGAAGGGCTTTGCGTATCGATTCTTCATACAGCCGCCCGGCGTGGTCGGCCGAACCTTGCAACCGACGTCCTTAGAACCCTGAAAGTCCAGGAAATTCCCTGGAAAGAACACCACTTCGCGTCGCTCGTTGAAGCCTTTACCCGCAATAAACAAATCAAGGAAGCGTTTCTTGCTCTGGGCATGATGCGATCCCACGAAGTCAATCCTATTGACAGCACATCCGCTACGATTTTGGACGCAGTCAAAATTAACGCTGAATCTGTCGACATTGCATGTCTAATCATTGATGAGATATACGAGGAGAAGAAATCAGTTGATCTTGCCGCTTTGAAGGTTCTGATTCAAGCGGCGGTTCATCTTGGAGATCTCCAACGTGCTTTGGGGACCTACAGAAGTCTCCCAGACTACAATGCTGTCCCCGATATATCGATTTTCAACACACTCCTTGATGGATGTATTAAAACCCAGCATCGCCAGGTTGCGGATTCGCTTCTCGTGGACCTGAAAGAAGCGAATTTAAAACCAAATCAGAACACATACGAGAAGATAATATACCTTTGCCTCGCGCCGGAGACCTACGAAGATGCCTTCTTCTATCTTGAAGAGATGAAGGCTGCAGGACATCTACCCCCTTGGAAAGTCTACAAAGCGCTGGCAGAGAAGTGCCGGTTGAATAACGATGCCCGTTTCGACATCATCATAGAAGAAATGAAGGAGTTTGGCTATGACATTGGGTTTTGGCAAATACCAGAGGGAAGAGGACCGGAAGTTCACTGAAGTTCAACTTTCTCAACAGTCTCCTGACGACACTCCGAGCAGTCCCTGCAATGAGACTCCTCGCGAATCGGTCTGTATTTGAAACCGTTCAGTATATTGTCCTGTTAGTACTACGAGGCTTTTGACGTGAGCCGAACCGGCAGCAGATGATTTTACCGCCGCAGTTGAAAATAGATACAATAACCTTTCGCAAGAGCTCGTAAATGACAATTGGGCAATACTTTGGCAAAGACGCACCATGGTAATTCCACTGACAATAACAGTTAAAAGTGCAGCTATAGCACCTATGAGGGCGGTAATTCCGCCCCCAATGGCTGAGAAGACAGAGCCCTGAATAACGTTCTGAGATGGTGAAACGAACGGAAGGAAGCCCATACCATGGAATGTTTCAAGGTCTCAAAATACTTTTTTGTGGAATGGATGGATCCGGGCTTTTAAGTATATTTGGGGTGAGTGACGTCACTCATACAAATCGAACATGACTATGTATGCTACAAGGATGTTCTTACAGCCTCGCTGAGAAAAGCCGGCTACTATTGTTTAATGTACCGCGAGATGAGCAATGGACATTGACTACCATCCTTGAACTTTCCAGAAATGTAAGGACGCGTCAACACACTGAAAATGTATTAGTTTGATATGGAAGAGTGGAATCATCAGACGTACACGTTAGCTTTAATGATCTTTTCGCTGGATGGTTTGAAAACAAATTGAGTAAGGAGAATATAGAGGAACGTCTTCATTTCAATCATGGAAAACCGCATGCCGATACACGACTAAAGGCCTTTAATGTGAACTACAACCAGTGATTAAGGCCATGGATATACGTACCCGAGGTCCAGCGGAAAAAGTAAGGGTGTGGTTGTACAGCCCAGGAAGGCCGAGTGCGCCCTCTGGTAGGTTATCCCACCTGTCTGGACTATTGGAGTGGTTAGAAAAGATCAAGAAACAAGTCAAGGTATTCACTTGAACTCCCATGCATCTTCACCCCAAAACTCTTGGTCTAAATTGAATCCCTCAACGGCTACATGAACAAAACTACCCTTTGATATGGACACAGTTCTTCGGTCTTCGATGACATTACCGTCGTGGCTATGTACTGGATACATTGTTGGGATTTCGTCGTCCTGAGTTGCAACTCTGATAGAAGAGTGTAAAGCCGGTATTACGCGGATAGATTCCCTAATAACGTTATCGAGATATGGTGAGTCGGAAACCTTTGCGTAGACCGATTGAACCTCTTCTTCGGTCAGATCAGAGAAATTTGAGATGGGAGCAATATTTAAAAGTTCGGCACGCAGGCGGTCTTGGGCTGCAGGATGTTGAGCGAGCAGCAGAAGAGTCCAGGTGAGAGTGAGAGAGGAGGTATCAGAGCCGGCGAACATGAAGGTATTAATATTGTTAAGCATGTCTTCATCTGATATGCGGTGATCTGGGGGAAGGTCTTTTGCCATATTCGCTTTTACTGCCCAGATAAATATGAAGTTACAGTGAGTGTGGTCATTGGTTTGGTACATACTTAGTAAACTCAGCAAATCTTTCCCTGCGTATTCAATTCCGGACTTGACACCCTCCTCAATTTTTCGCTTCTTCTCTTGAATCAAATGTCCTGCAACGCGAGTGATGGCCTCTTGACACCGGTTAACTTGACGTACAGTTTCATCTGGCTGGTTTATCGCTGAGTACTTTGATAAAGGTTGTAAAGGAGGCACTCACGAATATTTGATTCATGAAAGGTGCATAAATGCTAATGATAGTCCTCAGTAATCGGCCTTGCGAGATAGCCACTTCAAACATGTCCTTATACGCCCGGAATAGTTCATTAGATTCATCCTGTATAGCATTGAAGTTATAATCGAACCCTATTCGATCGGTGAGAATGTGCAGGGGTACATCGAGGATGATATTTAAAACCAACCTGCAAGGCCGATGACATCAAATGTTGCTCTGTTGATCCAATGGCAAACGTCTACTTTGATTTCAGAATTTTGCGAGGACTCCTCAGCTTGAATGGCCATCTCCATCCACCTGTCCTTGAGTTGAGTTCCTTTCTGAAAAACGAGCGGCACAAGTGCGCGCAAGTTTTGGATTGAAAACGCCGGAGTGGCAACACGGCGGTGGCGCTTGTGGACTTGGCCTTCCGCTCCGAGCATTCCACAACCAATGAGGCTGGTGATTAGTTTGCGGGATTGCCATGGTTTTTCATATATCGTTGAGTTTTTGAGAACGTGGGCGACCGAAAGCGGGTCAAGAGTGAGGAGTCTTTCATCCCACTGTTTTGGAGTTAGCAAATGGTCCAGAGAAAGAGTGGAATGGGCGTACTGGACCAAGGCCTCGTATGCGAATGGATCGACCGTAACGCTTGATATAAACTTGATGCACTTTGGGAGAAATTGAGGGGCTACAAGGTGTATGACGGTTAGAAGAACTAATAAGGTGGGTTGGGCGTACTCAAGAACGGCGTGGAGATTGTTTGCGAACCAATGGCGAACCTTTGGTCCTGCAATGGAACGCAACGGGTCAAAATGCGGGGCAATTACAAGTTTGTAGACAAGATAGACGAGAAGAAAGGCGACGGCGAGAAGAGCATTGTGAAATAAAGTATGCATGGAATAAAGGGAGAATGGGCAGGCAAGGGCCCACTAGACTTGGGGCTACCATTATATTGTTGAAGAAACAATAAAGCAACCACGTGACCTAGTCAATATATTTCTACACACATCTCTGCTACCAGCTTGTTAAATACAGCGGGATAAAGATATCTTGGCGGAAGGGGAAACTCGCCCAGGTCCATCGAACTCGAACTAGATTCCACCGTCGTTGCGAGGCTCATCAAGCTTGGCCCTGTGATCATTAGCGACGGTATCGCCGTGGAGCATTCCCCTGTCACCTCGCCTTGTCTCTTCCGCCCTTTACAACGCACAAGGATTCCCCTTTTTACTTCCAGGCTCAGCGCTCGCGCCAGCTGTACTTCATACACCGACTCTGACGTGTCTTCATCGGTTTCGTCTGGGTCTTCTCCGTCGTTTCGTATGTGGCTTAAGGAGGTCGACGACGACGACCTTGAGAAGCACCCAAATGAAATCATATCTATCGCTTCTATCGATGATGTTTGCTCCGTGGAATCAGACGCATCGGACCCTTGACGTCGTCGATTCTGGTTGTCCTGATAGTACTCGACTTCATGTTGAGATTCAACTTCTGGAAATTGATTGTTTTCCGTTTCATCTACGAGTCTATCGCGAAGGGCGATTTTCAGCGCGAGCGCAATATCCGCTTCCTCTTCCTCCATGCGGTCCCTAAAGTCTCCTCCGATGACGGTTTGGTCACGTGTCGACAACTCTGAACTATTGCAATGTAGTGGAATCCCTGGTGCGATTGTTGAAGAGTCTGAATAGCCCTCATTGACCCATTCGTCCGACGCTTCTGCAGCAGGGAACACAAATTGGGCTTTCACCCCATCAACACATCCGAATTCCTCTTCCGACATTTCTTTGACGTGCTGCGCAGATCGTGGTCGTGTTCTGAAGCTCAGTAGACCAAAGCTGGGAAGGAGTCCTTTATACCAGTTGGTTCGCGTCACGGTCATTGCAACTATTCCCAGAGTGGCGCTAAGAATCGCGAGGGTGATAAGGACCACGATGGCAGGGCTGACAGCAGGGTCACTGCGAGGCAGGTTAGCGATCTGAGCGATGGCTCGTTGCTCATTGGGGGCTGGAAGCATGCTGGGGCGAGGAGACGAGATGAAAGGCGCATATTGTGAGTACGGGTCTGGCTCCACGAGTTTAACCTTGAATCCTGTTGAGCGGTGACGGCGAGTTACGAAGAGTTTGGTTGGCCTCACGTCACAGGCTCCCGAGCTTGGATGAGGGAAATTCTGGGACGTTACAATCGGAGGCATGGGGGAAGAAGCTAATTTATTTAATGGTCACGAAGAAGAATGGAGTAAATAGTAACACGATTAGTGGCTGACAGTCTATGTATAATAATACGCGATTGACAACAAAAATAATATACACATTCCATCCACCCAGGTATTTCAATCGATAGAGAATCCCTTCTGAGGATTAGTGAAGATATGTTGAATGGTCTCGAGTTCATCGTGCAACTTCTTGTGCTCAGCTGCTACACTGGCGAGCTCTTCCTGATCCATCAACTCAACATCTCCATCCGAATCTGTGATGGACCCGGTGCTTAATTCGTTATTTTTGAGCAGGCTATCGATCTTTCCTTTCTGGGCGTACAACTTCTGAAACGTCCCCAGGTATTCGAGATAGGAAGCATTGTACCTCGCCCGGAGAGAGGCACGATCAGTAGGCAGCGGTCGTGGAGCGACGGCTCGAGGTCGAGAATGTGCAGTGGATGAAGCTTGATGTGCTGAGGATGAGTGACAATGTGAATTGGATGATGACGACGTGGGTAATGGCTTCGGAGGCGCAGCACTGCGGCTTGGTCGAGACTCGGTTGCTTCATCTTCAGAGGATGTGTAGATGGGTGACCGTCGACGGGGTTTGGCACCTGTGTTTGACTTGCTCGGCTTCGAGGAGGCGGTATATGCTGGAGCTTGAGGTTTGGAAGAGGATGATGCCGTAGGTACCTTTTCTGGTGAGCGTATTGCTGCTTTGGGGGCCAACGGCGATGGGTATTTCCGCATTTTTAATATTGAGGGGGGTAACGGAGATGACTCTTTCTGGGTCACCTTTTGTCGTGGTTTTTCTAAATTAGAAGGACGTGAGTGACCATCCTTCCCGTCGACGTTGCTGACGGCGGGAAGTGCGCCTGATTCGGTTTTACGCCTTTTCTGAGGAGCCCCGCCTGCGTGTTCCTGGTGATCGCGGCTAATTTTCTTGCGCTTGAGAGGAATGCTATCCTCTGAATGCTCTCCTTCCTCCACGTCCTTTCGGTGCACCCTCGATCTTTCCAAACCTCGCTCGCGTCGTCTTTCCCGATCGGTGTCGGATGCTATGGCCTCGTCACGAATTGCCTTGACCTTTTGTGCTGATACGCCAACTACTGGTTTAGCTTCTACGGCTGTTTTCGTGGCAGTACCCCCAACTGCTGGACGAGGGTTTGAGGGTTTGGGGCTGGCGGGAAGGGAAGGCCCCGTTGATGATTTGAAGCCAGACCCAGGAAGCTTCCGCGAAGCAGCTATGAGTGCTTCATTCGTCATCAAAGATTTTCCACTACTTGGGTGGGTCGACCCTCCCGCCTTGACATTCGATTGACTCTTTGATGCCTTCAGGCTCTCGTCTTTCATCATAATCTCGGAGTCTAACTTGGGTTTGGCCTTCTTCTCTTTGCCGTCGCGAGTGGACGCTCCACGTTTCGGACCATCTGTTTTGTTCTGCTTCTCGCTCATGGATGCCGTGGCTGAGCCAGAAGATGAGGTAGAGGGAACATTAGTGGTGAAATTAGATGCCGTGCTTCGATAGCGGACACGGTTCCAAGTGGGGTCACTCTCAGGGATACCAAGACTCTTGAAGGCGAACCTTGCAGCCCTGGCCATATTAGTCCTTTCTGTATCTGTTAACATCGAGGCCTCATACGGTCGCACTTCTGTCCAATATGCCGTCTTTAGACGGTAGAGCTTGATAGAATGTTCAGGGCTACTCTTGGGGGTGGAAGAGGGCTCTGCTACCTAAACCAAGAGCTGGGTAAAGGTGGGGTTACTCAGAGAGGGCATTGCCACATACTTCAGCTAAAATGTTGCAGACTGCAGCACGTAAAGATGGTTTACCAACCAATCCTACGAGTTGGTCCTCTGTTCGTTCACCCATCGCTAGCCAATGGATTATATGATTCCGTAATTTGGATGAACCCTCCTTGGGAACATGTACAGGGGCGGGTGAAGGTCGATTAGTGGAGGGTTGTATCGTCTTTGGCTTATCCGCTGCACGTACGGGTTTCCGAAACATAGGGGCGTCCTTGCGCTTTTTGGTATTGGAAACATCGGGAGGGGTTTCAAGGAGGATGGTGGTGCGACCAGAGCGTTGATTGGCAGCATCGATGGTGCTTTCACGAACCTTGTCTCGGACACTGTCTCCAAGCTCCCGCTCTACGATAAACTTGCCAACAACGCTGGCATAAAGCTTGAGAGGAGGCATCTTCTTTGCAGCTGAAGAAGCGCGCAAATATAGGTCATGTGGCAGTTCTTCTTGTTGAGGCCTCATTGGAAAGAACGTGTCTCCGATGTATATTCCCTGAAAACATAATGAGTGATGAGGAATGAGCGGAGTAAGATGGAGGACAGACTGGGGTGTTTCCAAAGTCAAAGTGCATTTGTGGTTGGTTTGGAAAGGATTCAAGTGCATCAAGAGTCTCTAATGACATCCTGACGATCATCGCACGCTTTGAGCTGGATTGTATTGGGTCACCTGGACGTGAATGGCTGAGGATGGGGAGGATTGCATTCGCTGGGAGAGGCATGACGGCAACGAGCTGAGAGCAACACTCAGGGTGTTATTGTGATGTTTACGTTTATTGTACAATAGCTTCCGGATCGCACGTTCCGGGAAACCGCTTATCATTCTCAATTGATTCTCAAGTTCTTCTACCCCTTTCTCTGCACGTTCGTATGCATGAAGTCGAATTCATCCCTCGTGCGCATTTCTTGTGCTCACGTTCTCTCCCGTTCTCGCTATCGTCTGAGCTTGTAGCATGGCGACTACAAAACCATCGTCTACTTTTGCTTCTTGCCATTTCGTTCCCCCCAGCCAGCAATGGGAACGATGGTGAACCTTAACAGGTGGCGTAATCTCCCTCATGTTCTTAAGTTCTACTAACTCCTCATTGACGCCCTTCAGCGTGTTTGCTCCCGTTCTTGTCATTCCTAACCCTACCACCATGCTAGCTATCTCGCTCGCCGCTCTTGGAGTCACCTTCATTCTCTGGCGCATGTTCCTTCCACAGCTCAAGTTTATCTGGCACTGTTTCTTTCGTCCCCTCGGCACTGACAACCAAAAGGCCAGGTTGGACAAGGTATGTTTTCATCGTCCCCTTCTTCATCCTTATCTGATCCCACAATCAGTTTTACAGGGGACAAGCCGAGGTTTATGATACTACCCGAAGCGTTCTTCTCCGAGGGCGAAACACCATGTTGAGCATTTCTGCAGCTCATTTACGCCAATTGCGTTCTTCTTCTCCAAAGAAACGCCTTGTCTGGGTCGACATCGGTGGTGGCACAGGCTACAATATTGAACTCATGGATAAATACATTCCCATCTCGTCTTTTGATGCCATATACTTGGTGGATCTCTGCGATTCGTTGCTGGACGTTGCTCGCAAGCGGTTTGCCGAAAAGGGTTGGACCAACGTCATTGTTCTGTGTCAGGATGCCAGCGAGTTTACCCTTCCCGAGTGGTCGCAGAACACCGATCCCAAGGGCAGCGTCAGCCTTGTAACGATGAGCTATTCCTTATCAATGGTATTTTCTTGTCATTTTCTCCCTTGAACTCGCTGCAATTTACCTCTAGATCCCAAGCTACTACGCTGTTCTCGATCGAATTGAACACGTCCTCTCACCCCAGGACGGGTTATTTGGAGTGGTCGACTTCTACACCGCTGGAAGGCTTCCTTCCCCCCATGAAAAGGCAATCGGGGGAATCAGCAGGGAGTGTGGCTGGATTTCGAGGTGGTTCTGGCAGATCTGGTTTGATTTTGATCATGTAGGTTTCAGTGAACATTCACCACGCCTCATCTAATCCTTCCTTGTCAGGTACATCTCGGTCCCGCAAGGCGCTCATATCTAGAGTACAAATTTGGGACGGTGAGCCTTTTTTTCAACATCCAACCTGTTTTCGGAACCTGATTTGTCTTTCTGTAGGTGAAGAATTATAACGGAAGGAATCGGTTCTTCTTGCCATTTGTCGTTCGCATGTAAGTCGTATTCTCAATGGTTTCCTCTTGGAGGCTGACTTCCCAAAGTCCATATTACATTTGGTTAGGGAGACCTCGAGCCTGTGATGTCACGCGTTTCTGTCATGCATTTGAGGTGGAAGGCGGGAACACCATCGGCAATTGTTCACCAGTTCCCTTCAAAATAGTCAAAGAGGCGGAATCGGTTCCCCCGCTTGATATTGGTGATTCCATCGCAGACGTTTCGTCTGACATGATCAAGGCAGAGAATGTCATCAATATAACAGCTCCCTTGAGCTCTTTCCATTACCAAGTTAAGAATGTAAGCACTCTCACCCTTATGACCTGATCAATCTCAAACACATCCCCTGCAACAGCCATGGCGCCTGCCTTACTACGAACAACCCGTGCACAAAGAATTCCGGACGTTCATCTATTCTTTCACCTGGGAGGATCCTTTTGAAGATATGAAAGTGCTGGATCTTACTTCAGAGGATTCGATGCTGGTCATCACATCCGCGGGAGATAATGCTCTACACTATGCTATCGAAGCTGGACCAAAGCGGGTGAGCATTATCTGCAAAGTGTTGAAACGAACTTCTTTGAAAATGAGTCTTTAGATACATTGCGTTGACATGAATCCATGGTTCGATCTTATTCCTTCTCCCTTCGCTTCACGACTCATGTCTATCCAGTCAAGGTCATCTGTTAGAATTGAAGCTGGCCGCCATCCAATCCCTGACACATGACGAGTTTTTTTCGATGTTTGGTAAAGGACGTCATTCAAATTTCCGGGCCCTCCTTGATTCCCGAATCTCTCCTCAATTGTCGTCTTCCGCCTACCAATTCTGGAGGGTGAACGATGATGCCTTCTCATCCTCGTTTTACATGCACGGATACAGCGGACTGGCATTGCGGCTTGCGAAGATCATCTTCAGATTGGCAGGGGTCACCAAAGACGTCCAGGCGCTTTGTGATTGCGATACTCTTGAGGACCAGGCTAGAATCTGGCGGGAGAAACTCAGACCTGTGTTACTCAACCCTATCGTTGTTGCCTTACTCAAGAGCCCCGTGTTTTGCTGGAATGCCCTTGGCGTGCCTCTAAACCAACGTAACATGATCTTGGAGGAAGGCACGTTCTATGACTATGTGGCCAACACTTTAGATCCTCTTGCAACGACATATCTTTTCAAGACTGGTTCCTACTTTTATCTTCTGGTATGTTTATTCTCTTCCCCACCGTCTGTCGCCGTCTCAAATATCATAAAGACGCTTCTGGGCCACTACACCCCTGCTTCATGCCCACGTTATCTGACTCCATCTGGGTTCGATGCCCTGAAAAAGAACGACGGCAAAGCATTGGACGCATTCCGCCTACACACCGACGCTATCGTCAAGTGAGCATTGTTGCAAGCAATCACGGGGGAATAAAATGCTGATTTCGATACAGTGTCCTACGAGGTCTTTCGAAATGGTCTTTAACACGGGCCCTCGTAATGGATCATATTGATTGGTTCTCCCCCGGTTCTGTTGATGTTGACGAGGAAGTCCGAGAGCTCCATCGCGTGGTAGCCCCTGGTGGCCTCGTTTTCTGGCGCTCAGCTTCCAAAGAACCTTGGTATAACAAAGTGTAAGCTGTCGGACATTTCTATATGCATCGTTCAAAGTCTCAAGTTTGTTTTCAGGTTTGAGAAAACGGGGTTCAAAGTGTCTGCAGTCGCAGTCAGGCAAGGTTCAGAAGCCATTGACCGAGTCAATATGTGTGTATTCAACTAGCCATTAGGGTGGTGACACTCAATATTTGCTTCAGGTATCGCTCTTTCTGGAGAGCAGAACGACTATAACGAATAGATTCTACTAGCTGCAATAGTGCACCTTAGAGTTAGAATTACGACGATTACGAGACATATATCGGAAATAAACGGATTTGTGAGGTTCTAAGCTCTTAGGTGTTCCTCCAGATATGTGGCAAACTTGTGGGCAATGCTGTTTTCTTCCCAATCCACTGCACCTTTTTCAGTTGTTCCAAGAGTGATTGCTTTTTTGTGCACTGTGATGAACTGTCTTTTGCAACGCTGGAGTTCAGATAGTGTGATATGGCGTGATGGAAGAGTAAGCTGAAACTTGATCGATCCAGGGAGTGTCAGTGACACCAGTGTCTCCGATTGTGAAACGGACCTTTCTGCCAGTATGGCAGAAACCATGGATGCTGTGATTTGTTCTAGAACGTGTAGGGCGTCTGTAGGAGCTTTCGCCACCTTGAACGGCACCGAACAAGTTGGGTTACAAAGGAAGAATGGGAAAGGTATGAACGCACGTTAAGAGTCCCCGAGTTTGGAGGCTTGATATTGCCCGAAGTGACCGCCTCCCATATTTGAGGCCCAGGGATGTCGGTGTCCTCCCACATTACAGTCAGCATGGGAGAGTCCCATCGGACCATAGAAGACGGCTCTTCGTATCTCATGATGAGATTATCAATGCTATTCCAAAACTGTCAGAAAAGACGCGGTCGAACGCAAAACGAAAGCGACTGACGTATCGGGGTCGTAAGCATGGCCATCCCCTCGTTTGGAATTCCATTCACGACACAGGTCTGGAGTGGCGACGACGTAGACCTACTTTGTCAGGAATGTCGGAGGTCGGATTGCCACAAAAACGGGGAGGGATAAAAGTACGCACCGTACAGACCCGTAGCTTCATTTCCCTCGCCGCACAATACACTTGGTATCGAAAACCCTTTATGTAGTTGAGGGAATCAACGATCAGAAGTGTGTCTCGGGCGATGAGTCTTTGAATTGCAGTAAACAAAGCACCACGGGCAGCCTTCTCTGATTTACTATCTGCAACGAAGGCGGTTAGTTGTCAGAAAGGTCGTGAGCGGTAGAAGTGACCATTGTAAGCAGCTCGCGGAATTTCCAGTGATTCGTCAGAAAGGAGAACGACTTTGAGATTGGGACCTTGGTATTCTGGGTCTTGTAGCTTTATTTCCAGGAAATTAAAGATCTGATTCGCTCTTGTCGTTTTCCCTGACGATGGGTAGCCAGATATTGTGATGAGGGCCATTGAGTACACTTTTGAGATTCCGCCGAAAACCTTATTGCTCGAAATGGTAAAACGTCACATGACCTGGGGAAACACGACGCGAAACAAACAAATGATCTTTCTGCCACCAGCTCTCAAACTCCCCCGCCAATGTCGCAAGCCCTGCAACTCAAGACCACTCCGGCGTTGGTATCACAAACGGAAATACCGCCCCGACCACACAAAGCACACCCAGCGAGGGCACGAAGGTGAGCCCAACAACGACAAGTGCCCGGCGCCGACAGTACAATGAAAGCCGCCAACGGTGAAGCACAAGCAAGCCACGGCCTACGAGCATGACACCACTTAGGCATGGCCCCATCCGCACGAGCCCGACGCCAACGACAAACATCCCTCGGGTGGATTTCAGGGCGGGGGAATATCCAAGCGACCCACGACACGGAGCTTCGCTCCTCACATCATCGCTCATCTGCAAGCGCCTGACGCAACTCTCATCCGCGCGAGTCCCACACCAACGACAAACATACGGGGTAGATTTCAGGGCGGGATGCAGATGGCGGGGCGCGAAACGACACCTCCAGGTGGGCGCGATTATTAGTTGCCACTGATTACTTACCCACTGTCCCAAAAGGTGTATTAGTATCAATATATACGGCTTTGCTTTAGTTGGCATCATAGAACTTAGGGTGCATTTACTATATATTCTGTCCATTGAGCAATTCCCTCCTGAAATGCAAAACCAAGGACTTAGTAACTTCCGCGAGTTCGCGACCGCGCCTTGTTTCCGGCATCACATGATATCGCTCCTTTTTAAGAATAAGGTTTTCGGCGGAAAGTGAACAACTCATTGAGTAACGATAGTAACGTGCTGCTAGGGTGTGACAGGCGTGACAACTGTCCTCATCGTTGCTCTCGTCGCTGACACGCTGTCCTCCTTCTCTGGCTCCCCAACATCGGCGGCATTCACGCGACTAACGCCTTCAACGACGCCCATTTCAATGCTCTTGGTCGCTACGCTCTAGCAGCTAGACCTCTGCTCACATCACGACCCACTGTACCCGCTCTTGTTCGCCTTCCAACACATTACCTCGCTCAGCGGCAGCAACTCACACGTTTAGTGGAGGCAATACCGCTCCACCCTCAAGTTATTTTCTGCCATCTCGACCACCGAAAACGCGTCCCCACTTGCCTATGCTCGCGACTATGGCTGCTTCACAACACGATCATGTCCCACTTCGCGAGCATTCTCATCTGGACCTCCAGCGAAACGGTCATGACAGACATGGCGACAGTTTGGGGTTGGAGGACAGATTGTGTCCTGGTTGTAAAAAGTCTGCTGTAAATGAACAGGGAGGATTGGTTGTTGCCTTCGGGTGAGTTCGTACTTGATTTAACTTCTGGTTCTTCAGGGCTGTGCCATTTGAGCATTCAGAATATCTTTCCCCCACCCTTTCATTACTACTATCAGAAAGCTAACCCCATAAGTCTCTCAGACAATCCTTCTTTCACGTCGATTGTTTCAAGTGTGCTAAATGCCGCAACCAAGTCACCGCCGATACAAATCTTCTTCTTCTTTCTGATGGATCGCCAATCTGCGCAAATTGCTCATATTGTTGTAACGTATGCCATCTCCCCATACTTGATGAGGCCATTATGGCTGGCGACGACTCCTACCATGCCTATTGCTTCAAATGCAAAGTGTGCAAGAATCGCATCGACGAGCTCGTATTTGCTAAGACGAGCCAGGGGATTTATTGCATGAGTTGTCATAGTGAACGAATGATCAAAATCCGCAAACACACACAGAAGAAAGCTGAGAGGGAGAAAGCAAATGGAGGAAGTGGGTCGTCAAAATCTCGGGAGCGAGACGGAAAGAATCATCATAGGGAAAACGGGGTGAGCCGATTGTATTTCTTTTCCCCGCCTCGTCTCACTTTTAGCTTAGGGCTCGTCGCCCGGCCATGACCGTATCAAATTCAACGGATTGCAAACGCCAAGCCCCTTCCCAACACCCTCTCGCCACCCGGATGCCTCGCGTACCCCTTCCAAACCAAGAAATCCGACGTATGTTAGCGATGCCTTTGATCCTGTCAACCCTCCTCGTATCCATACTCCGTCGGCGCAACAGGGCACGTCGTTGACTTCACCGTCCTTGCCCTCTAATCCTGTATCTGTCAATGTGATGGCGCCATCAGATTCTGACCGTCGAATTCAGAGCGGTGCGTTCAGTAGACCCGAGTTGGATGTTGGAAATCCCGTGAAACAGAGTACCTTGCCTATCCCGCAGACTTCAAGTGAGGTGGATCCTCGACGCAGAAGCAGCTACGATGATGGAGTTCGGCCCCTGAACATTCTTTTCAAGCAAAGTCCACCTAGCAACTCCAACCTTGCGCCAGAGCGATCACTCTCTCACTCGTCATCATCTGACACGCTCACTGTCACTTCCCGCCGTGACAAACGACGTTCGATCAATCCTGGTCTCACACTTTCTCCATTTCCTGATACTACGATCCCTTCAAGTACCCTCTCTCCACGTTCCGAGTCTTTCAGCAATCAACAAACAATCGCCCATTCACCAACATCTCCCCGTTTAAACACCTTTGACATAGCCTTACGGAAGGAATCAATAGATCTACGCCGTCATGACCGTCCCAACTCCCACAGCAGTTCTATCCACAGTTCGCGGTCTCTCTCCACTTCGACTGAAGAAGGTTACAATCCTCGCTCGCCGTCCCCATCCATCCACACATTCGATTACGATCAAAACCCCGACGATACTATCGTAATCAAGTCGCCAACCGATGTACATTTTGAAGCAAGTACGCCCAACCCTGGTGGACCACAAGGGGACCGCATATCTGCAAGCCTCAGTCCTTCAGATTTGAATGGATCCCGCTATCAACGGCATACGTCATATACGCCCAGCGTAGGTGTCGACAAGCGGCGCTCCCGTTCGCCATCACCTGCGCATCGAGCCGATGTGCCTCACAGCGTTGAGAGTGGAACTGATACAGAACCGGAAGGTGAACAAATTTCCGGTTCAGGTCGCGATACTCTGCCTCCACTGCCTCCACCCAAAGATGCATCTGGCCCCTCTGTGGAACAAGTTGGACTTACGCAGGCAGATGCTGACGGGTCTTATCTGGATATTGATGAGTTAACGGGGTCGTCTCCTGTTGAACACACCTCACACGCAACTTACATTGCCCCTGCGCTTCCTCCCATCCGGTTTTCAATGAACACAGCAGACTTCTCAGAGCTACTCAATTCCGTTGGTGGCTTGCCGCCTTTAAAGTCGTTGGATAACCTTGCGAGGCTCACTAAAAAGCCTACCAGCAATATTCCATCTACTCCACCCCCATCTGCCGCCTTAACTTCTACGACAACTTTTACTCCTTCGAATGGCAGCACCGGTTTTCCACGCGATTCGGCTCCCAATAACATGGATGACGTTCTTCAGGCACCCAGCATTAGAGAAAGTTCCCCTTCAGAATGGGACACGCCCAGTACCGATAGTGCAACTTTACAAACTTCAACAAGTTTGATGGCGAGACAGAGTTCCACCGATATGATCTTTCAGCGCTTACGAGAGACCGTGGAAGATGCAAAAAGTCGCGAGATTCAGCAGTTGAAGCTGGAGCGTGTATTCGTGGAAGCTATCGTGGAAGCTCTTGAATCGAGAGGTGCTGAGCACGCTCAAATGAAAGCCAGATTTGATGGCATGAAGGTTTGCAGGTTTTTACATCTCTCTCGCCGTATCACTCATAAATGCCTGAAACAGAGAACCAGTCGGCAATATATCGAAGGTCTTACTGTTGCACAAACAGAATACGACAGGGAACTGAAGGCAAGACGTGACGCAGAAGCTGAGGTCACGCGATTAAGAGTGCTCCTGTCAGGACAGGCTGCCCGTCTGACAGCATTGTCAGGAGATTCTCGACGACAGGAAGTACGACAACAGATATCCAAAGAATTAAATGATAGCTTGTCTGGATTAGAGCAAAATCTATCTCGTTTGAAAGTGGAACGTGACGTGACTCTGGCAGAAGTCGAAGAGTTATCCGCAACTAAAAGGTGAGCAACCCTTTTTCATTAATTTCTATCTTAACATCCTCTTTATTATCAGCTCCAATAACGCCTCTCCCGATGTAGGAACTGTTGCATTGGGCCGTTCATTGACGAAGCGTTTGGATAATATCCGGAATCAATATCAAAAGGATCTCATACCATTGACTCAACAGCGAGAGACGTTAACCCGAGAGATAGCCGAGCTCAAGGCTGTTAGAGACGTCTTCCTGGAAGAAACTTCGGTTCTCAATGCACGCAATGAAGAATTAGCACAACTCAGCGCTGTGTATACGCGCCGAATGGATACGGTCCATGAAAGCCCCTTGAAAGATGATGATAATTCAAATCGCGCCTCATTCGACAAATCTCGTGGCCAGTTCCAGTCAACAACACCCCTAGCGCCCTCTCTTAGCTCTTCAACAAGTGGATCCTCTACAGTTTATGACGAGACCATCGACCCCAGGTTCTTCAGAGCTCCGAAGACGGATGTTGATTTGCACACCCCAGCTAAAGGTAAATTCATGAAATGGCCAGGTTCCAAGGTCAAAGATGTAGTTTCTCCAAGCCCTGGAACGGAAACCAGCAAAGGAAAGGCTCATCTTGAGCACAATTTCCAGCAGCTTAGTGTTTTGCGCTTTACGCGATGCGATCATTGTGGCGACAAAATGTGGGGATCTCAACTCCGCTGCACCAGTAAGCTCCCTTCTAACTCTTCAAGCTTCTGAATCATGATTCAATTGTCACCTCTCAGTCTGTTCAACTTCTATCCATGTTCGCTGCATTGCGAACGTCCACATTCCTTGTACGCAACAACTCCATAACATCAGGGAGGAACCCCAGCATATACGTATGTTTTTTGTGTTGTTTTCTTCGTCTGGTGCTGATAACTTCCATTGTCTTTGCAGCCCCGTCTATGTTCGGACGTGATCTTGTTGAGCAAGTTCGTGCCGACTCGAAGGATGAGGACCGTCAGATTCCTGTCATCGTTGAGAAATGCATTGACGCCGTGGAAGCCATTGGTATGTTATGCGAATCACACTGAATTGATCTCAGCCTTACCTCTCATCAGCTTTGGATTATGAGGGCATTTACCGCAAGACTGGTGGTTCAGGGCAATCAAAGGCGATCACGCAGCTGTTTGAGCGAGGGGATTATTCTTCATTCAATCTCCGCGACACAGATCGCTTCAACGACATCTGCAGCGTTACGTCTGTCTTGAAAACCTATTTTCGATCTCTACCCGTCCCTCTTCTTACGTTTGATCTTCATGATCAGTTTGTGTCCGCGGTGGCGATTAAAGATCTGGCATTGAAGCAAAAGTCCTTGCTAGAGTTGGTAAATCAGCTGCCGGACGAACATTACTACACTCTTCGTCACCTCATGTTGCATCTTCACCGGTGAGCATGCTGCTTCGCTCTCCGCACATTTTGCTGACCACTTTCAAGTGTCCGGGAATGCTGCGAAAAAAATTTGATGACTGCCAGAAACCTCGGCGTCGTTTTTGGTCGTTGAGTCCTTTTTCTTTTCGCTGTCATTCGGGATGCTCATTTTTATCCTAGCGACACTAATGAGATCGAGAGACCCTGGCGCCGAGTTCAGTGATATGGCGGGTAAAGCCCTTTTTATAGAGTGGCTAATCGAGAATGCGCCCCAGGCCTTCAATGAAAACAACCTCAGCTAATGTTGTTGACCTCTTAGAGTCATAGATTGACTTCTTCCTGTTCTTCTTCTCACATGCATCCACTTATCATTATGGGATTCGCTTACTTTATCTCGACCCTTGGATACCCTTCTCTTCCTCTGACGGATGTAACTTAGATGGACAATACTACAATCAGATATACCTGGTTGACGTGGCATATGGTTCGCCTATGTTCCCTGCTCTCTAGATTTCCGTGGCTTCTGCGATACGTCTGACTTCAACGTGCAATAGAGGAAGTGGCGGCGGGGCCCAGTAGCAGCACCAGCGACAGCTGCCGCTGAAACGCGGGCACCGAGGGGTGCTGTATCGGCGCCATTTCCTCGCATGCCTAGAGAGAACATTCTGTCAAAAACTAGAAGAGGTATTAGTAGTGGGTAATAGATGTGTCGCCTTGACGTACGAGTAGCGGTAAAGGCCTTGGCACTAGCTTGGCAAGCAGTCTGAGTGAGTGAAAGGGGAGGGCTAACCCCTTCCAACATGCGAAGATAACGGAATACCATAGAAGGCTGCGGCGGGCCTTTGCAAATCGTTAACGATAATTTGCGCCAAAGCTAAGAGATATTTACCAAAACGAAAAACGGAGTGGTATGCTTGTCTCCACTTTTCCTCGAGCTGACGAGCACAGATTAAAGAGTCTGGACAGGTCGGACACTAAAGGATCAAACGATAGTCAAAGACGACCAATTCTTTCATGTTTCAAAGGGACAGAGCATACGCATTGATATTCCTTTGCGACCAAGGTCAAACCAAGTTTCAACACCCGCTCCAGAAACCAGTTCCGCCTTGTATGTTTCATCAAATGCTGTAGTCGGGAATGAAGAAAGACCTACCTTTTTTCTAATTTTAACAGTGTTTCCTGGCTAAGGGTGCTGAGCTCTTGCTCCGCCCACCCTCCGGGGTTATCAAGAACAAAACGACTGGATTCACGATATAACTCTTCCTCTTCGAAGAGTTCAGCAATTCGCATGGCCTTTATAGGCCTCCCAGCAGCGTGTGTAAGAAGAAACGTGAGGCATTCTTTTTGCAAAGAGGGCACGCAAAGCTTGTGTGAGATGTTCATGAGGCTCTCAACGTTATTCCAGGCAATCGTGCACTCTAAGCTGATGGGATTATGAGACTTTGAAAACTAAGGAGAAAGCAAAAGCTTACTGTGGGTACACAAATTTGAGAAAATCGTGAAAGGTGCTCGCCTAAGTCGACTAATCATCATAGATATTGGGAGATTCTTCAAGAATAAGCCCACCTTTTCTTCTTTGAGGACAACAACCGCGTCCGGACCATTCTTTACGCGTCGCCGCACAGTGGCTTGGGCTGGAGGAAGTTTCTTTATTATGTGATTATCATCGGGATGACTACTTGAAGAAGTGCCCTGTAACTTGGCCAGGCTGCTATTCCTGGCTTGCGCTTTGGCTTGCTCCGTTGTTGCTTCAAGATCACTGTTTTCGCCATCACTTTTAACATCTGGTGCGGCTTCCAGGTCTTCGGCATCTGGATCCATAGGGGCAAAGGTCATCTCGGTAGGGACTTCAGGGACCGATTTACCCCCTGGTATGGATGGCGGTTGCGATATTGTGATGACAGAAGACATGGACGGTGGTCGACCAGTCTCGGACCAATTTCCGCTCAAAGCAGCTTCAAAAAAGGGGGATGCAAAGAAAAGGACCTCCTTGTGCGCCCTAGAAAAAGGAAGTGTGGCTCATTATGCGAACTGACGCGAATTGACCGAACCAAAAGGTAGTGCTCTCAACAACAATCTTGACGGTCCCCGGAAATCTATTGTGCTTTGCAAAGGTATCGTCGATTTCAATGGCTTCGTCGTCAGAATCGGTGCTCAGTTCCGAAACGATATCATCTGCCTCGCACTCTTCGAGAAGCCAAGGTGGCGAGCCAGAAGAGCGAAAGATGCCAGACGCTGCTGCATGTGTCTCCGTAGGAGAGCTCAACGATGCTGCTGGGTTGTTGAGGCCACGAGAGTTACGGGCAATGAGGATATGAGAAGGGTTTGTGGACATGGTGAAAGGTTAAAAATATGTTATCATTATATTTATTCTACTTCAATTCAAAACTTGCAAATGCAAGGTCATATCCTCCAAAGCCATAGTTGATCTTGTCCGTCCTTTTGTAGACCTGTGCATTTCTACCCTGATCACCAGGGCACCCCGTAAGGGCCGCTTTAAATGCCCTTTGTGCCCTTTCAACTGCGCTCTCTCCATCAGCATCATTGTCCTCGCTGGATATGAACAAGGTCAAGGTTATGCGACTGGGCTCGAATATGCTGACGACACGCTTGACAAGGGACTGTAGGTCTGGAATCGCTTCCTCGCTGGCTTTCGTCGGCCGTAGTGAAAGTGGTATGTTGCACTCGAAGCTCGCGTACGACCAACCCTCCTCTGGGGTGACGTGAATGGTATAATAACCTTCACCCCCTTGCGATTCACTTCCATCTATAGTTGCATCGCAGCCTATGTTTTGGAGGTCCTCTTCCCATTTTATAAGGGCATTCGAAGAGTACCCGCAGGGGTTGAAACTGAACGCATCAAGCGTTGTTAGGTGAGGGGGAAATATGCCAGAAATTCCGAGCCTCTTAGAAAGGAGTTGAGCATGTGAAGGGGAGTCTACGAGATCGTTGGCAGGTGAAAAGAAGGGTTGGCGGGCGTCATGTGAGAGGCCGCTCATGAGAATTTCAATGGTATAATCGGAATGTTTGCCTTCCGCTTTATGCGGAGCATCTTCGGGAGAATGAGGATGGGGGGTATCACCGGATGGCTGCTCCATTATATAGAGCAGCCAATGGTCGCCATTTACCTTTCCGATGGTGTAGGCGGCCCCGTTCGTAAAAATGTTGTCAAGATACTGGACTTCTTCCTTCCAATCGCGGTGGGGACCCGACTGGCGTTCAGGGAACATGAACGATTTTCGAGAATAAAAGCATCGATCAACGGAGGGAAGATTGGCGTGATTGGCGGCGATTTCCAGAATCCTAGGCAGACCAAGAAGGTTGAGCGTTGTACCGCAAGTTTTGAGGATTAGACGATGAGGAAAAACGAAAAAAGAGGATTCGCTAGGATGAATTAAGTGGTAGTCAAAGTAAATTTAGATGGAAAGCACCACCTTAATAAGTAAGCGTCCATTTCCGAACCATGTACGACGCTGAGGACTTTGCATTGAACAATGTCGAGCATGTCTTCCCATAGCTGGCGATGGACATGACGAAGGTTACCAGCTGAAGGGGTGAACCATATTTCAAGAAGTTTTTCTGGGCCCTCGAAGGGGGCCTGATAATCTTCTGTGGACATGGATGTCGATAGGATACATTTTCCAATCAGGAAACGGTTTTGAAGATAAGATTTTTATGACCACCGGCTATCGCCGTGACATGTTTATGTAAATTGCTGTAAATGTAATAATTTAACCACCTAACACCAAAAGTATTGACATGGTCCGTCTGTCCGCCTTTCGAGCTTTTATTCCTCGCGCAACCGCTCCTTTGCTGCCAACTTCATCCTTGCGCTTGACCTCAAAACCACTTCGCTCGACCCCCAAATCACTTTGTTCGACAAGTTCCCGCTTTTGCCCAAAATTTCCCGCTCGATTTACGTCAACAACAACGTCAAACCCCCAATCCAACCTTCCCCCGGATGCCACTCTTTCCCAGCGCCTTAAACACCTCATTAAATCTTATGGATGGTACGCCTTGGGTGTCTATCTAGTGTTGTCGGCTCTCGACTTTGGCGTTGCTTTTGTGGGCGTCAACCTTTTGGGCGCAGAATACGTTTCTCATGCTGTCGCCAGCATCAAATCATTTGTCTTCGACTTCCTTCCCACCAGGCCAGCTGAGCCAGGCTTGGACGAGATAGATAATATTCATCCACCGCAAGCACAAAGTGGACAGGAGGGCTTCTATGCTATACTCGTTTTGGCATACACCATTCACAAGACACTCTTCCTCCCAGTTCGTGTCGGCCTGACAGCCGCAGTTACACCTAGACTGGTAGGCTGGCTGGGTCGAAGGGGCTGGGCGGGCAGCGCAGGGACACAGCGTGTGGCCGATGAAGTGAGAGAAAAGTTGAGAAGGGGTCGAGGTCCCCCTAGTCTCTGATTACTTTTTATCAAAATTAAAATGCTCACAAAGTTGAGCATTCTATGAGGAATCTTTTTGGATTAATATACTCAGTAATACCGCCCTCGCCATTGAGCGTGCAAGTTATGCCACGACAGTCAGAAATTGAGTGCATACTTCATCAGACCAGTCGCGTTTTGAGGTTCGAAAAATTTACATATCCCTGTTGGATGTTGCGAATAATTCAACGATTGCAGTGGGAACGCGTCTTTTATATATATATCATCGCTTTTTATGTTTCTTTGACTTTTTAAACTCCATCTCGCTCTCCCCGTCTTTCCGTTTCTTTTTCTTCTCTGGTTTCTCCTGGTCCTCCTTCGCCTTGCGCTTAGCCTCCCGCAGGGCCGCTTGGTCGGCTTGTTTACCCAGCATCGTGAATGTATCTTCGTCGCTGTCGTCGTCTATGCCATCATCTAGCTCAGACTTCTCCTCGACAACATCCTCCTCCACTTCCGAATGTATTTCTTTCTTCGATTGAGGGCGAATGGTATGTTCTGGAGAAAATGGGTCGGGCTGGATTGATCCAAGTAAGGAGAGCATTTCGTTTGCCACTGTTAATCTGTGCACATGATAAATTGGTTTCTTTTAGAAAGGTAAAGACAACGCACCCAACAACGGTGAACTCCAAAAACCCGTCCTTGTTTCCTATTCGATGTCCAGTAATTCGGCGAACCCACTTTCCTCCACCATCATTGTTCTGCTTCTTTGTCATATTGTCTGCTACCATTTCATCGTTGTTTTCCTGTGCGCCTTGGCCATACTCGGGGTCGTTCTCGGCAGGACCATACTCGAAATCCCATTCATCGGCTGGTATATGATGTCGGGGTATTGAGACGTTGAAGGTGCGGTGTACGAGAAGAGAAATGTGGTCGGGTGAGCACAAGTTCACCTTGCCAACTAATAGATTGTCGCACGTCAGAAAGCGTAGTTCGTAAAAATAAGAGGCAAACTCGCCTAGTTTCATTCCAACACGGGGACTCCACACAGTCGCGTCAAAACTGACGCTGCACACTAAAAATGGGCAATCCATTTTAATGATGGCATTTTGATCTTGAAATTTAAGATTCGAGTGCGCCAGTACAACGCCCTGAAACGCAGGGATATACCTGGCGTTTGCTGAGTTATGGCGTAGCCGGTAATAATATCGCCGCACTGACCTCATGACCATGGAATCAAGCATTTCTTCTGCTCCAATTCTCGGGTTAGCGGCAAACGTAGGTGGAATGGAGAGAATGAGCGATGCGCTGGCGACATGGAATTCGCAATCGGTGTCGTCAGTGCTGTCTGATTTTCTTCGTTTTTTTGTAGAGATATTCGGTCCTGCGCCGTCAGGAGACTTGCGCTTTTTCAACGATGACTTGGATGAGGACGCGTAAAGCTGGGTAGAATCCATTGTCGTGCGCTGCAAGAAGGTGTACACTGCACAGTGACTTTTTTTGCAGTTCTCGTCACGTGCGGTACTCGTCCTTGCTTCCAGCCCCTTGCAATATGGTCAGTTCCAAGCTTTCTCATTCAAAATATCCTTGAATGTGACTTATTCCAACCCAACGTAACAGGCTTCCCCGCGAGTCATCGTCCAAATATTCATTTCAGGCTCCAGGGCTGTAGGAAAAGCATTTTTGGAAGCAGGGAGACAGGCGGTGAAAAGTTCGTCTCCAACAACCACTCAAACTCGTCTGTTAACATATCCACAGACGCTAAGACCTCACCGCAGGGAGTGTTGGGAAATGATGTCGCTGGCGTCGGTAATGCGAACTCTGGCTCTGCAACAGACCATCTTACGCGCCAGCACCGCATGACACTCGATGAGGCGCACTTAATTTTGAATGTGAAGCGTGAAACCCCTATGGAGCAGATTATGAAGGTGCGTTTATTCTTACTTTTGACCTAGTTGTCTCGACCTAACTTCTTTTACAACGCAGAATTACGAGCATTTATACAAAAGTAACGCACCACATCCTAAACCAGACAAGCCTGTGCCAAAAAAACAGGCATTGCCTTCACACTCACACTACCTGCAATCCAAAGTTGTCCGCGCTCGAGAACGAATAGAGGCTCAGCTGAAGACAACGGAAGCTCAATCAGAGGCAGAGTTGGCAGGTGGTGTCAAGAACGAAGCAAGTACTTCGCCGCCACCTCCCGAGTCGCAGTAGGACATATTAATGGGCAGGGGACAATTAGAAGTAATGTATTCACTAATTAATCAACTACCCCCACTCCTTTCACGAACCTGGAGCTGGTTTCTTGCGGCCACAGGCAAAGGAACAGGACAATACATTGCCGAATTGTAAGCAACACTTTGATTTCTCTAAAGCTGAAATCAAGGGATTTCCAGAATGCGGCCAACCTATCTAGTTACTCGAGTACAGAGTACTTCTTCAAATGTTCTGGAATAGCGTTCTCCAAGCCCTTGCTTACGAGCCACTTTTTCGAGAATAGCCTGCTCTGATATCGATATGCTCCATCACAGAGTATTGTTGCGATTCTGGAACCTGCCAATGGAATGGGAATCATTATTGTCGCCTTGCGTGGAGCGTAGCGCGTACCTTTTCCCAATCTCTGGGCGAGTTCTACGGCAGCGACGACATTCAGGGCAGAGCTTGCGCCGAGGTAGAGCCCTTCTGTATCCAGCAGCTCATATACCATCTCAATTGACTTTTCATCGGGAACTGTAAATGCGCCCGACAACTCGTTCACAAACGTTCCAAGGTTATCCGTGATGCGCCCCTGACCAATACCTAGAAAAAGGAAGTTGGATTGTTTGCTTTGCTGTAGAGCACCCAGCACACACACCTTCTGTGATGGAGCTGCCTGATCTCTCAACCAGTTTACCGCCACTCGTGATATAACTTGTGAGAACACTCCCGGGAGGGTCGGCTAGCCATATTTGTGTCTTGCCTCCGCTTTTCTCCTTGAGGTACTTCCCAACGCCAGCCAGTGTTCCACCAGTTCCAGTCGCACAAACAAAGCCATCCAACTGCCCTTGTGTCTGCTCCCAGATTTCAGGGCCCGTGGATGTGTAGTGAGCATCTGCATTGGCAACGTTGTCGAACTGGTCTGTCCAAATGGCATTCGAAAGACCCTCCGCATATTCTTGAGCTTGATGATTATAGTTTTTTGGATTCTCAAACGCAACGGCTGGGACGGGCCGCACATCAGCACCGAGCATACGAAGGAGATCGATTTTCTCTTGACTCTGGGATGGGATATGAGAACAAGGAGTAGTTCTTCGGTGTTGTGCACTACCTGAGTATCGGGCATGTAAATTACACATTTGTAGCCTTTTGCTCGACAGACGTGGGCGAGGCCAATGCCAGTATTTCCTGCTGTGCCTTCGACAACTGTACCTCCAGGTTTGATTCTAGCAGCGCAACGAATGTTATTCCGGGGATACCTGATGGGAAAACGGGGACGTACAAGCCTTTGTTCTCTGCGTCTCGAATGAGTCCAAGTGCGGCGCGATCTTTGACACTTCCTCCAGGATTTTGAAATTCAGCCTTTCCGAATATTTGAGCTCCAGTACGTTCAGAAAGATGCTTTAGATAAATCTATAGGTAAGGAGACGTTGAGGATTGAATCTGATGGGCAGAGGGTAGGGCGCACTAAAGGAGTATTTCCAATGGCGCCATTGAATCCATCGACGGCGGCGTTGGTAGCAAAAGTCCTAGTCGCACTCAGACGCAGAGCTGAGAACATGGGTGTGGCGGATAAAAGATGTGTCCTGCAGGCTGTGGCATGATTTTATTGACGAAAACAAAATTTTGTACCTGGTCCAAGTAGAGCACGACATTTCTTATATAAGCAGCGTCAATCTGAAGTTAAAGCCAATCATCCATTAGAGCAAATATTAAGAATCACCGTAGAGATATCTACTACTGAGAGACGGAGAGGGTGTATATGGTTGATGGTTTAGGACGTGCTGGACATGGGTAAAAAATGTCCGTTCGTACGTGTTCGTGCTTGGCCATGAGTAGTAGACAAGGGTATTTAGAGAGGGGGAATTGTATGCACAACAGGATATCCCATAAGAGTGGAAAGGGTCAGAAAAGCCAGGAAAAGTGTAAAAGAAGATATCAAAATTAAAGAAATGAGCAATCATGGCTGGCGCTTCTTGACGTTTTGCGAAAGCCATTGGAGACCCTCAAACAGACCTTCACCTGTGGTGGCGCAACTTGAAAAGAGTTTATTCAGCCGCAGACAAAACGGGGGAAGCAATATGTCCATACCTCGGATGCACATACCACGAGCGGTCCCTCATTCTGTGCAAACCAAGTTTTTCTGTCACTTCCGCTGGTGACATTGCTAATGGCGTGGTCAATAAAGAGCTGTGAAGAACAAGTTGGGTACACACCTCCTGGAAGATCCTGCTTGTTCGCAAAAACAAGGAGCAAGCATTCCTTCATCTCTCGATCGCTCAAGATTCGATGCAGCTCTTGCTTGGCTTCGTCAATACGTTCCCGGTCTTGGCTGTCGACCACAAAAACGAGGCCTTGTGTTCCGGTATAATAGTGCCGCCATAGAGGTCTGATCTTATCTTGACCTCCGACATCCCAGACGTTGAACTTGACATTCTTATAGGTCACCGTTTCCACGTTGAAACCAACTGGAGTTGGGAACGTCAGGCACTTGTATTTGACAGAGATAGGGAAGACGCACCGGTTGGAATAGTAGTAACAGATTGATTCAGCTTGAGTTTGTAAAGAATAGCTGGTGGGACGTGGAGGTCAGTAAGGCAAGCAAGAACGAGTTGACCCAACTGACTAGTTTTCCCGGCAGCGTCAAGCCCCAACATTAACAACCTCATTTCCTTGTTCCCAAAAATCTTCCCTAGAAGGGGTGAGCGACGTGATGGAAACGAGTGTTGAGAAGGAGCGTACCCAGCGCCTTCGAAAGATTAGCCCCCATGGTGGTGAATAGTCAGTGTCGACTGATAGGTAAAGAACGACGAAGGGCGGGATGGCTGCCGCAGCGAGAGCAAAGAAAAAGTCAGAAAAAAAACCAAAGTTTCTGGCGCAAGTTCAGCGCACGTCTGGTAGTGAGGAAGAAACACAACCAGTCACACTGTGACCAAGATAGCAAACAGTCACACAACTCCTAAGTAAGATAGTAGATACGCACAGAACTAAATACGAGGTTCATGATATATCGCAAGGTATCACAGATATCACCAGTTAAATCATATATCTCACCGAACATCCCCAGCTATATCCCTCTTCATCTGGCTCTGGCTAAATACCTTCAACCACCCATCCCCCATGTCTTGTTTCAGCGCCTCAATCCGCCGTCGATACGCCTCCCCGTTGCCCTTCATGCCCTCCTCATCCGACGCGGAAGACGGGGCTTCGTAAATCGAAGCGCTCACACGCGTCCGTCGCTTCCCAGACATTGTTGCTCCCCGACTCTTCCTCAGCGAAGATGGCGTCAAAGGTGCGTCTGCCATTACTGCACCCGTACCAAACTCGGAAGGTGGTGAGATGTCTGTTTGGTACCGGCTGTGACGCGGACGACGCGGACTTCTTCCCTCAAAGTCTATCGAGGCCATCTTTGTTGATTTATCTTGTGATGGTGATGTTATATCCTCGGGAGCAATGCCACCTTGGTCAGTCACTTCAGAAGTGTGGGATTCCTCTCGTCGCATCTTCGCCTGACGTTTTTCAACGCGTGACTCTTCAGAACGCATCCTTGAGTGAGATGGCGCTCGCGAGCCAGAATCACTCCGGCTATCTTCAAAATCGACAATACGTTTCAGCTGCTTTCGCCGCGGCTTTCCGCTGACGCTCACAGCGGTTACAGGTGCAAGATGGGGCGAAGGATTTGATGAAGGCGGCGTTGGTAGTGTGGGTGGAGAGGGATGATCTGAACGGTTGGCATGGACATGAGCATGGCCTACGGAGACGACGGGGGGCGAATGGGCAATCAAGGGTGCGCGATTCGAAGACATTTGCTCAGGGGGAGAAACGGTGAGGTTTCGTCTTTCATAGAACCCTGGTGGTGTTCCATCAAGGGTGATGGTCTTTCCTTCTTTCCAGAAGTGGTCAAAACAACTTATTCTGTATGCCTCCTCGATTTCCACAAATGGGTTCCCTTCCACCCAAACATCAGTAATATTGGGGAGAGTGGCTAACCTTCCGACTTCTGAGCTTTCGTCAATAAGGTTTGACCGCAAATCCACCCGTTCCAGTGCATGCAGGCGTTCCAAGCCACAAAGGGACTCGAGACGATTGTGAGAGAGATTGAGAGAAAGAACTTGTCCCAAGTTCAAATAAATACCCAGAACGGAATCGATCATGTTGTCGGAAAGGTTCAGAGAGGTTAGGTTGTAGAGAGCACTGAGACTGGGAGGAACGGACACAAAAAGATTGGAGGAGAGATCAAGGTGGGTCAATGATGTTAGATAGGCAAGCGGATCAGCGGGAAGAAATGTGAGGGAATTGTCGGATAGGGAAAGATGTTTGAGAAAAGCCCATTTCAAACTGGATAGCTGAGTATGGGGTGTAGGGGACGATGAGCCGCTTTCGGGGTGGGTTTCGGTACCGCGCTCACCATCCTCTTCCTCAACAACCGTTTCTGGAAGAGGGGTGCAATGTAGGGGAGACTGACACCACTTGGGTATCCTTCTTTTCCGTTTTCGGCTGGTGCTCCCCGCTCTCCTCGCCTGATCATCAAGAACAGCCCCAACCAGGACATCTGAAATATCTTCCAAGCCACTCTTCTTGATTCTCAAACTTCTCAACGACTCTGCCAAACGATCCCATCCCAAAAGTGTGCGTGGATCGATATCCGTGCACTCCAAGCTTTGAAGATTCTTAAAGGCATCCAGAGGAAGAGCATTCTGGCCAGGAGGGTCGTTGACCAACTCGTCAATGATGTGCTTGCCAGGGGCACATATTGATAGAGCTGGAAGTTTAGTGATGCTGCTGTAGATATATTTCAGCTCGGCGTCGACAGTTGGGAGGGGACCTCGCGACCACCAGCCCCCTCCGAGGGACAGGCGTGATACGACTGACAGGGACGACCGAAAGGAGGCAAGGGAGAGTGTATCCGATTTGTCCTTTCCTGGAAAGACCTCGACGTAACTCATCGGTCTAGAGGGACTTTCTATGTGAACATCCAAGGTGCCCACATCATACTCCGAAGCTTCAAGCCGCATCAAGACGTAGAACAGATGGTGTGTGTCGGTGGAAAATACAAGGGGCTTTGAAACCGAGCTGAGGTTTGTACCGAATGCAAACCAGCCCAGAGGGTTCAGTAAGGACGTGGCTCCTGGAGATACGGGAGGGGGATGAGCTCTACGGCGTCGAGTGACGCCTGCTTCGGCCAAACTCTTCTCGTTGGTTCGAATGAAAGTGGCCAGACGACGCAGGTACTCGTCGCCTGGCTCTCTGTCCAAAAGGGGGGCAGGATTCATAGTGGTAGCGTAGCTGAAGAGATTCCGGCCTCGAGGCTCTGGGTTAGTTGGATGTGCACGATGCAAGAAAGTAGCATTCAATACAAGAAATTCGATAGCAAGTAAATGAAAGCAATGAGGAGCAGCAATTTATTATTCGATTATTTTCCAACTCATCCTTATGTAATTTGTAATCTTCGTACTCTCCTCCGCCCATCCACGATGAAGATCACAATCAAGACGACCCAACAAAAGGTCTTTCAGGTGAGCCCAGCGCTGTCGGTGACCGATCCTTATTCTCATCATTTATTAGATAGAGATCGATACATCAGATACTATCGCTGTCTTGAAGGACAAGATTCAGGAATCACAGGGTCATCCTACAGCAGCTCAGAAGATAATATATTCGGGTTGGTCCATTCAATTCTCTGCTGATCTCCTATTAATCCAAAATCAAGGGAAAATCCTATCCAATGATAAGACTATAGATTCATGTGGCATCAAAGAAAAGGACTTCCTCGTCCTCATGGTCTCAAAAGTTGGCACCTTTTCGCCCCTTTGTTACTATTACATGAACCATCTGTATCTCAGCCCAAACCAACACCAGCTGCCACCGCTTCGACAAGTTCAGCCCCTCAAGATGTTCAGATGGATACATCTCCCCCTGCTCCCCCCGCTGCTCCCCCTTCAAGTTCCACCCCCGCTCCCGTATTGGTTTCGGACACAACCTCAGTAACTCAACCAACCACTCCAGCAGCCACTCCAGCAGCAACCGCGCCACCAGCCGTAGCACCCGCCTTTGGTGACATGAGCACCTTTTTGTCTGGCGAAGCACTCCAATCCGCTATCACTAATATGACGGAAATGGGCTTTCCTCGTGATCAGGTATTGAGGGCGATGCGAGCTAGCTATAACAACGCAGACCGAGCTGTCGAATATTTAATGACTGTACGTTTTGTCGCAGGTTGCCTCACGAAGTCTACTAACGGGCTGCTAGGGGATTCCCGCCCATTTGGAGGCGGAGGCTGCTGGCCCAACTCCACCGACTGCGGCTCCAGCAACTCAACCTGCCGCTGCTGCCCCAATCTCAGCAAACGTACCACCTCCAAATCAGCCTCAAAACTTGTTTCAGGCTAGTCACGGGTTCCCTTGCTGATATATGATTGAATTCTGATAATTCGCGATTAGCTGGCCCAGCAGCAACAGCAAGCGGGCGGTGTTGGTCCTGCTGCTGCCGGCGGTGCCGCTGGCGCCCCTCAGAATCCTGTTCACTTGAATTTGGAGGCCTTACGCGACAATCCTCAAATACAACAACTGCGGCAGCAACTGGCTGACGACCCTCAAATGGCACAGCCTTTGATTCAGCAACTCGCGATGCAGAATCCGGCCATGGCCCAAATGCTTGCCCAGAACCCTGATGCCCTTGCACAGTTGCTTGGAGTAGAACTCGACGAAGAGGTCCCCCCTGGTGCACACGTTGTTAGTGTTACTGCAGAGGAAAGAGATGCAATCGAACGGGTGTGTGGCTTTTTCTTTTCTTTTCTTTTAGTTATGATAGTTGACATTTTTTTTGCAGCTGGAAGCGCTTGGGTTTCCTCGTCAGGCGGTGCTAGAGGCCTACTTTGCCTGTGATAAGAATGAAGAACTCGCTGCGAATTATTTGTTTGAAGGTGGATTCGATGCAGATTGAACGATTCCCGATGACCGAGCTGTAATGATGCCACATGAAATATAATTGCATTCTGACAATGTCGTCCGAGGCTGAGAGAAGAGCGGGTATATTCTGTGTTACATGGATTCTTCAAGGCTAGAATCCGAGTGGATATTTAGATTAACAAGAGGAACTCGAGCAATTCGTGTCAAGTTTGTTCGAGGTTTGTCAGTGATTGGGACGGTAACCGACTTGTACATATCGAGTTCGTTTTGCAGGTTCTCGTTCTCAGCTGCAAGAGCGTCTTGATCTCGAGTCAGCATGGCAATGTTCTATGACGGTGTGAGGGGTGAAATGATATACAAAGCAAAGACATTACATGTTTCGCCTCTGCCAATTCTGTTCGTATTCGATCTATATACATGATTCGCTGTGCAGGGTTATTGTGACCCAAAATTTGGGCATTGAATTTGCTGAGCGTCGTTGCCTCTTCCTCTGCAATTTGGTTTCGAGCCAAGAGGGAACCTACTTCGTCTGCAAGAGCGTAGTAGGCTTGTTGGTAATGTTGTGCCTCGGTTAATTCCGTGGTGAGCCTAGGGAAAGATGAGATCGAAGAAATAATGAAGAGTCAAATGAAAGGGTACTCGTTAATCTCGGCACGCAGGGCGTCTTCAGCCATGCGAGATTTTTGAACGGTGATGGTCAACCTGTGAACGGAATCCTTTTCCTTGTTTAGAAGGACGGCGTGGGCAGAGGCGCTTTCCTGGGATTCTCGCTTGACGTCTGCCAGTTGCTGCTCTAGAACGGCAACAGACGATTGGAGAGATTTATTATTGGCTGTAGCATCAGCGAGTTGCACCTCAAGGGTGACCTGATCTTGTTGGGCCTGCTCTAATTCTGCAGCGATAGAGGCATGGTGTTCAAAGGTTGGATTAACCTCTTCCAGGCGGTTGTTGTATGTGGATGAAAGATATTGATAATAAGATGATATCAGGGGATAGTCGATATCTGGAGGAGGAGGATTGTCGAGGCAGGCGTGATAAAAGTCAAACTCGCGTTCAGCGTCATGAAGCTGGTGATTGAGAAGAGTATTTTGCTCTTTGAGTTGCCTAATGAGATGAGCAAGTTCTATGACCTGTGCTTCAGAGTTTGCGAGTTTTCGTTGAAGACGAAATAGTTGGAGTGACAATGACATTTGAGTTGTTGTTGTGTCACGTTGTTGTTCTTCCTCTTGCTACCTACCACTTGCAATGTCTCCTGGCAATGGTGTTGCAAATGGCATCGCTGCAACTGCTGCTGTTACGACTGCTCCCTCTGACACTACTACCGCCAATACTCCTCCTGCCACCGACGAGCCCACCACGCCTCCTACTACGCCCAAGCCCTCCTTCTTCTCAAAACTCTTGCATATTCTCGTTCCATGCATCTCTTCTTCTCCAGCCATTGAAATAGATCTTCCTCATGCCTCAAAGTCCTCTCTCACTCAAAACGAAAAGCCTGCCGTCACACCGCCTATTATCTCCAATCCTCCTCCTCTCCTCATTCCTACCATAGAATCCCCTCCTCCCGCAGAATCTACAACTGTAGAAACACCCATTATATCACCCCCCATTCAAATCTTGCCGGATGAAGAAACCCATGGCATGACCTCTGGTGCAGTCCAGCCCCCAGGCTCTACAGATGGTTCAACTTCCGTCCAAAAACAAAACCTTTCCACAGAGGAAGAAGAGTCGGAGGGTACTAGTTTCACAGAGGACGACGATCAAGACCTTCATGTCGACGAGGAGGATGAAGAGGATAAACTCATCCTCAATGGTGGCGCTGGTATACCCATCGGTCCTGTAAGTTCCCCTTTACTTGCCAATTTCTCAATCTTATCTTTTTTTCTCTCTCGTAGGATGGCATTCCAAAACCTCTTTTACCCCCCATATCCCCACAACACGCAGGTCGAAAATGCCTCGTCCTGGATCTCGACGAGACCCTCGTGCATAGCAGTTTCAAGGTATGACTGTTCTGTGCGCCTCCCCTCCTTCTCATCCCTTTTACAGTCAATACAACAAGCAGATTACGTCGTACCCGTCGAAATCGAATACCATTGGCACAACGTTTACGTCATCAAACGCCCAGGTGTTGACAATTTTCTCAAAAAAATGGGTGAAATATACGAGGTCGTCGTGTTTACTGCTAGTTTAAGCAAGGTTGCTCCTATTTTTAAAAAAAAAAAAACAAACTCTCCATTGACGTCCCCTCAAGTACGCAGATCCCGTGTTGGACAAACTGGATATTCATCAAGTAGTCTCTCATCGACTTTTCAGAGAGAGCTGCTACAACCACAAAGGAAATTATGTCAAGGTGGGTTGACGCCATCTTTATATATTTTTCATCTCTTACGCCCCATGCAGGATTTGTCACAGCTGGGCCGGCCCATATCCGACACCATCATCCTCGACAACTCTCCCGCTTCATACATCTTTCACCCAAACAATGCTGTCCCTGTCTCTTCGTGGTTCAACGATCCTCACGACACAGAGTTGACAGATTTAGTTCCCTTTTTGGCGGACTTGAGCACGGTTGACGATGTTCGCGGTGTTCTCGATGGTGCTCGGTAGTTTTTCTCCACTTTTTTTTCTTTTCTTTTACTTTTTTTGGTATATACACACCTTTAATATACCCCCACCCGCCGATTACCCCCCGGATCACGCTTTACTCGACAGGAGGACTCCACATTCATTCTATCTGCTCGTTTGCAATTTTGTAGCATTCTCGTACTTACGACTTCATGACTATACGCCCACAATGCAATCATATATTGGACACGTGCAATTTACAAAAAAACTCCCTTGAATTTACATATTCTCTAACTGCCCACTCGGCTCCTCGTCGTCCCAGGGGCTGAAATTCACCTTGCGCATGCGAGGTAGGGCCTGTAACCACGACGGAATCATCTTTCCCATCTCCTGTGCAGGGGGATGGGGCAATAATGCGTGTGAATGAGACGGGGAAGAGGAAATGCTTCCCACATCACTCAGGCTAGGCAGACGTTCAAAACTCGTATTCGTGGATCCGCCCAACGCCCGTTGAAGAGCCTCACGCTCTTCAGGCAAAGGAGCGAATGCCCGTAACAATGAGCTACTTGTGGATGCCGTCATCGCAGATATCCCAAGACCATTTGGATTCAGGGCGTCGTAAGTGGACGACCCGCCAATGACGCCAGGCGAAGATTTCCTGGAAAGGCTAAACTCTTTGGCGTCTGGATTCAACCCTCTCTTCGCCTTCCCCATGAATGGCCAACGTCGACACCTGTCGTCCAGGTTTTCGTCATCAAGCGATTTCAACCAAGGACTGCGTTGCATTTCGAATGGATTGCCAATCGAGGTCGGGGACGACGTGTACGATGTGTTTCCGCGCCAATCTCTATCCAAGAACGCGTCCGTGTCTGATTGAAATGACCTGGAAGAGTTGTCGCTCTGGTCTGCAGGAGCAAAAAAACCTTGTGGATTGATAGGTCCGAGGGCGACGTCTGCAAATGGGCTGCGCTGTAGAGAATATAGCGGCGATGTGCGATTGAACGTTTGGAGGCAGTTGTCGTCACAGGGACTGGATGGTGTCGTTATATTCCCAGTTGACAGGCACTGTCCGACAACCATAGTGGAGCCATTCACAGCATCGTGATCAGGCAGGTAGGACACAAGTCGTGGATCAGAACAAAGTTGGTCAGACGTGTTAAGCGAAAGCGAGAGGTCCTGTTTGCGAAAGTCGGCCATTTCCTTTAGATTCCTCAATCTCTCTTTCTCCTTCAAAAGTTTCTCCTCTAATTCACGGGATCTCTGGTTCAGAGCAGAAACCACGTCTTCAGTGACCTTGATCTCCTGCCTCTTCTGCTCGAGGGCTTCCGCAATTTCAAGTGCCGTGTTGGATATGGTGGTCTTGTGAGTTTGAAGAAAATCCCGGTCCTCTCGAAGACGAAGACCAAGGTCACCAATTTCCTTGTCCAGGTAATCCATGCGCTGATTCGCACCGTCATGCACACTTTGAACCATCCTAAGCTTCTTTTCCGCTTCCCTTTTTAGTGATTCTGCGCTACGTTTCGAATCGTCTAAACTCTTCGTGCGGGATTTGATTTCAAGTCGAGCCAAATCTTCCTGTCGTTTTCTCTCACGACAAGCATCTACTTCAGTTTGAAGATGATGATGAGACTGGGAAGCAGCAGTTTGGCACTCGCTAAGTTGAGAACGAAGCTCTAAAACAGATGACTTGACACTGGATATTTGGCGAAGAACTTCTGCAATGACAGGGGATTGCTCAAATGCAGCAGAAGACGAGCGAGACGGGAGGGAGGGGCCTATTCGCATTGAGTCGACTGGAGATGGCTGAGCATGAGAATGGGGTGTTCCTTGACCGAGATAATCGCACGACCGTTCGATTGACGCTAACGGTAATCGCGTGGTATGCAAAGGTAACGATGCTGTCTTTGGAAGGGGCGGTGGAGTAGAACTGCGAGCTGGCGTGGCAGTCGACCTTTGCGTAGGCCGTTCCCGATTCCTAAGCCTGGGCGGAGATCCTCTGGTCAAATGAGGAGGAAGATTCTTTGTAGAGTACGTAGATCCTGAACGAGACGTTGGTCATAGTCCATAGATCATGGGGAGGGTGCAACCTACCATTAAAGTCCTGAAACATATCAAGACTTTTCATGCTGAGGATACCCGAGCTCCAGCTCTCCTCGTCCTTGGATCGGGCAATAACGTCCTGATACCAATTTTCCAGTACACCTCCTCGCCACCATTTACCAAATGCCCCGATATACCAAGAATCCGATATCATCCGCCCATCACGATCATCACTTGCACCCGCTTCAGAAAGAGGGACCATGGCAGCGATGGTAAAAACGGCGAAACTGTGGAAAACGTGCTTCGGGGTTCGGAGCGACACGGACGCGCGATTTGCAAAGTGAAAAGATGAAGATTTGTTGGCGGCATGGCCGCTTGGAGTTGTGCGCATCTTGGGTGGGGATCGGGTAGTGAAGTCGTCTTGCGCTACTTGATCATCATCGACGTGATCGTCCAAACGACTGAGATGGTGACGAAAAGATTGTTCAGTGAGATAGGCTCGAAAAGAGTTTTCCGATGGATTTGTTAGATATGCTGTGGATAAAAGTAAAGTGGGCAACAAGCGACAAAGAAAGTCGGAAAAAGGACGCACCAAGGATAAGAGATATAATGCAAAATACGACAAGGCAGAACATAGTTCTGATGTCGCTCTTGCCCAAGACCATGCCTACCACCTCTGCAAAAGGATTGCGGAGGGACACGAGACCCAGGGTTCCAATTGAGAAGCTCATGGCAAGGAAAATAAAATCCCTCAAGGACGGGTTTGCAAGGATGGAGGTAGGAAAAGGGCTGCGGGGTTGGGCCGACAGTGTTGAAACGGGACGACGATAAAGCGTCCCAAGAAAAGAAACGTAGAGAGAAAAAAAAGAGAGAGCGAACGAGGGCGATGACGGGGTAAAACTGATTTTTTCAACAGATCCGAGAGCGCATCTGTCAACGAGATCAACGACTAAGGATGTTGCGGAGGATGAGGAGAACGGTGAGCAAGCGAGGACAAGAGTCTGCGAGAAATTCGCGAGAGTTCTTCACAGAGTTTGATTGTTAAAAACAATTCAACTTTATTGTCAACTATTATGTAATCATCTATGATAACTTGCCCTTTGCACGCAACACAATATCCTCGTATTCGGTCCGTGTCGGCCATGGATACTTACCCAGCATTCCTTTGTTATTTATTCCCCCAAGCAGCAAGCCAACGCTATCCACTCCTGAATTTTTGTTGGTCTGCAGAAAGCTTGGCCCCTCCCACACCTTTGCATCATGTTGTACGGGATCACAACGTGCTCGATCCACGCGACCCTTTGAGCCAAAAAGCTGCAAGTCCGTTTGCGCATCATCTTCGTCCAACACTTTAACGACACGCGTTGTCTGCTTCTCTTCGTTCATTTCCGGTTTCGGCAAACTTTTCTTGGAATAAGTTCGCTTGAATGCGACTTTTTTATGAAGTCTAAGTTTATCGAATCGCTCTGGAGATGATTGGTCACCGTCATACACTTCGTCCTGACTGGACAACTCTGGTGCCAAATCATTAGTTCGCTGATTCTCGGGCTCTTCCTCATCTTCTGGGTAGTATTTTGATCCTTTTTGAGGTTGAGATTGTGATTGCGATTGCGAAAGGGGTATGGACTGTGAGGCTGTCACTGAAGTATCAGAGTTGGGAACCAGGACAAGGGGCGGTCCATCTCCATGAATGACAGACTTGGGCAATGGCAGCGGTACCCTACGCTGCACTTCGCGTTGCAAAAAAGGAGACGCACGGGTATTTGCGTTCCTCGCCGACAGTAAACTTTCATCAACGGGGAGTGATGAAAAGGGTACTGGAGAAGACTGCGGGGCGGGCGATGGTCTTGCTCGCTGAGCTGGGGTGGGCGCAGGGATGCTAGATGGGACGTCAATCAAACCGCTTGTTGCTGATGTCTTTGACTCCAAAGGGTTATCTTCATCGTGACGAGCCGGTGAACTGTTCACAGGATTCGGAGTTGGACTCCAGCTACTTATGGGAGTAGCAGAGCGCGATCGGGTTCCCTTGCTAGCCCCACTCTTTGACGTCCCGCCAAGCAACAAGGGAGGTTCATCTACAAGTGAAATGGTTAAAGATGATAACAGCATGAAGAGAATGTACTTGCGGCGTGTTTTTCTCCCCGGTGTTCTCATAGGCGATGAAGTCGAGATTACAGGCGCGCTGGGGAGGTCACCATGAACTAGCCATCATGAGGTTTACGCGCAATCAATGACAGCTGAGCTTACTAGGGAGATCGTTGAGTATAAGCCTGATTTCCTTTGGTGGGCCTCTCAACTTTTGGACATGCGTCAATTGAGCGTAGAACTTCTCTCCAAAAATAAGTGCACTTACACGGTGCAGTTGCTTTTCACTTTCTACTAGAACGGGTTTTCGCGTTTGTTGAATCGGATTCGATTGGGAGACAGGGGGTTGCTTTTGGAGGTCTTGTGGGTCTGCATCCACTTTGCTTTCAGATGCAACCTGTTCTAGTTTTCGTTTCCTATCTCGTAGGATGTTTCTAGTGGAAAAGAATGAGTTGAACACACACGGAAGTATAATGTTGCAACCTACGCGCCGCCGCCATCCTTCCTCAGCTCACTGGACCACAACCGGAGATCAGAATTGGTTTCAATTTCCTTGGGATTCCCAAAGCAAGCCTCTCCGCAGGCTCCAAGGACGGAAACTTGACGACATTCCAGGACTAGAGATGAATTCAAACTCATCCCCAAGTTATTCCCTTTAGGAACTCTGGTAAAAATCGGCTTGAAGTTCTTAACGGTGACAATCATGGGGCTGATTTCTGTGAAGCGTCGACGACGTTGCCTTGATCGCGGTGGCTTCAGAGAGCTTGCTCACTGACAAAGTGCTAACAGACATACCGCTCGCATTCATCGACGGCATCTATTGTAAACTTGACAGGAAGTTTGTAAGACGCGTCAGATAGTTCTGCCCAAATTGCAGTCTTTGTACCGTATGTCAAAAACTGTTGAAAGATGAGGGATACTTGATAGCGGGACCGGCGGATGTCACCTTTATTATCTGAGCTTTTCTCCCACCTGAATGGGGAGGAATGGCAGTCAGATTTCCGCCGTGTACTTCCGCTACATCAAGAAGGTAGTGAGCTATCCATGGGTTGAGTGAGGAGGACATTTATAGCAGGTGCTCGTCGAGGCCGCCATGGATGACAAAGATGTTGACAAAGACGGTTACATAAAAGACAGCAGCGTTCCTGTCCATCTACCACAACATCCACCTGTCCGATGTCTTCCGACAATGCAAAAACTCTGGCGATTTGTACAAGGCATTAACAAGAAACCAATCTACCACTCCTAAAGAGGCCTATTTTGATTCTGGCACGGTGTCTACTGAATTAGTCTTCAACTCATCGGAAGAATCAGGATTCTTCCCCTCTTCCTGATGCGCACCATTGTGAGGGACGGAGTTGCCAGGGTTTTGGGGCAAGAGTTGTGCTTGGCTGAGGGCGGCACGAAGAGCGGCATTTTCAACGCGGAGCTGGTCTACAAGGGCACGACACTCCTCCCAACGGCGATTTGCCTCATCAGCGGAAGCAAGGGCGGCGTCCAACAGCTGAGAGCGAGACTCGAGGGCTTTAACGTGTCTGATTCAAGATAAGGAACAAGGTGAGATAAAGAGCAGAGGAAAAGACGAACTGATCTCTGCGCTCCCTAAAAGCCCGCTGAGCCTTTCTATTCTGTTCTGCACGCTTGCTGGAACTCAGAGCGCGGCCGCTTGCGGAACCGGGAGGAGGTGATTGAGAATGCTGATGGGGAGGATTGGGGGGCATGCCGCCGGGTGTGTAATCGGCAGGTGGGCCATAGGGATAACCCGGGGGAAGTGGGGCGGATAATGGATGCATGAGAGCATGAGGAGGAGGAAGGACATGCTGTATGGTCTGTGGCTGCTGAGGATCTGTAGCAGGAGACTTGCGCTTTCTGGAAGTGCGGGTAATGGGAGGAGGGTCGTCTCTGAGACGCATCGCGGGGTGTTGTTGCTGCTGTGATTGTTGTTGTGCTTGCGATTGCTGCTGCTGCTGCTGCTGTTGTTGATGCTGCTGCTGTTGTTGTCCTGGCTGTCCTGGCTGCTGAGCAGGCGGCTGGCTGAGCGGCTGGCCGACATTGGCTTGGAAGGATATCATTGCAGTATTAGTCAGAGGCTGAGTAATAGCTGAAAGTAACGCTGTAACACAATGTAACAAACTAGAGTTGGTCACACCGTAACACACTGTTCCATCCTCCTGTCATGGCGGCAGTCTCTCTGCGCCAGCGTCTCTTTTCCAACGCTTCTTCAAAATCTACAAAGAATACCACAGATTCTCATGTAAACAATACCCGTATGTTCCTCATAATTCCATCTTTCATTTTATGTTTATATCCTTACAGAAACTATCTCAAATCCTTCTCTGAACAACGGGCAGGCCCCACTTTCTCTTTCTCTCGATTCTCTTTCAGCGGATCCAGTCTCGGATGATACAGATAGGGAACAGGGTTCTCTAAATACTACCATTACCCCAAATAGCAGGCGTATACCCTTTTACCGCAGAAAGGCAAACAAATCCTCAGCCTCAGCCGCTGCTCTCTCCTCCTCATCCATCATAAAACCTCTTCCAGGTCCTTCACGTTCTCGTCCTTCTTTCCTATCTCGTGTTGTCAACAAAGTCGTTCCATGCGTTAATCCAGACCAATCCCAGTTAAACCAAGATCTTCAACTCTCTCATCTCTCAGATACAGACCCCCCTTTCCCACTCAAGGATATTACCCTTCTCAAACCCTCGGATTCTCTCACTCAAAATCCTTCCCTCGATGATCAAGAAGAATCTCCACCCATAGCTGCCGGCTTTATAGCCACACCCACATCATCTCATTCTCCTCCATCACCCACTGATTCCGAGGTTCTTGTTCAACCCCCTCCAACTTCCCACCTGTTGCCAGAGGACGAGACGGATGGCATGACCTCCGGCGCAGTTCAGCCTCCAGGTTCCACCGGTGATGAAATCGCTCGGAGTAATACCCACGACACGTCTGAAGACTCGGACCGTACCAGCTTCACCGATGACGATGAGCATCATTACATGCGTGACGAACAAGATGAGGAGGAAAATCTTATAAAAGCGGGAGGCTCTGGCATCCCTATTGGTCCTGTCCGATTTTTGTCCCTTCGCTTTTTGACATCCTTGAATTTATTTATTTTGTTCTCTAGGATGGCCTTCCTAAGCCTCTCTTGCCTCCCATCTCGCCTGAGCATGTGGGGAGAAAATGCTTGGTTCTTGATTTAGACGAAACTCTGGTTCACAGCAGCTTCAAGGTCATCCCTCCTCAACTTTGCTCAACTAATTTTCTTATACTTTTTGTTTAGGCAATACAGCAAGCTGATTTCATTGTCCCGGTTGAAATCGAGTATCATTGGCACCATTTTCATGTTTTGAAGCGACCAGGCGTCGACAACTTTTTGAAAAAAATGGGCGAAATTTATGAGGTCGTTGTTTTCACGGCCAGCTTGAGCAAAGTAAAGTTGTTTCGCCGACTCTTTCTTTCCAACTAACTTAACCAACGAATTAGTATGCCGATCCTGTGCTCGATAAGCTTGATATCCATCATGTCGTTGCTCATCGACTCTTTAGAGAAAGCTGTTTTAGCCATAAAGGCAATTATGTCAAGGTGCAATAAATCCTTTCTTTCTTTACCGTCGTTTTTCTGAGGATGATCTACACAGGATCTATCACAACTCGGAAGACCCATCGCTGATACCATAATTCTGGACAACTCTCCAGCATCCTACATCTTCCACCCCAATAACGCTGTCCCGGTGTCGTCGTGGTTCAACGATCCGCACGATGCCGAATTAACAGACCTCATTCCATTTCTCGCCGATTTGACTTCAGTTTCTGACATCCGAGGAATTCTGGATGGCGCACGATAGAAGCCTGCGAAGCCCCTTTACACACAACACGCGTTACCTTGCGGCACCGCCCTGCATGCGCTGACGGATGGTTACTCCCGAGGCCACGTCTTTTCAAAGAGGTTCATGCGGATATGAATACCCCGCGAGTCTATACCTCCTTGGGCTCGTACCCCGGAACAAATCGTCTCTTCTCTTAGGTCATCTTTTCGTCTCATATATACAACTATACCCACACTCTTTCGACTTTGCCAGGTTTGTATGACCGCCGCATTGTGATATATACTACTTATTGCGGGATTAGGTGCTTTCTTCTCTGTATATACTTCTATACGCACACGCTGTTCTTAGATACGACTCTTTACGAAATTGCTGCATGTTTGCTGTAAATCAAATGTTATGATGTTTGTCAATTTATAAGGAAGTTTACACATTGGCGAAAGCGTTGCCACAACCGCTCAATTTCCGATGACAAGAACTAAACGTGAAAGTAAGTTCAGATACCTCGTCGTTTGTCCGAGCTCATTACCCTACAGCAACCTCACCTTATGCCAAGTACTATTTAATTGCGTACAATGTCCTGTCGGCACTTGGCTGGGCATATGTCCTGATTGCCACCGTTGTTCACATCTTCAACCTCGACGGCGGTTCTGATGCCATTCCTGCAAATGCGACCACCGCCTCATCGACCCTTTCACGTTTCCTTTCGACAATTCCTTTCCTCAGATCATCAGGCATCTTTTCTACCTCACTGGAAACTTGTCTGCCCCTTTCCTTGCAACCCATATACCGACGTTCTACCACCACCTTTGCCCGTGTTGGCACCCAGACTGCCTTTGTGCAAAGCTTCGCTGTTCTGGAAGTGTTGCATGTCTTCTTTGGCCTTGTTCGAAGCCCCCTACAAACTACTATCATGCAGGTTTCAAGTCGGCTTTTCCTCGTCTGGGGTATCACTGAGCAATTCCCACTTGTGAGTTGGGTACAACTGTCTTATGACTAGCCACTTGATAAGCCATTGCTAGGTTCATTCCAACCCCCTTTATGCCTCCATGGTTCTTGCCTGGTCAATGACGGAGGTCATCCGTTACTGCTTTTACGCTGCCAATTTGGCTGGCTACAATCCCTCGTCTCTCCTCTATCTTCGCTACACCACGTTCTACATTCTGTATCCCGTCGGTGCCTCGTCCGAAGCTTTTCTCATTTACGCCACACTTCCCGCGTCATCACCTCTGCCGGGCTGGCAATCGTGGTTACGAGGAATGTGGAAACCAACGGACTATATTCGAGCTGGACTGTTTGCTATCTGGTGGCCGGGTAAGCATTAACTATTTTCGTCAGTCGTTGGTCTTCTCAACATCTGATCGTAGGTTTGTATATCATGTACACATACATGATTGCACAAAGACGCAAAGTTTTGAACAACGCGCCTGGCAAATCAAAATCTCTCAAAGTAAATTGATGTGAAGCGGTGGAACGGATTTATACCGTACATGTAGCCACCTCTTATCATGGCTAACTCCTTTGTGCGCATGCTTAGGTAGTCTCACGCTGTTTCAATGTTCCACTTTGCATACCCCCCCAAAAAGACCTATCCTTTAACCAAGGAAAACTGACGTTGGTTACAGACTACAATTGGTCTCATGCACTACTTGGAAAGATGCCAATTTATACCAATTATGTGACGATGCCCTTCAGCGCACCGACTCCGCCGCGTCAGCACTCTTTTCCGCTGTTCCTCCTCGACCTCGCGACGAGTACGTCGCTGAACGCGAGCAAGAACACAGTCTAGTTGGGCAAAGTTGGCAGCTTCCATCGCAAATGTGCGATGCTTCCGTCCACTAACATGCTGGGGGAAATCATGCATGTCAGACCATGCTCAGTATCCCGTTTGTAACGTACCGCTTTAAAATCATCGAATTTTTGACGACAACTCTCACAATAACCAGGCTTGCTGCCCTCCTCCCGTTTCGGTAACTTGAGCGTGTTGGTACTCTTACTCTTCTTCAACACCGGCTGTCTATGGGGAACAGTTTTAGGTGGTCCCATGAGGCTGGCAGGCTGAAGTTTGTTCGCAGATGGAAATTTGCGCGACGTAACAACCTCTTTCTTTATCTGACCAACGAGGGCAGAGGGCAAAGGTCCGTTTCTCAAAAAATATCCAGAGGTGGACGTGGTCCCTGTCGTCGAAGTTAAACCAACGCTATTTCCCGAGGCGGCCATATAACCCGAGGCGAGGAAACCTGAAGCGTTGACGTGGTCTACGTTATCGCCAAAACCACCGACATCTTCAACAACAGGGTCCTTGTGTGACATTTGACGACGAAGATTGTTCAAAGAAACGGAACGTCTCAAGTCGGCACCAGGCTTCACACTATCCTTCGCGTGAACCGTGTTCTTCATCGTCTCAATTCGTGCGTCGCAATCATTTCGCTTTCCGCGATCGGTGTGACCAATCTTTACGCCTTTGCCAATTTGTTGCATCTTTTCCCACCGCTTTTTCTCTTTTTCATCAAAAACAATAAAGGGACCGCGAGAATGCGGGTGACAATGCAAGGTTGGCCAGGGAGTCTTGAGGCCTGCATCTCGTTTGGGTGGAGGATATTCGTGAGCAATGAGGGTAGCAAGTTCTTGACGCAAGTCTTCGACGAGAACGAAATGAGTTGCTCGGGAGAAATAACGATAATCGTGCCTCTTCTGAGTTGGGTCACGCTCTGTACTCCCGTGAATCTTTTCACTTTGAAGTAGGCGAGTCAAGGCGCGTTGGGGGTGGGGAGCGGCAGTTTGCTGGCAGGGAAGGATAGACTTGTTGACCGGTGGTTGATCTATACATCTGGCCAACACACTTTCAAGTTTTGTTGGGCTCCATACTTTGAGACCGAAGGAGATGGCCTTGGCGACTAAATCGAAACCCGGAGCTGATTTCGTTTCTTCTCCCACTCTTTGAAGATTGTGAGGCGGTTTGGAGAGAAAGAGCAACAATAACTTGACACACCTTCCCTTGAGTCTTATGGGGCTCTTCAAAAAGGTTTTGGAAGACTTTGACAAATTCTCCTTTTCTTTCTCAACGGAAGAAGGGATAGGTCGATCGGTAATGACATGAGTGACCTGCTTCGAGAAGAAGTCTTCGATTGTCTGTAGATATTTCAAGGCGTGGAGGAAGTGAGAGTGAGTAGATCACTTACGGCTCCCAGTTGATGTATCCTAGCTTCGAAGGGGTGAGCCTGAGTGTTCTCCGAGTCGAAATAGAAAATCCAAGATGGAAAAGCGCGGCAATACTTGTCTTTGAATTCGGCCTTGAGTTGTGCTTTTACTTTCTCCTTATCTGGATTTTTGCGGTCCTTTGCTGGGTCATGGGTTGGGCGAGGAGCTGGTCGGACACGCTTGGTGGTGGGAAGTGGGTCATGGTGGTCTGGTGAACGGGGGCGTTTCTGTGGTAGAGAGCGGGGAGCAAGAGGTTTCCTAGAGAGGGAGGCCATCCAAGAAAAGAAGATATGTGCAAGTCAAGAGATAGTTGAGAATATAGCCGAGTGAACAGAGACTCAGAGTATCTTAGTGGCGTTTTATCAACAGTCACGTCGCGTTTAGATCACATGATGTGACAAGTACTACTCTTACAACTAAATGTCAAACTTGACCGTTTGCTCACCACCCCCTCGCTCAACTTTAACGAGTCGCTTCGCAACACATCCATATAAAACCCGTGATGTGCCCTGCCCCAGCATACCAACAGAGATACCGCCAGATTTGGCCTTGGCGGCAAGGCTGTCCTTCACCTTGTTCAGCGGCATAGAATACTGAGGTGGAGCCGACAAAAGAGAGACCAGCAAATATGCAGTCAAGATTTGTTGTAAACTTGGTGAATGAGTTTGGGGAGTCGACGATGTTGAAACACTCGATGGACCAGGTGAATCCAGCTGAGGTGGCAAGTTGCAGAGCTCTTGCAGGTGTGCACTATTTTTGGCAAACTTTGTGAGATCCGTGTACAGCGAATTAGAGGGGAATGACTCACATAGTATCTTTGGCTGAGGGTGGCGAACCTGGCGAAAAAGAAGAACCAGGCATTATGATATCACCAACCGTCATCCAAATTTTCGACTAGACAACAGGTCAGATCCTAAGAAAAATTAAATTTTATAAGACTCACCACAATACGTTCAACCTCGGTGTTTACTCTAATTCTCCCTGATTTGTGGGGTCTATCAGAAGGGTTCATGTTCTGTATTTTGGGTAGAGAAGGAGCAGATGACACAGGTGAGGTGGGCATCGTAGGGGAAACGGCCATCTCCACGTTGCTAGATCTTGAGGACTTGTCCACGGTAGGCGTCCCGGTGACCGGAACCGTTGGGAGCTCCAAGGGGTCTTCTGGCATGTCGTCCCTTGTGGATTCCTCTGGTAGTGCGCTCACAAACGAAGTAGAGCTGGTGTCACCGAAGTCAACTTGTTCGTCCATCAAAAGATCGTCAGAAAAACGCAAAATGCGCGAGGCCTCTGCAGGTGTATGGTTATGCCGGTCTTCGTGAGGCGAAGATGTAGAATCATCGTTTTCGAGCTCAATGGTGGTCGGGTTGGTTGTCTGGCGTGGCACGGCATGTTGGCGGGGCATCGCTGCATGCTTCTTCTATAGTAGTGAAGGCAGAGAAGCGTAAGTGTAATGATTCACAGTTGACAAACATACCCTTTTTGACAGTTCGTTCATCCTGGTTTGAAGTTGTTTGACTTTATAGTCTTGTTCTGTGATTTGTGCTTTGATTGAGGGAGTATCAGTGACGCGTATCTAGATTTTATAAGCTTGAATGATTGGGTATGTGAAACGACGCAGGAAACCAACCTGTTGGAGGGTGACATTCAGAGCTTCGATATTCTCCCGAACGAGACTAAGACGATCCAATATAGCTGATACCTGACTGCGAGCGCGGGGCATTGAACGAACTGATTGACTAATGTGAACTTGTGAGATAGGACAAAAGTGTAAAACGGTTTCCGCACTACTGGTCAATGCATTTGAGCGCTGCTTGAGCGTAGACCTCTGGATCTATTTCTGGTGGTTTATCATCCCGTCGCGTAGCTTTGCGGAGGGGAGTGGAACCGGTAAACTTGACGCGTTTAATTTCGGCATCGGATGAAGGGACGAGATTGAAGAGACCGAGCTCTGAAGGGTCTATATCGCGGATGAGGTCTCCGAGCTGGGTAGTGAGAACGGCGGCTGTGAATGGATTGTTGGTTTTCAAAGCGCCAAGGGTAGTATCCTTGATAGAACAAGCACATTGAGAAAGGCGGTCGATCTGGTCAGAAAGTGAACTCATTTTCTTATGTATTTGTTTGTTCTCGCTATCATCACACACAATACGTTCAGCGCGCTCAGTGATACCTTGTTGGCGACACCCATAACCAGCGACGCGCATATACCCAACCCGCATCTTCAGCACACATGTGGGAACCGTTGCCCTTGATTGTATATGGATATGCCGTCCATCCTCTCTCACCTTCTCGACGCGAAACAAGGCTATCTTCTCGCAACCGTCTCTCTACCGTCACTGAAGCTTCCGCCGATGATCACTCAGTAATGCGTGATGTCGTATCACTTGAAGTGGGCGATGAAATTTACGCCTTTGAAAAGTACACTCCGTCGAACAAGGATTCTGTTGAAGGTGTGTGGTACAGAGGGTGCGTTTGCAGTCGTCATACTATCTATCCTCATTTCCTCAACTCGATCCCAGTTATGTCGTTTGCACCACTCGGCGCCCGTCCGTCACATGGTCTCTATCAGATCCCTCATCTTCTACTTCCTCGTCGTTTGCCGTCAAATCTCCTGTGAAAATAGAGGAGCCACAACAGGTCTTCATAGGCATATTCCCTGCTTCTCATATTTTCGTGCGCGACGAGTTGTCTGATGCTGAAGGCAGACTCCCCGACCTTGCTAGTTCACTGAACGGCGTGAACCCAAACATAAGCCTCATTAATGGGTGGACACATGGTCGTAACAGTCCTGGTGAGGTCTTCAGTGGCTGGAACAAGGACAAGTCGAGTATAGGCATGGATACCCTGAGGGAAGAGGAAGAAGAGATGTCAATCTATGCCACACGGAAATCCTTCCGACTCGGTCCTCCTCCCGATCAAGCTAATTCCTCTCGCGCAGGGCTACCAGTCTATCCAACAAGTTTGCGCTCATCTTCACCAGCTGATTCCCAAGTATTGAAGCCTCTGCCACCACGACCTTCCCTCAAGTCGGGCGACGATACAGCTTCTGGTGCTGCTCAACCAATCATTGACGAAATCGCATCGGCATTGAGAGAATGGCATACGCTCATGTTCCAGTACCTCGCACGCCGCGACTACAAATTGTTCCATGTCGTTCGGGAGCATATTGAAGCCCTCCATTTGGGTCGTCGTCAGCTTCTTGCCCAGACCCTTAGCGCAGAGGAGACCGTGAATATGCGGCGAGATTGTGTAACCAGACTTGTGAGCGGAAACCTTGTCCAGGGCTTGGACGTCATCGTGCGACATCCCACTTGGGGTGGCCTTGTCACAGTGGATGTTGAGGGCGACGTCGATCCCCGAAGTTGGGTTAGTGCCGTTCGCATGTACGCAATGCAAACTTCACTTGCCTACACGAACGCTTCCAACGATGAAGCCAGGCCATACGCTTTGGGGTCCGGCACCGATTATACTACCGCAGGTCCATTACCTACGCCGGCAAACTCAGCCTTCCCTGACCTTACCTATTCACACCATTCACACTACAAAAGTCGATCTCGTTCTCAGGGTTGTCTTGGCCCCAGCGAACCGGCAAAGCACTCAACCGCCAAGTTTTACCACATATTCCTTGATCTCCGCGCCTTTGTTGCATCACCTTGTGCTCCTGGGGAGAGCGCAGAATTGTTCTTCTCCTTGTATAAGAAACAAGGAACACAATTTGTGACGGAGGAGTTTTGTGCGATCCTGAATCATAACGGAGTGCTTGCGCGGGACCCATCAACTCGCATTCGTACTTTGTTTGTGGATCTAGCGCCTTCTGATGTCCAAGACCCAATTTACCTTGTCTGTCGCATCGTAAGAAACGGTGCGCTCAAGATTGGAACTAACCCTAGTTCGGGTCTTCCCACTTCGGAAACCTCCGTTAAGCATGATAACGGGTCTTTAGCTACCCTCGTGGGCTGGAGTGAATCCAGCCATACTATTACTAATGGCAGTCGCGGCATCGTACCTGCTGATGGAATCCCCCAGTTTCGACGGCCGTTTGGCTGTGCCGTCCTGGAACTAACCAATCTTACCAAGATGGTTGCAGATCAGCTGGATGTATCCCCACTCAAAGAACATACAATGCCCATTTATATCCCAACAAATGAAGCTTCTTTCTCTATGATCCATCAAAATATCATCAATAACAACACGAAGGAATTCGAGAAGTCGGGCAGGTAAGGACGAAGTCACTCGTTGCTGAGACCCGTGGAAGTTGACGGACTACCTTAGGGCTGAAATGTTGGCGGTATCAATAAAAGTTTTCAGAGGCAATGCTCAGGTCGTCATGCGGGAAAACACGTCCCTTCTACAAGATACTCCCCAGACTCTTCGTCTTGGTTTCCCCGATGTTGTATTCCCTGGCGATGCCCGAAACGAGCTCTACATCAAACTTTGGTGTGGCGATTTCACAGCATCCCATGTAGGGACTGGACGCCTTAGTGTTGCCAACTTTGCTAGGGGTCAAATGGGACCCCCAGCGGTCAACGTGCAAATAACAATGGAAGTGAAGGATCAAGATGGAGCCACAGTTGAGAATGTTATTTCACAAGGAAGTGGAGAACCCCTCATCACACAGTTCCATTCAATGGTATTCCAGCGGTGTAATGAGCCCACTTTTGGAGAACTTGTTAAGATTCAGCTACCTCCGGAGGGTGTTCCTCAGTGGCACCTTTTCTTCACCTTCCGGAACCGCAACACTCGCCCAGGCAGCAAGGTTTCACCCGACACCTTTGATCGCCCATTCGCATTCGCATTTCAGCCGCTTTTTCCTGACGCCACCGCATTTGTCGAAGATGGCAGCCATACGCTCATTATGTACCGGGCAGATAAGCTTCATCAGATTAATTCCGAAACATATCTAAGATCTCCGTCACGCTTGACTGCTGGTCAGAAGTCAGAACAGTTGTTGATACCTCCCGAACTGTTGCGGTCTGCACCCCCCTTGCGTGACACGTTAACAATCCGTTCCTCTCTCTGCTCCACGAAATTTACCCAAAACCCTGTGCTACTCAGATTATTGAGCTGGGAGACGCAGGACAAAGAGTTGCTTTCTGCACTTCTCACCAAATTCACCTTTGTGGGAGAAGGCGAAATCGTGAAATTTTTGCGCGATATCTTTGACGCACTTTTCGGCATTTTAGTGTCTCAAAATAATCAATCCGGAGAGGTCGACCTACTGGTATTTAATGCACTTGTGACTGTCCTCGGGATTGTTCAAGATCGACGCTTCAGCAACTTTCAACCTGTTCTAGATGTTTATATTGAGGAGCATTTCACCTGCGCTGCGGCATCCTCCCACATCATACGTTCGATGAATCGACTTCTTGTTAATCCTGCCTCAGCCGAGTCCGCTTCACCTCTTCGGGCGGCTTTAAAGGTCTGGCACTACATCTTCAAGTTTATTGCACGTTCTCGAGAGCTTCAAAAATTAAAGGAAATCGGGATGGGCGGAGGTGCCACAGCAGAACACTTTGAAACGACTTTCAAACGTGAACTGCGGGCCCATATTTCAGAGGTGACACGAATGATGTCAACGTCTTCTCCTGCCTCAATTATCGGGACACAAACTATCGCCCTTCAGCGTTTCACATCCATCCTTCCTGAGCTGGCAAAGATGTTCTCGACCGTGGAACTTGTTTCTGTTGCCACACTGTTTGCAAACGCGGTGACCATAGGCAAAGGAAAAATTGTCATTTGGAAACTTATAATGTATCTGCAAATAGTGAAAGGTTTTTTGTTTGACAACGCACAGTCTCGACCACTTCTCATCGAAGCTGTTATCATCTGGATAAAACCACATTTTGGCCGCTATGACGAATATGCTCACACACATGCTAGCGACTCCGAGGCTGCTCGAGATTCCGCTAGGGTTGGCTGGCTGGAGAGCATTCGTCTTTGTGTCACCATCATCGCGGTTATGCTCGACAAACTCCAACAAAACTTGGCTTCCCCAGAGATCATGTCGGATCGTCACGCGTATCGACAAGAGCAAGATAATGTCGAATGCCTGTTGTCGTTATTACCCAGGTATGCGAACGTTATTGAACTTGTTATTTACTCTCATCTGAGCAAACAGACTTCTGGAGTCATATAGGGAGCTCCAAAATGCATCATCACGAAAGGCTATTGAACGAACCCATGCCCCTTCGACGATGAAGGCTTCAATCCCCATCACTTTCCCAGAATCGTATCCTTTCTCCCTCCTTTCTTCGTTACCCGACCATCCCAGCAATACCAACGATACCACACTCTCGAAGGAAGCAGAAGCTGTATTTTATCCGGGATTAGGCGAAACTGCAATTGTTTTTCTGGTTCTCATTCTATCATCCCCTACCAAACATATTCTTAATTTCCTTGAATCGAGCCTCGACATTGAAGGCCGTGAACGGTTTACTAATCTAATGTCCCAGTTTTTCAAGGTTGCGACGTCTATCTTAGAAAATGATGCATTCCCTAAAACTTGGCTCAATGTCAACATTCTTGCTCACAAGGTCTTGATCAAGATGATGGATCCTGTTGCGGCCATACTAGAAAAAGACTTTGTTCCAGCGCATGAATCGGAGTCACAATTTGACTCAAATTTATGGCGGGATGGCTTCTACATGCTACTCAAGTTACTTTCCTCTGATCAACTGATCATCGAAGAATTCAGTCCCCAGGTTCTTTCTCTCTTCCCTCGGGTTTATTTGACAAGTTCTAATGGCCAGCAGAAACGACGCGCCGTTTGGCGTCTCGCGGGTGATCTTCGTGGCGAGGGCGCAGCAATTCTGTTGAATCTTTGGCAAGCCCTCGGGTGGGCCGAGCACGCATCTACAAGTGGCGAGCTATCTACGCGTTATGGAGTAAGGTGCCTTTTTATCTCATATTTCCCGTCTCACTGAACCGTTTACAGGGCTATCAAGTTTATTTGCATTCCCTTGTTGGCCATGTTGTTAACCTGTGTCTAAGCCACCATGACCAGTTGAGGAGCAACGCAGTCCAAATCCTTTACAGCATGATTGTTTCAGAGTATCACCAATCTGAGCATTTCGACGAAATTGAAAATGAACTGGTAACACGGCTCGACTCGCTATTCATGTCGGACAGCAAAGGCGACGATATATCAAGGGCCTTTTTCATTGGACAATTGCGGCATCTCTTTGATACTTCGGACGTTGACGACCAGCTGCGCGAGCGGGTATCCAATTTTCTAGATTCCGTTGATCTCTTTTTGGAGCTCTTGCTTAGTGTCCGTGCTTTACCTGAAGGCGAAGAGTATGCGGACGATCGTGTGATTGCGACGGTATGGATGTAGATGTTCACATCTCATCGACACTCACCTCTTGATAGCTGCGATTGATGAACTTTATTCGTCGAATAGGACGCGATGAAATCTACATCAAATATGTTCATCAACTTGTCAACGTAGGTTGTACGAATAACCTCGTGTGATGACTAACGGTTCATTTGAAGATGCACCTCCAATCACAAAACTACGTCGAGGCAGCTCTGACCCTCAAACTTCATTCCGACCTACATGAATGGGATCTCAACTCGTTTGCAGGTCCAATGGAGGATCTTGGACTTCCGCAACAATCCCAATTTCACCGCAAGGAAACGCTTTGTCTATTGATCCTTGACTACCTTGGTTTGTGGTGTTGTTTGACGACCATGTGTCTGCATATTGATAAGTAAATGGCGTAGGAAAGGGAAAAGCGTGGGAAAGCGCTGTGGAAATCTGCAAAGAGTTGGCATATCAGCACGCTGAGGTGACTTTTAACTAGTATGTTCTCCGCTTCTCATGTCATGGTCTCTAAACTAATCATAACGACATTTCAGTGGCCGGTTATCTGAAATTCTTCGCCATCAAGCTGCCCTGCTGGAACACATTGTCACAGACCAACGCTACTATCCAGATTACTATAGGGTCACCTTCTATGGAAATTTCCCAGCGGCCATCAGAGACAAGCGCTTTATCGTGCGTTTCCCTTTCCCAAATTATTTGTGCGACAGATTTGAATGGCTTTTGTAGTATCGAGGGTATGAGTGGGAGAAATTTGGGGCGTTTTGCGAAAGGATGCTCAATAAGCATTCAGGCGCCCAGCTGCTGAAAGTCTCAGGCGATCCGCCTGTCGACATTCGATTCGGCAACGACCAGTACATTCAATGCATCGCAGTTACGCCCGAACCCAATCGTACCCTCCCTATCTTTACCAACCCGGATGTTCCCTTGGCTGTTCGTACATATTACGAGCACAGGTAAGTCTGAGCCACTCGTGGTCGATGGATACTGACACTCCTCTTAGTGCAATTAACCTCTTCAGTTCGTCACGGCCAATTAGAAAAACCACTCGAGACGGAGTGGAGGAAGTTTGGTTGGAAAAAACGTATCTTACGACTGAAGAGGCGTTCCCAACCGTCTTGCGCCGATCAGAAGTTGTTGGCCTTGAGGTTGTTGAAATATCTCCCCTGGAGAATGCCCTCAACGAGGTCGAACAAAAGACTAAAGAATTAACCTCCTTGCATCTGAAATATCAAACCCTTGCCAAGACATCTCAAAGTGTGTCAACGAATGCCTTAGCGATGTCCTTGAACAGCGCGGTGGACGCACCTGTCAATACAGGGATCGCCTCTTACCGCCAAATGTTCTTTAACTCAGATTATGTTGAACGAAATCCAGAAAGGGAAGAGATGGTTGAGAAGTTGCGTGGTGCGATTGACGAGCAGGTATGACTGACTGCATTGACATCATATGTCCTTTTTTTTTTAAAAAAAATCACCCCCAGGTTCGAGCTATTGACGGCTGCCTCAAGCTTCATGGCCATCTTTGTCCACCAGAGTTTACACCTTTTCATGAGACTCTACAAAAGTTTTTCAAAAGGAACTTCCGTGATGAGATCCGACGGCTTGCTGTCGACGTATCTGAATCAATACCAGCCTCTCCGTCCGTAATATCTCATGATCTTTCGGCCTCGTCCCATTATCCGTCTTCGTCTTACGAACAATCACTGAAGCGCAGCATGTCGACCTCGTCCACGGCACGCGGAGCGCTCGTCCTGCCACCATTACAGTTGGGCAGGCCTGTTGTGACGCCACCCCAGTCACCGACAAGGTCATCAAATCATATCCCGCCCATAAAGCAAACTCCACTACAGCGGCATCTTGCTCATCTGGCTAGACATGGGATCAACGGAGTCTCTTCTGCACCTGGAGACACTACTGGTAGTGATTCCCTCTCCACCGAGTCTCCCCATAATTCCTTTGTGAATGTCGGTAATGGCATTCATGGGACACAAGCTGCCCAAACATCGGGAGCCTCGGTAGCAGCATCTTACATGGGGAGTATAGGATCCTTTGGCTCTTTCAAAGGCCGCTTCTCACGATTTGGAAGCCTAAATTTTGGTAGGCGGGGCGCTTCTAACTCCTAGTCTTTTATTATTGCTGGCTTGTTAGTTCTGACCTAATGTAATTCTCTGTAGCCATCTTACATGTAGTGTATTTGCGCTCTCTCTAGAACAAATTTTTCAATCCTAAGAATCGAACGGATACGATCAACTTCTACTTCAACTAGACGGGAGTCAATAAGTAAGGAATAATGATAATAGAATCGGGGACGAGCCGAGGGACGTGTTATACAAAGTCCTTGAGGATGTGGGACGGACACAATAAATATATGTACATGTGAATTGTTCAAAAAAGAGGCACCTATCCTGAGATGGATAGCGAAACCAGCGAAGGATCAAAAAAGAGCTGATTCACATGTACTGGTGGTCTGCGAGGGTGGCCAATGTGTCATCGGCAATATGGTGAAAAGTAAAATTTTCGTAAATGTTGAAGTCCATCCCTGTGTTGTCAGAGAAGGCGTTGTCAGGACCAGGATGGCCAACGTCATAAGGATTCAAGAGACTAAAGTTGTCCACTGCCATCTCGCCAGCCTTGAAGTCTGGCGTCCAGGCGGAGGTGGCATTAGACTCCGTGTGTGTTGTATCATGAGCGAAGACTGGGAAGGCAGAAGACGAAGAGGAAGACGGGGATGCAGTCGCCGGGCTCTCAATGGGGGAAGCAAAAACCTCGGGCCCGCTTGATGTTGACGCGAAGTGAAAGTCATCGGACGTGGGCTCGAACTTTGTAGCTCGCGTACGTTGGTCGACATATTGACGTGGGCTAGTGTCTTCTGCTGGATAAGCAAGTTGCAAGGCGAGAAGCTCGGGGCTTTCTAGAGAAGAAACCTCCTCAGTGGGCGAATCACTATGATCGGGTGTCGGGGAAGTGTATATCGACTGGAGATTGGGTTGATAAGATCTTATTAAGAATACTGACTGGAAAAAAATAACTCACATATTTGGAAAGGATCTTTTCCAATGCTTGCCCAAGAAGGTTCCATTCGAAAACTTTCAGATCCTTCTCTATGTTCCTCGGTTTAGGATCTGGAAACTCCATGATACGCTGGAAAAAATCGCCAAATCCAGCCTTATGTTTCGAGACTGTGGTTGGACGTAAGCCCTCGAGATTGCGCCTAATCCTATTTTTTTCCTCGACCGGAAATTCCCCATTGGTAAGCCTCTCCAGAAGATAAATTACGTCGACAGAGGTGACAAAACAGGTGTCCGCTTCCTCGCGATAGATGCAGGAGATGACGCTGTCGGCCTCGCAATAATCTTCCTGCCTGATCGGTTCACAAGAGACGATGAGTCTACGACCGTCCTGAACCTTTGAAAACCGGACAAGACGTCGGCCTGCCTGGAGCTCTGCAGCTGACCATCCAGCGCATATATTCGCTAAAGGAGTGGCAAGGTCGAGAATGGGGGTTTGAGCATAGAGATCATCCTGGTCATGATCGCCGGACATCGAAGCTTGCTTTGTACGCATCAAAGCCTTCATACGACGGTGAAGACGCACCCTGCGCTGTGGAACCTTTGGAAACTGTTCCTGGTGATCGGAAGTGGTAGGTGAAGGAGTGGAGAGATTGGGTAGAGAGCGGCGGCGGAGGGAGGTGTTACTTGTTGGGATTTGCAATCTGGGTAACTTGCGCATGGGATGATCTGAGACCAAGAATGAAAAATGAAGGGAGTTTAAGAGCGGTGAAACGTCACCTACCAGGGGTCCAGTATGAAAACTCGCCAAATACTACTGAATCAAGAATGGCATTATCATCGTTTAAGGCTTGAACTGAGATGAGAACTTTAGAAGAGAGGTTTTGGTCTCGATCGAACGCCGGTGCAGAAGCATCCAGCTGCCACCGACCATAGTCGACACCAGGCAACTCGCGAACTTTGGTGGCGACGGCTTTTTGACCGACAACGAGGCGAACATACATGGCGTCGGCGAGGTCAGGATGAAAGTGAATACGGACGGTGATGGGAACACCACGCTCCCCCTCTGTAGGTGTGTACGCGAGAACATGTATGATGCCAGTGGGAGACTTGACGACATCGGAAGGACTGGGAGAGGGAAGGGCGAGATGATCTTGAGCATTGTTGAGGCCGCGATCAATCTTCTGGGAGGCGAGGGGGCGCGGGGCGTGCATTGCGAGTGGCGGGGTAGAAGGGTCGTTGTGTGACGGTGGGGAGTGGACGACCATGGCGTATGTTGACTGAGAGCGGAGGAAGAGAATGATTTAAAGGGGAAAATACATGCTAGTCAAAAATTCAGGGGCCTTTCCAAATATATGCATTAGGGGTAACCCTCGAATATCCGCAATGTCTCGATATATGCGCATATAGTCGTCTGTAGATTCGCTTCAAGACTTGCTCATCACAACATTGCTGGCTGTCTGCGCATGGCAGACGACGAGCAACTGGATGCCGCAGCTCTGATCGATCGACATTCACTTCCGTGGGATGAACAACGGCAAGGTTCTATCGATATACGTCCACCGTGCAACGACAAATTTCCTTCCGTCTGCAAATTGCTGCAAAAGTTGTAATTAGACTGGCCTTTTGCTTGCAACCATGGACACACCTTTTCGGATACGCCGTCCTTTGTTGTGCAAACATGCAGGAATGTACCAATAGATCGGCTAACAATGCCTCCGCCGTTGTAGCCAACGGAGGAAAAAAGTGACGTTTGTGGTTGATCGGGGCTCACATAAGGCGCGTCTGAGAGCGGATTTCAGATCGCCAGTTTCGGAGCAGCGTACCTCCGCTTCCTGTATCCCCTATTTTATTGAGACTCACCTGCAAGGTAAGCGTCGCGGTCACGGTCAAAGTTTTACGATTCTTATGGTCTATTTATTTCGGCAGCTTCCGGTAAACGCTCAAGTTCATTTATCGTTGATGCCAATACTACTACACATACCATCTGCTCGTTGCAGGAAATGGCAGCGTATCAACATTGGACGTCAAGTGTGCCCCTTCGTCATCCGTGGTTTGACGCTCAAACGACAAAGCGCAAGCATCTCGATGACGCGGTAGATGGAACGGAAACAGATGTTCGTTCTTCGAAAAAGCCGCGTTGCAGCGTCCTTGAGCGTGGATTTGCGAACCTTTCCCTCGACAACGGCGCGCTGACCAATGTTAATGATGCTGGGTATTCTACAATGGAAGACATCACTCTCCCTCTCAATGTTCTTCCACCGTCTTCAGATCTCCAGCCTTTTCAAATCATTCGGCCTAGTTCTATTGAAGAACCAGATATAAAGATGGAATCGTCATGGTCTGAACCAGAACCTGATCGTGCGTTCATTGAATGACATCACGACTCACTGCTGACAGCTCTTCCAAGGTATAATTGTCACAGACTTGGACGGTTTCACGGAGGAAGACGAAGGGGAGGGCAGCCTGAAAAAAGGAGGAGAGCTGGACGAAGCACCGTCGTTACATATCTGCATTAACCCTACGCTTCTCGATCATATTTGGAGGGATGGTTTAAAAAGGTTCCCTCAAGCGCCCACTCAGGCGCTTGTTCTCTACCAGCCTTTGCTACAACAGGAGGGAAGCAAGGAAGATGATGCAATGGATGTTGAAGCATGACTGAGGGCGATCTCTATCCTATCCAAAGGAGCGGTTAAAATTATATGTGTCAAACTAGATTTTAATAATAAATACAAGTTGTGAATCATATCGACGAAGAACCAGCAGCGCCAAACTGGATCATGACTTGCGTAGAGTGTTCTCTTTCTGAGTTCGAATTCGTGCTGGGGGAATCTGGAGGGTATAAGGATTGAGGATAAGAGCTGATGTTCAAATGGTGGTGTCTTGCATGAGCGTGTGGATGAGGGACATGGTGCATTTGAACTGCAGTTGAGTACGGAGCGCTTAGGGTAACCGGGGCTGTGTTTATCGTTCCCGGAGCTGAAATCACAGAGGTAGAGGTTGAGAGGGTAGCTTTATGGGGATACATGGTAGGAACTTGGTGGGGTGGATGTATACTTAATGAGTGGGAAGCGACAGCAGCGTGCGAGTGCTGAGAGTTAGACATCGAGGGGGATTGGTGTGAGATGGGCTGAGAAAGTGAAAGGTGGTGGCGGTAGCTTAGATTCATTACGCTCATGGGGTCAGGAGGGGGATTCCGACCATCGAATTTGAGGTCATCGCCCTCATCCATGTCATGGTCATTGTCGTTGGAGGCAGTCGGGACAGGGTGAGCCAGAGCTGTAACATTTTGGGCAGCAATCTCGTCTGCGGTCAGAAAGCGACCGCCCGGACCTCTAGGACGTCGCATGGCATGTTTGTGGCGAGACTCATGAAGATAAGGCTATAGTGAAAGATTGAGGTATTGAGGGCGTGATAGAAAAGGGAGGAAATACCTTGCGCTGGCGAGAGAGACGGTGAAGTTCCTCGAGACGAGTACGTGCTACGCGACGCTTGAGGATGCGAAAGTACTGCTTTGCATTGACATAGAGAGGCTCCTCGTCGATATGGTTGACGTCGTGTGGGTTGGGAAAGAGGTTATAGGGGAATGGTGTGTAGAGGGGATCTTGGTTGTCATCTAGATCATGGGCGTTGTCGAGGGCGTTGCCGAGGTCGGGCTGGTCGTGGACAGGATTGGCTTGCATTGTGGTGATTGGTTGATGAAAAGTGTATGACATTTCAATAAATGACATTTGATATTGACTTACAACAACCATGACCATGGATCAGAAATTAAAAGCACTCAAGGTCGTCGACCTCAAAAGCATTCTCGTCGCCGCCTCAGTCGCCATCCCTACAAAGGTCACAAAGCCTGAACTCATTGCTCGAATCCTCGCCAGCCAGCCCGCTCTTGACGCCTACCACCGTCAATACGAACCATCCGATGACCTCCTTGCTCCTCCAGAAGAGTTCGTCTCAATCTCATTTTCTCTCTTGCTTTCTTACCTGTCCAACAGCGTCGATTGGAATGTTGACCAGCCAGACCTCCTTGCAGTCGACCCCCAACCTGTGATACCTGCTGACCCTCCCAAACCTGTTTGTTCACCGTCTCTTGCCCCTTTTGTTGCAACCCATAGATCCACATTATAGCCGCCTCCAGCACCCCCTTCAACCATACCCGTTCCTTCGCCTCCTAAAGTCGTCGACTCAGAGCTCGAGAAGCGTAAGCAACGCGCCGCGCGCTTTGGGATCCCTCTAGTCGAAAATGCAGCCAAAAGCACAGGAAAACTTACTGCCGCACCACTTCCTCAAGCGGCACTCCCAGATGTTCGCTCACCCCTTGAATTGCCATTCACTCACTCAATTATTTGCACAGGATCCTGCGAAGCTTTCCACTCGTGCTGCTCGATTCGGCGTCGCCAACCCTGTTGCGCCTACGCCCACCGTTCCTTACAAAACCCAGAAAAGGGCAGCTGCGACGGAGTTGATAGACCCAGAGGAACTAGAGAGGCGTAAAAGGAGGGCAGAACGCTTTGCCGTATCGACCACAGTGAGTTTCTTTTTACCATCGAGACTGCCGTCGCCTAGACGATTTATCTACTTTGCACAAAGGATTAGCCTTGAGTCGTATTGCTTAGAATCGTCTTTTTTATGTAGAAGTGTGTTGTCATTTGTTTGAGTTTCCGTTCTTTTGCTCTACGGCAAGCCCCGGGAGGAATCCATAATTTACATTCAAGTTACCCTCATGTCGCTCTCCTTGGTCGCGAAAAGAACGGTGGCGACATGCTCTCGTTTAGCAGCCCTCCCAGCTCAACGTCGTCGTCCCTTTTCAACCCATCACCACCAGGAAGATCATGACACCACTGCTTATCCTCAGGAGGGTCGGTGTTCATTCAGTCACGGAACTCGACTCGCTTGACATACCACCTTTCCAGGTTTTGGAAGCCCCTTTTGGCGCAACATTGTTTTATTTTCCTTGCTGGGTGTTGCAGGGTATAAATACTTGCCCGAACGTGCAGAGGATGTCTACTTGACAAGGTGGATCGCGATGTACACTTCGCCATCTGAACATTGGCTGGACGTGAATACAAAACACACCGCGCAGCAGTTGGAAGTTTCAAAAGAGGGAGTGCTTATGAGAGACGCAAAAAAGCTACCAGTGCATCGATACCGATACCCGCAGTAAGTGCTGGCTGGTGTGTACGAATTGTGTGCTGAGCAATGGGACAGGGCATTGGACCAGTCTTCGCCTTTTCTGAACGCTGTTGGTATGGGGGTGGATGTGAAGGGTGTTGTTGCCAAGGTGTAGATTGAGGAGCATGTGTTTAGGGTTAGGGTTGTTGTATCTTGTTGACTATACGAGTACTTTGCATGTTCAACTGTTGGCAACCGCCAACCCAGTGGCAACAAGTTACTTTTGCTCGCCACCAGCGACACTCTTTCTCAACAACGCGATCGTTCCCAACGTATACCCCGCGTTATACCCCGTGTACATGCCTAGATGCTCTTAACACTTCCTCTCCTCCTTACATTCGTCTCCAGTCAAAATGTTGTTTACGGCGTTCCACAAGTCGATTTTGACCGCATGGGCACAGTTGGGCTAGCTGGCGCATTTGCAGGCCTCGATCTTTTTCACAATTCTTCAGTCTCCTTCGACTCGACCACATCAACCCTCCTTTCCCGCTCTTCCGACGGTTCCCTCACTTCTCTCGCGTCGACTAATCCCGGAGGCAGTATACTCGCAGGCTGCACTCTTGGAGACACATTTTATTTTTCGGGCTCGTTTACCTCTATTAATGGCGTGTCTGCGTCAAACGTAGCTTCATACAAGCCATCCTCAGGTTCCTTTGCCTCTCTTGGCTCTAATGGGCCCAATGGCGAGGTCGGGGCGATATTTTGTGATGCGAAGAATAGTAAAGTATGGGTGGGAGGGAACTTCACGTCGCCTGCTTCCTCAGTCGCTGTCTGGAATGTACCAACTGACATGTGGGTACAACCACCTTTCTCCGGCCTCACAGGCGCGCAGGCCAAAGTCAACTCCATCACAACAAACTCTTCCCAAACAAGTTTGTTTTTTGCAGGATCTTTCACAACCTCCTTTGGAACTTCCGCTTTGAATGGAACTAACAATCCTAATGTCCCATTTTCCGCGGGCGCAACTCCATTCTCATCCTCTCTGGTTCCCGTTCCTTTGGGGCAGGCTGAGATTGACGGATCTCCATCATCGGACGCAACTGGATTCAGTGATATACATAACATTCTCTGCCCATCTGGTCCAGACGGTGCAGGTAACACCTGGTTAGCGGCGGATCAAAATGCTGCTGTCATTACCATAAGGACATTTTCTTTCATATCTGCCAATGGAGTGCGCCTAGGAAATACCTTCCAGAACAATCATGGAACAACAGGCTTCACGTAACCTTTCTCTTCTTTCTTCTTGTTTCTCCAATTTCTGATTTTTAATCCCAGTGTAACAACGATTCCAGACAACAATGTTCAAACCCTTCAGTATATTGATCCAACGACCGGTCAAAACACCACATGCTCCAATCCGTGTCCATTATCCACCGACGCCTCGATCCTCTATCAAGACTTTCTTTTCCCTAGTTCGATGTCGATTACCGGAGTTCAAATCAAACTCTCAGAGTTTACGGGTGCTTCCCCGGGCCTGCACCTTCTACAACTATTGTCATCTGGTGCATTCGCCTCATCCGTAGAAGCTAATAACGGCGTTTCGTGTTTTGCTCCGAATCCGTCCAATACCACGAGCACTGGTCAGTGGGTTGCGAAAGTCGCCAACACCAACATTGCGGGAACAATTCAAACCGTCCTCACCTCTGTGGTCGAAGTAGGGACCTCGACTTCGGCAGGCCCAAGCTTTACCTGGATTCCATACGTTTCAGCTGCAGGAAATTACGATATCAATTTGCTGATTCCGGGTTGCACAAATCTTCAGGATTGTGCCATGCGAACGACGGTGAAAGTTACTGTTTTTCCTGGAGAGGGCTTACAGCCGGTTGTGTCGACCATCAGTCAACAGAACACGGCCGACACCGCTGCTCTCATCTATAGCGGCCCCATCCTCCCGTCATCTCCAGCCTTCGTCACTACGATCTCGATGTCACTAGCAGATACTCCCGTAGGCACTGGCCAATCGGGGCAGTATGAACTCGTCGCAGATCGTGTAGAACTTGTGCTACGTTCTTCAAACATTTCCGCTTCATCTGGGGGTGCCAATGGTAGTACCCAGGGCGCTCATCGCGGATTCGGGTTTCTTGAATGGCCTCTCAATTTTCCAGCAGTGACATCAGGCGGAACCACCGGCCTTCCCAATTCTACCCTGACATCCCTTGATTCCCTTGGGTTTGACCTTTTGAATGGTCTTGGAGGAATTGTTACATCCAACAACGTGATCATCAACGCTGTCGCGCACCACGCATCCGGGGCCATTTTTTTCGGAGGCGCGTTTTCCCTAACATCGGGCGCAGCTTCAGGATCTTCCAACATTGCTATTTTCAAGAATGGGGCGCTCTCTCCGCTTCCGGAAAGTGGTCTAGATGGTCCGGTGACCTCCTTTGCTCTCTATGGTGATCAATTGTTTGTAGGAGGATCTTTTCGGGATACGATATCTGGATCCACGCACGGCAGCCTCGCAGGTGTCGCACTGTATAATGTTCAAAAGAACACCTGGAGTTCTTTGGGAGCCGGCGTCAATGGCAAGGTTAACAGTTTCGGATTGTTATCCGGACAACTACAAGTAGTTGGAAACTTCACCGTTGCATCCTCTGACACAGCGACAGGTATAATCGCTGCTGGCTTTGCTGCCTGGGACATCAAGAGCAATTCATGGGTAAACCCAGGTGGATTTGTTGCAGGGAGCCTCTCCTTCATTGGAAATGGCACGTCGTCACAATTCGTTGCTGGTAATGTTGTTGCGTCCCAGAGATTTGGTGCTGCCGGGATGGTTATGCTCAAAAATGGTGGCAGCGACGGCCCCCAGGTGACGCCTCTTGGTGCTGAACTTGGTATTTCCAGCTCCCAGATATCTACGAACTCCAGCTCTAGACGCCGAAGAAATCACATCTCCCGTGCGACATCTTGGATGTCGCAACTCACAGTGTCTCACATTTTTTCCAGGCAAACGAATCAACCAATATCCCTGCCATCTTCCGTCACTGCGTCTGCTCCAGCTGTCCTCGCAGGCGCTTTTTGGACAAATGGTTCCACAGAGATCGTAATCATGGGTGGCAATTTTTCTTTCTTCTCTGGCTCCGTAGCATCACGAGGTGTTGGATTGTACAACCCTCAGTCCAAGTTTATACGAGGTCTAAATGGCAGCCAACCAAACGGAACAGTCCGAGCGCTTTTGGTGGATAATAATCACCTGTACGTTGGCGGTGAGTTTACTATACCTGGGACAAATGTGAACGGACTCGCAATCTACGACCTAAAAAAGGATCAGTGGGACATCACTGGGCTACAACCTTTGCAAGGCATCTCTGGATCTAACGTTGTTGTTCGGTCTATCACGAAATCTGCTACCAAGGCCAATACTGTAATCGTGGCGGGATCATTTGCTCAGGCCGGTTCTCTTCGCTGTCAATCCATCTGTACTTTTGACACGGGTACGATACAATGGAATTCTCTTGGAAACGGAATCCAAGGAGAGGTCGCATCTGTAGCATACGCCGGCGTGAGTTCTCCCTCCTGCCTCTATTTTTACACTCTATTTACTACCCCCGTTTATTCTACAGAAAGATCAAGACACTCTCATCGCCGCAGGGTCCATTGCATTGACTGACAACGTAGTCTCGAATGTTGTGCAATTCAGCTTCGCCAACGCTACCTGGAGTTCAGTAGGCACGAATGCGGACCTTCCGGGTCCCATGACCGCGGTCGAAGTAAATGGTGGAAATGCTAGCAGTATTTTCGCTGCGGGTCTGTGAGTGACACTAGATCGTTCTTTCTGCTGCTGAAAACTCAAACGAGCGTTTCAGATCGCCTGACGGCTCAACAACCTCCTTATATTTCTGGAATGGTATTAAATGGACGACTTTAGGTTCGTTGTGACTTTTTCTTTCGCTTTCCAAACCCAATCAAACGGCGTCGTTCCATAGGTTCTTCCTTGCAAGCAGGCAGCAATGTTGCACAATTAATCATGGTTCCTATTCAAGAAACTCATGCTGGAAACTCTGTCATCGAGGCTGACCGTTTGCTCATGATATCGGGCATGTTAACAGATCCAGTTTTTGGAAATGCATCTTCTGCCTTATATGACGGACAGAACCTTATTCCTTACATTGTATCAACGTCACCGACAGGTGATTCGGGAGCTGTGGCATCACTATTCCACTCATTTTCAACGTTCAGTTTTAACCAACACCGTAAGTTTTGCTTTGATTAACGAGCATCCATGATCAATCTTGTCATAGGTTTCCTCGCCGTTGGAGTTGTAATTTTGATCTCGATCGCGATTGCTGCCGGCGTGGTTTTTCTTCTAGCCCTCATTGGTATCCTGTGGACATTGTTCTCTCGCAAAGAGGACAAAGTGAGCAAGCTTGAGGTGGAGGACGATGATGATTCTACTCATCACCGGCCGTCGTCGTTACTCGAGCACATCAATGCCGCCACGCGTACAACAATATTAGGCGCAACTCCTTTTGCGGACTACAATACGGAGGAAAAAGTTGCTCAGGATCCATTCGGTCCAGATGCGAGTAACTATGTGCGTACTGAAACCCCATCCGATGCTGTTGGAGGGATGCTTTCGGAGGAAATGAGCAGACCTGCCCATGCCAGGTACTCATTTGATGGGACTGGGGAGGGTGAACTGCCTATCTCTGCTGGTTCGAAGGTAGAAGTATTAGACGATCGAGATCCAGCGTAAGTGTGTCATTTTTTTGATGAACTTTTGCTCATCCAAATTTCTGATAGGTGGTGGTACGCTCGAGATGTGCAAACTGGTCGAGAGGGGGTCGTCCCTGCAGCTTATTTATACTGAATTATTTTCAACCCGCCTTATACCCTCTCTTTTCTTTTTGTATTCTGCATTAATTGGAAGACCTTAATGTTATTGAACCCGTTTATGAAACTTGAGCAATACAACCATAATCGCAATCTTTTTGCTACTACTATGACAACACAAATTGTTAACGTCATGAAGTTGTAAAAGACAGAACGACACACCTGTAACACTGTTATGCACCAATCAGCGTTAGATCGCCATGAAAGAAAAGCCAAGAGACTCACATGGATCTCTGTAATGCTTCTGTGAGTTGTGGATAAACCCAACCTTTGTCTTGAAGTCTTCTCGTCGCTTTTGGTCTCGGAACTCCCGTACATGCCGTCCTGCTTCACGTGCTTCACCCTTGTTCCTTGCTTTAACGACTTGAGTTCCACTGCCAAATGCGCCAAAACCACCCTTGCATGGGACTAAAGCTGCGTTCTTGTCTGCGAGCAGCCGTCGAACAAGAGCCGCTCCAGAATTCGGGTCTTCCGATTTCCCTGATCTTATGGCACCAGGGAAAGACTGTCCATAATATCTACGGAGAGTTCTGTGGCCAATTCTGGCACCGGAAGGTAGGACGAGTTCGAGATGTGAGTCACCATAGGTGATTTGATTGTCAGGAAGGCTGTCTTCAGAGTCACTGACGTCTGTTTCGGCCTCATCTACGACTTCATCAACATCTTCCTCGTCACCGTCATCCGACACGTCCTCCCAGGCTGCATTGTCAGCGTCGCGATGCTTGGTTGGCTTTGTGATGTCGGCGTATGAAGAGGTGAAGTCATAGTAGTCGGAGATTTCAAGGCGATCGTTCTCGGATTCGTAGCCAATTTTGCAATGGCACTTATCAATCATGTGTTTCCGAACGGCTTCTAAGGTTCTGAACTCTCTACTCTTCGTGTTGCAAAAAATGCATACATTTCCAACAGCAATCTTCTCCCCGAGGTAATTTATCACACCTTCGATGTCGATAAGATAGTCTGCATCGGGAATAAAAAATGAGTGGACAAGTGACATGTGGGTCAGATTGTTTTCAAGCGAAGTGGACTCTTGAGTGCAGAAAAGACACTGCACGGGGGAGAGCCTAGATCGGGCAGCCGCAATTTTTTCATCAATGGCTTGGTTGACTTCAACTTCAAAGTTAGCGCCATCGCTCAGGTCCTGGATCTCTGGAGGATTGAAGTCACGAGGAATGGGTAAGGCCTGCGAATTGGGCGACGGCTTTTGAACTTGAGGTGCCAGGGTTGCGTCTTGGGCTGTGGCTTGGATGCCAATCGACTTCGATTCCTTTTCTTTGTGCCTTTTTGACTGATTGTGAGACCGGTAGGCATTTTCGGTCGCATAAACCTTGCTTGAAAGACGTCAGGATTGGGTCGACAATTTTCTGGCACACATACCTGCAAATATCACAGGTAAAATCCTTCAAAGAAGATGTGACGGCGGTCTCAGCCTTTCTTTCTGATACCCTCTGGGCGAAGAGGGAAGCACTGATTGGAGGAAGGGATGCGACACGACGTTTCATATTATACCTGTGGTGATCAGAGTGGTAATGGAGCCCTGAAAGCGTCGGTTACATGATAAAGGTGGTGGATAAAAAACGTACTCTGCTCTTCTGGAGATGGAAAGGCGATGGAGCATGAAAGACACGTAAAAAGAACCTTTTCGTCGCTCATAGTGGTGGCAAGATGTAAGATCAATGTAAGATAGCAGTAAGCAAAGCCATCCTGATCAAACACGCACAAACAAGAGCGACAGAGGACAACATCTCCATCGTCGAGGGAGCAACGCAGTCATCTTCACGAACTTGAAAGGTGAGAGTCATTCCCTACGTCTTGATGTCCGTGTTACACAAAATGGAATGGTCGTTGCAACGTACCGGTGGTCGTTAGAAGTTGGATGCAATTTTTGGGATGCGGATGACGTTCACTGCACTTCTTGCTGACCGAATATTAGGTTATCTGCCACACCATCATGTCTCTTGTTGTACCCGAGGCTCACCAACAATTCCAAGTAGGTCTTCGGTGATAGGAAAACATCGTCGCTTACCATGCCATTCACAGCACATTCTTCGTTTGCTCAACACCAACGTCGATGGGAAACGAAAAATCATGTACGCTTTGACGGAGATCAAGGGTGTTGGTCGTCGCTATTCAAACTTGGTTTGCAAAAAGGCTGATGTTGACTTGAATAAACGGCGCGTGATATCCACCACAGTCTCATCTAGTTCTAACTTGGTTTTAGTGCTGGAGAGCTCAATTCTGATGAACTTGAGCGAATCGTGACAATCATCCAGAATCCCACGCAGTTCAAAATCCCCACATGGTTTTTGAACAGGCAAAAGGATATCGTGGACGGAAAAAACTCACAAATTCTGTCCAATGGCGTTGACTCGAAACTACGTGATGATCTTGAACGCCTCAAGAAAATTCGGGCGCATCGTGGTTTGAGGCATTTCTGGGGCTTGCGGGTGCGAGGGCAGCACACTAAAACAACTGGTAAAGTTTTTCTGTTGATGCTGAAAGTGGGTCGAATTAACATCTGGATGTCAGGCCGACGTGGAAAGACTGTTGGTGTCTCGAAGAAGCGTGGTTAGGATATATATTTCACAATCCTGTCGTATTCTGTGCAATTCAGAGATTCAGATTGAATATTGAACATTCAGTTTCATATCACGTGACTGAGGCATTGCTTAAAATAGTACCATACTATAGTGACTTTGTATAGTTCTGTCCAAGTACCGCACCGTCTACGTTCAGCTCGTCCGCATCCACCACCTATCGTCGCTGTGGCCTACGTCGCCGAAGGGTTTATTTCATGCTCACCATAAAATGACAACACCTGGAAAATCTCGCCCGTCTGGCATACCTGGTCCTGGTCGTATCAGCAGCATCCCAACTCCTGGAAGGTCCCGTTCATCTTCCAGTGTCTACCAAAATACCACCGACTCTTTTGATGATATTTCTCGCGCATTTGCTGATGCGATCAAGGCCAATGACCCTGCCCAACATCGATTCATATCCCAACCACACGCTGCTTCGACTTCTTCGTTGTCCCCTCAGCTCGCTCCACAAACGACTCAGTCAGGCCATCGCTCTGTAGGCCGACCAAACTCAGCCGCTTCAGCATCTTCGGCAATCGGTGCCTCAACCAGAACAACTGAACGAGCAAAGACTCCTACATCTGCAAGACCTCCAAGCCGTCCCCCTAGTCGACACTCGGAAGTATTTGCAAGGAGCGTTAGTAGGTCTTTTGAAATCGGTGACAATGTTCGAATAGAATCCCTAGGTTTTGAGGGTTTGTTGAAGTATGTGGGTGAGATCGAAGGCAAACCAGGTTTATGGGCTGGCGTTGAGCTTGGCGGAGGGTTTGCAGGCAAAGGGAAAAATAATGGCACTGTTAACGGGTGAGTATTGAACTGAACCTTCGTTCTTTTTCTTCCAGGTGTCCTTTTCACCGGTTGGAATGATGTCCCGCGCAGATCTCTGACTAATTGAATCTAATCATCAGAAAGAAATACTTCTCGTGCCCTCAGAATTGTGGTGTCTTTGTCGCAACAACAAAACTTTCTCCCCCAACTGTGGGACCCGGTACAGTTCAAAGACCCTCGTCGGTGGCGTCCTCGAGAGGTCGTATTACTCCTGCACTATCTGGTAGGGTCACGCCTTCATTCCCCTCGGCCACGAGAACTCCATCCGCTTCGTTTGCAAACGGCCGAGCCACGCCTTCCGCCAGTGGAAGATTGACCCCATCCAATATAAATGGTCGGGGTACTTCGGCAACCACACCCTCTACAAACCCTCGTGCCAGAAACGCATTCAAGCCCGTAACCTCTAAAGGAATCGACGTTTCCCTAACGGACAAAATTACAGCAGGGTCAAGAGCGTCAAAGTATATGTCAATGACCGCACAACAGCTAAGCTCTCGCGATTCTCGAAATATGGAAAGCCCAACAGGAAAAAACCGTGAATCACCTAGTCCTGCTCTTCTTCCCCCTTCCTCCTCCTCCTCCTCCTCCTCCTTCCTATCCTCCTCTCCTTCGCGTGGATCACGAATGCTTTCATCACCAACACGTTCTTTGGGATCTCCATTATCTACTCCAAAGCCCTCATTAGGCGGGAGAATGTCAACGGCTGGTAATACAGGTTTGCCGTCTTTGCCTTCGAGAAATCGCCCCTCTGTGAGTACACCTCGTGCCCGGGTTCCCAGCGCCGTCGCCATGCCCCCGCCTGCTTCGCCAATATTCGCATCCTCCTATTCTCTTGATTCAGAACCTAGCTCAGCCACTTCTTTAGATTATCTCGAAGCGCAGGGCAAGGCGTTGCAAGATGATAATCCCCTGGTCATATCCAAAGACACATCTTTCAACTCATCTTCCCGTCCACAGTCTTCGGCATCCCTTCGATCAACAACCATGGATGAGCAAAGCTTGATTGAGCAACTGCAGTCACGCATCGACGCTCTTGAGTATGAAAACGAACGACTGCGGTTGGCGTCAGGCGACGAATTTGCCTCAGTCTTGCCTGAACAATTGGAGTCCTTAGAACGGGAACGTGACGAAGCCATCGCTAAAATATCCTACCTTGAAGAGGGACAAGCTGCTTCCAACAGTAACGTCGAAGCGCATACCCATCGGATATCTCTTCTCGAACAAGATTTGAAGAGGATAACGTCTGAAAGAGATTCACAACAACTTAAAGATCAATTATGTGTTGCAAATCTCCAAAAAAAGGCGGAAGAGGATGTCCTTGTGATTCAAGAACTCCAAGCATCCCTCACGGCGCGGTCACATTTGGTTCATCAACAAAACGAGAATTTGGAGGTCAAAGAAACAGAAATTGCCCTGTTGAACCTAAAGTTGGAATCAATGTCCAAGGAGTTGGAGGAGGAGAAAAGGGAGTTGGGGGCACAGATCGATGAGCTACGCATTGCTGGACAGGTATCGCTCTGTCCTTCTCTTGTATACAGCCAGTTCTGACTACTATCCAGGAAACCATAGCTCTCTACGAGGAGCGCCTTAGCTCAGCTGACACTCAACGCTACGAACTCGAGTTACGTATCACTTCGTTGGAAGCAGCTCACTCGGCGGGGCGGGAACCCTCTCCGACAGCCTCTCGTTCTGCATCATCTGCAACTCAAATAGATAATGAGACCCTTCGTGATCAAGTCCATCATCTACAACGAAAAATTTCAACAATGGAAGATGTTATAGAAGATGCGCGCGCTGCATCCGAAAAAGAGGAAGCCGCCTTTCGGGAGAGAATGCGGCGTTTGAAGGAGAAGGAAGACGCGATGAAGAAGGAATTGAGTGAAGGGAGGAAAGAGGTGGAGCGCGTGACTACCTCAGAACTAACTGCACGCAATCGAGTTGAAGAGATTGAGGAAGCCCTGCGAGAGAGCACTGTAGCTTTGGAGAACGCTCGCGCCGAGGTTGAAGCTCTGCGAGCAGAGATAGCGGTGAGTTTGGTCACATCACAACAGTTCACGGTCCTCATACCTTTCAGAATGTGGATAGCTTGGTGGGGGACAGCAGTGAGGGTGACTTATCCTCGCGGGTAGCCGAACTGACTCATCGAGCCTCTATTGACCGAGTGAGAAGTGAGCAGGAAATTTCGCGGTTGACTGACATGCTACAAGAACTTCGCCCTGGTGTTAATCAGAGGGATGTTGATTTAGAATCACAAGTGTCCACTGTGAGTCGTCTATACATTGGAGTATCCCTGTCTCAATGGCTCTTTTAGCTCCAACAACAAAAGGCAACGTTGGAGGCCAAGGTCCTTGACATGACGCGGGCATTAGATGATAGTACGAATGAACTTGAGGCAACAAGAAAAAAAGTCAATCGTGATGTCTTCGTGACTGATGAGATTCATGATGGACTTAAGTCCTCAGCTTCATTGCCGTCAAAATTCGATTCAGCTGTTGCCAAAGAAGAAGTAACTGGTCTCAAGTATGTCTCCATACGTCACCTCGATGCTCCCATCTCAACCTTCACACGAGGCACATCATCCAAGAGCTTCAGAAGGAGAGTATAATGGCTGCTCAAAGAATCAAACTCTTGGAATCTGAGAATCAATTATTCTCTTGTGAGGCTGAGCAGCTTCGTCAGGTCCGTCTCTCCCACCGTATGCTCAGCAATCTATCCCTAGTTCATTAAAAACTTTAGGAAGTTCAGTTACTTGAGGACAGCCTTCACAATAGCTCGTCCCTGGAAGACAGAGATCTTGTCAAAAATACCACATCCCCCGATTCACAGGATGTTGACTCTCTCGAACAGCGTCTCAAGGAGCAGTCTCTCGGACATGATGTATGTTCATCTGCGTAGAATGCGATCCACATATCTGATCTCAGTGCAGGCCGAAACAGAACAGCTCAAAAAACGTCTATCTGAATCAGAAATAAAACATGCTCGAATGATATATGATGTTTGTAATTCCTTTTGTGGTTAATTCGTATGCTCACAACGAAGAGTAGCTCAACAAGGAGATTAGTGAGTTAGAGACTCTGGTTGAAGCGAAGGTTTGCCATCATTCACAGTAGTCTCGACTTCTACTGATGCACCGACATTCAGATATATCGTGAAGTAAGCGCGCCAAAGATAGATGTCGTCCAATGGGCTGGGCTGATACCACTCCACTTTCTAGGATGAGTTGGAGCAAGAAGTGGAGAGGTTAAAGGATAAGGCGGCACGAGCCAAGAAGTCCTCCAAGAACAGCACAGAGACAAACGGTACGCGACATCGATTGAGCAGTGCATCATCTAACACGATGAGTTCTGGCGGCGCGGGGCAAGATGTATGCGAAATTTGCGAGCGGCCAGGGCATGACATCTTCAACTGTGACCTATTGAAGGAAGATGGGGCTTCAAAGAAAACTAGTACACCCGTTACGACATGGCCGCCGAGGACAGTTGTAGACCTTTTTTGTGAAGACTGTGAAAGCCATGGGCATGTCGCTGCTGACTGTCCACACTCGCTTGATGTATTCTAGTCAAGTAGATAGACAAATCCGGGTCCTGGAGGCTGGATTCTTATCATTGTGTTAGAAACCACACTGCTCAGCGCACTCAAAGACACTGAACATCACTCTCAACACGGTCACATGACTCGAAGTGCTCAGATTTGTTCATATTTTGTGACCATTCTTCATCTTGTCCAGCACTTTCAGCATAGCCGGAAATGTCGGAAACGGTACGAATCTTCCCTTCTACTCTTCAAATATACTGAATATCTTCCAGGGAAACGATATTATATCTTTCAAATCTGAAGTCGATCGTCTGAGGCCAGAGTTGTGTCTTGTAGAAACCGAAGACACTTGGGAACGGATCACTCGAGCTCTGATCTCACTCAACGGCTTGTGTCAATGTGTTCTCATTAAGGCTCCCTCTGAACTGGTCAACATACTTCGTCCATTTCACCTTCCCGTCACGAAAGCCATGAACTCTGAAAGGACACGGCTGTCTATGGCTGCATCAAATCTTATTGCAAGCATTGCGGGTGTCCTAGGTGCTTCATTTGAACCCTTCCTACCCCTGTTCCTCCCCCCTCTCCTTACTCTCTGTGGTCGAACAAACAAAGTTATCATCAACCACGCACGCTCTTCAATCATGTCCATTATCCAAGCCACCCAGCTTCCTTCCTTTCTCCATTTTTTTTTGCAATTTATCAAGGATAAGTCCTCTTCCTTGAGACTAGTTGCAGCGGAAGGAACCCTGGCGTGCTTGAATTGTTGTAATCCTCCCGACTTAGAGAAGGACACAAGAGCAAGTGCCATTGAAGCGATCATTCGAGGAACGACAAGAGATGCTAACCCTGAGGTTAGGAAGCTTAGCAAGCAAATGTTTTCTGCGTACAAGATCTTACTTCCGAACAGAGTAGAAAGGTGGGTAATCAACAATCAAGAACGAAAACTTTATTTATGCATACTTTACTTTGCAGTTTCACTGCACCGCTTACTCCAACGATGCGGAAGTATTTGGACATTCGGGGTCCCTCAACAATCAAACAATTACCCGCAATAAAGCCATTCTCTAAGCCTGGGCACATGCCGACGAAGGTGCCTGCGTGTAGCTCAAACGACATGCGTACTAGATCCCACAAGCCTCCTGCGATGACCCCAGCTACTGCAGGCGGTCAAGCTGTCCAGCCGCCAATGGCAAATAATAGGCAGAGGTCAAAAGAAATTTCCCGACCACAATATGTTCCTGTCCGACCTATCTCTCGTTCAACACCAGCTGCGGGGAACATCGAACGCACAAACCAGGTTATTGATCCAATTGCCGGCCCTTCACTTTCAAGCTCTGTGAGGAGAGTCGTCGACAGCGCTACACTCCCATCACGAGCCAAGACCCTTCCCGGATTTACCGCCAACACAACAGGTGCCAATGGGCCACGTCGAGTTCCACTCCCAGAACGCTCAACTCAGAGTCAAGTCCCGTCTCAACCGATGGTTCGACCTAAAGAGCAGACAGCTACATCCAAAGTGGTCGCAAAAACAGCTTCCAAGTTGCTCGTGGCCCCTCCAGCACCGCATCCTTTGAAGGCAGGGAAGCCAATCTTTAGGGGCCAAACGGCCACACACCCCACGCTACCACTGACTGCAAGGGTTAAAATATCTCCGAGCCGTAAGGTGAAGCAAACAAGGGTTGTGCCAACAGCGAAGCCCATTTGGGGTCGACCCGCCCTCCGCGGAACCAAGCCGACTACGGGGAAGTGTCCGGTAAACCAGAAAACAACGACGCAACCTGAACACGCTCCCCAGCCTCCAGTTAAAGCCGAAGCCGGTTCGCTTCTGACCGTGGCCAGCAGGTCCACGACTCCCGCTGCAGTCGAACTACCTCCAAGTCCAGCGACTTCACAACCTATGTCTGTGGACGACGCGCACGATGACGCGGATGAATGTGACGCGCTAGGAACGGAACATACAGTCGGAGATGTTGCAACATTTACCGACGTAGAAGAATCTGAACGGGAAAGCGCGGCATTGAATGCGAGCAACAACAATAACGCCACAGAAACAGGTCTGACAAACCATTCTGCAGCAGAGCTTCCAAGCACCCCCTCATTGGGTGTTTCAGCGAACTTCAACTTGGCGGCTAAAACACCAATATCAGCCTTGCTTTCTTCAATCCAGCAGGGGTTTGAGTATAGTCCATCTTCTCCCCTTTCACCACCTCAAGGATATGACCTTCTAGGACCATCCAAAGTTGCTGTAGATGGATTGAAGATACCGTTTTCATTCAATACGACTCAGTCTACCAGAAGAGTACTTGCCACATAACACAACTGTAACAACGTGCTACATAGTTGTCACATAACTAGATTGAATTTCAAAGGCAGGCCTGTAGAAAGATAAGAGAAAATAGGTTTATTTGATACAGTTACGGAGTGTTGATAAATTTACATACGGAGAAAGATGTTCCTCAATGTGAAAGATATTTTCGACCTTTTGCAAGGCGTCGAGAAAGGATCCTCTGACCCCCAAGGGATCTCTTCCGTGCGAGAAAACCGTGCTTGCGTTTTCTTTTCCGCTGAGATGGCTGGTATTCGTTGCCTCTCTGTGCAAACCTGGCCTGAACAAGAGATCCAAGAATGGGAGATGAAGTGCAGGGCAGTAGCTTTTGAAGAGAAGTGTTGGGGAATCGGCGGGAAAGAGGCGACGGAAGGGGGGATGATGACTTGAGGATTGGTCGTACAATGATGGAAACCACAGGTAGGCGGGGAGGGCGTGCAACGAGACGGAAAAGTGAAGGCGAAATCCGCGGCATGGCGAGTAAAACGACAGTGACGACGACAACGACTCGGAAGAGCGCGACGACGAAGGAAGAACGTGACGTGTCGGAAATTTCCCTGGGGCCTAATAAGGGTTATTAGGCACTCAAGGCACCCCTAACCTAATAATGGCTTACAATGGGTGACTTCCCGTAACACAAATTCGCTAGATTTAAATAAATCGACGAGATCTAGGGTCTGTTGCCGGGATGCCGAGTCTTGTAAGGGTTCGACTTTGATGGAGGCCCTGGTTGGCACCCAGTTATAAACCTTAATCTATTCAGAGGGTACAGACCCCTCGAATAGATTTCAAACGCTGGAATCAACCCTGCCATCATGACACCTTTCCTTCCTGGGTACGTTTTCTTCCCACCTAGCTTAGTCAGCTCTACTTCATCCCTCTCTACTCTCCTACGGCTGAGGGCACTCTGCTCTCTCGTTATAATTTGAAGCCATTACGGAGTTTATTAGTAGTGCCAACGTCCTCTGGTTCCAAAATTTCCTCTCCGAAGCTGTTTTTCCTTCCACAAACAATCTTCTCAGCACATAACTCACAGAACCACAGCATGTTCAGCTCAAGTTGACATTTTTCGGCTTCATTCTTTGTGTGTCCTACTTTCTGGCTGATATGATTGAGCATAAACTATAATACACCCATCCATGGGCCTGTGTGTCCTCAAAACAGCTCAGATGAGAGGGAAGTAAGTTTATTCATGTCAGGTGATTCTGAGGTGAATAAATCTAATCAGTTGGCATTACGGTTTATTTGCTTGATTAAATCGCAAGCCAGGGTACCCATTTCAAACTCCGATAAGGGTCAGATTTATTCGTTTATATAGATTTACGTTACGGGAA